GATTTCGTAATGCAAAAGTGCCACTAAAGTGCATGAGGACATAAAAGTGGTTGTTCAGGATGTTTTTTTTTTAACTTTTCTTCTCCTCAGCACAGACGACATTGCAACTTGCCACATATTTGTGGCAAAAGACTCAGATGTGTATGGGAAAGCCTACTGACAAGTGCCACTTGTGCTTAGCTGCTCATGTTTTCGAGTGCTTCTCGTTGGGCCACAAATGGCCACAAGAGTATTCTACTTATAATTGTCGTCACTGTGTGGCAAGGGAAATAAATCTAGTTGTGGTGGTACTTTGTTTGTGCCACATTCACATTCATATTCATTTCGACCGAGATGCGCTTATAAATAGTCTGTGTTGACACAAAGGTCTCTCCCATTATAAATGACTGTGTTACTCTAACCCACTCGAGCCAAGTGGAAATGTGATACAAATAAGTTTGTTCCGATTGAAAAACGCTTGGGTTTTACTCATGGATAGAGCAAAATAAAAAAAAAGGCAAATGCGCTTGCCACATTGCCAGGCAAGTGCAAAGCTGCAATTAAGCGCATGAAAAGCAAATAGTATGTTTGCAATTAACATTAACCCACTGAGTTTTTATCACAAACACACATACAAAACACACACACACAACACACACACACAACACACACACACTTGCAGCTTACACACTCGCTTCTCATAATAATATGGCATTAGTTGAGTTCAACAGCACCAATTGCAAAATTCGCTGCTGCTGCTGCTGCTGCTGCTGCTGCTGCTGCTGCTGACTTTAGTGACTTGTCGCAATAACCATTGCAAAATGTCTATTTGAGTCTTACTTTGTCCAACTAATTAAAGGTTTTGTGCGCACTAATTACGGCCATGTAGGTAGGCAGGCGGTCATATGACCACGCGGGTTGCAAACACCTCAATGATAGCAGCGTCACAAAGTTGTAGGTGCAACGAGCCGTTAACTTGCTACCAATTCCCACATCATCATCATAAAAATGAACATCAGCAGTGCCAGCCCCCTTTTATAAATAGTCATTTAACAGCTGCACTCTTTGTAATCGATTCATAAACCCCCTCCATGAGTAAAACGCAAATCTACTTGCATAATCGGCAAGTTTTTTGACTTCGTTTGACCTTTTCTTTTTTGGGGTTTTTGGCCAATTTTTGTTTTTACTTTGTTGGGTCAAATGTTGCATCTTCAGGCGGCTGTCACCGTTTGAAGTGCCAACAACAATCGGAGGCGGCAGGCGGCAGCCCACAACAATAACAGCGTGCATAGATAGCTTATTGTCATTAAATTTGTTGTCTGCAACCTCTTGTGGCGCATACACGCTACAGTGGTCCACTTGCATAAAAGATAAAGCATTAAAATTAAAAAAAATATAAGTTAATACTAAATATTTTCCATAAATTCATTTCTACTTGGTTTTTTATCCCTAGTAGAAAAAATATGCTTTGAAATTTAGAAACTCGCCCTAAAATGAAAATCGCCATAAAAACTAGAAGTATACGAAAATTCAGCTAGACATTTTTGCTAGCCACTTTGCCCATTTTTTGAATACCTTAAGGCACAATTGATTTTAACATTTCAACTTCTTTTAACCTTATTGGTTCTTTTTGCAGATTTCCTTAATTTTCACAACAACAAATGTTGTCTTATATTTTATTACTCCCATTATTAATGTAAATCTGTTATTTTTTAGATTCTTATCTTAAATCTATAAATCTCTTTCGCTGCATCTAGCAAAAATCTTAACTCAATTTGCCCCACTGTACGTACGAAGGAAAGGAGTTGCTTGTAGCTGTTTTTTTTTTTTTTTGTGGTTTTGTTTGCTAAGCCGTTTTGCAATGCCCAGTGTGAAGTAGTTATACATAAATATATCTTTTGTGAGTGTCGGCTGATCTCTCGCGCTGTGTCTCTTTTATGATGGCGATTGAGTTTTATTTGGCTACTTGCATTGTTTTGTTTGGGTATTTTTTTGTGGTGATCAACGACAAGTTTGTCGGGCAAGTCTTTTGTTTTAGGCTGCCGCATTGATTCCGTTTTTCGATAAATCCAATGCATGTCAAATAAAAGTCAAGGTAGTGCGTGAATAGGAAGAGACACAGGCACACAGGCAACTCAATCGAATTGAGTAATTTGCACGCTTGTTACTTGCTATTATTGGCCACACTCTGAATGAATGATGTCTCTGTTTGTCCAGCAATTGACTCATCAAGCCAAATATCAAAAGCCGCCGCAGGCAGTAGCCAACAGCCATCAGTTAGACTCGAAACCTGAACTATAAATAAGATTCGCACGTCTCGCTGGACATAGTTCTGAATTATTCAAGTGGTTGCCAGAGCAACACGAGCGCCTCAATTGTTTTTCAGTCATGATGCTGATAACCACAAATAAAATCAAAAATCAATATTAATTTAGTTTAGACAGGCTGCTCAAACAGGATGTCGAGTTCTGTTGAACTGATGGTGCATGGAAAAGCATACTGGAAGTTGTGCCAAGTGACGTTTATCCTAGGTGAATTCACGACAGATCCTCCAGTGACTCCTATCAACCAGGAGGGCGCTAATCCCATCTGTGAGTTTTCCAGTGGTATTTGGTTTCTGTACATCCTTTATAGGGCTGATCCAGTTGGCCAAATGGGTACCAGAACCTTATAGAGATTGTGATTTGAAATTATATTATTATTTTTGATATTATAGATTATAAATGTGATAAATCTGGCGATTGCTGTGAATAATATATATAAAATATATATATGTGGTTAAAGTACCTATTGAACACTGTCAAAGGACTTTCGACAGACTTAATTCATATTTGATAGATATAGATTATCACAAGACATAAACATACTTTTATATGTTGGGAAGCAGGAGGGCACTTTTCCAAGTCGAAGGGCGAATGGACTGTGCAAATTTAATTATTTAATTATTATCATATTTATTTTACTCAGGCATTAGATTTATTTGACAAGTGCGATGTTGAAGACTGCCAACCAAAATGAAGATTGATGAGGAGGCATCGCCTCAAGACCAAGACCATGCCCCAGCCCCAGCCCCAACCCCCGGCTCCGTCCCCGTCTCCGTCTCATTTAACCCAGTCACGTTGTGCCACTGACTCGCTGCTCCAAATTGTAGTTGCTTTTCAGTGGCCACGGGAATAAGCTGAGCATTTGAGGTTGCTCAAGCGATGTAAAAATGTTGCCAACTATTTTTCATTTTCATATTTCCTTTTGTTATTGCTGTTGCTGTTGCTGTTGTTGTTGTTGGATTTTACCTGTCAACGCATTGAAAGAGACAAGAAAACACGGCCATCTGACAACTGGCAAGTGGCAAGTGGCAACTGCTGTAACTTTGAGTTGTCACCACTCCAAAGAGAACTAGAAAAAAAAAAAAAAAAACAAAATACTTTATGAGTTTCTACTAGTAATGTGCTATTTTGACCATGGCACAAATGTGCATCGGTAGAGCATCGTCACATGGTAATAACAGACAGACAGACAGACAGACGGACAGAACGACCGACCGACCGACCGATGATTAATTCGCAATTAACAGTATCATCAAGTGTGGCTGCAGCTGGCACAGAAAGCAGTCAAATAAGGCAAACATTGGTGTACACTAAATATTTATTCTATAGAGCGAAGAAAGTTTCATTCAACTATATGTGCTGATGCATGTGGCATGCGGCATGTGGCAAATGTGAAACTGGTTTTCGGATTTTCAGCACTGAAATTATGAACCTGCTGATTACCGCACACAAAACACAAAACATCAATGGCATCATTTTGCCAGCACTCTTGCACCACTCCCTGGGCGCTTTCCTTGTCTGCTGACAAATGATGAAGCTGTCAGCTTGCTGTCTGCATTACGTATGCCGCCCCCTCACCCGCCCACCGTCTTTCTCCCTCTTTCTGTACACTTATCTATAAATCTGAGTGTCTATCAGAGGTGTGTGTGTGTGTGTAAGTATAAGTAAAGTATATGCAATTCAGTGAATAGACAGCAGCCAGGCAGGCAGTTAGTTTAAATAGTTTTTTACATAAATCGCCAGCACTTGCCTGTTAAATTTTCAATTATCGAATTATGTGCCGAAATGACTGTGGAATATGTGCGGCATGGCAAGGCGAATCATGTCTGCTCATCATGGGTCAGTGGAGTCTTGTGTTGATGCCCAGTTATCAGGTGTACAATTTGCAATCTCCGAGCCTAGGACGTGGGCTGCCTTATGCAATGGGAACCTTTTTTGGGGGTGGCGAGGAGCGGCTTGCATTGCATCAACAGCTAATTAATGCAGCAACATGTGCCAACGGCTCGAGTTGCTATGGAAACACTCACAACGCTTCCATTCCATTGTTAATTCCCACAAAATAAATGGGTGCCAAGGAAAAAAAATTGGGCTTTTCAAAATTTATGTCTTTCGCATAACAAAAAAAAAAAAAAAAAAAAATATATATATATATATATATATATATATATATGTTATATAATATAATATTTGTATAATCTTTGTGAATTCACAATGATTTTTTGACTTAGTTGTGATTATTGATTGATTTTTGAGTTTTACTAACCAACTCTGCGCATCAAAAAAAAGTCACAAAATTATTGATTGTTTAGCTATTTTTCAAATTTTTATACATTTCTTTTTATTTAAAATCTGCCTCTGGGGATATTAAATCATTAAATTTGTAAATGAAAGATTAAACGTTTTCTATTGATTGTTTTGGGATTTCTTTTAGTAAATGTGATAACATAAAACTCAAAAATAATGATTAAATAGGAGATTTGATTTTATTTGAAGTTATATTCATAATTTAAAGTCTGCAGATAAAGTAAATCTAATAAATAATAAATAGCTTATGACTTTTTTCGCTTAAAAATAACAATCAATTTACAATGGGAGAAAGTGAATCAAGGCAAATCTAAAAACAACTAACAAAAAACTTAAATATATTTATAATCAGTATTTAAATTTTATATTTTTATATTACTGATTTTGTTGCAGTTAAGACTGAATAGGAGGCAAGCCGTCAGTGGCCGATTGGGAGCTGAATGCGGCTGCAAGGACGTTAACCATGCCCATTTGCAAAAGTTCGCCGGCAACGGCAACGAGCAAGAAAACTGCCACGGATATATCCGCCGATCATGTAACGGAAGCGGCACAAGTGAAACGCACCCGGGAACAGGCCTACTTCAATTCGTATGACTTTGATGCAATCGAGGTGCTGCCCTACGACGAGGATAACGATGAGGCAGCAGTTGCACACAGTCGCGCCAGCAGCGGACGCTATTCGGCGGCCAACAACAGCAGCAGCAACAACAGCAGCAGCAGCAGCAGCCACAACAACAAGGACTCCGCTGGCCTCACAAAATTCGGCTATCTGCAGCGATTGGGCGCATTCTTTGGCCAGAAGACAGTTGCAACAGATGGAGTAACGGCAGCAGCAACAACAGCAGTCGCAGCCACAGCGAATGGTGTGGGAGATGAGCAGCAGCAGCAGCAGCAGCATGTTGGCAGTGCCAGTGCTGCTGAAAGTAATGATAACTTTCTGCTGCCGCGAGCAATGCTCAAATATGCCCCATATCAGAGGTGAGTGTTGCACTCTCATTTACACAACCATCAACAGCAACGGTGGCAGTCGCAGCCCCAATTGCGATGACCTTCGCTGGCGGCATTGAGCAGCCAACAGACAACAACAATGAAAAACAAAGCGGGTCAGCATAAAGTAAACTTTGAGTGGGTCCGATCGTAAAAGCAATTAAATTAGGATCATATCTTTTATCGCCGAAAATTGCATGAGCATTTTAATTATATTATTACACACAGTTTCCCATTAAAAATTATTATTACGGGTTGAAATGGAGTTGAGCAAGTGTATGTAGTGGGCAGAAGGCATTTTACCACGGACACCCATTAGGTGTATGCAGTCAGACATATATATATATATATATATATATATATGTTTCTTCTTGATCAGAGAAGGCCGAGGCCCCTCGTTCCATTATGATAGGAATATAGCTAGGTTTAATGTGGCTCAAGTTAATAATATTTTAATCAGATCGTTAAAGAAGTACACAATTTGTCTTTTATTCAAACGCTTGTTATGTGTATGTGTGTATGTGTGTGTGTGTGTGTGTGTGTGTGTGTGTGAGTGTGTGTGTGTGTGCGTTCATTGTCTTGTCAATGTTTAATCTGAATGCAACTGGCAGTTGAAGTTTAATCTGCATGCAACTATGTAAATTATGGCGCATCGCATCGCGAAGTTCAAGTTGCACGTTGCACGCGGCAAGATTGCCGTAGCAATGCGGTTTTTGGCGCCTGTCATCAGCCTTCACCTCTTTTCAGCTGCAGCAGCAGCAGCGGCAGAAGCCACTTGACTTGCCAAACACTTGATGTCGCGTCGGTCAAAAGCAACAACAACAACATTAATAACAACAACAACAACAACAACAACAATACAAAAAATCGCTTGCAGCTGCAACAATTACGTATATTAATTGAAATTAAAGAAGCCACATATGTTGCAGTTGTTGCTGCTGCTGCTGCTGCTACTGCTGCTGGAGGTCACAGCCAGTTTTGGTTTGAAATATGTCTACAAGCACACACACATACATATATACAAGCTTATGTGACTACATATGTATACATATGTATGTATGTATGTATGTATGTATGTACAAGTTGTTGGCCACAAGTGCAATCCAAACAGCCATCAAATATTTGGATGTATGGCATTAAATCGTGCAATTTATTTGAATTGTGTGTGTTTTTTTCGTATCTTCGACAATTAATAGAAAAATATATGTTTTTTTATATGTTTAAAGATATATTTGTATGTATACATGTTTAACAATTGAAGTTGCATTTAGAGATAAGATAAAAAGATTTAACAAATTGAACGAAGAACAAAAATCAGCAAGAATGCGGTAGTCGAAAGAGATCGTCTTGCGGATAGACTAATCCCAAGTCTTTACTCATCATAATAAGTAGTAAAGCACTAAACAGTTAATAATAGATAGAAAACAGATTCATTCATTTTATCTTTACAATTGTAGCTTCTTAATATCATAGCGAAAGAATGCTATAGTCGAGGGAGCTCAACTGAAGCCAAGCCTTTGCCTGATCCAATACAAAATGAAACGCAAATGATTTGAACAAGTATTCATAATATAAAATATGAAAAATATGAAAAAATTAAAGAAAATATATTTCTACTCTCTGGCAGATTTGATTAGATCTCAACTTATATTCATAATTTGAAGACTATAGCTCTCTTAGGCTCGACGGTTGATCAAGAATGTATTAACTTTATGATAGTTGTTTTATTTTACACTTTTGTATTTTAGCCAACATTTTAAAGGGTTTTTGAGTTATTTCGAATGCCTTAAAACAGGCTCACATTTCATTTTGCATTCCATAAATTCTTTAATTTACTGGCATGCAAGGTTAATGCAATTATAGCAAATACCCTGATTGCATATATATATATATACACTTATATATGTATATATATAAATTCGATGTGGACTTGATATCTTGTTTATGACTCTATGCACAGCCGCATAATGGCTTCGTTTTGTGTCCCATTGGTCTGATGTGCATGTTAAACACTAAATTTGATTAAGTAGAAGGTTTTCAGTTACCTATGGAATGTTGTGCACACGTTTAAATTGAACGTTGCCATTTATTTTAGTATGTGATTTGTGCGAAATGTGTTGCTTCCTATTCAGGTGTCGTTTGCAACGGCTGCGACCTTCCCATAACACATATATCAGAGTCATGAATGCAGTTATTATATTGTGTAGCGTAGCTATTTATTTTGTTAATTTGTATTCAATATTGCACAGGTCGTAGCTGTGCCAGGGTCAATGCCTCATTTTGGGCAATCCATGCACAAGTCTTTTACTGTCTAAATGGCATATTCGCAAAAATAATCACTGCAATAGAAATGCGATTAGTTTGATTGATTTATTTGCGTATTTGTGTTGCTGTTGTTGGGTAGAGTTTTTGGCTAACTAGTTAGAAGGACGTTGGGTAATTTTTGTTAACTGTTAACTAAACCAAAGCTGTTGGACCAACGTGTAATTTGTTGTGGCAGTCAAGTCAACAATAATTAGCGGACACACACACACACACACACATTAGCACACACACAGAGAGAGATACTTTAACCGTTTCTAGTAACGGCCCCGTGTTCCGACATGCAAACGAGGCTGAACATTTTAATTAACACGGCTCACAAATAAATACGCAAATATTGCAAAATATTTCATGCTCCAAGCCGCGATGGAACGTTAACCTTGTCCATTACATATCGAGCTAACAAAATTTCAACCAAAAATAAATATAAAAATATAAATAAAAAAAACAAAATAGAAATATAGAAAAAAAAGCAACAAAATGTACACACTAACCATAATAAACGCATCGATAAACAAGCTGGTCTTAATCACCAAGGCATAGCCGCCTCAGTCACCCAAAATTGCTAGCCAAGCCCAAGCCCAAGTCCAAGTCCGCAACCGATCGCTTGATCGCAACTTATCAATTTTGTGGCATTGCGCTCTTAGTTGCTGCTACCAGCTAGCAACACAAGAACGGCAACCAACTGCGATTGCGACTGCAACTGCGACTGCAACTGCGACTGTGACTGCGACACGAAGACTGTTATTACGCAATTTTCAAGCTGTTGACCCAGTGCCCAAAGTTAGAAACACAGACAGTTCTTGAATAACTTACAACAGCAGCAGCGCCGCTGGCAGCTTGTAAAGCTATTCATTCAACAAGAGAAACTGAAGCTATCAGGCCAGATCAAAAATGCATTAACAACAATTTAAAAAATAATAAAATATACATATATATATATAAGCAAGAGCACTTTTACATAATGCAGATTGTATGTTAGAAATGACTCATCAGAATGCCTACTAGAATAATACAAGAACTATCTTAGCCACATCGAGGATGACATGCCCTTAGAGACCTGACAGAGTTGAGCTATGCTACCTTACTATGTAGTCCAATGTTCCTTATTTCATTTTTCATTATGACAAGGGGAGTGGAGGAAGTTGGGCTTATAAAAAATCTTAAAGAAAGTTGGCAATTATGCGACAAATTTGTGTTTTAAAATATGTCAAAAAATGAAGCTAGTTCACAAATCATCGTTGCGTTTCTTTGTTCCTTTTGGGAACTATACTATATAGTAGACCGATGTTGATAAGTTGTTCGATAACATCACTCGTAACTCAAAAGTTCTACACCAGATATCCTGGCAAACCGAAATGGTTTTATATTCTTGAACTCAGCTGTCAGTTATCCAATCCCTTCCTATATTTGCGACATATTTGCTGACAGCAGCTGAATAACAACAAATCAGTTGTATCTAGATGATGGCCAAGAATAAATACGAATATTATTTCGATTTGGATTCTTCAATGCGTTACATGCTTGCCATTAAAATGGAAACACCTCCTGCATCATATTGGATATTGCACTTGTGCACAGCTAACGGTTAAAATTAAAGAAACTTATGCCAAAAAAAAATAATAATAAAAAAACTATAAAAAATATATATATAAAATAGACAAAAAAAAAACAGTTACTCAAGCTGAAATCCTGTTTAGAACGAGTTTCTGTTGATTCCGAATTGAAATTTTATGTTGTATGGTGTGTGAGTGTGTGTATGTGTGTGTGAGTGTGTGTGCCTGTGTGTGTCTATGTGTGTGTGTGTGTGTGTGTGTGTGTTTGCGCCTGGCAGCCAGCACTTAAAAATGCGTTAAAATGCTAACAATTTATGCCAACTTTAAGTATGAGGCTTAACACAATCACCCAGCTCAGCGCTCGCCCCCCAAAACTGTATTCCAGACACATTAAACACGCATTAAAAAAAGGTTACGCTGAGTTGGAAGATTTATTGATTTGTCAGCAGAGAGGCGAGTGTTACAAAAATGTTGCCACTGCTGCTAAATCGAGAGCGAAACCAGCTGCTACATACATATATATAAGATATATATATATATATGTATATATCGTAAAGAAAACTACTAACCTACTTGCCTGCTTAACGGTTTAACTGTTGGCTGGCAAAAATAAAAACCACTTTCATTGCACGAGTCGCGTTGAAGTTTCGCTTTCAACGGACTTTTGACTTTTCTATGATTTTTCTCGCTCTCAATTTCAATTTAATCTCTTTCTTTCTCACTCTCACCTCCGCTCTCTCTCTCTCTCTCTCTCTCTCCCTCTCTGTGTATCTTCTATGGTGCAGCGTTGGCGGCAATGTGACGACTTCAATGCCATTCACAGCAGCACCGCACTCAATGAATGGTCTTGAGACGAGCGGCCAGACGGGTTCATCGTGTGTTGCCACAGCAAATGAAATCAAACCTGTGGTGGCAAGTGGTGCTCTGGTGGTGGTGGCACCACCACCACGACACAAGAAACGCTCCACAGCATCCAATGCCAACAGCACACACACCACAGACTCGGGCCTGGGAGCCACAATAGCCACAACATCAAAAACAGCAGCAGCAGCAGCCGCAGCAGCTGCAGCACAAGCAACAACGCCAACAGCAGCAGCAGCAGCAGCGGCAGCAACAGCAACATCAGCAGCAGCAGCAGCAGTTCGTGCTGGCAGTGGTTCGCACTATTCCACCGATAAAAGCGGCTCGTCCGGTTACTATAGCTCCCATGTGTGCTCCACTTACTCGCTGGACGAGCACATCTACTGCGAACCGGTCATAGACATCCTAGAGACCAGCGACAAAGATAAGAGCAAAGCGACGGCGGCCAGGCAGCGGCCACAGCTGCAGCTGCCAACGAAAGTGGCTGGCAATGAAGCAGCAGCAGCAGCAGCAGCAACAACAGTGAGCTCAACGATTAGTCAGCATTTGGACATGCAACATGTGGCTGACAAAGCTGGAGCTGACCAAGCAAATGCTGCGCCCGAAATCGGCAGACAGCCAACAAATGGTAGCCAAAAGAAGCTACAGCAGCAGCAGCAGCAGCAACAACAGCAGCAGCAACTACAGCAGCAGCAGCAGCTACAACTGCAACCACACTACAGTGATAAGCTGCGCATTTTGGAGACGAGCATTGAGAATTTGGATCGTCATTTGAAAACATTTCCCTGCCTCTATGCGCCGCAGCAAACCGTGTCCTTTATGCAGCAGCAGGAGATTGCCAGGCCAGCGGAGGGCATCCAACTGGACATTGGCGAGAAATTGCGAGCCTATAATCAGCTGCCAACCATAATGGAGGGATTTGCCGCCACACAGCGACGACAGCAGCAACAACAGCAGCAGCAACAACAACAACAACAAATGGAACAGGTTGTGGATGACTCACTGCTGGACATAGATCTGGATGCATTTCTGTTGCAGCCGAAAAGCAAACAGCAACAGTTGCGCACCGCTGGCATTGATAATCCCAGTTTTCTGAGCGATGAGCAGCTCGAGGAGAACAATTACAAGTGTGCCAAATATATCAACTCCTGCCCAGAAGATGCCTATCGTGTGGACACCGATGCATCATCGAACATGGTGCCCGCTGGCATCATCAGCCCAAACACATCGTATGCCAAACGCTACGAGGATCAGTTGCATTTCCAGAGCACACGCGAACTGCTCGAAGATGTGCGCGACAAGATACGCCTGTTGTCGCCGACGCCGACCACGGACATACCCCAGGAGCTGGACGGCATGATACAGACGCTCAAGCACGAACTGGAATCCTATTTGCAGCGCATGAATCAGCACAGCGAACTGGAGCTGCGTCAACTGTGCAGTGGCTTGGGCAGGCAGCAGCATGTGGTGCGACTGCAGAATGCTTTGGAGCGACGGCGCAGCTTTGCTGGTGACTTGCAACTGAATGCCTACGAATCTGTGCGTGATGGCGGCGTCCTAATCTCCACCAGCCGTCGGCCATCGAGCTTGCGGGCCCAGATTATGAGCATACGTTGTGCCAGCGATCCCAATTTCAAGATGAAACGCAAATCGATCACGGAAATATTTCCAGTCGCCGAGTGTTACATTGAGACGACGACGACGGTGTCGCGTAGTGCCACGCCCACGCTAACAATAACGCCCTCATTGACACCAACACCGTCGCCGCCACTGGAACTGAACACAACAACGATGGTCACTCAAATGCAGCGCAACCTCAACTTTCACAAGCCCGTGTTGAATGCGTCTGGCTCCAGATCCCGCCTCGGCAACGGCGTCGACAAAATCGACAGCGCCGCCGAGTGGCATCGCAAGAAGCCGAGCATCTGGGAGATGTACTATGGCACCAATCGACTGCACCAATCGCTGCTTGGCAAGCAGCGACACGGCGGAGAGCTGGTCATCAGCAGCGCCCATCCGACGCTCTCATATGTGAGTAAAAGAAACTTTTAATTAAAGTAAATGCAATACTAGTTTAAGTTTTGGGCTCAAAAAACACATTAAGTACACGCAGAAAAAGATCAGCCTGAATTTTAGAAAATTTCCATATTATTCCTTATTATTCAGCAAATAAATTTCTAACCAACTCATGGCTTTTAAATTACCTATATTATTATCAAACATTTTTATTCGAAAATTTTATGACTTCTTTCTAAATTTGAGAAAGTTTATTTCTGCTGTTTAGAAATATGAAAACAGGAAAAAGAAACTCCAACTTCAAGAAGTTATTTTCAAGATCCAGAAAATGTGTATACTTTTCAGGACAATTTTCATTTTTAGTAAGTTTTTTTTTACATATTTAGAAAGTATTTCTAAAAACTAGACAACTTTTATAGTTTAGTTTTAGTTCGATCTGAGTATACTGGGTGGATATTCAACAGGGCGTATGATTAATATATGAAATACATGCAATACTTAATCTAATTTAGGGCTCAAAGTGTAGAAAACCAACAATAGCAGCTTGTCAACTTATTCGAGGCAGGGCATTAGGCATAAATAAAAAGAGTGGTTGCATCTACATCGGCATCTGCATCAGCAACAGCTAACCAGCTTACCAGCTCATTAAAAGCTGCCAATGTAAATGGCATCAATTTAAAGTCGAGTCGTCGACTCGATTTGCTGCATGTTCGTGCAAACTTTTATTAATTTTATCCTTGGCCGCAATGTGATCGATGTGCGGTTTGCTGCTGCAGCAGCTACTGGTTGCAGCTTCGTGCAGCGCCAATAGCCAAGCAGCAATATAAGCAGCAATAGCAATAGCAGCAGCAGCAGCAGCGGATGCGTTGTCAACGCCATCGCCAACACCGGACGTCAGCAGCATTGACGCCATCATTATTATTATAATTATTGTTAAACCGTTGCTGATCTGAGTGGTGGCAGGGGTGGGGTGGGGAATTCTTTATTATGCAGCAGGCGATATGCGATATTATCGCTGTCATGGCCGAGGTTCGATTTGGTAGCGTACTCGTTCGTGTATTGGCATTATAAATGATTAATGATTAATGTTGTGCGTGCCGCATCAGATTGCCGGGCTACTGTTCAAAAATCTGCCACACAAGGCGCTTGACGCTCCACGTTGGACATATCATTAAAAATCATAAGTCAAAGGCACAACATATGCACATTAATTAATGCCAACTCAGCAGTTACCATTTCCCTCAACTCTGCACACGTAAGCCTAAATTGTATCAATTACTTGTAATTAAACAACAAAAAACAGCATTTAGACACATTTAATTGTTTTACACATTCAAGAAGGGCTCACTTTGTAAATAATAATAAAATATATATAAAGATATATGTATTAAATGTTGCACTTAAAGTCTATTGACAGCTCAATTATCATGTGAAATTTGTTACGCCTGCCAGTTGATTATGATGCAATATCCGCTGTACTAATCAAGAGAATTTTGTGGGCCTTGTCCGGTCTCTGGGCCAATGCACAGAGAATCTTAATGAGTTTTCACTTTCAATGCCACTTTTGTTTTCGTTTTATTTTGCTTCGATTTTTGTTTTGTTTTGTTTTGTTGACTCAGCTCAGCTCAGCTCAGCTCAGCAACAGTTCAGAAATTGGTAAGCGCACGACTTTGGTTTATTCACCTTACTTATTTCCATACATCCACCTGTATATATAGATATATATATATATATAAATATTATTTACTTATCAGCTTGCACGTTCACAAGTACGATTTGAACTTGAGGATTTGTGATACGGGTTTCTTGTGAGCCAGCAGCTATAATACAAATCAAACAGTTAGTGCAAAAGGCAAAGCCAACAGCGATTCAACAACTGTACCGGTTAACCTTAAAATTCCGTTAAAAAAAAATGCAGCAACAGCAACAGCAGCAGCAGCAGCAGGCCTGCAGCATCTTGACGAACAGGTAGCGCTCTGCTACCTGCTTATCTGGCTATCTGACCAACTGACCGCCATCGATTCAGGCCCAGATACAAACAGACTTACTACACTTGCACTTACAGCAACAACAGCAACAGCAACAGCAGCAGCATGCAACAAGTGGCATTCACCAAAACTGAAACTGCAACCGATACCGAAACCGCAACCAAAAACCGGTGCCACAGTGAGTCCGCATTGTTGCCCTACAACTTGAATGACCTTTAAGGACGTTTCCACAATTAAATGCTAACCCACCGTAAGGATGTCGAACCACAAAATACAGCCTGTCTAAATCAAGTAGCTGGCTGCAGTCTTCCTCTTCTCTCTGCCCATTCACCATTCTTGTGCCTAGCCTAGCCTCCCAATTCTCTCGGTCAGCGGCCAGAAACTCCAACGTGTCGCCAGCAAATAACTCGTTTGCCCGTACAACATGAATGCCAAAATGAAAATGAAAATGAAACCGAATGCGAATACGAAAAGCAAAATGTAAGGCGATCTGGTCACCAAGTTGCTGTCGCTGCAGTTTATACTATTACTAGAAGTGGTTGCCACAAAGTGTTGCAATCGCCATAGCCATAGCCACATTGCAGCGTGCCATCGAAGACCGCAACACAAACTGGGCTCTTTTATGGCAATTTCCATTTGTCCAAGTGCAAAACCAAAACCAAAATGACAAAAACCCAAAACGACAGATGCATGTGCAATTCTCGTCGTCGTCAGCCCAACCACAAAAAGCGAGCACATCGGGTTTTCCTTTCACGATCGTACTAAGTTCTTCAGTTAGTCCGACTTTGAGAGGGTCGCTCAATGAGTTTAACAGACTTCCCCAGATAGAAATTTATAATTGAAATGCAACCCAAAGAACTATTATATTGTACATCGCTAACTTTTCCAAGACTTTTATTGATAACCTTATACTTTTTGGTTAAATAATTTATTTAAATTTAAAATCATATGAATATTAATGTTTATAGGTTGTATAATGCAAATATAAACAATAGACAGATTTTCTAGTTCATAATAAAGTTTTAAATAATACAAAAAAATATTAATTATAACAAGTTAAACTGCTCTAGTTGGAACAGCTCGACTAGTGGATAAAGGAAAAAAGTTGTACAATTTGATCAGCTGTCACTAATCAGTTAGTCAGTTTTCTTCTAACATTATTTGACTATAATTAACCTAATTAAATTAAAGTAAATCACTTTGGCAATCAGGAAAAAACAGTTTTATTTATTGCTGAAGGTATGAAGCGACCTTCGCTGTGCATAATAGTGCTTGATAGTTTGTCAAAGCACCCATAGCTGCAATTTGGGCTAAGACCAGCAACTTGAAATTAGCATTAGCCGCTCTCGCCTTACGGCCACGTTAAGTTTCAATTTGAAGATTTGCCACGGGCAACATTTGTGGCTTACATAACGCATACGGTGCATATCATGGCCAGCAGCGCATTGACTGCCTCGGAAGCTGTTGCCTGTTACCTGTTAGCTGTTAGCTGTTAGTTGTATAGTCATACCAACGGCCAACAGTGACCAGCTTTGCCGTTTGCCGGCAAACCGATCAAATTTCAGCTGGTTACTCATACGCCACGTGCAACAGCGAGGTGTATGAAAACGTGTGGCGTGCGAGCCGCATGCTAAACAAATTAAAGCAATAACTGGCATTAAGTAGACCTTTGGCAATATATCACGCCCACGCGGAGACTCAACTCCTTCATATGCATATTTCTTTGTACATAATACACTCATCAAAAAAATCGCACCCATTAAATTTTTTAATTTATATCTGTGGCTTTCAACTAAATTTGAGCATGATCTTTTCTAAAATTCATACAAAATATGTATAATTTCAAGAATTTCCTAATATTTAGAAATCATTTCAAAATTGAAGTCGATCGTTTTTCTGCGTGTATCTAAACGACTTTCATGCGTTCCTCTGGCTGATCGACGCAGCCGACACTCGGACTAGATTCGAGTGGCTGTCGCTACCGTTTCAACTACCGCCTGCTGCTGACAAGCTGTTCCAGTCACCTTCCCCCTTCCACTCGCCTCCCCCTCTACGCCTCGTCGCTCCTTTGAGCACTCGTCTTGACTGTTTTTCCGCTGCTCAGCTGTTTTTTGTTGTAGCTTTTGTTGTGTGCAACATTTTGTTGCCGTGTTTTGGTTCGTCGTTACTGTTGAATGCATTTTCAATGCTGCAAAAAAGGTAATGGCTCAAAATGCCCTAAAAGACAAAAAGGTGTAAAATAAAAAAAACAACCTAATTTACTTTGCCGACCGCCGATTGCATAATTACATCATTATTTATTATGCCTATGCATTTATTTAAATATTATGTATACGCTTAGCCTGTTCACTCTACATCAATCATCATCGTAGTTACGATTTCAAACACAACTAATTTTGGAATAAACATAAATTATTTATATACATACAACTAACTCCGATCTGGTTCCACACACTCTTAAAAAAAAATCTTTCTGTGTGTAATTAAATCCTGTTTGCCACACTTCAGTTCAATTTGCATTGAAACGCTAATGTTATCAATTATTAACTGACTTGTCTACACATCCTCTGCGGATTGTTGAAAGTCAGTTTAAGTCTTCAACTTCGATTGTGCACATTGTTGTTTAAAACTTCGCATACAATATGAGAAATTGCACTTCTGTAAGGATTTTTAAATATTGTCTATCCTCCATCCTTGAACCACCCAGTTTGAATAATCGACAAATGTTAGCAGAGTATCGCAAAGGGTTGAAAGTGAATTCAAATCAAATAAAAGATGCTGCACTATATAAATCAAATAGTTGCATATATAAGTATATGTATGTATGTATGTGTGTGTGTGTAGCTATGTTTGTATGTATTGTCGTATGTTGATACGTGCTTTGGAGTAATGGATTTCCCACAGCGAGCGGAGCGGAGCCATCTCTTCATACAAACTCAGTCGTATTACATATGTACTTAGCAAGTTTGTGTAGATAGTTTTATGTTTTATTATGCATGCATTAAACTACTGACTTTAAGTACGTGTTCAAATTTTGTTTTCACTTCGAAGCGATGTTTAAACTTTGAACACTGAGTAGTGTGTAGTAACAACCGACTACATTATTAAGCTTGGCCAACTTTGAGCCAAAAAAAGATATATGTACGTACATATTGGTTTCAATGTCAGTGATGAAAAACGTGTGTTGCAAATTAAAAGGTAACAACTCTTTGTGTGTGTGTGTGTGTATCGGTGTGTGTGTGTGTGGATTTTCTTTTGAACTTCATGCCTAACGCTTAGTGTTGGCAAATATTCCAATGCTGTTAAATTTATTCCAAGGCGAGTTTTGTGGGAATAACAGCTTCATTTCACAATATGTGTGATGATAGTTTATGTACATATGAATGTGCATACATACAAACAGGCATACCTACATACCTACATGCATATTTTGCTTGTTTTGCATACATTTGTTAATCGAATCAAATATTAAGTATATTTTTGTCTGTCGCCCAGGCGTGTGGTATATCGATAATTTATTGCGCTGCGTTTTACGCTTGTGTGTGTGTGTGTGTGTGCGTGCGTGTGTGTATCGCGTGAGTGTGTGCGTATGGCTTCATTTGCAAATTAGCTAAAGCATATTTTAGTCATTTGGGTGGGGCTCAATGAACTGGCTTAAGACAATGCCAAAGATTTATTTTTGCCACTCGCATCTCAATAAAAATGTAAATTCCCCTAGTTGATTAGCAGAATTTAACACCAAAGAGTGTTACTTAATCAAGAGAATTAATTATGCAGTATGTCATTCTTTTTGACTGATGACAGTGTCTGTCAAACATGTTGAAAAGCCTATCGATTAACGCGCTTAAATTCCAAGCACCTCGTTGACGATTCCAATCCGTGTGAAATGCACTTGATTTGCATACCAGGCCAATATTGCCGTTATATGCACACACACACACATAAACACACAATCTCACAGTCAAACTCAATGCGGTAATTTTACCGTCAACATCGTCGACTCTTCGATTACGTCGTCGTTGCAAAGTACTTTGACTGATAAACAGCAGCAATAACAACAACAACAACAACAAAAAGCATCATCTACAAACAAAGTGTAGAAGGAGGGGAGACCGGGAGGCAAAGAAGCAGCGAAAAGAAGCCGGAAGGCAAAAACACAAATGTACCGCAAATTTGTGTTTCCATTTTAATTTCTCATTTCATATCTCACATGGAATGCGGTGTGTGTGTGTTTTTGTACGAAACTGAAAGCCCACAAATGATCACCAAAAAAACCATACGAAGCCAATGTACTGAAAAAAAAAACAAAACACACATAAATAAATAAATAAATACAATCTCACAATGAAGTGCAAAAATGTGAATTGTTTGACGGGTGATTACAGGCAAACTCGCACACACATACGCAAAACACACCTACAAATATTACATGTAATGTGTGTGTGTGTGTGAATTTTGAAAACACTTTAAATTGAATGCCCTTTTTAATGGCTTGTATTGCATATGCGTAACTTTCACTTGCGGATATTTTTTGGAATTGGATATTGCAAGACAAACAAAAATAATCCCATGCCTATTATATGGATGGATTATTGATGGAGCTATTATAGAATTTTGTCACAAACTCAACATCTGGCTGAAGTTTTACTGAGTGTGGTCGCTTTTTTGTCGATAAATATTTTATTTTCATATAAATATGAATTTTATATTGTGCACAAAATTTGACATCAATTGCATAATACTTATTTTAACTTGTTTTTGTTTTTTTTTTGCGAGAATCAACACAAAAGACAACAACCTACCTGTTACATTATATATATAGATATATTTATCACATACAATGAACAGATTTCAAGGTTGTGTCGCTAAAATTCAAAACCGGCAACAGACGACACCAACAAAAAAATAAAGAAAACAACAAAAAAGTGATGAGCAAAACAAAAAAGCAACAGCAACAATAAAACGAAAACCAACAATAACAACAACAACTCCAGCGGTCGCTTAGTGGGTCAAATTGGTTGTTGTGCGTTGCGCCCTTTTTTACATGTGCCGCGAGCCACGCCTCTCAGTATAATGTGTGCAATGCTCATGCCATAAATTATAGCAAACAGCCATAAAATAAAAGTAGTGTGCGAAAGCGTCGTTAAATGCTGCAATAAGTAATACACACAAAAAGCCTTAGCCTAAAATAGATGCTAACAAATAATAATAAGTTCAACGATATCTGTTCAAATCGATCGCTAGATCGATCGACAACAACAATAATAACCAATAGGCATCAATGTCAAAGCAATTGTCAGTCTGTCAGATAGTCAGTTACTCACTCGCTCTATTCATGGCAGTTCATCATCGTCTTCATTTTCAGCTTCAAGCTTCGTTTTTCTGCGAGCGTCTCTCGTCCATTATAATTAGCATGTGCATAATCGATTTACATAAATGCGTCAAGCTAAGTTTTCAACTCCAAATATTAATTAACTTTAACTGCGAGTGACTTATATAACAAAACTGTGAAAAATACCATATTTTTGCCAATTTGTCAATGTTTAAGTTTGTCAGAGAAGTGCTAGAGAATTTCAATTTCAAGCAACATTTTATAATTTATGGAGAATCTTTAAGTAAAAAATACTAGAAGTACTAGCGAATATTTTAAAATTATGATTCTTTGAGCAACATTCTATAATTCATAGTATTAAAGTTTACGTATTGTGACTATATCAAAATTTTACTTATTTCAGCAACATTTTATAATTTTTTGAAAATTCCTTAAAGCTTAATCATTGTGACTATTTCAAAACTGTAATTATTTCAGCAACATTCTATAATTCATAGTTTTGTATTGTTAATAATACCTATATGTATATATTGCAGCCATCGTCTCGACCCGAATCGGATTTTACGCTCGATCTACCGCGCGCCGAGCAGCTGCGTCTCAAAATGGAAAAGGAGAAGAAGTTCCGCCAAAGATGTCGCTTCATAACCACATTTCTAAGTCTGGTATTCTTTCTGCTGACCGTTATGGTTGTCAGTTTGGTCTTAACGCGCGGCAAACGCATGTTTGGCAGCATGATTTAGGCAATAAACCAATATCTAATACAATACATAAATAACATATCAATATTGCATATCTATAAATATATCTAAATATATAAATAGGCAGATAACTAACACATGTATGTAAACAAAACAAAACAAAATTAAAGTGCCGTAGTAATTCATAGAGTAACACAGCAAACAGCAGACAGCAAACAGCAAACAAACAACAATCGAAGGGGACAATCGTTAAGATTAACTAATTTGTAGTATTAGACATAGTCACTATTCTAATTGAACTAATTGATGGAGGGTGTTCAACATGTTTGTTGTGCTTGGATGAGCCGCAGTATTGTTAATAAATTATTTTTGTGATCTTAGCTGGTAAGTTTGTGAGTGCATTTTGTGCAAGTCGAAAATAATTATGTTTAAATTGTCCATGCTAAATGCTAAATGTATTATTTCTAAGTCTAATGATAATAATGAATAAAGCAATATAAATACGATGTTTTTGTTTTTCATTTCTGTTAACATTTATTCACGTTTTATACATATATATATATATATTATATAAATTTGCGTATTTTGTATGTTATAGGTATGTTTAGAAAATAAATTGAGAGCGCTTATTAAGATAGCATGCATTATTATTGCATACATATCATTTTGGTATCACAAATGTTTTTGTTTTTTTTTCGTTTCGTTACAACTTGAACTTCAACTGTTATTTGAGAGAGATGCAAATACAAATCTTATGTTACAACATAAGGCAAAAACGAGACCTTTAGGCATTTGTTAGTAACTACGATAAACTAGGAAAAAATGACAGTTACAAATTACAATTTGTTACACTGAGAAGGCAAGTTTCGTAAATGAGAATTGCAGTGTGTTTGTGTCGGAGCAACAGCAACAGATCCTCCATTAGTGATCTGCTCAGCTTGCCGGTACGCCGTTAAGGATTTCATAATATGCGTATGCTTTGGCGGTTGACCTCGAACAGTGTTTGATCCTCATCCTCGTCGCTGTTCACATCCTCAATGGCCATCGGCAGCGGAGTCAACTCCTGATTGGCGCGATCCCCTTGCACGCCGTATTTTCGTTCTGCGCGTGATAAGCGCAGTCTTCAAAACAAGAATACGAACATTATCAGCAAATGCACATGTATGTATATATATATATATATATGATTTAAATATTTTTTGAGTCGGGTCCGAATAGCAAATGCTTTGCCTGTTATCAGGCATAAGACTTACCGATATATACGTACAACCAGCAACAGAATGGCTGAGCTGGTCAGGCCCACCATTACGTAAAACACGGCCGCAAATGAATCCGGAAATTCATCGTCCTTGCCTATTTTGGAGCGCTGAATTAGCACATCCTCTGCAGCAGCAGCTGGCTGATTATCATTTGGCTCGGCAGCTTTTGGAATCAATTGCTGCTGCGGCTTCTCACTGATCACGACCACAGCTGGCGACTGTGGCACTGCGGTTTCTGGTGCCTGAGTCGGGGGAGCCGGTGGCAGTGCCTTTTTTACGGTTCGACTTGCGTCTGTGTTGGCATTTGCGATATCTGCAGCAGTGGGAGCCGCTGCGTCAATTTGAATGTGGGGCAACAGCGACAACGTCAGCAGCATTGCTGCTGTCAATAGGGGCCAACTCCGAGTGAACTGATCCATCTATAATTCAATTGTTTTTGATGCTAAACAGTAAGCAGGTCCTGCTGACGTTTTCAAATTCTGATGCTCGGTTTAAGTATTTTCTTTATTTATTTACAAAGACTAGGGCTGCAAAATACCTATACTAAGAATATCGTTTGACCAGGGATGCATATGTGAAATGCTATCGATGTTATTGTAGAGTGCTGCCAATTACTACAACTGAAAGTAGAGATGTGTATATTTAAAAAAATATCGATATGCAAAAAATGCTATGTTGAATCAATATTTGTGTCTATTCTTGTGCTTGCGCAAGTGTTTCCCCTTGTCCGTATTTTCCTCAATTGTCTACAAAGCTTAGCGATGCTATAAGTTGAAATCGAAAGTTGAGTTGAAAACGAAAATTGATATCGATAGTATTATCGACGTGCAAAAATACTGCATGCAGGTAGAATGTTGAAAAATAATTATCGATAAATATGTGTTAAAACAACATCCCTACTTTTTAGTTGGAAAGAGTGTCTTGTACAAACGGTAAAAAATCGTTAATATATAGTTTAATTACAATTAAAAAGTACTGCAAAGTGCCAGAAAGACACGCGTAGCATTAAACAACATATAACAACCGGTAAATTGCTGATGCAACTGGTTTGCTCTGTGCAATAAGATTTGTAAACTGTTCGTCTCAGTATCAGTGCTGTGAAAATGGCGAACAAAAGAAGAAAAAAAAAATACGTGTGCTCCAAAAGGGAAATCACGACATCGGAGAGATTAAATGCCAGTGAAAATGCGAGACGAAACTTTTTTTCATAGAAAATATTTTTAATGTCTTAACTACAAACTGTTATTTAAGTTTGTGCAGGGAATTATGTTTCATTTCATCACTTGCATGTTTGTGTGTGTACGTGTGGGTGTGCGTGAGTGAGTGTGTGTTTATTTAATCAGGAAGTTATTTTATGCTCATGCACGCATGCACTAAAGTTGCCACTTTTGCTTGTATGTGTGTACATATACATGATGTATGTGTGTGTGTGTGCGAGTAAATGTGTAAGTGTTGCAAGGGTATTGAAGTAATAGTGTCTTTTTCCTCTTTCTGCACATAACTGTATTGTGTTAACGATTACAAACACTACAACAACAGTATCGATGACATATCAAATTACCAGTTTTAATAAAAGCTACTCAATTGTCTGGCAATATAAGACAATTTTGACACACAGACGCACATTTCTATATATTTATATATATGTATAACATTTCTACACACTCTTCGTTTTGAATTCAATATGAAATTCGAGGGGCACTATGAATAACCGATTTTTGATTGTTCATATTTTCAGGTTGTAAAATATATGTTGAACATCTTCATCCCATAAAATTTGTTATATTCGATTGTCAAAATTCCGACCGAAATACGTAAAACAAGATTAGCAGCCAAACGACGTCGCAATCAGGACAACCACCAAACCACGTCGCAGTCGCAGCAGCAACAACAGGATCCACAACAACACCCACAACAAGAACAGCAAGTAGAAGAATTAGAAGAAGCGCCACAGAATCGGGTTGAGGGCAAAGGAGATTTGCCAACGGCTGCCAAAATGAATCGCTCGAGCAATTCGCAGACTACACAGAGACCCGTCAATTTGGATGACATCTGGAAAGAGCTGGTTGAGGGCATATATCAGATATTCGAACATGAGAAATCGCTAACCCGTAAACAGTATATGCGTTATTATACCCATGTCTATGACTATTGCACCAGTGTCAGTGCAGCACCGAGTGGAAGGAGTAGTGGCAAAGCGGGCGGTGCTCAGTTGGTGGGCAAGAAACTGTACGATCGTTTGGAGGTGTTTCTGAAGGACTATTTAAAGGAATTGCTGATCACGTTTCAGTCAATTAGTGGCGAGGAAGTTCTGCTCTCCCGCTACACAAAACAATGGAAATCGTATCAGTTCTCCAGCACCGTACTCGATGGCATTTGCAATTACCTTAATCGCAATTGGGTGAAGCGCGAATGCGAGGAGGGCCAAAAGGGTATCTATAAGATCTATCGGCTCGCTCTGGTCGCCTGGAAGGGTCATCTGTTCCAGGTGCTCAACGAGCCGGTGACCAAAGCAATTCTCAAGTCCATCGAGGAGGAGCGTCATGGCAAGCTTATCAATCGTGCCCTGGTTCGCGATGTCATTGAATGCTACGTGGAGTTGAGTTTCAACGAGGACGATGCCGATGCCACCGAACAAAAATTGTCGGTTTACAAGGACAATTTCGAAATGAAATTCATTGCCGACACGTACGCTTTCTACGAGAAAGAATCGGATGCGTTCCTATCGACCAACACGGTGACAGAGTACTTGAAGCACGTCGAGACCCGTCTGGAGGAGGAGAAGCAACGCGTCCGCGGACGCAATTCCAAAAATGCTCTCTCCTATCTGCATGAGACAACCGCAGATGTATTAAAATCAACTTGCGAACAGGTCGGTAAACAGTTTGGCTTGTTAAGCTACAATTATTATTATTTATTTTAATTGTTATTCATATCTAGGTACTGATTGAGAAGCATCTGCGACTATTCCACAATGAGTTCCAGAATCTGTTGAACGCTGACAGAAATGATGATTTGAAGCGCATGTATTCTCTTGTCGCTCTCTCACCGAAGAACCTTGATCAATTGAAGAAAATACTTGAGGATCACATTCTGCAGCAGGGCACGGAGGCCATCGAAAAGTGCTGCACCAGCGATGCGGCCAATGATCCAAAAACCTATGTACAAACCATACTCGATACACACAAAAAATATAATGCACTCGTTTTGACTGCATTCGATAATGACAATGGATTTGTGGCTGCATTGGACAAGGCGTGCGGTAAATTTATAAATTCAAATGTGGTCACGCGACCAAATAATGCCGGCAAATCACCGGAATTGTTGGCCAAATACTGCGATCTATTGCTCAAGAAATCTTCGAAGAATCCAGAGGATAAAGAGCTGGAGGATAATCTGAATCAGGTGATGGTCGTCTTCAAATATATTGAGGACAAGGATGTCTTCCAGAAATACTACTCAAATATGCTCGCTAAGCGTTTAGTCAGTCATACATCGGCATCCGATGATGCCGAGGCAATGATGATCTCCAAATTGAAACAGACGTGCGGCTATGAATACACTGTCAAGCTGCAGCGCATGTTCCAGGACATTGGTGTGTCCAAGGACTTGAACTCATACTTCAAGGAGTACCTGAAGACCCAAAATATTACATCCGAAATTGATTTTGGCATCGAGGTGCTATCCACAAATGCCTGGCCCTTCACGCAAAACAACAATTTTCTGCTGCCCTCGGAATTGGAACGTTCCGTTCAACAGTTTACCATTTTCTATTCAGCCCGCCATTCTGGCCGCAAACTGAATTGGCTATATCACAAATGCAAGGGCGAGCTGATCATGAACGTGAATCGGAGCAATGCCGTTTACACACTGCAGGTCAGCACGTTCCAAATGTCAGTGCTGTTGCAGTTCAACGATCAGCTCAGCTTCACAGTGCAACAGCTGCGCGACAACACACAGTCCCAGCTCGAGAACTTGATACAGGTAAGCAGGAAGCCTCAATATAAACAGGACTTAATTTAATAAAAAAAAAAAAAAAATAACCTTATTCTTCAGGTATTGCAAATACTGCTCAAGGCTAAAGTGCTGACGTCGAGCGACAGCGAGAATGCCCTGACACCGGACTCAACTGTGGAACTGTTCCTCGATTACAAGAGCAAGAAGCGTCGCATTAATATCAATCATCCGTTGAAGACTGAGCTGAAAGTGGAACAGGAGACTGTCACCAAACACATTGAGGAGGATCGAAAGCTTTTGATACAGGCAGCGATTGTGCGCATTATGAAGATGCGCAAGCGTCTCAATCATACGAATCTCATCTCTGAGGTGCTCAATCAGCTGTCGACTCGGTTTAAGCCCAATGTGCCCGTCATTAAGAAATGCATTGATATTTTGATCGAGAAGGAGTATCTGGAGCGTATGGAGGGGCACAAAGACACCTATAGCTATCTAGCCTAAGTTCATGTTAAATATAATAATATCGTTCCAAAATTATTTTTTTTTGCCAGCCACCAACCACTAGACGGTATCAATGTCAGATATCAATTACATCATGCCAGTCTCCTTCCTGCTCCCCTATGTCTAATTAAAAATGAAAATGAGGAAATAATTATATCCTGCTCGCTCGTTGTCATCAAACGATACGATTTGCGATTGAAATGTGCAAGCACAGATATAAAAAAAAAAAAACGGAACAAAATCGTTTAGCTTCTTTCTTCCATTCTTCCTTCTTTATATTTTTCGAATACGATGAGTTTTACTACCTAGTTTATTTCTGTTCATAATTTTATTCATATTGTAAGACACACACGTACGGAAAAGACAAATGTGAAGTTCAAGAAACGAAGCAAATATATAAGTTTGAAGCAGTTATTATACGATACGATTAAGTTGGCTTTCCTCTCTTGGCCTTTGTATTCAACCATTTCACAGTGATATCGAAAACGTTGGGATACCTACTGATTATGTAAATAGGCTTAGACCAACTTGACGAGCTGCGATTCAAGTTAAATAAACAACGTACTTAAATGTGTACACATATTAAATACTCGACAAACATTCGAACAGTTCATGATTTGATTGGGGCAGTGTGGAATGCATAACATATATTCTTAGTTAGCCTTGGAAATAGGACGAGAGCATCGACAGAATATTGAAAAAGTCCACCACGCAGTCCAATAATTAATCATACCAGCTTTGTTCACATTTTTATTATACAAAAATATTTAATTAATATATAGATATATACATGTCTTTGATTGCGTTCGCTTATAAAACTACTAACAACAATGGAGATCGTCAATTGACTAAACAGTACTATTATCTGGATGTCGCCGTCATCGCCTAATCCTCATCGTCAAGTGTTAAAACCTTGGTCTGAAAGCGCATTCGTTTTGTGTTTTTGACAATGCCATTGGTAAGTAAATTGGTGCCAGTGTTCTCATTCGGCAGCTCTTTCCACAGCCGCTTAACTCGCACAACTGCAATCGAGTTGAAATCGTATTTTTTCGTCGATGTCGAAGCGCTTGCTTCGATTTGTGGATTAGCAGTTTGCGTGGTGAGTGGCGTTGCAACTGGGAGTTTGCGCAACTTGACAACGGGTTGCTTACAATTCACGCTCCCCGACTCCTTGTCATCCACATCCGATTGCGCGTCAACATCGGCAGCCAGCGAACAGCCTCGCTTCTGTGGTGTTCCAGCTTTTGATTTGCATGATTGCGAGCTGAAAGGAAAGTATTAAAGATTTGCTAGAAATACGTATTCGCAAGTCTTTTACTTACCTCTCCTGTATGACCTGGTATTGATTGATTGTTGGCGGAGCTGCAGCGCGTATTTTACCCGGTTCCTCGGGATGGCAACCGAAATCCTCACCCTTAAGCCAATTCTCATAGAGTTCGGGCTGAAAGTGGCGCACAAATGTCTCCATTGATATTTTAACCATGTCACTTCGACATTTGCAAATGCTGGCACGCTTGCCGTACTCAATCCAGCGCTTGGAGGCAAAATTTGTTGACTCGGCACCGTTGAAGCCATGGTTGAAGCCGGCATGATAACCGAATGGAAATGTGATCATAATTTCACCAGCCTCCTGCGTGATCTTATTAAACGGTATGTTATGCTGCCGCAACACTTTTGGACTAATCATGGTCATTTTGTGACGCAGATAAGCATTACAATCCTGATAGTTTGCCACAAACGTCTCATTGGCCAGCTTCTCCAGGCGTCTGCCGTATTTGGGTGGTATTGCATACCAGGTCTTTGGCGCACCAAAGTGCAAATAGTTAATGGAATACAAATCCATATCCTCGGTGTGCCAGGCAAACGAGCTCTTCCACATGCCGAAATACAAATACGCCGTATTCACACCATCGATTTCTATACCATAATCGGTGTTAACCAGATTCAGTATAGTATCCAGTCGTCCAATATTCCAAACATCCAAATCCTCATCACTTAGCGTGCCCTTTATATCTGCCGCATAGAGCGGTGATATATACGTAATGTTCTTCCAGTATTTGCGCTCTAGATCGTCATAGTTAATGTGTCGTGGCGTCTGATGGAGCTCCGAGTTCGCCTTCTCCATGAACTGGCGGAGCGTCATTTGGCGTCGTTGCTGCATATTGAACTGCTGATATATCCCATGAGCCCTGTCAAGCAGAAAAACATCAGCCACACAGTGTCTTTGTCTTTATTGATGTATTCACTTACCCCTCAACAACCTGACAAATCGGTGGCGGAATTGTCATATTTATATTTTCAATATCATAGCCCGATTTGCGCGGTGTCCATTCAACGGGGGGAATAATTTTAACCAGACCAGCCTTGTGTGCACCCCGTGATTCCATGTACTCGATGTACGCGGCAAAGTTAGTGAATTCTTCATATTTTGGCCGAAAGGTCATTATTCTGGGTATATTGTTTTCGTCGTCACCATCAAATGATAAACGCTTAGACATTTTTGAAGCAAAATTTAACACAAAACCAATCGACAAGTGTTGATAAAGAATTTTGTCCCTTCAATAGTGCTGGATGGCATGCTTCCAGTGTTGTTAAGTGGCTCACAAGAAAAATACCAAATACATTTTAATTTGAAAATTCATTATTTATTAATTTATTTAATGTGGACTGTTAACGGTCGACACTTAATTAGTATTTTTGCATATCTCAATTGATAACATGATAAAGTATACTGCTAACGCAAATCTAATGTTTGATTATAAAAAACATGCAGTATATTTAAATCTGTTTAATGATATGAATTATCTTAGAAAAATATTATTGTTGTGTCGGGACTTATCTGTATTAAACAATCGCTGCATGCATTTTTGGTAGATAACCAAATTTACGACAGATGTGATACAAATCTGCTGTGCTTTATTTCTCCAGAAATTCCAATAAATATAATAGTCGTCTACCAAGTAGTCTGTACTCATTTGAATGTCTAGATAATTGTAGTCAGGAACATGATATTATTTATATATATATAAGACTGGACACTACAATAAAAACATAATGTGTTTACTTAAAATTGATAAATTAAATGACAACATATAAATTAAACTATTAAAAACTATTAATTAAAAGATAAATATAAATAAAGATAAATGTCAATTAGTCGTCAGTGGTTTATTATTTTACAATTATGGCCGACAGCGATAATGATTAACCGCCGTCGAGCAGACACTGATAATCAGAGACATCATTTCTTGTAGGCAGTATAAAAGCCACAGGTGAAGGCACTTTATGTCCCAGTCGCCGATGAAAGCCGCGGAGAATTGATTCTTAGAACCAAAGAAGTGATTCCGTGGCCACACACTAAAACGACAATCATTGAAATACAAAGTGCAGTAAAGAATTTAAAAGATAATCTTCGCAATGGGGTTCGATAGCACTGCGGGTAGTCAAACAAAACGTAAGTAATCTAGACTATTGTGTTTGTGATTATGTGATTCGTAATTCACTTTCAATCGATTATAATCGATCGGCTAAATATCATAATCGTAGACGCTTAGCTATTGTCGAGGAAATAAATATATTACGAGTGCAATTATTTCAGTTTAACGCCATTATAAATTATTTTTGATGTTTATTAAGTCAGTGATTTCGCAAAACTGATTTTGTAATCAGTTCAAAGTGGTTCTTGATACGCCTTGCGATCTATAAGTAAAGTATACGGGTAGTTGAATATACAATCAATTATTCTTTGTATAATAAATAGCAATACTCGATGTGCTGTCCACTTATACGCGATATATGTGATGCAATCAAGGATTATAAGACTTACAGCAAGCCAGACCTTCTCAACAAGTCGAAATTGTCTAGACTGTAAGCATTGCTTGCTTAGTGCTCTAAGTATAAGTATATATATGTATATACATATACGCAAGTTCGCGTAATGTTTGATAAATTGTAAAAATCTTATAAATGTAAGCTGGAAATGACACACCAGGTGAAGATAAGTAATTTAGTTTTGAGTGACAATTAGTTTGTTTGTGTAATATACACAAGTGGTTAGATAGCCAAATATTTGCTTTGTGATTGTCTGGACTTAGTAACAAATATTAATAAATAATTCAAATACTGAGTAACTTGTTTTTGCTTGTTTTCCTGATGCAGAGGCATTTTCCAAGTATCTGTTCCTCGATCGCCCCTCTTTGTGTACTCCACTGCTGTCGCTAAACTTTTCCATTGAGGCGACTTTGCATTTTATTTTTCACATTGGCATTTGTTAATGATAATGACCCAATACTCATTAAGTAAAGACAATTAAGTAATTCGCTCACTATCAGAGCATTCTTGAAACAGATTTTAAAATCATCCTAGACAATAATCGATGCAAACAGTTTGCATCATAAAACATTCTTAAAAATACGTCGACAGCAATCAGACAATCAGATCACAAAGCGCTTCATTATGGTGTACTTCACACAAAGCGAAAGGACTCCCCTCTTGATGAGAGTTCACTTAAGCCATTTAGCTAGTAAGCCCTTTTCTTTAATTAATGGATAGGCTTAATTTAATAGCTTGTTTCATATACTCGACAGCAAGCAGATTTGGAGCACGGCATTGGCAAGCGATCCTGTTGTTTTTGGGCATGGTGATCAACTACTTTCAACGGGTTAACATCTCCGCTGCAATTGTGCCAATGACTCAATCAACGGCCGGAGCCCCATTCTACGACTGGAACACGTCCGACAAGTCGTTGATTTTGAGTAGCTTTTTCTGGGGCTATGTTTTGACGCAAGTGCCTGCAGGTGAGACTTACTGGAATGCTCAAAGATGCAAAAGCTCAACTTGATCTCTATGTGAAAGGTTTGTTGGCCAAACGTTTTGGAGCCAAAAGTGTGCTTACTGTGGCCACATCCATCGGTGGAATCTTGTGTTTCTTTCATCCACTGGCGGCTAACGGTGGTTGGATCAACATATGTGTGCTGCGTGTACTGACAGGCTTGGTTCAGGGCAGTGTCTATCCATGTGTGCACACCTTGTTATCCAAGTGGGTGCCACACACGGAGCGGGGCTTTCTCTCCACTGGCGTCTATTCTGGCGCACAATTCGGAACGGCTATTATCTTGATCAGCAGTGGTGAAATATTCGAGTCGAGCATGGGCTGGCCGGGACTCTTTTACATATCTGGGGGACTTGGACTCGCTTGGGCTATATTATTCTACTGGCAAGGCGCCGATGAACCAGCAACATCACGCAGCATCAGCAAAGTTGAACGCGAATACATTGAAGGACTAACGGGCAGCAATAAAAATAGTCAGGTGAGTCCTACTTCGATTTCCGTTAAATTCGATATTAATTTTTGGATACCTTTTTTTCAGAGTTTGGCTGTGCCATGGAAGTCAATCTTTACTTCGGCCGCCTTTTACGGATTACTGGCTGCTCATTGTGGCTTCACCTGGGGATTCTATACGCTGCTCACTGAGATGCCGACTTATATGAGTAGCGTATTGAAACTTAATGTTAAATCGAATGCGCTTCTCTCATCGCTACCCTACTTTGCCATGGGTGTGCTCTGCTTTGTGTTCAGTCCAATATCTGATATGCTCATCAATCGTGGCACCTTAACGGTAACAACAGCACGCAAGCTATTTAACTCCATTGGTCTGTGGGTGCCCATGGCTTGTCTAATTGGACTGGGCTACATGACGGCGGATCAAAAGTCAGGCGCGATCGTATTGCTGACTCTGGCTGTGGGCATCAATGCCGCTTGCTTCTGTGGTTATCTGGTCAATCACATGGACTTGTCACCAAATTTTGCTGGTCCTATGATGGGCATTACAAACGGCCTGGCAGGAGTGACATCAATCATAGCGCCATTAATTGTGGGCGCTGTTATTTCGGATGAAGAGGATCCAGCTCAATGGCGAGTGGTTTTCTTCATCACCGGTGGCATCTATTTGTTGTGCAACACCCTCTTTGTGGTCATGGGCAAGGGTACAGTGCAGCCATGGAATGATCTCACCAGCATGTCAAGCACCATGACACTACGTATCAATTTTCAGACTGAATCCACAACTACAGCTCAAACAGTTAGCCAAATAGATCGATTTTGAGTTGATCTGCATTGAAGCAGTAGTGAATTAAATTTAAGACATTGTGGTTTTATTATAAACCATAGTTATCAAGATAAATGTAATTTCATTAGTTTAAACTAACAATAATTTTATTAAATAGGGTAAAAGGTACTTTTCATATATTAATTATTTATTTTATGTGGGTTACGCAAGGAAAACTCAAGGTTTTCCTATATCTCCGATATTCTTTCTGCGATTATGCTAAGTTATGATCAGAACGGATTCTGAAATACTATGCATATTACAATTTCTATGCTTAAGCACATATTTCTATTAGTTATTTGGTCTGTTGAGGCAAATTTCTTCATACTTTCCGAAAATGCAAATATGTATTCTCAGTGTCGTTTGCAGTAACGATTTCTGATTTAATTTAAATCTTTTATTGATTCTGGCAATGATTATTCGTGTTTTTCTTTTAATACATGTGGCAACACTATTTATAGGCTGATATCGATCAGCTGGAGCATTTTGAAGAACTTCTGTGTTTTCCGGCATGTTTTGCACCCTTAGCAGTTTCTTTGCATATAAATATTATTAATATACTATTAATAGAGAAAAGAAAATCAGTATATGAGAGACCAATTAAGTCAATAAATCAATCCCGAATCAACTATTATATTCTGCATTTTATTATATTTGTTGTATTTTTTCTTTAATAAAAATCAAAAGTCAATTGGGGATATTTGAAGCGCTTATCTTAAAATTTATAGTGCATATATACACTCAGGTTTTCAGGAATGAAGTGAAGCTATTTAAAGAACCATAATAGATAACACCTTCAAATAAACTAAGAACAAAGCAATAACAAAGAAGTCGTTTAACATACAGAGATAAGTGTCAAAAATTAAATAATGTTATACGTTTTTACTGTTTTATTTACATTTGACGCTTGTTATTAAGCATAAAAAGTTTATTGTTCGGCTTAAGCAACCTGTATATCCAAAGGTATTACTTAAACTTATTAAGATACTGTTCCTGAAATCACTAATTTGTAATATTTATTGGTCCCGCCGTCTTATCAACAACTGTCGTTTTTATCTATATATATAATTTAATCTTGTCTTGCCCACATTAATCTTGTTTAATGTTTAGGGAAATGATGTTTGTAGCAAACACTGCTCACTTAATTCCTAGTAAAGCAGGTCGATTGTTTCATTAAAACTGTAAACTGTGGTTTTATTGTAAAACATAATAATATAAAGTGCTTTAATTAAGTTTAAGCTAATTATAATTAAAATTAATTAGGAAAAATTGTATTTGTATACCCTTGTAGAGGTAGATGAATTATTTGATGCTGTACTCTGAGATCGTCCAGTGTTATAAATCCTTTTTACTTAGTTCATTATTGATTCGACGAGACGCTGAGTGAATGCGCAGCACAGTCCAAATAGCTGCTGCCCAACTCAGAGCAACCGTTGTATATAGAACGAGCGTATAATCATTGGCATCGCCCACAGGAATTTCAGCACGAAGCGGCAACTGAGCCTGGTAGTCCACATTTGCTTGCTGCCACAAGCAGTCTGCTGATTTGATCGCATTCAGATGCTCCACAAAATCGCTTTTTTGTTTATCAAGACAGAAATGCTTTTCTGTGACAAGAAGTTCTGAGTCAATTAATTCGTTATTTCCAATCGGACAGCTGATATATAATTTGGGCGTGCTAATTTCCACCGTGGCTTTGGTGCTGCAAAAACGTTTGTGAATGTGTATTTATAAAGATATCTAAAATTTGTAGTACGTACCGTTTTTTGCTCGCTGCGTGATAACGAAAATGAATGGGCAATGATTGTGAAGCTGTAATTTTTGGGTTTCCACGTAATAGCACTGTGAATGGTTTAGCCTTTTCGGTAATAATTTCGATGTCAATGAATTTCGGGTAGACTGCATTCAGCTTCAAAAAAACTAGATTTGTTAGTATTATTCTTAAAATAACTTTATATGTTTGTGTGCTTACCATTTCCATGCGTTGCAAGTCGTCCAACTCATCGGTGCTAACGTAGACTGCCGCTGGCAGCTGTTGAGCAAGCATATACTCACAATTCATTCCCAATAGTTGATTATCGAACTGAACGGAATACTTTAGTTTTCTAATTAACAACACATTTGGTTACAATTCAATGCTATATTTGCAGTAAATACAAACCTATGCATGCCGACTTCGTCCATTTCAATACGCACAGTGGGCAGCTCTATGGATTGACAGCATATTCCGTCTAATAGGAATATAGCTACAATCGCAAGATTTGTTGAACATTTCATTGTGATGCTATTTCTAATTAATTCACAAAATATATTATCTTTACTGCAATTGTAAACAACTGCAAAATAGATTTATGTCAACACAGTCAGCTGGTATGCCAGTGATGTACAGCACACATCGATAAAAATCATGTGGTATTTCATTTTATCGAACCGACTCGATATGTATCGATATTACACGGAATAATACGATGTGAATCAAATGAATCGTCTATTTAGTTCAAAATTAAACTACTGAATTAAGAATTTTCAATCCACCTTAGCTCCCTTACTAAGACATGGAAGGTTATAAATGTATTTGAAATTTAATTTTTGTTATTTAATTCCCTATATAAGTAGGAACCTTGCTTTGCCAACTTGTCAGCCATTTCGTTGCCTTTGATGCCTTTGTGTGCCTCGACATAGTTCTGTACAAAAGAAACAACTATCAAGTTTAGTTAAGCAAATAGCAAATATGATAAGAAACGCACCCATTTAACTTTGATACCATCGCTTTGCAGCAGCTCATCCAATTCCTTGAAATCAGCAACATTTTTAACAGGCTCGTTGTTTTTTAAGCGCCAACCTCGCCGTTTCCAGCCTTGAACCCATTGCGTTATAGAATTAATTAAAAACTGAGAGTCCGTGCTAATGCAGAGCTTTGGAATTCCCAAATCCAATGCTGTCTTAATCGCATAAATGGCAGCTTGTATTTCTCCCACATTGTTCGTCACACGTCCCAAAACTGGTTTTCCAGCATTTCTGGGAGAACCAATCGTTAAATGAAAGAACAACTAGTTGCAAGCTACACTTACAGTTGATGATTGTCACCGAAATAGACGCCAAAGCCAGCACAGGCATTTGAACGGCCATTGCCCAAACACGAGCCATCTGTATAAACAATCACATAGCCTTCGCCATCCATTACAAACTCAAATCCACCAAATTGTTTCAGCGCAACGGCTTCCTCTACATTGGATGCGTGCCGTTTTAATTTGGAGTTTGAATTGTAATCCTCTGCTTTACGCTTGCGACTGTTTGAAGAAGGCACCGGAAATCCTTCAATTTCATTCATTGCTGCTATCTTCGAATACACAAAGCTAAGAATTTGAAGAAACCAACTGCTTGGCATTTTCTACTCACCAAGTCATCTTCGTCGACAGCGTCTTCCTCAGCCACATCCTCTGGCCAAAAGTCTCTGTTTTTCTTTGGCTGCTGTTGGTTTGCAGCCCAATTGACTGGCTGTGTCTGTTTTTTGCCCAGTGGCACAGCTATTTCCTCCGGTGTGTAACTTCCACTAGCTCCAGCTGGACTTATAAATTGATTGGCCTCTTGACGTGTGTTGAATTTCTTATAAACAGCCCCCTTGAAGCCCTTCACCTGTTGCTCACATTGCGCCCAGTTTTCATAAATGCCAACTTTTCGGCCCTTGGAAACTGCGTAGAAAGCCATGTTTCGTTCAAATTTTCTTACATTTTGTACTAGTTGATATCGCAGGAGCCCAAACATTATAAGTGTTGTGTGTTGCAAAACGACAAAAAAGCCTTGCCAGACCTAAAAGCTATTGGGCCTTGCCAGTTCGTCAATTTAAAAAGTATGTTGTTTTAAACTAGATTTCGATTGGTATTTGGTTTTACAATTTTGTAGAAAAACATGTATTTATAATTTACTAAATATAACAACACAAAAGGGTCAGCTTTCTGTCGATGGTTGCTTTTCTTCCACCAGTTCTAGCTGCTGTTCACATGGCTCCAGTTGTTCTTCTTTTGCTATTGTTGTATTGCTTTCCTTGGCCTTGGCTCCCTTGCGCTGCGGAATGGTTTCAAGAATGGCCTGTGTCCAATCTTGTCCAGCCGCCACGCGAGTCAACAACTCAAACACATGAAAGGTGCTGAGCACGGAACGTGTCTTCATATCGACGTGCTCGCTAAGCGGGAGTCGAGCTGTCGCCAGACCAGCGCTTATGGCACGCTGATGGCACAGCCCCTTGAAATGATTGTGATCGACAAGGCCGCCAATTACGTACGTATGCCCAGGCAGTGGCTTATCCAGCACTGTATCCGATTCGCAGGTTAAATAGACCAACTGCTGCTTCTCAAACACCTCGCTGTGTGTGCAATCAAAGTGATAATTCACGTGCCAATTCTCCCAACCGTCGTTCTTCTTCAGACACTCGTGTATATGTCCATCCCGCTTGATGCCAGTAAAGTGCAGCCGCAGCGGAAGTGCGGCACGTCGATTGATGGTGTAGATGCGCAGACATTGTTTCACACACTTGGCAATATCTCGCTCCTGCATCAAATCATCGTAGTTCAAATCAATCGCCACGCTGATCGCATCTGCAGCGTTCGGTTGACCAATTGCGGAAACCTGGCGCCGCTTCAGCTCCTTGCGAGATGGGCCAACACTCAATGGTAATCCCTTGCTCTTGGCATCGGCTCTCTTCTCCTTGCGGCGCTCGCGTTCCTTGACCCGACGCAATTTACGAAATTCGATTTGTTCGGCGAGTTTTCGTTGCTTCTTCAACTGGTTTTTGCTCAAAGGTGTGCCGGGCGTGGTGCCTGGACAGCTGATAAGGGTGTTCTCTACAGGCTGTACAGGTGGTGCTTCCGTGTCCATTTTGTGGGCAGATGACAATCTCTCGTCTCTTTGTATATGTAAATATATAAGAATGCTGAATGTGATTGATCAGCTGTGCTTTAACTAGTTCATTTGAACTTGTCTCGCGATGTCAGCTGATTCACTTTAACTACCCAACACTGTTGTTAAGGGCTACCAAAGTTACTGCTACTGCTACTATGGTCACATTACAGCAGGGAAGTCGAGTTTAAGCAATAGTTGAATAAAAATACAATAATGGATCAGCCTCCATTGCCGCCGCCACAAGAATATTCTACGCTACCTCCGCCTCCGCCGCCTCCACCTCCGGACACGGAACACCTATTGCCACCTGGCGTACAAGATGACGGACCACCCGGCACAAGTGATGTACCAATTGCAGCCAGCAATCAATTCAATTACGAGCAGCATCCGTCGAGTGTCAATAATTTAAATGACGATCACAGTTCCTATGCTAATTATATGAAATATGCTGCACCACACTCCGCATGCCCACAGCAGTCACAACCATACGCAGCAAATTCAGGCCCACATTCATATAATCCGTACTACTACCATGAAGGCTATGCTGGACACACAAACTACGCTCATCCATCGGCTGGCGCATATGATTATGACCAGTATGGACAGAGCACGCACACGTATAATTATCAGGAACGCAATCGGTACGAACACAATTCCAATTATCGATTAGTCGATCAAAGGTATGCGGGTTATAACCACAGCTACCCGAATAACTACGGTGGAGGCTATAATTACAACAACAACAACAACAGTCGCTATGAGCACCACTATCACAATCCGCGACAGGCACGTACCGGCTCCTATCCATATGCACGCAAGACAACATCGGTCAATGAGGACACACGCAGCTATAGCAAGCGGAGTGAATCCGATGCGTATGCTCCAAAGATAGAAACAGAGCGCGATCGTGTACTGCGTCAGTATTGTGCCAATTATTGCGAAAAGTCCGAGGATTATATTAAGAAAATCAAGGCACTCAACGAGGCTGAAGCGCCAGCTGAGACCTGGGTGCGTTCCTCGCCCGCTGAGCTTTACTACGAGCGCACCAAGACGGAGCACGAGGTTAAGGCCAAGACACGTCTCCACAAACTGTGCGCCCTCTTTGATGATGAGCTCATCCAGCGTGCTGTACGAGAGCGTCAGAATTTGCCCGCTTATGAGCCGCCGCCACGCAAGACACGACGACGCGCCTGCAAGCACAAGCACAAGTCGGAGGCATGCTCCTCGAGCTCTGATTCCGACTCGGATGAGGATGCCTTCAAGATTGAGCAAGACTGCTGCATGGAGGAGTTGTCGCGCAAGGTGCTCCATCCGCAGCGCGTCCATCCCGACCTGTGGCACAACGACGCTGGTGAGATGAACGATGGTCCGCTGTGCCGTTGCTCGGCGAAGTCGCGACGCATCGGCATACGGCATGGCATCTATCCGGGCGAGAAGGGATATCTGGTGTGCGATAAGGATACGAATAACGCAGCTAATTTGTATCATTATCGCATCACCATTTCACCGCCCACAAACTTTCTGACCAAGACGCCCACAATTATCAAGCACGACGAGCATGAGTTTCTCTTCGAGGGATTCTCGCTGCTGTCGCATGTGCGCCTCACCGATCTGCCTGTGTGCAAGGTGATTCGCTTCAACATCGAGTACACCATCGAATACGATGAGGAGAAGATGCCCGAGAACTTTACCATACGTGAACTGGATTTGTTCTGTGGGTGGTGATGCATTTTAAAAGTAAAACTAAAATTGAACTGAATTTTCTTTTCATCATTTAGTTAAATACCTGTTCCATGAGCTGCTGGAGCTTGTCGACTTCAATCTGATACCGAATGGATCGGCAAACGCTGATGATTCCTGTCCAGCCTTTCATTTTCTGCCTCGTTTTGTGCGCGAGCTGCCCGACAATGGCAAAGAAGTGCTGGCCATGTGCGAGGTTCTCAAGTATTTGCTGGACAACTCCGCTGAGCTGGTCGAACGTCAGCAGTTGCTCCACTTAAATCAGATCAGTACGCATGAGTGGCAAAAATATGTGGACATTATCAAGGGCATGCTGGTGACGAAGCCGGGCCACAAGCCGTGTTCGCTGCGCGTCGATCAGTTGGATCGAAACAATTCGGATTTGCCAGTGTGCTTGGATCGGGAGACGGGTATCTCACATCCGGCGATTGTACACTTCGGCATCCGTCCGCCACAGCTGAGCTATGCGGGCAATCCCGAGTATCAGAAGGCGTGGCGTGAATATGTCAAGTTCCGTCATCTAATGGCCAACATGTCGAAGCCATCGTTCAAGGACAAACGCAAGCTGGAGGACAAGGAGCAGCGATTGCAGGAGATGCGCACCCAGGGACGCATGAAACGCAATATTACGGTGGCCATCAGTTCGGAGGGTTTCTATCGCACCGGCATCATGTGCGACATTGTGCAGCATGCCATGCTCATACCGGTGCTCACCGGGCACTTGCGGTTCCACAAGTCGCTGGATCTGCTCGAGGAGAGCATTGGCTACAAGTTCAAGAATCGTTATTTGCTCCAGCTGGCGTTGACCCATCCATCGTACAAGGAGAACTACGGCACCAATCCGGATCATGCGCGCAATTCGCTAACAAATTGTGGCATTCGCCAGCCGGAATATGGGGATCGAAAGATTCACTATATGAACACACGCAAACGGGGAATAAATACGCTGGTCAGCATTATGTCCCGTTTTGGCAAGGATCACGAGACTTTGTCGAATATAACGCACAATGAACGTTTGGAGTTCCTCGGCGATGCCGTTGTCGAATTCCTCAGCTCAATCCATTTGTTCTTTATGTTCCCTGAGCTGGAAGAGGGCGGCCTGGCCACTTATCGTGCGGCGATTGTGCAGAATCAGCACTTGGCACTGCTCGCCAAGAAATTACAACTCGAGGAGTTCATGTTGTATGCCCACGGATCGGATTTGTGTCACGAGCTCGAGTTGCGTCATGCAATGGCCAATTGTTTTGAGGCTTTGATGGGCGCATTGCTCTTGGATGGCGGCATCAAGGTGGCCGATGAAGTATTCACCGATGCACTGTTCCGGCAGGACGATAAGTTGTTGAAGATCTGGAAAAATTTGCCGGAGCATCCGTTGCAGGAACAGGAACCGTTGGGCGATCGCAGCTGCATTGATTCATATCGCGTTCTAAAGGATCTGACCAAGTTCGAGGATTCCGTTGGCATCAAGTTCAAGCATATACGTTTGCTGGCGCGTGCCTTCACAGATCGCTCGATTGGCTTTACCCATTTGACGCTGGGCTCCAATCAGCGGCTGGAGTTTTTGGGTGACACTGTGCTCCAATTGATTTGCTCGGAGTATTTGTATCGTCACTTTCCGGAACATCATGAGGGTCACTTGTCGCTGCTGCGCTCCTCGCTGGTCAACAATCGGACTCAGGCTGTTGTCTGCGACGATTTGGGAATGCCCCAGTACGCTGTCTATGCCAATCCCAAGGCGGACTTGAAGACCAAAGATCGTGCGGATCTGCTTGAAGCCTTCCTGGGCGCTTTGTATGTGGACAAGGGACTGCTGTATTGCGAGCAGTTCTGCCACGTCTGCCTGTTTCCACGTCTGCAGCTGTTCATCATGAATCAGGACTGGAACGATCCGAAGTCAAAGCTGCAGCAATGCTGTCTCACATTGCGTACCATGGATGGCGGCGAGCCAGATATACCCTACTATAAGGTAGTGGAAGCCACTGGACCCACAAATACGCGCGTCTACAAAGTGGCTGTCTATTTTCGCTCCAAACGTTTGGCCACCGCCAGTGGCTCGTCCATACAGCAGGCGGAGATGAATGCGGCCAAGCAGGCGTTAGAGAACTCACGCGATTTGTTTCCCCAACTGGACCATCAGAAACGGGTCATTGCCAAGAGCATTAAGAAACAAACCGGTAACGAAATGGATACCGAAGCGGATAGGCCACATGACGAGCGAGCCAAGAAGCCCAAATACGCGCCGCCCCTCAAAGATGAATCGCATCTGCCGAAACAATATCGCATGCACGAGAATATATCCAGTGATGAGTTGCCCGAGGACGATGAAGATGACAATGACAATACCAACAAAACACTCAGATGTAAGTGAATCAATTCTCACATTATATCCCTTCTATAATTAATTGTATGCTTTCCAATTCTAGCACCAGTTCATGTCTCAAGGAGTCGGAGTCGGAGTAGCAGCAGCAGCAGCACCAGCAGTGATAGCGACAGTGCAACTAGCACACCGCCCAAGCAGCATCCGGATCTGCTTTACGGCTCAATATCACCCGTATCCTCATCGTCATCGGTTTAATTTGCTTACAACTGCTACTAATTGCATATAAAAATAAAATAAGTGCAAATTTGACTGTTGCTCTTTGATGTGATTTGAGCTTTTTACTTTTTTTTATTTATGCCTTAATATTAATATTTGCAAGTTAAGTTTCCTGAAAAACGACTAAACAACGAATGCTAAATTAATTGTTGTTACCCCGATTCATTCAAAATGATTACCCAAATGTAGTTTGACTGGCCGCCAATAATTTTGAAATGTGGATTGTTTCTTACCTTTAATCGCTACAGAATAGTTCGAGTTTTGAATACCACACACACACATAACAGTGAAAAGATCAAGATTTATGTAATGAATTTAAAATTTTTAACAAACTCAAATCAATTTGAGTGGCCGTGGTACAAAATGCAATACGAATTCAACAACGTATAAATTTGGAAAGGGTTTCTTTACTTAAAGAGCGACAGACGGCGTCCAAGCGAGCGTCCAGTTCCATTGAATGCGCTGGTTATGTGTGCCATCTCGGGCAGATTCTGAATGTCGCCACGCGCAGCCACCGACGGCACTGAGCTGAGCAGTCTTTGTGCCACGCGCTGAATGTCGGCGGCTGTTACTTTTTCTGCAATGATTACGATTGAATTAACTGAATCATATTTTGAAATTGTCTATTTACCAATTTCCCTAATGAAATGCTCGGGGCGCTTGCGATTACCCGTGACCAGCACCTGGCGACCCACATCCTCGAACACAACTGGTCGTGATTCCAAGTTCATCAAGAGCATCGATTGCAGTTGGATTTTGGAGCGCATCAGCTCCTCAGTGCCCGGCTCGAAGGCCATGTTCATCAGTTCGCGCGTCAGCACCTCGACCATGTCTCGCATATGCTGTGGTGGGGCACTGCCGTGTATGCAGAAGAGGCCAGTGTCCACGTAGGCATGATTGTACGCCGTGGCGCTGTACATCCAATGATAGCGATTCAGCACTTTGGTATAGAGACGAGAGTACATGCCCTTGCCGGGACCACCGGCGGAGAATGAGCCACCGCCACCCATCATAATGTTGAGCACGCACAGGGGCACAAAGTCCGGATCCTGGTGGGAGCAGCCCTCAAAGCCGAGTACAACGTGCGCCAGCTCGGGCAGCCCTGCGGCCGCATAAATGGGAATTTCACAATGTTCCTATTTATATGAACAAACTGAATGATGATTCAATTTAATATGTGACCGCTTACCTTAACCAAGCCGCCTGTGTATTGCGCGACCGAAGTGTCGACTTGCTTGGGAGCCTCACTTGGTAACGTTTCCTTCATCCAGATTGCCTCATTTTCGACAAAGTACTTTTCCACGTGCTCAACGAGCTCATCATGATCCACCTAGATAGATAGATTTTTAATAAAATAAATATCAAAAATGGGCTAAAGCGAGTCTTACGCCCACGCCAGCGATGACCATCCGGCTTGGTGAGTGATGATACTTTAAATAGTTCATCAACACATTGCGATCGATGCTGTCCAGATTCTGGGGCGGGCAGAGCTTTGGTAAACCAAGCGTATTGTCTCTGTATGCCGCTGCGTGTATCATGTCCATGAGTATTGGTTCCTGTTCGGGTCTCATGCCAAGTGTTTCCAATTCGAAGCTGACAGCGCGACGCGCCAAGTTCACCTCCTGTTCGTTGAGCGTGGGTCGCAGCGTAACATCGCCCAGTAAACGGGTCACCGACTCAAGGGCACGGCTGTCAATGCTGGCCGCATATATTAGAGTGTCACGAGAGCTTTGACAATCGCAGATGCCACCGTTCTTCTCCAACTCCTTGAGTATGGCGTCCTTGTTAGGAAAATTAACTGTGGACTGCGGATCAGAATTGAGCACGTAAAAAGTAAGCGACAATTTTATAAGAATGAATAGTTGAACTCACATTGAACGCAAGCTTCTCAAGGAAATGTGATACGCCACTGGGATATGCAACTTCATAACGTGGCCCAGAGTCCAGCACCAGACCCACAGTGCAAAATTGGCCGTAGCGCGGCTCAGATGCGATACGCAGCCCATTTGCCAGTGTGGTGACCTTTGTGGTCGCACTCTCCGCTAATGATTTAGCATAGACGGCCTCCGGCATGTTTGGCAGTGGTTCAGTTAGCGGCGGCAGATGCGTAACAATCTCTTTAGACGGCGTGTTCACCTTGTGTGGTCCACCCTCATCGCTGCGGACGCGTCCAGTGATTTGACCAATGCCAGTACCGCTGCCAATTTCATCACCACCGACTGTTGTTACTTTTGTGGCGAAGCGCCGGGGAAATCTATTTGAATAATATTGAAATTATTATTTCATATTCCGGGTCTATGCACACAGACACACACACACGCAGACACACACAAAAACACGATTCTTACGTGCGCCAGGAGTTTTTTAGCAGTTTCAGCATACTGAAGCTTCTCACGTTCATGATTTGCGGGTGATTTGGGTCTGGCTTTGAACGTATTCAACTGTATATACAATTTAAAATGTTGAATTTTGTTGCGTTCAATGAATCTGTTTCAAAGACATACTTTTGTCAAAAAAAAAAATATTCTCTTCTTCATTCCTACTGACATGCCAAATGCCATTCAATAACCAACGTGATCAAAGCTGTATTTGCGTATATCGATAACACATTGGCAACCGTGAAAATTTAAACATTTGACTGATTTTCTGTCTCATTTATTAACTTTCTTCAAACTGAGGTTTACATATGAATACGAATATTAATTGCTTTGAAATGTAGGTGGGTCTTACAAACTAATCAAAATGAAAGCGTCGTTTGCCATCGAAGCGATAGCCATAGGCAGCTGCATATTTGGTGTCCACCAGAGCAGGATTTCGATGCTTGAAGAAACTGCCATGGCCGTGAGCGGGACGAGAAGCGCTGTTTGGAATACCCTCCACTTCACGGGGATAAAAGGCCTCAAACATTCCAGCTGGTGGAAGGCAACATTCAACTATTTTCCTATCATTTGGATCATATGCGTGGATTTTTGTAATCAGTGCATGTTGTGCGCACAGAAAAATTATAATTATGTTGAACAATTTCGTAATAACAATCATTGTAGGCTAAACACACGCGCACCTTTTACTTTTTGTTTTGTTTCAGTTGAACGTGTTTCAGTTACTGATGCTGAGATTATACTGACTACTCTAGCACAAGATAAAAGTTTCGTTATTTTTGCTGTGAGTAATATAAAGCTTTTACAAATTCAATTTTTCGCGCTATTTTTTAGTAAATGAATGGCAACGCGACCTTCGCAAACTTTTCATAGGTGGCAACACCAAAATATCGTGACACGATCTATTGTTTTCTAAGCGCGCTTAATCCAAATTGCCCACTTTTACGATTTAATCCAGAATTAATGAAATTATGTTAGGCTATGATGGCAGTTAAATTTATTTTAAAATTAAAAGAAATATAACGAATTATCTTGGTCCGATTTTGCTAGAAGCGTTTAAGGAATTTAAGTTTTCTTGACATTTTTTAGCAAATTATTCGGATTCGTGCTTGTTGAAAAAAGCACGGACTGTGCTTATCTCTTATAGCTGGAGCAGCGATTGGTCCATTTTAGACGGAAATGATAATCGACAGTATAGGAACGTGGGTTTCTTATCTTAAAACGTACTTTTTTGCAACGGCAGCAGCGTAACCTTGTTACACATAAAAGATGTATAAAGGGATGCCATCGGATGAACCAATAGACGATGACGCAAGTAAGTGGAATAGCCGACATATCAAACATATTAAGTTTGCACTTATTTACCAACACACCCCCCAAAGTATACATAAAACCATTTTGATCCTTGGCTTAAGGATTTAAAAAAAATTTTTTTTTTCATTTTAAGCAAAACACCTAAATAAATAAGTGAGCCGAATGGATAGGAATGCATGCAATAATATGTGTATAGTAGATATCATGTATGTATCCCATTTGTGAAACGTACCTTGTTCCGCTTGCGAACAACTTATTTATGCGATAATCTAATGGAAATAAAACGATAATCTAATGGAAATGTTTGAAATTTTGTAGAGCGAGTCTACCAGGGAGAGCGTTATCCATCTATACCGCTACCGCCACCGCCAATCCGAACAGGAACAAATGCGCCAATACTTTCGGAATCGACACATGTTATTATACAAGTTACTCCCGACATTGTAATGCAAAATGATAGTCTGGAAGCGACAATCATTATTTTTAATGATCAATCCTTACGAAAGGGTTTCATACGAAAAGTATACTTAATTCTCTTGGTAAGTTGAGACAAATTGCTTTTACTAACTAGACTATAATTCACACTTGCAGGCACAGTTGGTCGTTACGTTTGGCGTTATATACATTTTTATGTACCATGAACCAACCAATAACTTCGTGCAAGAGAACCCAAGAGTGGTGAATGTAGCCATCGTCATCAACATTGTCGTATTGTTTTCAATGGCCTACTGTGAAACTGCTCGACGCACCTTCCCCATTAACTTTGTGTGCCTGGGTTTGTTCACAGTGACCATGTCGCTACTTCTTGGTGTCGTCGCTGGCATCCTTGACAGTGTCGTGATGCTAGAGGCTGTGGCAATAACTGCAGCGCTGGTTGTGGGGCTGTCCATATTTGCCATACAAACGAAATATGGTTTTAACTGTTGTCGCGCTGTCTTGGTGTCGGTAGTGATCTGTTTGTTGGTTCTTTCAATTTCGGCTTCCTTTGTACGCGAATCCTTTAATGATATTGCGTTGTCGTGCCTTGGTGCCATACTGGCCTGTTTCCTATTGATCTATGACACACAATTGATTATCGGCGGCAATCATAAGTATCAGATTAATCCGGAGGACTATATATTCGCGGCATTGACTTTGTATATGGGTATTGTGCGCATATTTGTGTGTATATTACGACCGTTAGCTAGAGGGCGCAGACACACACACACGTAGACACACACAGGCACATGATTCTTACGTGCGCGAAGAGTTTTTTTTAGCAGTTTCAGCATACTGAAGCTTCTCACGTTCATGATTTGCAGGTGATTTGGGTCTGGCTTTGAATGTATTCAACTGTATATACAATTTAAAATGTTGAATTTTGTTGCGTTCAATAAATCTGTTTCAAAGACACTTTTGTCAAAAAAAAAAGATGCTCTTCTTCATTCCTACTGACATGCCAAATGTCATTCAATAACCAACGTGATCAAAGCTGTATTTGCGTATATCGATAGCACATTGGCAACCGTGAAAATTTAAACATTTGACTGATTTTCCGTTTCATTTATTAACTTTCTTCAAACTGGGGCTTACATATGAATATGAATATTAATTGCTTTGAAATGTAGGTGGGTCTTACAAACTAATCAAAATTAAAACGTCGTTTGCCATCGAAGCGATAGCCATAGGCAGCTGCATTTTTGGTGTCCACCAGAGCAGGATTTCGATGCTTGAAGAAACTGCCATGGCCGTGAGCGGGACGAGAAGCGCTGTTTGGAATACCCTCCACTTCACGGGGATAAAAGGCCTCGAACATTCCAGCTGGTGGAAGGCAACATTCAACTATTTTCGTATCATTTGGATCATATGCGTGGATTTTTGTAATCAGTGCATATTGTGCGCACAGAAAAATTATAATTATGTTGAACAATTTCGTAATAACAATCATTGTTGGTTAAACACACGCGCACCTTACTTTTACTTTTTGTTTTCAGCTTGGGAGCGCCAAACTCGTTTTCTGTACCTCCGCGAATTTGAACGTGTTTCAGTTACTGATGCTCAGATTATACTGACTACTCTAGCACAAGATAAAAGTTTCGTAATTTTTGCTGTGAGTAATATAAAGCTTTTACAAATTCAATTTTTCGCGCTATTTTTTAGTAAATGAATGGCAACGCGACCTTCGCATACTTTTCATAGGTGGCAACACCAAAATATCGTGACACGATCTATTGTTTTCTAAGCGCGCTTAATCCAAATTGCCCACTTTTACGATTTAATCCAGAATTAATGAAATTATGTTAGGCTATGATGGCAGTTAAATTTATTTTAAAATTAAAAGAAATATAACGAATTATCTTGGTCCGATTTTGCTAGAAGCGTTTAAGGAATTTAAGTTTTCTTGACATTTTTTAGCAAATTATTTCCGGATTCGTGCTTGTTGAAAAAAGCACGGACTGTGCTCATCTCTTATAGCTGGAGCAGCGATTGGTCCATTTTAGACGGGAATGATAATCGGCAGTATAAGAACGTGGGTTTCTTATCTTAAAACGTACTTTTTTGCAACGGCAGCAGCGTAAGCTTGTTACACACAAAAGATGTATAAACGGATGCCATCGGATGAACCAATAGAGGATGACGCAAGTAAGTGGAATAGCCGACATATCGAACATATTAAGTTTGCACATATTTACCAACACACCCCCCAAAATGTACATAAAACCATTTTGGTCCTTGGCTTAAGGATTTAAAAAAATTTTTTTTTTCATTTTAAGCAAAACAGCTAAATAAATAAGTGAGCCGAATGATAGAAATGCATGCAATAATATGTATATAGTAGATATCATGTATGTATCCCATTTGTGAAACGTTCCTTGTTCCGCTTGCAAACAACTTATTTATGCGTCGTCATAAATAATCACTATCAAGAAACGGGGAATTCTCTAAAACGATAATCTAATGGAAATGTTTGAAATTTTGTAGAGCGAGTCTACCAGGGAGAGCGTTATCCACCTATACCGCTACCGCCACCGCCAATCCGAACAGGAACAAATGCGCCAATACTTTTGGAATCGACACATGTTATTATACAAGTTACTCCCGACATTGTAATGCAAAATGATAGTCTGGAAGCGAAAAACATTATTTTTAATGATCAATCCATACGAAAGGGTTTCATACGAAAAGTATACTTAATTCTCTTGGTAAGTTGAGACGCTTGAGTTAGACAAATTGCTTTTACTAACTAGACTATAATTCACACTTGCAGGCACAGTTGGTCGTCACGTTTGGCGTTATATGCATTTTTATGTACCATGAACCAACCAATAACTTCGTGCAAGAGAACCCAGAAGTGATGAGTGTAGCCATGGTCATCAACATTGTCGTATTGTTTTCAATGGCCTGCTGTGAAACTGCTCGACGCACCTTCCCCATTAACTTTGTGTGCCTGGGTTTCTTCACGGTGACCATGTCGCTACTTCTTGGTGCCGCTGCTGGCACCCTTGACAGTGTCGTGGTGCTAGAGGCTGTGGCAATAACTGCAGCGCTGGTTGTGGGGCTGTCCATATTTGCCATACAAACGAAATATGATTTTACCTCTTGTCGCGCTGTCTTGGTGTCGGTAGTGATCTGTTTGTTGGTTCTTTCAATTTCGGCTTCCTTTGTACGCGAATCCTTTGCTGATATTGCGTTGTCGTGCCTTGGTGCCTTACTGGCCTCTTTCCTATTGATCTATGACACACAATTGATTATCGGCGGCAATCATAAGTATCAGTTTAATCCGGAGGACTATATATTCGCGGCATTGACTTTGTATATGGATATTGTGCGCATATTTGTGTATGTATTACGTTTATTAGCTAGAAGGTAAACGCTTTTGTCAGTGCTTAATATTCTCATATGCATAATGCTGATACTTTGAATCGAATTATATAATTAAGTCAATATCTATATGAATTTATTATTGATGTTATACAAGAGATTTATGAAGGTTTATTGACAACAACTAATTCCAATATGAAACATAGAAACACAACGGCCAAAAAATGATCAAAATAATAATAAGATTACAGAGCCTTGCAGATCAAAACTGAACTTATGTCTTCTAAATTTCATAAAAAACGAAAATGAAAAAAAAAAAAATACGACTGTTCCTGGGGTAGTTATAGTGGTCCGATGTTGTTTGCCGAGATATCTTGGTAAATATAAAAGTTGTTCATAGAGGAGCTATGGAAGCTATAAGAATGCCTGACATGGCTATATCGACTCGGCTAATGACTCGGATAAAGAATATATCTATCTAATCAAGGTACGCACTGCAAGGGTATACAAATTCAATTTTTACACTTAACTTACCAGAACCGACATTGAAATACAATTTCGGTTGGTTCCCTCATTTTAATTAATGTTTAATTAAGCTCATGACAACAAATATGGCTACATCTAAACTATACTTGTGTAACTATTCACTATATTTAAATAAATATATTGTTTATATTGATTGTTTTATATGCACAGACAACTTTTGTATTTCAAAACTAATAAATAATAAATCGAACATAAACAAAAAACTTTTGGATTCATTTTTATTGTAATTTTTACTTTATTAAGCTAACGTTTTTGGCTCATTTTCTATAGTACATTTAATATATGTAATTATATTTAGTTATTTGTATTGAAATTGCATGAATATGTGTGTAACTATCAAATACAATCACAAACTGTATGTAATTCCTCTCTTTTATTTACATAAATAATATATACACAAAAAATGAACATTGCTAAAAATAGGGAGTGTATCATTATTAAACAAACGATATCCAAAGACACACAAAAAAAATGTAGAATAACAAATAAGTTACTAAGGCGTATTTATTGGACAGAAGCTGCTGCTGATCTGGTCATGGACGATGTATACACAGCAGGGACCGTAAATTCCATAGCCGTACAAGCAACAGAGTTATATCAGTAGTGTCTTCTATTTGGATAATCTTATCGTATACACACACACACAATGAATTTTGATTTACTGTTTTTGTGCATATTACTTAGTTGTTAATAAATTTAATAATATGTTACGCAGGCCATACTGATTATATTCTGTGCTGAAAATATGACTCAACAAAAGAATGATTATTTTGCGCAAAAAAAAAACAGGAAATCAAAATCCGTCTATGACTGGATTAGTACATATCTCTTGAAAGCAAACTAAACAACGGGAAAACATCTTTTTGACTTTTGAAAAATCTTTCAACGCCTCCCTTTTCGTATTTGCAAAATCTTGAAAACCTATATTATCACACAAAGTGTAATCAGTATGACCTGAGTTATTTAGTAAAGCTTAGCAAGAGCAAATTTAAGAAATAAACATTTGTCATTTTTATAATTTATAGCTTATAATTTTTACGGTCCCTGAAGTAAGGTATAGCACGACCTGTATTACATACATGTGTATGTATATGTAAATTTGATCTAAGTATCTCTTCGAAATTCATTCGAATTTTTCCATCTTACATTTTTTATAATGACACCTATGATGTATGTATTTAGTATGTATGTAATATTATGTTCTGGTGTGTGTATGAAGTTTCTTTGCCATAATAATAAAGCACACATTTGCAAATTAGTGTAAGCAGTTGGCTTGCTTTGATCCAGCGGCTCCTGAGTGTGTATATACAAATATAAAAAATGTTACAAGTGTATATCAGATGCATCTGCTGCTGCTGCTGCTGCTTCTGCTGCTGCTGCATTTGCTCAGTCCTCCGTAAATGGATGATCGGATGTGTCGCTAGTGTTGCGTCGTCGATTCTCCAATATTTTCGTCGCCTGCTCGAGCGTCTCCTTGTAGAACATATTCTCCTTAGCCGTGCAGGGTAACGAATATTTCGAGTCGTCCAGATGCCATGTGAGTCCCAGCACAATGTTGAATGCGGATGCATCGTAGCCATGACAGCCAGAGTATCGATAGAGTGGCTTTTTGTTAAACTTGCAGCCGTTCGATTGGGCACCTGGTTAAAAATATGGTTGAAGAGATAACAATTAGATAGATAGCTATCAATTATGTAGATATAATTATAATCAAATGATTATTTTATCAGATACCCATTTTATCAACGGTTTCAATGATTTTTACAATGATGTATCATTCAGTTAGGAATTGGAATGGAAACTGTTGCATTTGGCCATAAATCAGGTAATTACGTGTGCACTTTTGTTAACATATATATCATCTATACATAAATATATAATACAAGACGTGAGCATACAATGTGAGCTGCTGCTTGATGGATTACATGGACGCAGTTACAACTTCGATATAGATGACCCAAAACTAAGGCGGAGATTGGTGCGTCGTTTATATTACTTGTTAATGGTAAGTTTCTTCATATCGATATCCATATCCCTTTCAATTTCAAATATTATCCCTCAATTGGGCCATTTTGTTTTAGCTACAAGTATTATTGGTTTCGCTATTCATGGAGATATTACGATTATTTCCGAATAAATACATTCAACTTACATATGTGTCTGATTGTTCGGGTTTTTTTATCTTTACTATGTGTATATTGCTCTACATTTGGCCAAATTGGAGACGCTTTCCACCATATAATTGTATCGTATTTATCTTGCTTTCGCTCGTCACACAGTTCTTCAAGAGTATACACCTAATGATTCAGTGGCAATCACGCTGGGTACGTATGTATATTGTGTGTCTTATATATCTCTCCCGTTATTATAATATGCCTATTATTTGCAGATGCACGCATATACATTGATTTTCGTTACTCAACTGTTGCTTTTGACCTTATACACCAAACAGAACAAATTTCAATTTACACTTGGCATTGGTGTCATTATTATATGCACGGTTATTGGACTATCTTTGGTTGGCGCTTACTTTATGGGCATGTTTAGCGTACTGCTTACCGTGGCTGCTTGGCTTCTGGAGCCATGGTATATCATCTACGATACACATTGTCAGCTCACCGGCCAGCATCGCTACCGTGTTGGGCCCCAGGAGTATCTGTTTGCGGCTACCAATATTTACGCAGATATACCCAAATCCTGCTGGCTGATACTAAAGAGCGTAGTTCTAGGTCCATTTATAATGTTAGTCAAGATTATGCGACATTGTCGTACACGGCAGGTATGCTAATTATAATAAAAACCAAAGTGAATTTCATATTTTTTCAAATGAAGATTGATTTCAATTGGATATTGAATTCTTTTGCACAGAACGAACTAAAGCAAGCGCTCATAAATATGCTTTGAAATCTATAACTGCGTACAGGTTTGCCACGATTAGGAATTGACATAGAAAGCAAGTAAAGGTGTCCAACTAGCAAATACCCTGTAATGTATGCTACATTTTTTTGGTAATACTTAAAAACTACTCAAAACTCCTTTTCTCTCTGCAGTAATGACTAATACTCCTGCCCATTTTGATTTTGGTGAACTAAAAAGTGTTTCCTAAAATAACTCATTAATTTTTTTCAACTGTGATTTAGATCTTATGTCTTGGGAGAGCTTTAGGTTGATTGACATTCATCCGTCAGATTAAACTCTTTTATGTATAGAAATGAAAATACATATTAGGTAGACATATATATATATATATATATGTATAAATTAAACATGTAGATTTGCATGTTTGCTATCATTCAGCTGAATACGCTGTAAATGATGGTCATTAGCGCTGTGGGCCACAGCTGGAAAGAAAAGAGCGCTAGGAATGAATGTGATTTTGATTGCGACGGAGAAAGGGATAGGGAAAGGGATTGGGGTTGGGGATGTGGATGAGAGTGAGCCATGTTTACGGGTTGGCGGTGTAAGTAATGACTTCATATGTGTATGTAAAAGGAAAAAGAGGCAGAGAATGAAGGCAGATGGGGGATGTGAGAGACGCCCACTTACCGATTGGATCGATACATTCCAATGTGAGGGCACATTTCAGCCACGGCAGCATTATCTTCTCCGTGACGAAGAGCGTGTCCGCAAAGAAGACCGTATCCAGATCGACCATGCGCAGGAATATAAAATTTTCGGCGTTCGACTCGAAATAGTCAAACATCTTTGGATGGGTGCGCGATGAGACGGCTGTCGGTGTATTCCAGCCGAGGACGCCGGAAACCATGACGCGATTCTGCAGCTCGTGCAGTTCCCGATAGCCGCCACGTATACGCATATAGTTCTCGGCAAACAGCACCGATTTGGCCCGCATCAAGGCATCCTTTATCACAATGGGTCGATAAGCGTGCGTTCGCTGATCGTTGACGGACGAGGGAAACTCGGATAGGTCATAGGTGATGACGGTGCATCGACTGCTGTTGCAGTAGGCGGTCAATGTGCGCAATTGTTCCTCGGACACGCCCAGATCATAGATGAGCAGATATTCGCTGGGCAGTTTGGCGGCAATGTTCTGTGCCAACAATATGGCCGATGCCACCTGTCGCTCCTGCTGCACATACGTGACTATGGTGAAGTTGGCCTTGGTGCCATTGTACGGTGTCGTTATCCGTTTCCGTTGACTCTTCTGCTGCTGCTGTTGCTGCAGTTGTTGCTCCTGGAGATCCAGTTCCTGGAGTAGATTTGATTCTATCGCTGCCATTTGACGAGTGCCGTCACGTCTGTGCAGCTGCTGGAGTTCCTGTGCCGCACGCCTTGCCGTGACCGGCGTATCTGTCTCCTGGTGCTGCTGCACTGGCTGATGGGAGGCGGCATCGTCGTTCTCCTTTGTATTCAGCGGCGATGCGAAGCCCAGCAATTTAAAATATTTCGGCTCGAGATCGAGTTTTTTGCGTTCCAAGCCCACCCGCAAATTCTCCTGCAAGTAGCAAAAGCAAATCAATCAATCAGTCAATCTGTCAATCAATCAATTGTAGTTTGTAGTACCGATAATGAATGTGTAAATATTTGAAGTACATAAATACGAATATATTTGCATATAGTATAAGTCAACTGTTTGACAAAGTTGCGTGACAAGCTCTGTGGTCTGTGCTCTGTTTTGAGATATATATTTTGTTAATCAATAAGTAAGTCAAAATCAATATATTTTAGTTTCGACACCGCCCAGCCAAGTTGACCAGATGAAGACACGCAAATGTTGCCGACAGCATTGCGTACAAATATTATTTGAAGGGCGCTCCTTTTATTAAAAAAAATAACTCAGAACTTAGGCATAATAATAAACAAGTCATTTGGCATGGCCTGTAAAATAAACTTTATAGAAAGTGTCATTAACAAAAATGTTGAAAGAAGAGCAACAAACCAAATGCGAGGAATAAGGCGACAACTTCCAACTTATTCAGAATACATATTCTTGAACAGATTCTCAATTTGTCTAATATCAGAATAGGTTAATTCTTAAATGATCTTATTTAGTTAGTTCAGTTGAACTCTCACTCAAAATAAATGATTGAACTGTATATAATGGGTTTAATCATCATCATCAAAAACTATATGTATTCCAGTTTACCCAATTAATTTTCAACTTTCGATATTGAACGGAGTAAACAAATTTAATTCTGATTAGGCAAACACACAGAGAGAAGGTGATTTAGTCCCAATGGACACACCGACAGTCAAATTATGTTAACAATGGAATATTTTTCGTGCTTTTCAGTGTTGACCTCAAATTTACGGCTCCGATGGGCGTGTCACATGCCACTAAAGAGTTTGTCCTCTGTAACAGATTGTGGGTGCCCCCAAAAACAAAACAAGCCTGCCCGGGGCATGCTGGAGGCAGGGGAGGCGTCTCCAATGATTGTCATCGCCGCAAATCGCATGACAGCTTGAAATCCGGCCAAGCAATGTATTCCTGCCACCAATTGGAGCGTCAGCAAACCCAATCATGGCTTATGCCAATTCAAATTTTATTAAAACTTCGACAAGACGACAATTGTACCAAATCTAAGCTTTTTATACATTTTTATTAAAAAAAAAATGCAGATTTACAATCCCATCGAACAACAGAGATAAAATACTTTAACTACAATTCTTGGCTTTATACAGACTCAATGATCGTTTCAAATTCCTTCAAACTGCAATAGCTTTAATAAAATTAAGGACTACCCACATCATTTATCGTCTAGGAGTTGCTATTGATTCAATTTATTGATACAAGGGAATTTATTTTATAAAAATATTAAAAAATGTTGTTTTGCAAATGTTTCTGTCAATCATTGACGAAGATTCCTAAAATCAAAGTTGGCTTTAAACTATACTTCAAATCAACCTCAAATCTGATACGAAAATACAATCAAATCAAATCTGACACGAAAATAGGACAACAAAATTAAACATTCAGTTGATTTAAAAATATTGTAGATATTTGAATTTTGATTTGCAGATTGAGCAAAATGGAGGCAGCAACACTTCCAATGAACGAGGATCAAATGCAAGAAATACGCGATGCTTTCAAAGCGCTCGGTCCAGATGACAGTGGCAAAATCTCCGCCAAGAAGATGGGGATTGCGATGCGATCGCTGGGACATTTCCCCACCGAGGCGGAACTGTACGATCTGTTCGATGAAATCGATACGGATGGTGATGGTCTGATTAATTTGCTGGAGTTTGAACAGATGATTGCGAAGCGCATGGAGGGTCTGGGCAAGGATGAGAATCTAATGGCGATCTTTAAGCTATTTGATCGCGACGAGGACGGCTTCATAACACCCGTCGAGATGCGCAATGTTATGTACAATCTAGGCGAAAGGTGCTCCGATGAGGAGTTCAATGAAATGATGAAAGAAATCGATGCCGACAACGATGGCAAAATTAGCTATCAAGACTTTGTCAACGGTGTCAGGTACTGAAAGAAAGTTTCTCTGCTCTAATTCAATTAAACAATCAATTCTTGATTCTTGACAAAAAAAAATAAAAAAAATATATGTACATGCACTTACCATATGTGTATTATATAAGTTGTTTAGCATATCGAACGAATTTCTGTTGCTGTGCACGAGGCGCTGAGCAATGCCAGGTCAGGGATCAGGGGGCAGGGTAACCAAGGGCATATTAGGGCAGACTCGACCAGCACGCAGCGCCTGCAAGTCGGGGTATTATGGTGCTATTCTTCTTATTGCTTTTCTACCATCCTGCGCCGCTGCACGTGAGCAACAATTACAGTGTGGAATTCAGTTTGTGTGCGCGTGACACAAAATGGTCGCATGTGGCTAATGGCGCTTCCTCGGAGGGGGATGAGGGGGGAGAAGGCGTCATTACACACGAACAAACACAGACACACAGAAATAAATTCTACCTTCGATAATATACATACAATAAAAAGTGCAGCAAATCCTTATTACGATCAGCATTTGTATATTCAACTAGGAGCCATCATTTTGTTGCTGCTTTTTTTTTTTGGTTTATTGTAAATTTTACACAAGTGCAAACTATGCTATCTATATATATATATATCTACATACTTCGGATATCAGAGACTTGCTTGTTTTTGGAGACATCTATAAACATTTTAGGGCACTTCATTTTGACGTTCGCAATCAGCGCATGGTAAATCAAAGACTTACCCGCTTTTGGCGACATCTATTAACATTTTAGGGCACTTCAGTTTGACGTTCGTAATCAGCGCATGTAAATCAAAGACTTACCCGCTTTTGGCGACATCTATTAACATTTTATGGCACTTAATTTTTGAGGTTAGCAAAAAGCAGACGAGGCTTGCACTTTAGTGCACCAAGGCCCCCTTCGGCAATGTGCAAGGGTTGCCATATATGCCAATTGTACCAAATTGGCACCAACATTTTTGACAGCGAGGATTTTTTTTATAATAGCCGTATATAACCGTGCTGCCTTGTGGCCTTTGAGCTTTAAAGACTGTGTATGTGTAATGTGAACGTGGCAGCTAGTAGGAGGAGGCCATTGGGCTGTCCTCTAGGTCATCATCCAATACACACACAAACACGCGCACACACACACACACACACACACACATTTGTGTGCTATATTATATTAAATTATTAAAGAATATCGAGCGTGACAGGGCTGAAGAACTGCATGCTAACTAAAGTAGCCGGAGTCTCATGTCACAGCAAACCATCCAATTAATGGATGTCAACGGTTCAGGGTTCAGGGGTCAGTTTGCTAGTCTGTCTGACAAGTTTTGTGCTTAGACAATGTTCGACGATGGCAACACCTAAACATACAAAAAGAAAAATCGAGCCATATTCAAATTGCTGTATTTGCAAGCAGAAACAAAATGTTCACAATTCTATTGCGCAGTTTCTTCATAATGCATGTGGGCAGACAAAGTAGAGATAACGGTAATCAAAATATTGCTTTGATTTTCGGTGTTTTAGCAGATCAGTGTGAATTCTACTAAGTATTTTGAATATCAATTTCTCAAAATAAAAAAAAACGAATTACTAAAAGACGCGTATTAAAAAAAAAATAAGTATTTTGGGTATAACAGCTAATTAAGTTGTTTATATTATTTGTAATAAAACTATGTAGAAAAAAATGTGCTTTGTTATCTATTTACTGCTATGTTATTTATTTATTTATTGAACTCGAGCCATACGTCCACAATAAAGTACTTGTTGTTTAGACTCAAAGGTCTATGATTTAATTTGTTTGCACGTAGGAATATTTGAAGGCAACTTTTATTTGAAATACATGTGAGAATTCACACACATATACAAATGTATATAAAAATGTGTGTTCTATTTGTCAGCCGTGAAAAGATTTCTCAGAATGTGCAATGAATTTGATGACGTACAAACATATCTAATTACACACACACATATTTATATATATATATATATATATATATATATATGTATATATATTACAATATATTTTAGTTTGATCGTGCTGAATGCGTGTGAGTAGCTTGTGGCCACTTGACAATATTACAAGCAGCTATCTTCTGTCAACAATTCGCAATTCGTCTTGCTTCGATTGTCAATGTGACACCCATCATATAGTATCAAGTATTTATTTATTACTTATATTATGTATGTGTGTCTACAGAAATCATGTGCAACTGTTACTGTAACTGTAACACGACCTAAGCACGACGACCAAGGCAAGTACTTGCGTCGAAACCAGTTTTCATTGATTCCACAGCAAATAGAGACCACCAACTGAAAACAATAAGCTTTCTGTAGTCTGTTGTCTGTTTTATTATTTTTTTTGTTTGGTTTTGTGAGAACAAGTTTATCAGCAGTCGGAAACAAAAAGTCACATGTATTAAAATTATAAGCATTTGCACATAGCTGATACATATGTATATATTGAACAAACAACGCTGCAGTAAAAACAACTAATTTAGCATTAGTCATTGTTATGGCATTCCTTAAGTATGGGTTCTCGTTGATTATTGGGGCAGTGTTATAAATCAACTCAATCATTCGGTAAGTTTAAATAATCATTATCTGTGATAAGATTTGATTTGTATTTATAGTAGATAGCTCACATATTGCCCATTCAAGCCAGCTAACCAACCAATCTCCAATTTCAGTTAAGTTTCTCATGAGGTGGTAATTAAAAACCAAATTGAGGCTACAAAGTTGCTTAAAGCCAAAACCAAAGTGAGAGCATGAAACTCAATATATGCACACATTAGGGCCGGAAAGTGGCTGCCGCAATCTAATTAAAGTCAACAATAAACGTTCTCGGCCACATAAAATGAAAGCAAACACAACTCGAGTCAAGGGAGGTCGCTAACTTAATCATAAAGTACATTCATATACACATATATATAATATATATATGTATATATCTAGCATGTGTGTTTTGTGTGTGTTTATTTGAGGAGGTGGCACAAGGAAAGTTTTATATGGCATTATTTGCATGTAAACTAGAAACGGCTGGTAAAGTTAAAGGCTTCCCTACTTCTCCACTTAATGGCCGGAAGTCGAGGAATGGCAAATGATGATGGAATGCTGGCATGTGCTACTAGCCATCCAAATGATATTATCTTCTGGCTCATTTACTTATTATTTGCTAGTTCACAGCAGACAGTTTGTCTACGCGGTTATTTTAGAGCCGAAGACGTTTTTCAATTTGACTAAAAGCTTCCATTGAAAATGTGTGGCAAGTAAGCTGAAATGCTTGTCCCATTGATATGCGGTCCACAGCTCAAACTGAGACTGTTTTTGAGGGCCGTGTGAACCAACCAAATATTGGGTATTATTATTATAATACATAAATACAGGCTATATCACAAACAGTTCAAGGACATTTTATCTGACTCTTGACAGCTGCCAAACACTTTGCCAAAAAATAAGAGGGCTCCAAATGCTAATAACATATACAAACTTTGTGTATGACTAATACACCGAAAAAAGCCAATTAAATTTTATAATTACTCAATGTAAAACTGTTCACCATTTAACAATAACAGCACAATTAGTTGCATTAAAAACAAAGAGTTGCTGATAAATACCGATTACTGCTGAATGAAATCCGAAAAGCTTTTCCCCATTTTTGCAGTCGGCTGAGAGCCTGCAGCACGTAACCACAACAATGTTATCACAACCAAAAAAAAAAAACGTTAATCGAGCTGAAAACGAAAAAAATAGTTACGCCCCACAAAAGTGTTTAGGTGCGAGTAAATAAATAAATAAATTTCAATGGCTAAAGCTTCGGTAAATAGATAACAACCTGAGTTATATGATTGAGACACAGAGAGAGAGAGAGAGAAAGATATGAATTTACTCACCTGAAACTCTTTGAGCTGTTGATGCGTCTGCACCACAATATGCTTGAACGAGTCGTTTGGCTCCCCAGCTGGCCCGAATGCAATGAAAACGATCGTTGCGATTATCACTCCGATTAGTATCAGTATTAAGTGTTTAGTTCGCATGGCCGCTAGAGGAGATTTTGTTTTCGCTTTATAGGCAATTTTGCGGGCAAAAATGCGCTTCAGAGTTAGTGAGGCCTCCAGTCTGATGGCCGTTTCTCTGCTCCCAATAATGTTATATCAACAGAAATAATTCAACAATCGATGGATTGAAACCATTTTAAAATGTAGCCATTTGCGTGTTTTAGGTTTTCTTTTTTTTTTGCATTACAATTTTGAATTTTTGTTCGATTTATAAACTATTTATCTGTGTTGTCTGGCGCGGCTTCTTCACATTGTTGATATTTATAGTTAGTTAGCACGTTGTCAATATCTAGCCAAAGCAAAAGTACAAAAATAAACATATTTCAATTAATTATTGCTTATCATTCTGTACACATAAATACACCTAAGTACACAGTATATACATATATATATTTTTTTTGTATTGGGCAACCAAATAAAATGTGCCTATTGCATGCACATACATATATTCAAATATAAATGCAAAGTATTCATTGAACTATAAAAAAAACCACATTCCGATATCCGGATAAACAAATGTATTCACTCAAATGCCGATTGCTCTACTGCTCTATTGTGCCTTTTTCTCGTACATCACACGTGTGCCTGAACAGTGAGTGCAAGCAGCCTGCCTACGCGTTATTGCTAATTCATTTTGATATACGGCTAATTTTAATAAGCAATAAGATTATATAATCAATCAATGACAAGCTTAACAATTATATCACTATTTGGAAATAAATCACTGCTTTCTGTTATGTGCGATAAGTGCTGAAAGTGAGTGTGTTTGTATGTCCATATGTGCGCCGCCTTCACCTTCGTGGGTTGATTTTATGGCGCACAGCCGAAGCCGAATCAGAAGCAAATGCAAAAAGTACAAGGTGAGCGCTTAATGAATAGACAATATCTTCCTTTCGTCTGCTCTGTTGCGAATATTGTTGAATGCAAGCGATTGCACTCGATTGTTCATTGGCAGATGTGATTTTACATGGCTCCGACTCTTTGTAATTTAAAGCGTTTGTGCATCGTTCAAAGACGTCGACGACGCCGCTTTTGTTGTTGTTGTTCTTTGATGCTGCAGTTACTTGTACTTTTTTTTTGTTGGGGTGGAGCTGGCAGCACTTTACCGGCGCAGCCTCCATTAAACGAGAACTTATTTGATAAGCCCGAACACACTCACACTCATCCTGATATGTACATATGAATGCTGTTATCGCGTGCTTTTACATAATTTGTTCTATTAACTTTCACTTTCTGAGAGCGAGCGAACAAATGATAGATCCGTTTGCTTTCAGCGCTTCACCGATGTCCGACAACTACTTTTCGAGTATAAACAAATGAAACTACTCCTCAGCTTGAGATGTGTGCAGACCGATACTTTTTGCTATTAATAACGCATCTATGCGCGACACAAATCGGCGCAGTATATCGATAACTAATTTTGGTACGAAAAATTAATACAAATATTGTAAAATAAACTAAATAAATATTTCGCATATTTTAATAGTTTCTTTGAGGATATTTCGTTGCTATTATTGCTTATTATTATTTAGAATATGTTTAAATCGAGCCAATTTGTTTAATATAAAATTATATGTTAATGTTAACAACAGCTGTGCTTAGTGCGGTTCAGTAATGACACTCTTAACAGCTGTCGGTAGAGAGCACAAATGTAAATGCAGTAGCACATCGACAAAAGTCAGACTTTCCGTTATTTTAAACGCCAGTTTGATATTAACTTGCAAAGTCAAGAATTTGTATAAAAGTACATTAGTAATTACTTCCAAATTTAAAGAAAAATAATTTTTTTATTTATTTATTTATTTTTCCTATAAAATGATTTATTTTATTTTAAAACTAATAGAAAAAACTGAATTTGTAATTAGAAAATATTAGAGCCAGTTTGTTAAATGTAGTGTTGTAAAATTCGAACTGTCGATAATGCAACACCGATAACAAGCAGACAGAGTTGTCAGTTTCTTGAATTGGTTAACGACAATATAGGGACTGCGTCGCTAGGAGAGAAAATATGTGTTAAATGCGAGCATAGTTAAAAAAATAGCTTATATACCAAATAAACTAGTTACAATTACATCGGAAAGTGCAGGCTAAGCCAGCCTGTATTGTGTATGACAATGAACATATACAACAAATTACGTTGCCGAGAACATGGACTTGGTAAGCAAAAATAAAATAAAAAGAAATCGTTGCGCGGGCAATTCGTGGAATTTTGGCGCTCGAAATGCATTTTTAGAGCGCGCATTTGCTCCTTTCGCGGCTAATTCGAGCGCCAAAAGTTGTAAGTTGCAGGTGAATAATAATAATAAAACTCATTCAATGTGTGTTGCAATTTTAATTGCAAACCACAAAGCAAAATTTGCTGCGTTTGCGAAATTGACGCAAGAGAAACTAGAACGTAAACAATGCATTTGCATTTCGCACTAATTTTGTTTTTCTTTTCTCTTTATTTTTTTTTAATATGCTTCTTGCCTCGCTTCCGCAGTCAATGAGCACAGTTACGACTTTGCCCTGAGTCGCCTGTGTGTGTCCAGAGAGGACAGTTGGCGTGGCATTGCCCCAGCCAATTATAGTCTCGACTTCAATCCGGAACCGCCAATTTTCTCGGCCAAATTCGCCAATTGTGATGGCTACAGGCACATTCTGGCCATTGCAAATGAGGATGGCAAGATTGCGCTGCAGGATACGACAGTGCGCAATCGAGAGCCCGAGGAGCAATCGCTGAGTGGGCCACAATGTCATTTCAATGCTGTCTTCGATCTGGAATGGGCGCCGGGACAAATGCGTTTTGTATCCGCTTCTGGCGATCATACGGCTCGCTTGTGGGAAGTTACCGGCTCTGGCATACGCGGACTCAGCTCCTATTTGGGTCACACACGCTCCGTGAAGACTGCCGCTTTTAAGCGCACAGATCCGGCTGTATTCGCAACGGGTGGTCGCGATGGTGCCATTCTGATTTGGGATATACGCGCCAATCTCAATATGGATTTGACGTCGCGTGTGGACAATTGTATTTACAGTGGACACTCAGGCGGACCGGGCACACCGCAATCGCAACGTAAACAACGCACACGGACGCCCAAGATGTCCAATGGCAGCAATACGTCGAGTAGCATCACAGGATTGGCATTCCAGGACAACAATACGCTCATCTCTTGCGGTGCCGGCGATGGTGTTATTAAAGTCTGGGATCTGCGGCGTAATTATACGGCTTATAGGAAGGAACCACTGCCGCGTCATAGTTTACCCTATGCAGGTCATTCCACATTCAAAGGGTTCACCAATCTAATTGTGGACGCAGCCGGGACACGTTTGTATGCCAATTGCATGGACAACACCATTTACTGCTACAATCTCGTCTCCTACGCACCCAAACCACTGGCCAGCTACAAGGGACTCCTCAACTCGACGTTCTACATTAAGAGCTGCCTGAGTCCGGACGGCAAGTATTTGCTGAGCGGCAGCAGTGATGAGCGTGCCTATATCTGGAATTTGGAGCATGCGTCGGAGCCACTGGTCGCCCTGGCCGGCCACACTGTCGAGGTGACTTGTGTTGCGTGGGGCAGCACGCACGATCGTCCCATAGTCACGTGCAGCGACGATGCACGCCACAAAATCTGGCGCATTGGACCGACGCCGGAGTCACTAACAGCGGCGGAGATTGCCGAACAATATCGCGGCCAGGCGAGCTATGTGCGTCAATTTGATCGCCAGCCAAAGGCGGCCACCCAACACAAATACAATCTGCGAGAGTTAGAGTCGACGCCACGCTCACTCAAGCGTCTCATGGAGCAGAACGAGCGCACGCCCAGCTCTGTGGAGAAGGTGAGCACAAAGCGTTCGTTCCTCGAGATGTTGGGCGCGGCGAGCAGCGATGCGAATGTGGAGCAGCCACAACTGAAGCGCACCAAGCCACTTGAGCCGCGAGGTCGCCGCCTGTTTGGACCCACTTGCAGCAGCAGCAGCAGTCAGCAGCTGGCATTGACCGCCATTGGCGAGGAGGAACACCTAATAGTCGCCAATCAGGAGAACAGTGCCGAGGATACAGTGTCGCCAGTGCTGCCCGCCTGTTGCAAGTTGCTGCAGCCAACGCCACTCAGCGAACAGCATTTGAATCATCATCACATTCCGCCCGCCTACACCTCGCCACCAACAACATCAGCGCAAGCAGCGGCAACAGCAGCAGCAGCTGAGGCTGCAACAGCAGCATCCGCCAGTTCCACATCGCTGTCCGCCTTAATCTACTCCCCCACCTCCAATCTGCCCAATTATGTGGTCGATGGCGAGGCGCCGCACTTGGGCATCATGTCGCCCAAGCGGAAGGCCAAAGAGAAAGTCGATTGGCTGACGAAAATACGCAAACAGAAGCTCAGCTCGAGCAGCCGATCGATTGTCACCCTCTCGGACAAAATGGGCAGCGAGGAGGCCACAACGACATCGAATGCGGATATGTTGGCCTCGCCTCGCCTGCAGAGTCTGCGCAACTCGGAGTGCAGTCCCCGGCTGCAGGCCAGTCCGCGACGTCGCATCTCACACAACGATTCGGGGGCAGCTCATCTGCGCACGCCCACCTCCAGTCGGCGGAACAGTGAGACAACGTTGCTGCGCTTCTTTAGCGTGCAACGAACTAGTGGCAGCAACAACAGCAACAGCGATGATCTTGCAGATGCAGTGCCAAGTCTGCTTAGCTCTGTGGATTTGGAGTTGCCGGCGATGTCGCCGCCACCAGCAGCAACAGCATCATCATCATCGACAGCAGCAACGCCAACTGTGGCAACAGTCGTGGGAAGCGATTGACAGCGCCCTCTGCTTATCCTTGGGCCTGCTAATGCTAATCATCCAACTGGTCTGCTGCTGTTGATCAACCTTAGGCCAACTGATGCGCATCCTTTGGCCAGCTGCTGATGATGCAACTGGGCAGCTGATGATGATCCTCCACTGTCCTCTGCTGATGGTCCTCCACTGGCCTCTGCTGATGCTCATCGTTTGGCCTCTGGTGATGACCTCCCAATTGGTCTGCTGCTGCTGATCATCCTTTGGCCAGATGATGTTCTGCCCAACTCCATCCCAAAACCCAATCCATAACTAGTTTTAACTGGACATATTAATTGTATGTAGTCTTAAGTGAATCAGCTATTCTTTTTTTTGTACAGTAGCCAACAAATAGGACTAAATATATAAAATAGAATACACATATCTGTAAGATCTACTACTAATAGCATATACATATATCTATGTAGCTGTAAAGCTACTACGAATATAATATATATATATATATATCTGTAAGATCAACTGACATGCATGCACTTTTGGCTGGGTCAATATAATGACAATAAAAACTGAATTTGTTTTGATGATGAAAACAATAATTTTGATGCGATTTTTGCGCTTCTTAATTATGTTAAATATGCACAAATAATAAATATAAATTCGTTAAGCTACAACTGACTAATATTTATATTATAAACAATAGAAACTGAATTTGTTTTTGATGAAAATGTTGACTGCCATTCTTAATTATGTTTATAATTTGTGAAATAAATTCATTTTGAAACGAGCCACGAATATTTGCTCCGCTATAGTTTATATTTTAATAATAATAATACATTATAATTAAAGTAGAATAAATCGAATGGTTTTGTTTCTCAACGAGCTGTCTTTTTATTATTAAAAATTGTACACAAAAGTCTTTCAATTTGTTTATTGCTGTTTTTTGGTTAATAGTTTTGGTTGGCCATTTTGCTGCAACTTCGATTGTTGTTGCCTCACTGCGGCATTCAGGCGCATCGTGTGAAAGATTTGCCTTGCCACGCCCACCAGCAACACCAGATGGCACAAGTGGAGTGCGAGGCTCGAGACTTGCGTGCTGGGATAGGTGTTCCAGCAGTACTCAACGATGCCCAGCAACAGAAAACGAACGCCCAGCGAATACGGCGTAGACCAAACCAAATACGGCAGCGTGTGAAAATACCAAACATAAAACTGATAATGCAACGAACGAGCGCAAGCAATCCCAATGAAGTTGCACACGAAGAACGGCAAGAGAGCCAGCTGGGTGCACTGCTCGAAGTGGATGCCATAGCTGCCTTCCGGTTGTGCCTCGATAGCATTTGCTGCTGGCTTGCGACCCGTTGACTGCTGCAGTCCCTTCTCGTATGCCTTGAGAAAGGATTTTTGCTCACTGCTCAGCTGCTGATTCGATTCCTCCAACGATTTCTTGGACTTGGCTTTGCTTTTGCTTTGGCTTTGGAGTAGCTCGCGATTCTTGCGGTCCAGCTGCGGCTGCAACTGTTGCTGCACCAGACGCAATCGCACATAGCTCCTGAAGAACGTCCACGTTGGCCGGGCAAAGCAGAGCAGCAACACCAGATGCATTCCGAGCAGGCATATATGAAAGTCGCGTCGCTCGAAGAACTCTCGGCTCAGGAATCGATAGTTGACCGTCCATTTGTGCTCAAAGATGCGACCCAAATCGAAGCTGCCGCGTAAGTATTCCAGCGGATGCGTGAGCAGAAATGGAACACCCAACAGCAGTTGTATCCCAGCGCAAAGGGTGAGCTGTAGCAGTGTTTTGATCCAGCCCAGATTGGCCAGATAGAACAGCAGCAAGGCGGGCGCAAAGAGCAGAATATTCATTTTGACGCCGACCGCTAAACTGAAGCAGATGCTGCCCCAAGTCCAGCGACGATCCATGAATAGATTTAGAGCCGCATAGAGCAGGAGAATGGCCACCGGATCATTGAAGAGCCGGAGCACGTAGATCGAGTGGATGCGATAGGAGGTGAAGGCACTCAGCACCAGGACGTAAGGCGGCACTTTGCGGCTCTTCGCATAGAGCCGTAAGACGAGGCACATTTGCAGCAGATAAATGCCGGCGAATATGTACTGGGCGAGACGCACATTGCTGCCGTGCGATGTTATAAAATAGAGGGCCGAGTAAATGTAAACAAATGCAGCCGGATAAACCAACGGACCCGTGTCACCTGCAAGAGATATAACATATTCAAAAATCAATTTATTTAGCGCGCATTCAGTGCCGAACTAGTTGTTAATGAACAAGTAACGCTAGCTTGTGAGCGAACTGTTTACTTATCACCCTGTGACTGCCAAAATGAAAAGAAAAAAAATCAAATACGATTTAAAGAGGTGCACAAATAGCTCTCTACGGAACTAGTAGCAAATGAACAAAGTTAGCTTAAACAAACTGCAACCCTTTGATTGTCAAAATGTCAAAGTGGGAATAAAAGCAAACCAGCTAGAAAACATTTTGTATAAATAAAAATAACATTCAAATATAATTTATAGTAGCGAGCAAATCTTTCGGTTCGGAACTAGTTGTAAATGAACAAATAAAGCTAGTTTGTGAGCGAGCTGCTTATCTGCCACCCTGTGACTCTGTCAAAGTGTCAAGTGAGAGAACAAAAAGAAAAGCAAGAGCGAGAGAACATTATTATATTGTAAGCAGCATGGAGGTTATTACGGCATGTTGTTAGAGCTGCCAGCCAAATAGAGAACAGATTAATCGAGTTTAATAAGTTAATGGACAAAATGATTTCGTATAAAAATTTATGTGTTTTGCGCCAGCTGCCACTAAGGAGCTGCTGCAGCCGACAATACAACGCCATTCAACTGAGCACAGCACTGCGGACAGCGAAGAATTCTTGGAATCCGAATCCGACGGCTGTCATCGCCTCCGCCGCCTGGCAACAGAGGGCGACGCAACAGCAGCGACAAGAGCGCAACATTTACACGACGAGCCGACAGCAGGCAAAGGACTATTATACGACACTGGGCGTGGCCAAGAATGCCAACGGAAAAGACATTAAAAAAGCCTACTATGATCTGGCCAAGAAATACCATCCGGACACCAATAAAGATGATCCAGATGCAAGCAAAAAGTTCCAAGAAGTGAGCGAGGCTTATGAAGTGTTGAGCGACGAGCAGAAGCGACGCGAATACGACACCTATGGTCAGACGTCGGAAAATATGCATCGACAGGGTGGCGCTGGTGGTGGTTTTGGTGGCGGCCCCTTTGGGCCGGAGGGCTTCTCACAGAACTGGCAATTTCGCTCCACCATCGATCCGGAGGAACTTTTCCGCAAAATCTTTGGCGAGGGCAATTTTCGCAGCAATAGTTTCGATGATTTTGCCGATTCCAAATTTGGTTTTGGCCAGGCACAAGAGCTAGTCATGGATCTGAGCTTTGCCCAGGCGGCGCGTGGCATTAACAAGGATGTTAACATCAACGTTGTCGATCAGTGTCCCAAATGTGCCGGCTCCAAATGTGAGCCGGGCACCAAACCCGGCCGTTGTCAATATTGCAATGGCAGCGGTTTCGAAACGATATCGACGGGTCCATTTGTGATGCGCTCTACGTGCCGCTATTGCCAAGGCACCCGTCAATATATCAAATACCCATGTGCCGAGTGCGAGGGCAAGGGACGAACGGTGCAGCGTCGCAAGGTGACCGTACCCGTGCCCGCCGGCATCGAGAATGGACAAACGGTGCGCATGCAAGTCGGTGCCAAGGAACTGTTTGTCACGTTCCGTGTGGAGCGCAGTGATTACTTCCGGCGTGATGGTGCCGATGTGCACACAGATGCACCCATCTCCCTCGCCCAGGCAGTGCTCGGCGGCACGGTGCGTGTACAGGGCGTCTACGAGGATCAGTGGCTGAATATTGAGCCAGGCACCTCATCGCACCGGCAGATTGCGTTGCGTGGCAAGGGACTGAAGCGGGTGAATGCCCATGGGCATGGCGATCACTACGTGCACATCAAGATCGATGTGCCCAAAAAGCTGACTGAACAGCAGCGGGAACTGCTCGTGGCGTATGCAGAACTGGAGCAGGATACGCCGGGTCAGATTCATGGCATGGCACAGCGGAAAGATGGCAGTAAGAAAGCAACGTAAATACATCATTTATTGTAGTTCCCTTCTCGTTCGATAATTGTAATAGTTGAAATGAATTAATATTCTCTTTTTACTTAATATAAGTCATTCGTAAAATTTTAAACTCGTTTAATCAATCTTTGCATCTGTATCTCTTCTTCTTTCCCTCTCTCGTATGATTTGCAGCGCAGGTGCCAGTGAAGCAGGAAATCAAGCAAAGGAAAACAGCGATCGAGGGACAACAGCAGAAGCAGCAGCAGCGAAAGACGAACAAAGTGAAAAGTCAAAAACACGCGGCGGCGAACAGCAAAGCGGACGAGGCGACAGCCAAAGTGAAGGCGGAGGCTTCTTGAACAAAATCAAATCTATGTTCAACTAAGTGGGAGCGGATGTGATTTTTTGTTTGTTTTCTTTGTTTTGAAAGATACAAATGTGTTTTAATTTAAGCCTGTTACATGCCAACATTTTGGTCATCAATGCTGTCAAATGTAAAAAGCAAATAGCAAAATACACCAAAATTTACAGTTAACTCATTGTGCTTGCAATGTGAGTTAGCTCTTTGTACTTCAGCACATGCTTAATGAAATGTGGCATATACTTAAAAAGTATGGCCTCTGGCTGCTGCCTGCCGCCTAGTTTCCAAAAATAAACTGCGAGCAGGCGGCGGCGGTAGCAACAAAAACTACTTCTTACCTCTCAGCAACGCATAATTTGTTGTGCCATTCAAAAAGCCTTCGCATTCCTGCAAGTTGAAAGCATTAGTTGTTTTTTTTTTTATAAGGGTTGACCTTTATCTGTCGGGTTGCTCACCTGCATGTAGGCAACCCAGTCGATTTCTGTGTAAGGCACTCGTCGGATGACAAACACGTTGATAAGCGCCTCGGCCAAAACAATCAGCACCGACACAATTGGCAACGCAGCCGGCTCGAATATCAGATATTTGACATAATTCCAATTGGCATACTTGTCTCGTAGCATCAGCAGCAGGTTTTTATCCTTTTTGCGCCTGGCTGCAGGCCGATTATTGGCTCGCGGCGGTGCCATTTATTTATGTGTTAATAAATATTTTTGCGGTTAAATTATATGCACACACACAAACACGCACACACAATCGCCATCACATGCTAAGCTATGGTCACACCAAAAACTTTAACAGTTGCTCAACTGTTATTAACAGCGCGCCCTAATTTGTTTTGAAATATGGCATTACTCAATATTAAGTTTTTTAATTGTAACGAAGAATTTATAGAAAAATTGCAAATGATTATTGAACTAAACAGCTGAAATCCACCTTATAATGTTAAAAAGCACCTTTTCGTTATGAACGAAATAATAAAGATTCTTGTCAAATACCTATTTTTGTTCAGATCATGAGACGAGCTAAAAATGGGTCAAGAAAAACAGCTGATAAAACGAACTTGCGATAACGATTTATCAAATTTTTGTAGGTGGCGCTAATCGATAACATTTCAGAATCGACAGAAAATATTGCATACTATCGAGCAACCGGTAAGAAAAAGTTTAGATTGACAAAGTACAAACTGTTGATAACTGAAAATTTCTTATTTTATGGACCATATTTTGAAAGAAAATACCATTCTTCAATTTTGCCGCCGAAAATAAAGCCCAATCGACTTGCAGCCAATTTGAGAGACTCCGCAGTGTGTTCGTCAATTGGCCCTGCAAAAGGAAAACAGATCCGTCCTAATCAACCTCCTCCTCGTCTCTTGCGGGACGTATTAGGAGCGAAGGGCAAACTGTGGCTCCATGCTACTGTACTCACTGTACACTCAGAAAAAATAGCCCTTTTATTACGTAGTTATTATTGTTTTCCAAAATCAGGCTCAGTTTTCGCAGCAGTTTAGAGAGTTTTACCATTCGATTTTTTCTTAAAATGAGATTTTCTAAAATAACGGGCCATTTTTCTTCCGAGTGTAGGCATGTAAATGCTGGGCATTTAAAGGTTCCAAGTTTCCTGTAATTTTTGCTCTGTTCACTCCTCAGCCGGCGTTTAATTGTCAAGCCTCGGATGCGGATGTTTTTCTGATTTTCACTTTTCCGATGTAGCAACTATTTTTTCAATGTATGTATATATATATATATATATATATATATATATATAACCATACATTCTTCACGAATTTATTCGCAAAAAAGTTGACAAATGGCATGCAAACAGTTTCCATGTCCAGGTGAACTGCTCAAATGGCCGTAATTACGCCAGGGGCAGAGATGTGCGGCAGAAATGGGCGAATTGTGGACGACATGGTCATTCATCCATGTGGATGTCGAGCGAAAGTTTAATGGAACGTTCTACGTGAGGAATGCAATGGAGGAGGGCACCAGCATATTTTAGCAAATGCATCGAGGAATTTAAGAGAAGAGAATTTAATTCAGAATTTGTTACATTCATGAATGCATTTTTGTCTTAATCGAATCCTTTTTCTTTATTACAAGTAAACGAACATACACATTCTCTTAGCTGTGTAATTAATAATAAACAGTGCTCCAGAAATTGGAAGTCAAGTAGTTAACGCAAAAAATTAAATATTATCTTCAACTTTGGACAAAGCTTAGTTATTCATATTACAAATACACACGTATTTGTGCATACATGCACTTAAAAAAATAAAATTAAATATGCATAACAAATTAAATATTTGCTTTTATCAATTCAAGTCGTTACTGAGCTTATGAGATTCTTAGATATTTCTAATCAATAATTTATATTTGGATTGAGAAAACTTCGCGCGGAATGTAAGAGTCTGAGATTGCAATATTAATTCGTGTTCTGTTCTCTGTTTTATTATTAGTTTATTAATTTATAAAGTTTAGACTTACATGTGTAAAAGCGAATTCATTCATAGCCCATTTTTATTTAAATTAATTACTATACACAATTAAGTCTACTTCCTCTAAACGAAGATTTAATCTTCCTATATTTCGTTTTATGAATAAGTAAATATGAATCACTTTCAGGAGTTGATTTGGGGATTTGTTTAATTAATTAAAACTTCTCGATTTAGATTTGAAACTTTTGTGAAATAAATGGCTATGTGATTAAATATTAATATATATTCATTTTGTGAATTTTGTAATACAAAATTCTATAAATAAGGATCACTGTGAATGGTTGTTGATAACGGCACTTTATTGTGTGCATATGTTGGCATCTTAGGATCCGTGAGTCGTTAAAGTGTACGCTAGTTATCATATTCACAGTTGCTGCATATGCATGTATGTATTTATATGTGTATGAATGTGTGTGTGTGTATGCATACATACTATAGAACTAAATCGGTCATTTCTTATCAGAGGCAACTGCCACCAATCCAATACAACGCTATACGCTGTACAAACAAACAGACACACACACACACATACACATTCACACACATGCATATGCATGTGTGTGCACAATGGGGGGCTTCTCCACAGATAACTAAAATATAGGCATTGAGTGCGAAAGTTGTTAATCAATACAATGTTCTATGCACAATGTACATAAGCACAATGCAGACAATGTACAGATACATACATGGACACATTTATATGTACATCTGTACATATATATATATATATATATATACATACATATTTACTTGCGATGCCTGCGTGAATGTTGCTATCAAAATAACTGATAATAAAATCAAGCAAGCAACAGAAAAATGTACAATGAAAGTCTGTACAGATGTTCATGCACACACATACATATATATACACAAACAAATGCATATGTATATATATGTGTATGTGTATGTGTATGCACTTATAACATAAATGTTTACTTCAAGCTGACAATCATTTTAATAGTTTCCATAGAGAACTTTGTACTGTGTGTTCCATGTACGTATGTAAATACTTTTAATTTATTTTATTCTTTCTTCAGGTTTTAAAAGGTAGACGACAAAAAAATAATAAAAATGCAACTACAACTTAACTGTTATGTTATTTAACATTCAAATGCAAATATATGTTTACATTCATATTTACATACATACATACATATGTACATCATTTGCATGTGCAACGTTAATATAAATACGTATATATACATATACGTAATATAAACGTAGGCGTAATGCGTAAAACAACTTAAACAACAATATGACGGCGAGCAACAAAAACATCAAATGTGTGATCTGAGCAGAGATCAACAACAACAAAGTTCGTGTCCCGTATGAATGCTTTTTTTTTCATCGCTATTCGCTATTTTGTTGCTTGTTGCTATTGCTATTGTTATGATAGCGAGCAGTGGCAGCAGCAATTGTTGCCATTACTTTTGCTTTTGCTTCTGCTTGTGAATTTGCTTTGGCACTTTGCTTTGTGTGTATACACAATACACAACGGAGGAGACGAGACACAAAGCGGCCAAACAAACAAACTGTTGATAATTGAGCAGACGCGGAGAACGCGAACTTTGCAAAGCACTCACCAACACACACACGACAAATGCATAAGTATGTAGTTAGAAACCCACACACACGCACGCATAGGCCTCAACATGACGATAGGTGAAGAGTAGTTGAATTGGGTGGGGGGTGTGAGTAACGGCACCATTTAAGAGTTCAATCATATCAGGCGTTGTTTTTGTCGCGCCGTGTCAATTTTGGACCGCCCTCCTCCTCCCCCCTTTATCAAATACCTTCCTGGTGATGTTGTTATACTCCACATATGCACTGCACATACACATTCGTTTTTGTATTTCTACATGTATGAGTAGATGTAATAAAAATAGCAAAAGAACAGCAAGATTTGGAATAGGCTTAGCTGATTTTGGTCGCGCTACAAAGTGCCTATCTAATTGTAAAACTGTAAACAAACTATACTAGAAACTAAAACTAAAATTAAAAATGAAAATATGTATGACAGCAGATAGCAGATAACTTTACAGATACTCAACAAATTATTCTCTGCATTTGATAACATTATGTGTTTGTGTGTGTGCGCACGTAGAGTGCATTTTAATGCAGGCTAACTAGATGGGACGACGACGACGACGGCAGCAGATTGCCGAAGTAAACGTTTTTTTTATATAGGGAAGCGTACCTTGTTGTTGTTATTGCTGCTGCTTCTGCCGACTGCCGATTGTCGACTGTCGACTGCCTGTTGCTGCTCTGCTCTCATTTGCCTATAGTATGCTATCTCGTTTGTTCGTCTGTACGTAATAAGCTTACTGCAAGTGTGTGTGGGTGCATGTGTAGCGGTGCTCGAACTTACATACATACACAACACATGCACACATACATGTATGTATGTACAATCAAACATATTTCGTTTAGCTTTCGTGCTGTTGCTGTTTACGAACCCAAGCAAGCAAGCAGTCAGCCAGGCAGGCAGCCATCGAGCAGCTGGGGCTGATTTCAGTTTTATTTTGTCAGTGGCCGCGTTCGGTTATCGGCGAGTTAACGGCGCGTTCAGCGACAGCCGTTTAAGGCCCCCAAAGCCCAGCTTTTACTTAAGTCACGAAAAACAGAAACAAGAACAAGAACAGAGAGCAAAGCAACAGTGATAAACGGCTTTAAATTGTTTCGTTTAAATATTTAAGTTGCGAGTTTTATTCCTTGTTTTATTCTTGGTAAATGAGACAAACTTAATTTATTTAACAAAATGTAAATAATTAGCTTAAGAGAAACAGATCAAGAGAAAAAAATAATAATACAAACATAAAACAAAACAAAAAAATAAAAAGCGAAAGCAAGCGCACAAGATAGGGCACATAAAAAAAAAACAGAAAAATAAAATCATTGTTATTGCATGGAAAATTACTACAAATTTCTTGATCGTCGAAGCTTCGAAAAGCAAAAGAAAACCAACAACAACAATAACAATTGGTTCGGCCATACAGTAAATTAAATGACCGGCAGTATTGTGCTTTTTTTGTGTGCGCGTGCCTGTGTGTGTATGTATGTAAATTTATGTACATATGTATGTGTGCCTAGGCTTTTGTTGGTATTATGCTAAAATTTAAGCTTATGAAATTTGTATGTTTTTTCGCGCCAAATGCATTCATGCTCAAATTCCACTTGTTTTTCTATGTAAAATAATTCAAAAATATCGTTTAGAGTATTTGGATACATTTCCAAATTCAAACAAAAATAATAGGCTAAGAAAAACTATCTTCTTGAACTCAATTCAAAAATAATTTTACACCCAAAATGTAGAAACATAAAATTTCCAATTTTACACCTTTCAATCATCGCTGGGTGGGTACAAAAATCAAGCGATAAATGTATAATCTTAAGAAATAAAAACATACACACACAAACACATTCGTATTTCATTCCGCACACACGGAAAACTTTTCTAAAAACAAAAATTGAGAAGAGAACAACAAAAAAAGCTGAAAATATATATGTTTACATACACATAAACACACACTCATACACACACAAACACACAAGCAAAGTCGACGCAGATGTAAAAACATTTTCAAACTAAAAAAATGTGTAAATTGTAAAATGTAACATATTTGAATATATTTTGTTTTGCTTGTTTCATATTTAATAAAAAAATCTCTTTCACAGTGTTTACTGCTATTTTTGTATGGTATCATTGATTTTATGTAAAAAAAACCAAAAAGAGAAAAGCTGCAGCGGTTATCAGACGATTACAGACCCAAACCTACATATATATATATATATACATATATACATATATTTTATATGTAACATACACATAAATACATTTCGTTTATGTATATGTAAGCGAATCAACGTGCCGCGTTATCAGCCTCGTGCAAAGAGAACAACAAAAATTCAAAAGCGATCTCAAAAGAACAAAAAAAAAGAAACTAAGAAGGTGCCGTGTTGTTGTTACGCCAATGATTTCCAAAGTTGCTGTTACCAACAACAATACCAAGAACAACAGCAACAACACCAACCATTGATAAAGAGCTGAACAGCAGAACATTTAAACGATTTCGTTGTCAGCGCCCCTATGGGTGAGTTGTTCATTCCTGCCTTTATTGGATTAATTAACAGCAGACAATAACTTATAGAAAAAATTAAATACTGTACAATGGAAGGAAAATAATATTATTGGTTATTTTCAGGCTGCAGTGCAATTTATCATGAAAATATGCAAAGTTTTACTTGATGCGTTCGAAACTACTTTTGAAAATGCATAATTTAGATAGATAGTTTAGATATTTTGAAAAGTTTTGATTTTTATAATGAATCTTCCCTTTTTTTTGTTAACTATTTGTAAAAACTCCACTTAACTGTGGAAAAATAATAAGAAGAAAAATATACCTTCTAATTAAAAGCTGCTTCTAAGCTGGACTTGATATCTGAAACTTCAATTTTCATTCCCTCAAAATAAAAGAAACGAATTCATTCGATTTTTAGCTAATTTTGTAATCAGAAGAAATCAAATATTTTACAACACTTCACACACTCACCAAAAACAACAAAAAGGCACAAAAACCACCAAAAATTCGTTGAGAAAATTGCCACTTGACCTACCACACGGAAATCTAAATTAAGCAGCCATTTTGTATGTGTTTTCTCTCTCTTCGAAGCTTGTTTTGCTGTATATTCGCATACATACAGACGACATACATACAAGTTGTGTTCTATGAGCGTAAAGATACAAGCATACATGCATACATACATACATGCATATGAGTAGTTTGTGGCGGCCCACCACATAAGTATGAGAGAGTATGCATGTGTGTGCACACATACATACATACATACTTGCATACATACATATTTGTTTTCTGCGTAAATTTTCTTCATTTCATTAGGCGTAGTTGTTCGCATTTACCTTGTGAGCCAATTGTTTGTTTCACCCACCCTGTAAACACAGGGTGTGTTATTCAAGTGATTCTACTATGTGTTTTTGTACTTAAATATCTTATAAAGTATTAATGATGTGATCTCGTTTTAGCGATATAGGGCATTCAAATAGTTTATCATATTTATTTCCGTAACTTATTTTTGTTTGTTTGTTTTTTGTGCGTTTTTAAGCTCATTTGTTGTTATGTTGACCTTTAACTTGCTGTGCATTCCACACGAATAATTTTTTTGACCCACATCGGCCGTTTGTATTATGTGCCTAATATAATTCGATTAGAGCTTGTCCCTTGGATAAACAACATTTTTGTGATTTAAAGAAAACAACATGCACTTACTAACTATTATTTAGAACTAATAACAAAACAAACTACAATAATGACAAACAAATGAAATACATTGTTAGCAATGTATATATTTATATTTATACAATAATACTAATAGCAACACTTTCAGACGAAATATGTGTGTTTTTTTTTAATATAGCAAAGCTTTAGGACCCTATTAAAATGCTTTTAGAAGTGGAAGAAGACCCTTCAAAAAAGTAAGGTAGAATAACATCAACATTTTAACCATCGTTTTCAACTTATTGGATTTTCATCAAAAGTTAAATTAAAAAATTGAATTTTACGAAAAATGTTGATAATGAACGAAAAACATTTATGAAAATTTGGAATAGATAAATGATTTCCACAAAGTGGTTAAGTGGTGCTATTATTTCAGGAGTAGTACTAATTTAAAATTATAATGGAGTACTAAACAATATATTAAAAATAAACATTTCAATTTACAAATGTACTTCTAAACTGAGAGCTTTGTCTCTCTCGCTCGCACTCTCTTATTTAACAGTTAACATTGCGTCTAATGCGGTCTAATAAAAAATGAAAACAAAACCAATAAAAAAAAGGCTAAGGAACTGGAAGCCGTTTATGCCAATTATGATATCAATTGTTGCTATGCCAACAAGCACCAGAGGGAACTCACGTAGTACTCGATATTGTGGTCGGTCGCATAACTGTTTTTTTCTTTTTGTTGCTAAGCGTGCTTAAAAATGTGTGCGAATGTGTTTGAGTGAGTGTGTGTGTGTGTGCTTAAATGACTGAAGTGTTGTCTGAACTATGTTCATATAGAAATTTAATTGAATGTTACAATAAATTTGTTGAATGCCCCATCCCCAGCAGCAGCAGCAGCAAGCAGACAACAAAATTTATCAACTGGAAATGTATACATTTTAACCTTGCGAAAGTTTTGATTATTGGAGAACTTTGGCAGAAATTTTTGATTGCTTTCAACTAATAGGTAAACTTCAACCTGCTTGTGTGTTTTGTGTTTGTACAACATTGTTGCTGTGTGTTAATGGCATCTGCAAATCTCTTAAGAAATAAACGAATAACCTAAATGTTGTGCAACGTACAACAAGCACACTCAACGTGCCTCAAAATGCTGCAGTGCGTTAGAAGACAGCAACAGCAAACAGCAACAGCAAACAATGCTTCTGTAGTACCAACAACAGTCAGTTACTTTGTTGCATGCATGTTTGTATGTAAATTCCGTCACTTCTATGGTCGTAAATTGAGTTGACTGAACTTGCAACAGCAACAGCAGCAGCAACAACAGTCTTTGAGGCAGAATATCTTAGCAAGTCTCCCAGTTGCCAATTGCACACTTGTGCAAATTTTTCACAAAATTCCTATGTGGTCTTTCTGTCCACAAAAGAAAGGTTGCACTCAAAGTTGCAATCAAATTGAAATTTGTGCTCAGTTTAAAAGAATTTTTAAATGGACTATAAATAGAATCCATTTTTCACTTAAAGACCTGTGCAGCATTAAAAATACTTGAAATCAAATATTTATTATTTTGTTTAATTTAAATATTTTTTAATTTTATTTTTGAGTTAATTGAATTGATTATTATTTACTTTTTGGATTTTCTGTGGACATTAACATTAACTTTAAAAGTGTTTCACTATTCAATTTAATATAGATTTAGAGAATGACAGCTGGCAGCTCGTATAATAACAGAGTATGCCACATCCACTTATGCCCGACTACAATTTTATTTTACTTGTTTTGGAGCTACAAATCTATATTTGTATATAGAGACGTACATTTGTCTGCCTTTATATTAATAGCAAAGTTTTATTTGTGTTATCAGTTCACATCGTTTCTAAGCCATTTTAGTGTCTCGTTTATAATCAGCACTAAATGTGTGAAAATTTGCTTATAAAATGAAAAAAATTAATTAATAGCCATGCAAAAATCGAATACATTTGTTGATAGTGGAGCGTGTTTGGGGAATAATAATTTCGATTTGGGCAACGGTGCTGATATGGCTAATCAAGATTGATTGACCAAGCATGAACAGTCATAAAACTTGTATATTGTATATTGTTAATCTAATCAATTTAGTGTTGATTTTAGTTGTTTTTTTTTTTGTTAGCAATTACACTTGGCAACAACTGCAAGATTGTCAAGGCTTCGTTTATGTACAAGTGATTTAATAAATGTAACTTTTTGCACTCTTTTTTTTGCATTAGTGAAAGTCTAAATTTGAGCTTTCAGATCAAAGACTGTGTTTAACAAGTCAACGCTTTATCGATATTGGCAATGTGACGTCAATGAAACTTTGATATCAGACTGATTAGATGCAATTTGTTTTGTTTTCAAATGTAAGTTAACTTATTTAGATTTATGACGTCAGGAAGTCAATCTGTATGAGTACAGACCTATTTATTGTCAATAATAACAAGTTAGAATGCTCTCCCTGAAGGAGATATCCAGTAAAAAGAATAGCATTGCACACGACTTTATTATACCCCTTTGTATACTTTTAATGGGCACGTGGCATATAAAAATGCGAAACTGGGCTGTAATTAAATTTAGCTGGAAACCGCTTTTTATAAACAAACATCAGTGTGTGTGTGTGTCTGTAAGGATAATTAGTGCTTAACTAATTAGAGTGGGTTGAATAATTAATAGAGGCCTGAGAACGTGCAGCCCAAGACAGATGTATGTGCATAATTGTGGTCAGCTGTGGGTCGATTATGCAGCTAATTGAAATATTAATGTTGCAGCCAGGTAAAACGGGAATTCAATTAGCTCATTGCTTCTGCTGCTCTTGTGGTAAGTGGCAGGTGGTTAGGTGGCAGGTTAATCAAAATAACATGCCAGGCGAGAGAGTCTCGAGTGTTTTTTTTTCTTTTTGATGCCATTTGGCAACATTCAAACACTTTTGCTGCTTGTTGTTGATACGGATACAGTTTGGGCCGTTGCCCGTTGTTCTATTTTCGGTCCGTGTGACGAGTTGTTTACGTCCGACAACGACTAACAGTAAAATATTTACCAAAATAAAAAGAAAAATGATATTTAATTTTATACAATTTCATAGCCCGGTTGAGCGCATAGTGAAAAGTTAAAAGTAAAAAGTAAAAAGTTGAAAGTAATATGATTTGTTGGCATGGTTACTCGCTGTCAGGTTAGATGGCCTCAGCTCTCTGTTTGACTCGTTGCCACAAGTGAAATGTGTCAACATGTTGCAAAACATTAAAAGTTCAGACCACACAAACACACACACACACACACACACACACACACACACACACCCTCAAGCACACATAGAACACAAGAGAATATTTGACAGGTAGACAGGCAAACATCTAACGATCATTTTTGGTATTCAAATGCAATGCAATCTTACAGTCGACTCGTACACTCAGAGAATAATAGGCATTCAATTGAACAAATTTACCAAAATGAAAGGCGCGTTGTAAACTGAAAAAATGTATATTATAATCATAGAAAATATTTCTAAAAAGTAGAAATGCAAACGTTTGAAGTTGCGAGTTTGAATCTCTGTGAATTGGAAACATATTGGAGTATATATAATAACTTATGAACTTATAAACTACCCAATCTTGGTCTATAAAATATTAATATTTAATAATCTATATAAAAAATGTAAAATTTGACAATTTGTATTTCTAAAAATATAAAAATAGTTCCTGGAATTATTAAAGAAAACCCATGTTTCTTTTTTAAATCTGCCTAATATTAAATTTTATTTATTTATAATATTTATTCTGAGTGTATCCTAAAATCTGTACTAAAACATTCACAGAGGGAGAGAGACAGTTGGGTAGCAGAAGTCATCTGATAGTGCATGACTTTTCCCCATCCATAGCTTACCTATTCATGTGGACAAGTGTGTGTGTGTGTGCGTATGAGTGATTTAACTAATGACTTCAAATAACGTAAACTGATGCCAGCTTTATTTAAATGCCATTTGCATTCGGTGTTCTTATGTCAGTTGATTGGCAATCGGATTATTTGGCTTGCATTCGAATCACGCATTCTATTTTAATCCGCATTGCTTCTATTTCGAGCAGTGCGCAGCTGGGCTGCCATTTAAATGCATCGCAGTCTATTAATCAAATTACAAAGTATCTATCGACAGATGTGCACGCAAAGTAATTCAAATGCCAAAACTATTTGGTGCATTTGCTTAAATATATATATACACATATCTCTGCATATATATATATATGTATTTGATTTCCTCACAATCAGCTGCTGTTGCGTTGGCACATTCATATGCCCCGAATGCTTTTCGGGCTTATACCCGTACAGAGGAAAGGTTATTATAAAATTGTTGCGTAGCTTGTAACGCATTAATTGAGACGCCTGCGAACCCATAAGGCATATATATTCTTGAACAGTATCGCAAGCCTCGTCTGTCTGTTTCTATGCAAATTAGTTGCTCAATTTTGGCTGATGAAATTTGGCATAATATTGATAACTTAGTTCTTGTATAAACCACTTTTTTGTTGACCAAATACGTTTTATTATGCTGCTAACATTTGGACAGAAAACCATCAAAATCGGATTAGTCTATATAATTCTCCAATTTATAGTTAAACTTAGATGTCGTCAATTCTACTACGATAAATAAGGGTATATCAAATTTGGTCTGTTTTCTTATTTTGTTGTTGTTTTATTTTATAAATTTAGTTTCAAATGCAATGCCAGTGCACTGAACTACACAGCAAATGGAAAATAGCAAATAGAATAGAACACAAAAGCGAATAGAACAGTTCAAATATCTTTATATATATCTATATACATATATATATATATATATATATATATATATACATACATGCATAGTGCATGCAATTAGGCACAAATATTTTGGTGTGCAAACGATTTAAATGTAGTTCCTACAAATATTCTGTAATTTGCTGGGGGAGGGGCTACTATATACATATCTACAGATTTATTTGTATATATATATATATATATATATATATATATGTATGTATGCAGACAGACATGTATTAAAATATTAAGGCAATGAACCTAAAAAAGGGCAAACACGCTCTTATCAATAGCTAAATGCAATAAAGACAAACGCAAACAGACGCAACAATAACAGCAACAACAACAACAACAACAAGAACAACAATGACAACCACAACAATAACAACAACAAAATCAGCGTTAATAAGTAAAAAACTACGACCACAAAACAGCGCGTGTTTTCTCTCGCTGTGCGAGTGTGCGAGTGTGTGTGTGTGTGTTTGTTGGCATAACTGTTTTTTTTTGTATTTTTTATTTTATATACACTTGCAGTGTACATACTACATATGCAAATATCAACGGCACAATTCACGTCAGCAAGCGGTAGTCAGAGCAACAGGCTAAATTAGCAGCAATAAGTGCGGCCCAACAATATTTGTTTGTTTTACGCTGCGTATGAGCGATGGGAACGCGACGTTATGTATACGCAGTGGTGTGCGGGTCGTGCGGGTGTATCTGTGTATGTGTAAATCTCAAATATATTGGGAAATTTAACGCAAATGCCGCTTTTCGATATGCAAACAGAAAACGTGCTCGCAAACCGGAATTGGAATCGGAATCAGAACTTAAATCCAACAAAATACCGGAACTGATGAAAGAGCGGGTCAGAAGCTAACCATCAAAGCAGAACATTATCATTATGGTCGATCCCAATACTTTGGTGTATGTTTGTCATTATGTTTGTGTTCAAATTAGTCTACATAGTCTCTGAAATCCGAGAGAGATAAGGTAGACCGATTCGGTTGTTGATCCTCATGAAATATACATATATATATATATTTGATGGTATCGGAGATGCTGCATTCGGCATTTTATTTGTTCAATTTCATCATTTTTAGCTATTTTTAATGGGTTCAGAGTATAATTCGTGCAGATCTCAGTCCATCTGCCGGCAAACCCAATTTCATTATATATTTTTTTGTCGATGTGAATAAGATGTTTGTTGATATCAAAGAATTCCGTCGAGTGAGGAAATAGAATCGAAATTCGTTTCGTTTCGGCTTAGCAACGTGTGTTTCAAAATGAATATAAAACTTGTTTGCAAATCATATTCTGTGCGTTGTTTTCGAGCTTTTCTTTATGTTGAACACTTTCAAATTTCCTGTTTAATCACAAATTGTTATGTATTTTGTATACCATGCGACACAGTAGCTCCATGCTAACATTTTCGCCATCTTCGAGCTGGGCAAGCAGAACGGCCTCGGGCAGTTGCGGAGCATCGATGCTTGGCACAGAGACCAGACTATATGCAAACACTTTCATACTGCAATGACGAGCGACAACTACCTGAAATACAGAAAACAACAATATTTACTAATATAAAGTCCCTTTTTGGAATAGTTAATAAGTTGAAAGCAGGCAAACGGAGTAAGGTTACCTCGTGAACGAGGGACATGCCGACGGTATCGGCGCCAATTTGTTGCAAAAGTCGATGTTCGGCTGGCGTCTCATAGGCGGGGCCACCCAGACAACAGTAGACGCCCGTCCAAATGCGATTCTCGCATCCAATCTCATGGGCAATCTCCTGGGCCTTCTCGATCAGTTGCTGATCATAGGCATTTATCATGCTGAAATGACGATCGCCAAAGCGTTGATCATTCGGCCCGATCAGCGGCGAATTGTCAATCATGCCCAATATATTGATGTGATCCTTAACGAGCATTATGTCGCCCACATTGTAATGCTTATTGACGGCAGCCGATGCACATGTCACGAATAGATATTCAATTCCCAGCAATTTCATGACACGCACCGGCATCGAACAGCTGCCCACCGGATTGCCCTCGTAGACATGAAAGCGTTCCTGCATCGCAATCACATTCGCCCCCATCAAAGTGCCAGCAAATAGTTTGCTCTTATGCAAATCGTCCGTGTACAGTTCAAATTTTGGTATCTCCGAATAGTCGATAACAATGGGATTCTCAATTAGCTGGGCCAGCATATCCAAATTGGAACCGCATACCACACCGAATTTGGGTCGTATCTCAGTTCGTGCAATTATAAAATCAGCCATTCTCTTGCAATCCTCGTAGCTAAAGATAGCTGATTGCGGTGTTAGCAGTATTTTTTTGGGTGGGGCAGCGGCTTCTTCCTTCAGCTGCTTCTCTGCCAGCATTTTCATCCGACGGATTGTCAGCGCTGTCTTTACGGCGCAACAATCCTTGTTGCACATTTTCAGTTTGGAGTTGGCCGCAGCTCTGTTTACGCAAATGTTTGCTTATTTTTGAAGTTTACATGCTATCGGTTTAAGTGAAATATTACTTGAAAACAAAGTCAGGGAAACATTTTATGTTTTGTCGAATCTAAAAATAAATTTTAAACCGAAACAGTAACTAGACGTCTATATATATATGTATATTTGTTTTGATTAAACAGTTGTTCAAAGTTGCTTATGCAAAGATAATTTTAAATCAAGAAAATTTTGTTTGTAATTGAGAAATCAAAATCGATATCTGTATCTGTATATATTTTATAGTTAATTATTGAACAAAATGCCGTGTTTTCTGCCCATGTTTTGTTTACTAATGCAAATATATTCTCATAGATTAAAATTTTCTCAAAATCTATTCTAAGCATCTAATTATAATAATAGTATTTATTATAAAACAAATTAATAAAATCAGACTACTATTTGTATAATAAAGCATCCTTAGTCGGCTCTTCATTATTCAATTTTTTAAATTTATAGTGAAATTTTTGATGTCGGCAATTTGACTTCGATTCAGAAGGGTATGTAATCTTTAGCCTGCCCAAATTGGCTGTTCTCTCTTGGCTTTAAATTATAAGAACATTTTATATGACACAGAATGTGCTCAGCTCCAACGTCAGTCAAAGATTGTTTCCAAATTAGCATAATGTTGTTGGAACGCAGCTATTTGAGTCTGTTTCGGTTAAAATCCCATTGCATTCACAGAAATCTGTGAGCGTTATTTTCCAGTGAAGTGCTCTAAGCTAGTTTTCAGCTTTTCCATTGATGTTGTTATTGTTATTGCTGCTGTTGTTGTTATTGCTGTTGTTGTCGGCATGTAATTTATCTCAGGGCATCATTATAATCATGCGGTTTGATCGAAGCAACAAGAGCAACAATGTCAACAAGTCTAAACCAAAGCCAAAGCCAGAGCCAAAGCCAAAGCCAGAGCATGGACAACGAACGTGACTCTGACAACAACATGAACGGCAATAACAATAACAACAAAAAACGACAGCAAAAACAACAACAGCAACAACATCAACAACATCAACAACAACAACATTTTGCCTGTAACTTAAGCAACTTGGTGCCCACTCAAATGACAATAACGAAGCGCTGCAAAAGTTTTCTATTTCAGTGTGTTGCTGTTGTTTTTTTGTTTTTTTTTGTTATTGTTTTTGTTTTTATTTTTTGTGTTGTTGCTTTCGTTACATTGTTATTGTAAATTTCATAAATTTATGGTCTTTTTTATGGGCGCACATTGCGCATGCTAAACGCTTCAGCGATTTGCTCAGTGCCAGCGTCTCAGATCAGCTAATGAAGCTATACACATAAAAATGTCTATGTATTCTATTGTATATATATGTATATATATATATATAGCTGCGGAGCAAAAAATATAAATAGAAAATATATCAAATAGTTGAGCTGTGCTAATTCGTTTATTCTTATCCTACTGTGTTAATTTGTTTATTATAACGAAATCCTCTTAGAAAATTGTCTGCCTTTAGACGAGGATATTGGTAAGAAATGCTGTTAAAAGATCAGACAAAATGTAAGTGTAGCTTAAGAAGAGGATTTGTGTTTAATAAACGAATTAACATCGAAGTCATTGTTCAAGCTTTAGTTTGATACGAATACTATTTTGTTGGCCAGCATTGTACGTGGGCAAGCCCAGACTGCCCCTCCCAGTCAGCAGCAGTTAACAACAACCAGCAGCAGGCAGCCAGCAACCAGCAGCAGTCAGCAGTCAAGCGTCGCAGTTGTGGCTCTGGCAGACGCCTCTGTTGACTGATGTGCGCCGAAAACCACATGGAAAAAATATTAAATTTGACTTGTGGCGAGTGTTGATTGACTGTTGTTGCGGCGTTTGTTGTTGTTGTTTATTGGTTTACACAACTAATTAGCGAAGAAATGAATTATAATGGCATGCCCAGGCTAGCGGCAAACAAACAACAGGCAACATTCAACAACCAAACAATCAACAGACAACAAATGAATAGCCAACAACTAACCAACACACACAGGCACAGACATAGTCATACTTACCATGCAAATGAGACTGCCTTTAAAGTTAAACACAAACACAAACATTCAGTTTAATAAAGAAAAACAATAAAAACAACAAAAAAAATATATCAACAAGTCTAACAAATGCCGTGGCTGACATTGAACCGTTCAAAACGACGACGACAACTTGGACGGGTCGTATGAGTGTTATATTCAAATCACATACGCATACGCATGGTAAACAACTGACGTGTTGTAAATATTACACAGCAAATGTAACTAGTACCATTTTGGCCTCAGGGCAGAGATAAGCATACACATTTCCTCGAACGCTGCACAGAATTGAAAGTTATTAAGGCTCTGACACAAATCCCCTGTTTGTCTTTTGTACCAACAAGATAAGACAAGATAAATCGACAACAAATATAATATTATTTTTAGCAAATTTAATATTATTTTTAGCAAATTTAATATTATTTTTAAAGTATGTAATTTGTGTTTGGCTTTCAGCAATAAATTGTGAAAAATAAATTAATAAATTAAATTCCATAAATTACTTGGAATAAATTCGTAAAATTTCCAACATACTATACGAATGTTGAATGTTCAGAATGTTGTGTCCCTTACGAGTAAATGTACAATGAAATATGTCAGAAAGCTTCGAAAGTATTTAGTTCATATTGAAAATACGCATTTATCAAGTATACGTTACATTTAAGAAAACTGAATGCATTTCTTCTTCGATTTATTTGGTTTGGTTTTGTTCCGCGATTGGAGCACAATTAGCAAAACAATTAGCTTGTACATCTATCAAAGCTAACAAATTTTGTATGGTTTTTTTCTTTTTCTTTCTTCGTTTCAGTGCATGCTGAAAATTGCAAGTTGAATTTTGGCCAGGCGGCAACTAATCACCTGATTGCAAATACCAATGAAAACCAATGAAAACAACGTCTACAAATATAGCACATACGAAACGAGCAGCGAAACAAACGCTTCTAAGGGACAGCTGAAGAAGAAGAAGAAGAAGTTTGGGCCTCGCAGTCATACGTACAAGTGCCTGAATCATAATCCGCTAATAGATCTGTTAGAGCTCGGCATACATGTACTAAAGATACTTAAGCAGAGACAGCCACAGTCATAGTCACAGTCACAGTTACTCAAGCAGTGTCCAAGTCCGAGTCTCAGACTGAGTCGCGGAGTCCAAGGTACAACTGCTGACCAGAGCCAAGTGCAAGTGCAACAGCGCAAGCTAAAGTCGTTGTTGAAGCGTTTGTTTTCTTTTTTTTTTGGTTTTTTTGTTGAAGCAACTCACACCCACCTAAGTCTTTGAATTCGAATTTTTCGATTCGACTGTGGCAAAATAAAATACAAAAAAACGTCGAAGTAGGCACCTTAATTGCCCTGACAGCCACAGCCATAGCAGCAGCAACAGCAGCAACAGCCGCAGCAGCAGCAGCAGCAACAGCAGCAACAGCAGCAGCAGCAGCAGCAACAACAGCAGCAACAGCAGCAGCAGCAGCAACAGCGACAATCAAGTGACGACAACGCTACACAAGCCAAGCGAAAACAAAAATCCAGCAAGTGAAAACTCACTTTTAAACTAAACCACATTGAAAGCAATACACACAGCAACCGAGTGACAGAGAGAGGGGGAGAGTGAGAGAGACAGCGAGATTGTGTGTGTGAGAGAGAGAGAGAGGGGCAAAAATATAAAGCCAAATCTAGATTGTGTGTATGACAACGAGCCCAACTCCTTCGGTTGGTGGTGGCCAACAACGCCAAAGCAAGTTGGCAAGTTGGCAATCATTGGTGAGTTTCCTTCCAGACGAGAAACGTTGACAACGAAAGACGCGGGGCATAAACCAGAAACCGCTGCTGCAACTGCAACTGCAACTGGAACTGGTATATCGACGAGTGCATCCGACCTGACCACAGATACAAATAACACACTCAAGCACCACACACACACACACACGCACACACACCAATGTACTCCGCTGTCGATTATTACGCGGGAATGGGACAAATCTCTCAAGATGTAAGTAGTAACCAAAAATTACAGCTTTATTTTACTCCAACAAAAACACTCATGAAAACTAAAAAAAAAGAAACAAAAAAATCAATTATCAGTTCATTATTTATTATTAATTATGCTTAATTATTTATTATTACATTTATTATTTATTTTGTATCTGTTTGGGGTTTTTACAATTCTTGCAATACAATTTTAGATTTAAATTTACATTTCAATTGCCTCAGATTTATTATATGTTTTATTTTATTTATTATTTTTAGTGATAATTTTACTATTCCCTTTTAACTTGATATCTTTGAATTTGTAAGTTAAATTTAATTTAAATAAATTTAAAAATAAATAGCAACAAGCAATGAATAAATTAGATAATAATTAAATGAGTGTATCATTTTATGTGTAATTTGAATTTATATTTTAAATTTCAAATTTGTGGACTGTTTTTCAAGCACATTAGATAAATAAATAAATTGCGTTGTGTTGCATAATGGATGCAATGTGGCACGTGTGAATGGATTTATTGACAAAGAAATATTAACAAACATTTGAAAATGAGCTTTCAATTGAAATAAAGCATGCACAAATTGAATTTTTGTAGTATTTCACAATAGCTCCAACCACTTGCCACAATGCCGCAACATACCCACCAACCACAATCCCAACGCAGCCCCCAAAAAAATGGCTCATATGCATATAGTTTATGTTGTGCTTCAATTTGAATGTCTAAACTGAAGTGAAATTAATTCATTTCGCATTGGACATGACATGTCCTGCAGGCTACACAGATACCATTGAGATACATGGAGTAAATTCCTCTTTTGACAATGCGCTTGTCGTTTTATCTTTTTCTGAAATTCTGTACAGATGATATTAATGTTCAAATTTTCATGGCTTCAACATGGCTGCATAAATGACTGAATGAATGAAATGAATGCAATATGCAAACAAAATTTGTAACTAAGTTTTTCTTCAACTTTTAACTTTGCAACATGCATAAGTAGCTTGCAACGCAATGTTTGCAATTGTCCAATTAGGAAAATGTGTTATTCTGCCCGACAAATGGAATTATAAACTCCCACAAAGCATTTCCACACACAAAAGTGGATTTTTTTGTGAACAACTTGCAAATCGTATTATTTACATATATATATATATATATATGTAAGAAACTTTTTAATTTTAATACGAGCAGCTTATAACCAGTTTGCTAATGCGCAATTTCAATGTTGTTAGTTTCTGCTAGAATTATTTTTTGGCAGCTCGAGCAGCGTTTGATAAGCAGCGCAAAACTACCAAATCATTCACAAATGATGTGACTTTATTCCTGTTTTTTGTTTTCATGCAACAAAAACAATTTTAGATAAGAAATCAATGTGCTTATGTGGGAGCAAACTTTTAAATAAAATATATATTTATATATATATATATAGGTATATATATATGTTGCATGCATATTTACTTATAAACGGAATCCAAAATGTGGGTCACCTAATCAGCACTCTATAAAAAGCATGTGGCTTTATTTTAATATATTTGATTTTTATTGTTTTAATTAGATTACATTAAATGTTTGATGCCATAAATACAAAATGCTTAGAGTGATTGCACTTTGAACACTTACTTGAAATGAAAGCACTTTTTTTGTAGTTGATATTCTATATATTTTGATATAATGTAAAGATTATTTTGTTTGCCTTGTTCGAGTTCGTCACAATAAAGTCTATTTTATATTTTGATTTAAATGAAAATTGTATAAAAATAGGCATAAATATGAGCAACAGTATCAAGTATAAGCAAAAGTTCGCCATTCTCAATCTGGCAACAGTCCAAAAGGCTTTTGTCTTTTCACTGAGTGGCGGACTAACGTCAAGGCGTACTCTGACTAACTGACTGACTGACTGTCAGTGTGTCTATTTGATTGAGTGACTGACTGACTGATTAAGTGCATAATGCAGCTCTTCATAATCATTTCACATTTGAGTCAATAAAATGCAGACGCAATTTTTCGTATCAGACAAGTTTTCGTGCATTTCAGAATTTTATTTAATGATTTGTGCAATTTAATTGCTAGCATTTTGCAGATGCGGAAGTCATGGCAACTATTTATTATAAATATACATAATATATGTATATATATATATATATATATATGTTATTCCTGTTATAATTGCCAGCTTGTGTGAAAACTATAAAAATATCTATATTATTCGAATGGAACATTTATTAAATAGCTCGTGTGCGTCATTTAGTAAACAACTTAGTGGTAGATAACAGCTAATATTGCTCTTTAGATTTATCGTTCACTTATTCGCTATAGTATACAAATTTTCCGTAGGCACATAAATGCCATTCTTCGACTGATCATAAATAATAATAAAAATAAATTAACAAGATTTAATTTAAATACAAATTGATATCGTATGTGCCAGAGTTCATTCAACTTGCGGTCAATATATATATATATATATATATATATATATATATATATATATGTATGCATTCATAACATAATAATGTAGATTTATATTTAGCCAAGTTGACACGCAATTTGCCATTTACCTTTTGTCAGACCCTTCTCGAATTATTCTTACGACAATAGTCGGGTTCGTTCCGCCTCCTTATCAATAACTGTTATCAGGCCAAGGAGCAGTTCAGTCAGCCAACGCTGTGACTTGCTTGTATATTGTTGCTGCTGTTGTCGTTACAAGCGATAATATGCACCTAATAATTTGCCACACTTGCGAAACTGTTGGCTGCCCGTCTGCCATGTCTCTTTGTGTGTGCATTGCTTTTGTTTTGCCTTTGGATTTTCAATTGTTTGCGCTATATCAGTAGACAAAGTGTCGCATTGAGTGCCAGACAGACTGGCATAAAGCTCCGGGACCAGAGTCACGCACCCGCCCACAAGCACAATAGCAACACACACAGAGACACAGAGACACACATACATTGAGGTTGGTCAATATTGCCACATGCCACCATCAGGCTTGCTGGCATATTCACGTTGCATACACACTCATTCTTCGTGTGTGAAAAGAACTCGTAAAATATAAAAAAAAAATGGACGAGAACAACTAAAAAATGTTCGAGTTTATTCAGAAAATGCTTGCTTTCTGCTGTATTCAGAAAATGCTTGCGCTTTCTGCTGTGGAATTCGGTATATAAGGAGAAGTATACATCTCTGATTAATTCTTCTTCTGTGTTCCTTGAACGTTACTCGATGAAATTAACCGCTTTAAAAGATGCATAAATGTGACTTTTATTACTATTTATTATCAACAACTCGGTTAAGAAACACATAAGTTGTTCCACAGATTGATATAAACTCGACTTCATACAGCAAAAGGCGACAGCATTTTCTATATAAATTTGCATTTGCTTACATATATACAACAATTGTCCGAGTATTGTTTCAATGTGTTGGTTTGAATATATATTTTATTTATTTGACTAAAAAAAAATAGTTACACTACAAAACTTAAGAAGAGAAGGTAAGTTAAATTTTAAAGTGTGAAAATTAATATAAAATGTGAAATATAAAATATGCTGGGCATGTTCAAATATAAAATGGAAATCAATACACAAATCAAGGATTTTCCAAACCCTTTTCTTAGATCTTTACGATTCGATTTGAGCCGTTTTGCTTTTCAAAAATGAGTTCCAAACCTAGGAAAAACATAATCTTAGATCTTAGATCTTTCTTGCTTTTTAAAAATGAGCTCAAATCCGATCAGATGATACACAATAAAGGTTTTATGGCTTATGCATATTTTTATTATTATTTTTGGTTCCCTCTATTTCTATTTTACGATTAATACCAACATTTCCAAATGCTCACTTTCATTCAACAAAGAGATTACCGCGAAGCGTTTAGCGAACCGATTGGGGTAAGCTTTGGATTCTGTGTTGATGGTCAGCTTAAGCTCATTTCCATATGTCTATAAATAGCACAGCTATTTACATACACTATATGTGTACATATATATATAGATAGTGAGAGATATATATATATATATATGAATTAAAATGCCAAGTTGCGAGTGCAAACTATAAAAGTGCTTTTGTCGAATACATTTACACACTTATGAGTTGATAGTTTATCGCGTCTAGACGCGCGTCTTTATTGGCTACGAACACGTGCAAATGCACCGACTTCAGTTGTTTTTTTGAGTTTGTTGTTCCTAATACACACACAGATACACACATACACACACATAGATACACACAGATACACACACAGCTACACACACATAGATACACACACAGGCATACACACATTATGTAGTACAATTTAAATATGTATGCAAAAATGCTTTCAGTCTTTTTGATTTTTTATTACTCGTTGTTGTTGTTATTCATATTCATATTCATATTCATATTTCGTTTTCTTACACTCATTTAGTTTGCATTTCTAACACCTGCCGTTTTTTCCACTTTACTTGTTTACCTCTCTGCCAGCTAGCTCTACCCACTTATTGTTTAATATTTCTCTTTTAGTCGTCTACCATTTATGCTAATTTATTTGCTTGTTTACCAGCTTTTGTTTTAATTTGTTGAGGCCACTACTGTTGACATTTGAAGCGAAACCTCCGAGAACTGAACAGCGAACGGACTTTAGCATTGCGCCCACTCGAAACGGAAAGGAAAAAAGTTGAAAAAAAAGTGTAGCAAAATACAGCCAAGGGGGGAAAAACCATAACAATGAAAATTAAACACAAATAAGCCAAAATGAAAACCGCAAGAGAGGCCGGGTATTTGACTGGCCGTAAAATAAAGTAAATCAAGTTGTCTAACAAGGGAATATAACTCTCTACGCGATGTGCTAATTATGCTAATTTTGTGTATAATTTTTTGTTTATTTTTATTGTACTTCATCCGCCCATTAAATACGCTTTTCTGCTCTTATGTGTATTTGGAAGTGTAATCTTTTGTTGAGGAAATCAAAATTAGCTTACAATAGTTAATTACAGGCATTAACAAAAGGCATCAACATGTTGTGCGCATATTGTAAGTCAACTGGCACCCGCCACAGTTAAGACTCTTTCTCTCTCTCTCTCTCTCTCTCTCTCTCTCTTTCTCTCTCTGTATCTCTATCTCTGTCTCTCTCGATCTCAGCTCTGATTTGTAATCGCCACGCTTCATGATTTTGCACGTCGGAACAACTTCCCGGCCCGGCCAGTGATCGCTCAAAGTTGTCGCGATCAAAACAAATTATATATCGTATATAGTATATAGTATATAGTATATATATATATATATAGTCAATTCGTCATTCAGGCAGCGATTCAAGGCAATTTGAATATGGCCTGTCTATCCCCCCCTATTCTGGGCAGGCAAAACTTGTTGTCTGCCCTTGTGTAGAGTATCAATTGTTATGATTTGTTAGACTTTGCCATTGCGTCAAGTTCACTTTAATATGCTCAAATTTATGCATGAACACATGGGCATGGTTGGGCTTCAGTTAGGGTTTTGGGTTTTTGGTTAAGAACACAAACAACATACATGAATGCGTGTGTATCTATATATCTATATCTATATCTATATCTATATCTATCTATAACTTATGCTCAGTCACGATTAATGCTCGCACAAATCGACATGAAATTTCCAAAATTGTCATTCTTTTGGCGCCAAGGGCAGCTCAACTTATTATGCAGACAGCATATTTCTAAAATGGAAGGTTGTTTCTCTCTAAAAATTAGGGCTGGTCTTCTGTTCCTATTTCCAGGCTAGTTTGCTTTATAAAATTTAAGTAAATCTATTCTAAATTTCAGTAACAAGTAATGAAAATAATGAAATTTATTAAGAAATAAATTACGTAAAAGTGTTTTTTTTCTGACATTAAAAAAGAAAATAAAATAACAAATTTTTTATAAAAGAAAATATTTACGAAAATTGTAAAAGAAAGTTTTTCTAATTCTTCGAATTTATTTCTATAAATTAGAATATTTTTCTAGTTTTTGGTATGATTTTCTAAATGTTATGTCAAGTTTTTGAGTGTAGTTAATATTCAGCTACTTAATAAGTCACATTTTCATATTTCGTGTGGTTTATTGAAATGTTCATATGAAAGTTGATGAGTATTTCAACTGTGCAGTGAAATATTTGAACTAATAAATGACGCTGTGGATGCACTTTGACACAGCAGCAATAAAGGGGGCAACATAAACCACATCAGATCATGTATAAATGGCATGTTGACGAACAAGTTTCCAGTCGAATGCAGCACAGACAACCAAATCATTTCCGAGCATTATGTTTGATCGAACATCAGTTACCCTATATTATGTGTGCTTGCAGCACAGCAAACTTGCGTCTTGAAATTGCCACAAATGAGCCAGGCAACTTTTGGAGAAAGAAAATGGGTATCAAAACCAGTACACGTCAATCGCTTCGTGCCTAATACTCGTCCATGAAACTTGGCCTAAACGCACCTTCGTTGGTTCCCACTCCTGTGGTTGGCATGTAACCCACTTTGTGGAACTAACAGGTAACCGCCACCACCAATGTAAACGGTGCACGTATGCCAAAGTCACAAACGGGTTTCTCTTCCAGCTGACAATGGGTGTGTGTGTGTAATTTTCCATAAGCCACCAATATATATATATATATATATTATTTTCATTTAAATATGAGAGAACAACAACAAGAAGAAGAATACCAGCCATTTATATTCAATTGACTGTCATTAATTAATTACAATTTATGTGTCTTACACAACTTGTCATCCAGTTACTCTGCCTTGTTTCAAGCGAAGCGCGAAAAAGTCTGTCAAGTTTTTTTGAAACCCTCATTTGCTGTGGCGCCACCTAAGAAAGAGCTGCCAATTAAAAAGCTGAAAAAAATGTAAATAAAACAACAGCAACATCAACAACAACAACAACAACAATATACAAACAACATCAACTGGTAGCTGTAATTGGATTTTTTTTTTCGTTTTCGTTTTCGATTTTTTTAATATATTTTTTTTTTTTTTATAAATCAAGTCCCACCGATCAACTCTGGACTGGCATCATTTGTCTCCAGTTTGTTTTGTTGTTGGCTGTTTGGTGTTTTAATCCCACGGTTCTATTTTAAACTATTTAAGTAGCTGAAATAAGCTTGATTTTACTAATTAGCAAAACATGGCAAAACCAAATATTTACATACATAAAAATACCTTAATTTATGGCCACGTTTTGTGCAGCCTCAAACAATTTGCATCTGAATAGTTTGGAATAAATCGCACACATTGATTAATGGCATATCAAATATATTTGTAAACTAAACTGAATTTGTTGGTATTTTACAAATGCATTTACATCATTATTTGTGCACAGATTCGGAGTTTCCCGCGTATTACATTTAATATTTTCCAACAATCATTTACTTATTTGCAATAATTAAATAACCAACTAAATAAAAGTAGCTTTATTTGTTTTTACTTTGTTTGTTTGTTGACAATAACATTGAACAACTCGGGATACATCTTATATATTATTGCCATTTTCAATGTCAAACAACTGTGCTTAGGCAACAAATGCTGAGTTTTTTATTTGATTGAACCGCTTTCCAAAAAGGCCTGATTACTTTTAGAATAAAACTGGTCGTGGGTGGACCGTATTATGGTCATTAAATATACATGTGTATGGGCTGCTCATGTTTTATAGCATATAGCTCTTATAGTTTATACTAAAGTTCAAGAATTATATGTATATATATATAGTATTTTAAGCAAATGTTTCAGATAATTTCCCAAATTTAAAACACAAACTTTATAATACTTCTTAGTGGGTGGCTGATATAACAAAGTAAATTATACCAACCAACTATGTACTTACTCCCCATATATGATATATACATATGATAAGCAACTGGTGTTGTCCGATTATGGCTATATATATATATGTATTTGTATATGGTATGTAGAAGTAGGCAGTGCGCTATCAAGAATTAAAAGGCAACTAAGTCCGACACTACAAAGGAATGAGAAGAAGAAGAAGAAGGCAAATACAAACAAATAACAACTAACAAAAAAAAGTCATTGAACGTTTAATAACATCGCCCCAGTTTAGTAGGCAGAGGCAGAGGCAGAGGCACAAGCAGCAGCAGAGAGAACAACAAAAAAACACACACACAAATGTAATAATAAAACGGCAACAACAAAACAACTTTGATTAACATTTTAGTCGAACAGTCAGTCAGTTAGTTAGTGAGTGAGTGAGTGAAGCTGCTGCTTTAGCTACATACATACATAATTATACATATATCTATGGCTGACTTGAGTAAGCAAGTTGCAGACAGCAGAGAGATATAGAAAATGCTGCTGGAAACGCACAAACATGTGTTGTTTAATGATCAAGTTTATGTGTAGTATATATATATATATATATATATATATATGTATAGTTAATAGTATGTATGTATAACAACAAGAGCTGCTTTTGTGCTGTATTTGCTTACGAGCTACGAGCTTCAACTTCAAAGTGCTGCCACATTCTGTGCGTCTGCGATAAGTTTAATAAATCCATGCAGACTTAGCTGCTTTGCCTGCTGCCCAGTTGCCCCGTTGCCCCGTTGCAGCTATGAATACTCAACTCAAAGAGAGACCGACTTTCTCGGCTATTCAATTTGCAAATAAGCTATCCAATGCAGTTCCTGGGCCCGGCCTGGTGCTGCATCCCTTGTCTGTACACACATTTTGATAGACACAGAGGAGTGGGGAGCCAAAATATACCTTTCCTTTTGGCATTGGCCCTCATCAGCAGCGCTGCTCTTCTCAGATAACTCAGCATGAAATGCATCCTGTGGATCCTGCACAGCACAGTTGTCATGGCAACTGTTTATTGATTGGCAAACAACAGGTCGTAATGTACATGAAATGACTAACGCAAAGGATACCAAAATGAAATGCAAACCAACTTTGAACTCTCATTTGCAAAATGCTGCATACGTTAAATGTTTATTGAAAATCTCCTATATATATATATATTGGTATATTTGGTAAATGCAGTTATGCCAAACAGTTGAAAAAACAAAACAAAACAAAACAATAAATCTTTAAATTGAGCATGGCTTTAACTGCGGTGGCAAACAAAGCAGAGGCTCTTTTAATTTGCATGAATGGATTCCACTGAAAATGTGTGAAAATTGTATAATAAAATTATGCAGCAGGCAGCAGTAAGCATCTCTAATCCCTTACGATATAAATGTATATTCTTGATCAGCATTAACAATCATATCGATTTTTTATGACACAAACGAATCTCAGAATATATTTCATATTACAGATTCCATATATTGCCTCCGTTTCAGGAGTATCGATACAAATCGATAACCGATAGCAATAAGAGCAGCAATTTCACAGGCATTATCTTTCAGTTAATATATTATATACTTTCACATGTTACTGATGGACTGTAAAAAACTCACAAGTTATTTTTATATAAAAAACCCACAAGAATTGTAAAAAATCACAAAACTTTTGCGCCAAGTGGGAATCACTTTATTATTCAGATTGTTAAATATCAGTAACTGAAGCTTGTCTCTCTTTTAAACTTCAGTTCTTTTTCCAGGGTGCATTTATCTAAAATGTGGATATAATTTTGTTAAATTCTGTGGTGCTTTTCTATTCACAATATAATAATTTAATTTGAAAATCTTTCTAATCTATTTTAATTTAATATATATAATTATATATTTAAAATATGTAACAATTGGTTTCAGGTTATCTCTTAGTCGAACTATCTCGACTACAGCATTCTTAATTCATTTTCAATGTGTAATTATTTAATATATATACAATTGATGTCAACAGTTTAACTCATCTAAAATTTGGCTTGTGTATTTTCAGTGTGCCGCAACAGATTTTGATATGGATGATCTCGATGAGTGTGATCAAGTGACGCAAGTGATTGGCTATCATCCGCGCTATCGTGATCATTTTCTGCACACGCAGAACTTTATTATGAAAGGTGATGGACCTTTGCCATATTCTTATAGATACTATTTGGCCATAATTGTGAGTATTAATTAACTATTTTTCATTCTTCATTCATTTATTTCGCTTAACGACACCAACTAATTGACTATGAATTGCCAAGTTAACAACCATTAACAATAAAAACGCAATTAAATAAAATTGCTGATTGCTAACTAATCGTCATATTTCAGAAATATTTGCAATCAATTTAATTGTTGTTGAATGAAAATTTTAATTCATTTTGTCGTTAAGATTGTATCGCATTGAAGGAGACGGTGCCGAGCACAATAAAGTCTATGATATTAAGTATCAGCATATGATATAGCCATGTCTGTCCCTCAGGGCTATATCATTGTGAAACTAGGTATATATATATATAGATACATATATATATACCATAGAAGGAGGAGTAGAAGTGGATAGATAAGTTCTTGCATAAAACCATCCAAACTCAGCAGCTTTGCTTAGACAACAACTATAAAAATCAGACTTTTATATATATAACAGTTGAAATAGGAACAATTGCAGGCGTTTTCAAATTTATAGTGAAAGTTCGATTTCGATAAAAATTGACTGCAGTCTACAAGGGTATCCCATCTTTGTTGCCTTATCTTGTTTTTTATGAGTTCAGCTTTGGTTTTTGGAATGAAAGTGTTGAAAGCCCTTTTGCTATTTAATGTTACCTTTCACCTTTTCCGCTTGCTGCGCTTATCGCACATCTGACTGCCCCGGGAATGTCTAATGGGGCACGTGTATATATATATATATATATATATATATATATGTGTGTGTGGATGCACTGTGCTTTGTTGCCAGTGGCAAATTTAAGCATATTAACACTCGCCGCCAACTGTTGCTGTCGGTTCACATTTGCTGCTTGTTAGCTGTTGATGCCCTATCAATGACAGCAGCTTCCACACTCACGGGAAACAAAAACTACACACACACACACACACAGCACACACACACACACATACACATACAGCACAACACACACACAGCACACAGCACACACACAGCACAACACACATTGATAAATCAACAACAGCAAATTATTTCCACTGTTCTGAGCTCCTCTCTCTCGGCAAATGCAGTACAAAAAAAGGAACCAGCAAAAATAGCTGCTGTTGTTGCCTGCAACACACATGCCACGAGCGTAAAGAAGAGAACGGTGCGGCACGTGCTGCACAAAATACATGTCCGAAACAATAGAAGTGTTGCAAGTAAACAAGTTTCTTAATTACAAGTGACAGCCTTTCGTACTTATGCAACTGCAACTCCTTGCCAACTGAGCAGAAATGAATACTTGTCTCACACCTCACATCCCAGGACGATAGTTTAACAAACAAAACGAATCCTAGTGTGAATGGCAGACAGGACACTAAAGTGCTATTGAAGCTTTTCAACAAGTTCAAATGAAAATACATTCACTTTGGGGAAAAGCTGCTTGCGCATTAACAAAAAGGAGAACATATTTTATTGATGATTGTCTTTCATTTGTCGTTCAGCAAAGAACACAGATATTCTATATATTTGTGCAATTTGTAACTTACTGCAAAGCCGATTTACTGCATTGCACAAAAAGAGAAGAAAAATGCAGTTCTAAAAACTACAAATAGAAATGAATCAGATTGCGCTGAGTGTTCCACTGATTGGTAAGGGTATTCCAGCATTGTTGGGGGATATCAACAGGCTAATCATTGGTCCTACTCGTTTCTGATACTTTAATGTCTTACTGGTTGTGAGTCAAGTAAGACATTAAAAATGTCTTAAGAAATGCCCGTACTTAATTTCTTTTAATACCACTTGAATCACATTATTAGTAATACATTATTATCTCCAATGTGATTACCCAAATGTGATTTACATTTTAGCATTTAAAAAGCTACAATAAAATTTAAAAAAAGGCATTAAAATAAGTAATTTAGTTAGTAAATAAAGATATACAAATATATAGTAAGAGGTACTTTCTTGGCCAGGCAACTGGAAGAAACGAAGTGAAAAACCAAATGCGCTTTTGAAAGAACTTAACGGATTGTTTATGGTTTGCTGACCTCTTTTTCTAATTGAAATATGCTTTTTATTGCCGACAGATCAAGTGTTTTTATTTTGTATATGCTTCAATATATTTTGAATTCCCACTGGGAAGAAAAACATCTTTTGATTTGAACGGAAGCTGCTGGTCCACAAACGATTGTTTATGATTGATATATGTATGTCTCTGAAGCCAAAGCACGATCTGGTCACTTGTCTATATGTCTGTATTTCAGGCGATATCAGCTTGCCCCTTGGGAATTTCAACCAATTTCAATTAAATGTTAGTTGAGGCGCTATTTATGACGCAGTAATTCAAATGCTCGAAATGTATGTGTATCAAAACAATGGTCTACGCTTTGTTTCTCGTATTTTGGGTCATTCACATAAACAAACAAACAAACACATACACAACAACAACAACAACAACAACCACAACAACACATCAATGTCAAAACAAAAAGAAATATTTTTAGCGTATTTTGAGTTGTGCAGATGCTCTCCCAGGGGTTTTTAATGGGGCTGTTGTGCAGCCATTTGAATATGTAAAGAACGCCACGAGATTGTTTTTGTATTAAATTTTCATAATGTTTGTCTTAGATTTGATTGTGACTCACAATTAGCCCCATTGGCAAAAACAACAAAATAACAAAAGCATCAACGCATCGCTAAACAAACTGATAAGCTACTTTAACTACTACTACAACAAATATATATAAATATATATAAATATATATAAATATATATATATATATATATATATATATAACAGGTAAAAGCGACTTAAAAGTTGCAGAATATTAAAAGAGCTGTTTCCTTTTTGAGAATTTATAAGCATGTCAGAATACTTAAGCAAACAGAAAGAGTTCTTTTAAGCAAACATGAAGAGTTCTATTAAGCAAACATGAAGAGTTCTATTATCATTATTAAGAGCATTCTTTGCATTCTTCTTAAATGATTTCAGGCAGCCGCACGTCATCAGTGCCCCTATCTGGTGAAGCGCTACGAGAAGGAATTCATTGATCAGGGCGGCAACAGCGAATGGCTGAATGGCTTGGACTATATACCCGCCAAATTACGTGCCATATACGATATAAATAAAATATTAGCACATCGTCCCTGGCTTTTGCGCAAGGAGCACGTTGAGGTATGGTTTTTGTTTTTTTAGTTTTGGTATACACTGTTGTATCCTGGGATGCACTTACAAATTGAATACATATTTAATGAATGTACGCCACAACATTTTTGGCATTTTGCAGCGTCTGACCAAAGGCAAAAATAGCTGGTCCCTGTCGGAGGTGGTGCATGCAATGGTCTTGCTATCGCATTTTCATTCACTATCCTCATTTGTGTTCTCCTGCGGTCTCACACAAAAGCTCGATGGATTGTCTAGTCCCAAAATGAAAGGTGCACCGGTGTCATTGCCACTGCCATTGCCATTGCCAACGCAGTCGCCAATACCACAGCAACTTGTGCTGCCCCAGCTGGATGATGCACGACAGACCACCAGTCCCATCCATCAGCAACAGCAGCAGCAACAACAGCAGCAGCAGCAGCAGCAACAGCAAAAAAATGTTCTTGGTGAAATATCCTTGAACAACGGCAGCAGCAGCAGCAGCAACGGAAGCAACAGCAGCAGCAGCAGCAGCGATAGCAATACAAAGCCAGATTTCAATAATACAATGGACAAAAACAATGGCAATGGCGGCCGAGGCAGTGCAGCCAACAACAGTTTTGGCCAATACTATTTGAGTAAGAGTGCAGAGTGCAGAGTGCTGAGCGCAGTGCAGCTTATTAAAAATCGGGCGAATTCTCAATTTTTTGTTTTACTTTTGCAGGCAGCGCACAGCAACAGCCGCAGCAACTTGGCATCTCCGTGGAGACGTTGATGGAGCGCATGAAGGTGCTCTCCCAGAACCAGGACGAGTGCAGCGAGGCCGAGCTGAGCAATCGTTTCAAGAGTGTCGAACTGCAAACAGCCGAATTGGCTGCATCGACTCCAGCACCAGTTGTCGCATTGCCACCAATAATCTCACACTATGTGGACGATGCTAGCTTTACGTATCAGGATTTTGCACGACGCGGTGCCGAGAATATTAACACATTTCGCATACAGGACTATTCATGGGAGGATCATGGCTATTCTCTGGTGGATGGGTAAGCCATCGCCTCACATCAAAACAATGCCAATCAAAATCACAATTTTGTGTGTCGCTTCTCCTTGTTGCAGCTTGTACAACGATGTGGGCACCTTTTTGGATGAAAAGTTTCGGGCCGCGTACAATTTAACGTATTTCACAATGGGCGGCATTAAGAATGTGGACACATCGAAGTTTCGTCGCGCCATCTGGAATTATATACAATGCATTTTTGGCATACGACACGACGATTACGATTACGGTGAAGTCAATCAGGCAAGTGATTCATATTAAATAATTCAATTTTATCAATTACAACTTTAATTTGAACGAATTGCAGCTGCTCGTGCGTCCGTTGAAAATGTTTATAAAGACAGCCTGCTGCTTTCCTGAGCGCATTACCACCAAGGATTATGATAGTGTGCTCGTCGAGTTACAGGATAGCGAAAAGGTGAGTGACGAGGAGGATGAGCAGGCGATATGTCGATTAAAAATAACAATATTTTATCCTCTTATCTCGGGTCTGGTCTGGTCTGGTCTGGTCTCGTTTTGCAGGTTCATGTTAATCTAATGATAATGGAGGCCCGTAATCAGGCCGAATTACTCTATGCTTTGCGCGAGATAATGCGCTATATGACTTGATCTCATTAAGTGATTAAAGATATATATATATATATATATATATACATACATATATACACACATAAATATACAAACACATACACACATAAAAACAAGAACACGCATGCATACACAATATAAATAAATACATATGTATGTCAAAAAGTTGACACTGTCTGAGTGTGACAAGAACTTTTGTAATTTGTGCAAGAGCATTAAAGTACATATTTAATACGAAACAAATACGAAACCAATTAACTAGTTGCAATAGAATCCAATCAAATTTTTGTGCAATGCTTAGTCACATTTATAATGTAATCCAATTCAAGTCAATGTCCAATTCAATAATATATATGTGAAATTGTTAACTAATCAAGAAAGTAAAATGTCCAAATAAATTACAATAGAATAGTCTCTATATACGTCTATGTTATTAGGTCTTACACTAACAATGTCTACAAAAAAAAAAGAACAAGTTAAGAAACATATAAACAAATAGCAACAACAAACAAACAATTACTTTCAACTCAATGCTTTTTTCTCTGTTTCATCGATATGCTTGCTGCAATCACTGTACATATGTATTATGTTTTGTTAAAATATTTTAGTCAAATAAATACATTTTTATTTTAAATACAATTTCGATATGTTTTCTTTATTTCTTCATATATATATATTTTTGCATGCAATTTTACACGTGCTTTTAGGCCAAAAACGATTTTGATATTCGAGCTTCAAAGTAGAATTTATAAAACTCAAAGTGGTGAAAAAAATATCGGAGCTTTTCTTCTAAATATAAGTATATACATTATATTCTATTTTGATAATATTTAAAACAACAAAAAAAAGAAGTCATTTAGACATGCAATGTCTTGTGTCAATTGGGATTTCTTTGTACATATTATATACCAGCCCAAGGTATGTATACAGGAATTAGAATATACGAAACCAACGAACTTATATTAAAATAAACTTTTAACTCAATATTATATTGAAGACGTACTTGAATTGAAAATAGGCTTAAGCTCATTGGTTTCTTGGGAGATTGTGAATATTTATAAATTTATACCTTGTGTTTCATTTGATGGTTGTACTAACTAAAGACTATTGTTATATTTGGTTGTTGCCATAAATCAATTCAAGTTATTCACAAATTTTTATCAACTTTAAAGGAGCTTATTGTCTTTAAATAAATTAGAATATTCTGTAAATACGAATAGATTAGAATTAGTCAAGCGTGCTCATAAAACTATTCGAATTTGATATCGTAAAAAATATATTTCTGTCTTACGACACAGATATTGAACAGTTTGAAATGTTTAATTATCTCTTAGGGGTTATATTTTTTAAATGAATTTATTTCCTTAGAGCAGCCATTTGACTCAATGGTGGAATATCACGAATTGCTGAAAATATACATATGTATAGAATATATGTGCTATTTTCCATGGAAACTAACTTAATACTGTTGTTAAACAAAAAAGTGTAATGTTTCAATCTAAAGTAAAATCTACTATAAGTATTTAAATTTCTAAGGTAACCAAAAATTGTCTGTAGATTTTATCAATTAGATTAGGTTATTATGTAAGTGTGTAATGATAAACAAGACGAATCTTTTGAACAGGTTTCCTAAAAACGAACATAATTTAATGTAAGAATTAAGATTAAGTTGAACGTAATTCGATGCGAGTTAGAACCATACTTGTACATACAGCTGACGAGCTATATACCATTCAAAGATGTGATTTTAACAAATATATATACGCAAGCGTATACCTTTGCTTATACGTAGCTATACACAAAGTGAGTATATATATTTGATATAGTTATAAGTAGTTAGTTGTAAGACTCCTGGCAAAATAGTAGTTAAGCCTCATTTGACTCAGTTTTTCTATGGTTTTGCATAAATGGAACGAACAGTGCAACTCACAGGTGAAAGATGCGCGTACTTCTACTTATTATTGTATTTACAAGGCTCAACATATATGCAAGAAGGCTGTTAAACTGTATACCTATTATGTAAGATTAGTGTAAGTCTAATCATGGTGGAATGAAACAATAATATGCTATAAATAAAAATAAATTAACACGAATTTAAAACGGTCATCATTTGATTGCGCCAAAATCGAATTAATCTGATATAGCAAATATACATTCTCGAAACATAATAACTTTTTGAGTCTGAATCGATATATACAGATAATTATGTATACATTCAAGCACTTGACGATTACAAGTATATGGAAATTATTCCAAATACTCATACAATATTTGTACATACATTTAAATATATATATTTATAAATGTTTACAAGAACTAACTATTACTTATGCACAAACTTTTCAATGTTTTAAGCCTCTTGATGTTTGGTGTTAAATAAAAAAAAAACAAAAACCGCAAACTCGTGAAAATATTCAATAATACTTAATGGGAAACTAACATTTCAATGTAGATGTCCTTCTAACCAGATATCAGTCTTACCCAGCTTGATTGTTGATGAGTTTGGTTTTACACAGCCTTTTTGTTACATGTGTATATACAAGTTTTATTTTTTCTTTAATTAGTTTTTTTTTTTTTAATAATCATACAATTTCAATAAGTTCTCTTTACAATATAATATCATTTACTTATGTTGACTATGCATTTTGTTAATTTTGATTTATATAATTGGGGTTAAACTAAAATTAATTTGAATAAACGTGTTCGATTGTAAGTATTATGGTTAAAATACAAATTTTCGTGTTGAAATGGCGACAAGGATTTTTATTGGAAACCTCTACAAAATTGCTATATCTTTAAACATAAAACCCTTTCTTCGATTTTACACAGATTGGTCCAACACGTCGTGCAATAAGACTTGCTTTTTGTTCACAACTCAAATAAAAAGCATTGCATTTTTTAAAGTCAATATTTAATACAAATATATTTTAAGCGATTGATCCGCTGAGTTTTCATATACGATTAAATTGTAGGCTTTAACAAAAATTGCTAGATAATCAGAGAATACAACACATGCTCTAAATCATCTCACGATGAGAAAAGTGTGATTCGGAGTTATAATTTTTGGTTAAAAATAAAATGGTCAATTTGTTTAATGAGTGAGCAAAAACCCAAAATACATACATATATATATATATATATATATATATATATATGTTAACACAACTGAAGTAGTCGAAGTAGTAGTAAATAATATACTATATAGCATGTATTATTATTGCAATGTTCAACATTTAGGCACAAAATATATTGCTTCTCAATTGGATAGAAAAATTATTGCATATTTAATAGAGTAGAGAACTCCGTCTTTTGTTTTGTTTTTTTCTTTTCAAATAGAGTCTCTCATTATGGTAATAAAAAATAATACATATAATGTCTGCACTTTGCTTGCTAGGAATCATTTCGTAAAAATTGTTTCAAGTTGAAGCGACACGCTTCGGTGAATTGGTATTGCTGTTTGTCAACACCGCATCCTTGGCACGCTCGTGTTCATCCTGGAAAAAGATCTTGGTGATGACAACGTCACCGGTGCTGAGCGTCTGCGACTCGGCATCCACAAGTTTGACTACTCGCTTGTCATTCGCCGATCTCAGAATGGGTGTTATGCTGCGCTCCCCATGGCAATTACAGTTCTTCATACTGAAATTTGGAAAAATTATTTATTAGTTTTTAATAACGTCAGCAGTCGTTGTTCTCATGCATACTTTCTAGTCTTCTCGCGAATGATTTGCAGATTTTCAGTGGTCGCTATGGTGGAGCCCAATTGCTCCTGCATTGCATTGGAAGTAATAATCTGCAAAAGAGGAGCCAAACAATTACCAAGACATACTCTATTTTGCAGCTAGCTGTATTAAACTAACCTGATCGCATGGCAATGTTGTTGCTGTCGTCAATATGGCCTCGAGCTTATCAATGCGTGCTAATCGATCCATCGATTTGTTTTGCAGTATCTCCTCCAGCATTTGCATTGATTCAGTCAGACTGGGCGGCTCAGAGCTGAAACGTGGCGAGAATGTGCCCGACAGCGAATTGTCCGACGGCACCGAATCTAAGCTGGGGAAGAAGTCATTCTCATTCGGTTCTCCCTCATCCTCAGAATCGCTTTGATCTCTGCAAGTGCAAACGAATTTCAATTAATACTCGCATCAATTTTACAAGTGTAATTTACGAACTTGTTGGGATTGCCAGCAGATTCCATTTTCTCTAGCTTTTTGGCCACTTTGTAATAGCCCTTTAGGCGCTCCTTCTCGTCCTCCGTCAAGTCCATGTAACTGCAACCAAATCATGTTTTAATATAATATATATATATCCATATGGTTGGTAGTAATACCACTCACCGTAATAATCGTATCTCGCGATTGGAGAGCACAATACTTTTGCTGGTCTGCGCCAGTTTCTGCTTGAGATCGGACACCTCGGTGCTAACCTTTCGCTGCTTCTTTCGTATCTTAACCTCGTTGGGTTTGATTTGCATGAGTATTTGCTCGGTGCACAGTTCGGAGAATAGGACACGATTCTCGGGCTTAATCTGTTGCGCCAGATTGCCAAAGAGTTGATCGTGTATGAGGACGAGCACATCACCGGCCGCATACAGCATCATTTCGCGAGTGAGCGGCCTTTTGGCCCAGAACTTTTGATCACGTCGATAGATTTGCTTCAGTTGATCCTTGATGGGATTACAGGGTGCATTGTATTGCTCGCACAGCGAGTTCAGCGATATATATTTGGCCTTGTACACCTGTTTGCCATTCTCCTGATACTGCAGGATGGCATGTGCCGCCTGCGTATCGAATACGTTGCGCAACAATATGCCAAACTGTTGATACAGATTGACGGCATCATTGCGACAGTCGTGTATGACTTTGATGACCTGATCGTGTTCGAGTAGCGTCTTCAGGCCACCATCGCTCACCATGGCCGGGCAGGTTTGCACATCGAAGAGGAACGCCTCGCCACGCGCCGTGCCAATCTCGATGAGCGTTATCTCGCCCTTGACACCCAAATTGATGCCCTCACAGTCTAGCGATACAGCAATATTGCTCTCATCTTTGGCCAAGTCGAGCAGCGCCTCGGTGACAAATGTGGAATGCTTCACATTCGCAATGACGGTGGTATTTTGCAGTACTTTGATTTTCCACGTGTCGCCCACAAAATAACTATGACTAGTTGCGGCATTCGAATTGGCATTGTTCTGTGCTGTTGTCGTTGTTGTCGCTGCAACACCGGCTGCTGTTGCTGTTGCACCACCAGCTGTCGCTTTGCTGTTGCTGCCGTGCACGGGACTTGCGTGTGAGTTTTGATTGGCCAACGTTTGTTTGTCTTTCTCCAGATTCTCAGCCAGAGTTCGGATGACCAGCGTATTTATGCGCTGCTTCAGTGTTTGATTTACACTATTCAAACGCTCCGTGGGCGCCGTCGATGGTTGCTGTTGTTGTTGTGGCTGTTGTTGTTGTTGGGGCTGCTGTGGTATTGTGCCAATGGGACCATAGCACAGTGTCGAGCTGGGATAGTTATTCTCGCAGAGATTCTCCAGCTTTAGCTCCGACATTGGCACATAGCTATCAAAGCCCGAATTCGGTTCCGATTTATTTTGACCCTGGCCAAAACCACCAGCGCCGCCCCCCGTCATATTCGAGACGGGTGCATTCAGCTTAAAGTTCGGCGACGCTATATTATTGTTAATCGTATTATTGTTGTTATTCAGATGATTGTTGCTGCTGCTGTTGTTGTTGTAGCCATTGCTGCGCATCGCCGGCGATTGCAGGCGCTGCTGCACAGCGCTCACATTTGCATCCGCCTTGCGTGGATTCTGATTGTTGTTGAGCGCATTGAACTGTTCGCGGGAACGGGCCTGGGCCTGCTGGATGTGCGAGTCATTCAACTTGGGCTTCTGCAGCAATGTGACTAGATTCGCCTGGATGTGAAAGCAGTCGCCGAACAACTTCAGAAACGAACTCAAATCGCCGGGCGTTTTGAACATGCGCAACCATTGATCCTGGGGAAAGTTGAGCGTTAGCAAATGAAATAGTTGATCCACCAGCAACGGCCCCTTCATCTCGATGCACTGTGCGAAAAAGTCGAGCATTTGCTGCGTGCCGCGCGTATCGATGTTCGATTGCGGCAAATGCAAGCGATCTCTGGCCGGCAGATCCGTCATATTCTCACTGCCCACCAGCATCACATAGTCGTCCGTCACCTTAAACGTGTCCGTGTGCTTCATAAGAAAATCCGTAAACTCCTTGATGTGTTGGCCTGTCAAAATCAATATATATTTATATATATATAATAGATATGCTTAAATAGATTATAAAGTCATTCGCTCACCTGATATGTGTCGTACTTGTGGCGATGCCTGCGACCGATGCCCGAGCAAACTGCGAACGGGCACCTCGGCAGCGGCGCCATATTGGAGCATCTTGTTCTTGAAGTAGTCTTTAGCCTCTTGGATATAATCCCGCTTGCCGCCGCTGTTGCCATCATCCGAGCTGCTGTGCTGATAGGCATTCACCTGCACATAATCACCGTCCACCAGGAATATTGATGGGTATTGGGCGAGAAATTTCTTCAGACCTGCCAAGCATGTCAATTACAATTAGTTGCAGCCATTAGCGCTTAATGCAGTAATGCGATAAAAGTGTTAACGTAATTAATACGCCAGTCCTCAAACTGTCTAATGTCTTCTGCTTTGTCTAAGCGCGAGGAAAGTAAGTACTTAATGCACATTGTACAATGACATAGACACACATATATATATATATATATATAGATAGAGCAATAGTAGTTGATTAATTTCTTAGGCCTTAAAGTGCGCATTGTACAAGTTTGCAATCTGTTTGCCACATATGCCTGGCTTCCCATAATTAGCCTCATTGTAGTCCCATGTTTATTTCTACTCTCCGACGGTTGAATATGTTTCGGCTTTATTTGCAAAGTTAGCCAAAGTTTTGGGTGGGTTGTCAGTGGGGAGGAATTACCCACTCCTCTGGCAGTTACCCTTTTGTGAGTCACAGTGCTATAATTGTTGGTGTGTGTTGCTCATTTTCAATTTATTCGGCAACACAACAAAAGTTGAGACCAAACAACACAATCAGTTGAAGTTGAAGCCATTTTGCCTTTTTAGTTATTAAAGTGAATTGTGAAACTAAAACAAAAGTCAACTTTATGAAATATAAACTGTTTATTTCAGTAATTATATTGCAGTGTATAATATATATCAGTTGGAAACCAATTGGAAAACTGACTCATAAATCGAATCAATTACCGATAAACTGAAATAAAGCTGGGATATATGGGAACTTATATTCCATATTTGAAATGCTTATGCTGATCAAGAATGCATATATTTTACTTGTTATATACCCATTCTAGCCAACTTAAGCTGAAGCTTGTTAGATACTCAACATGATATTGATTAATCAGCTGAAAGATCTTCTCAAGCAATGCATAGTTATCACAATGCACTCGAAATTTGTTTACAGTGCAGAGTTGGGGTATAACTCAAGCCAAATGAAAAGTGAATGCACTCAGGCCAAGCTATTTATTTGATAAATCAGGTCATAGTTGCTGACTGACTGCCGTCAACGGCCCAGGGAAGCGGCACCACTGCCAGGTGGGTGGGTAAACTCGGTGGGGGAGTGGCGGAATGGAAGAGGGTTGGCGAGGGCGAACTCCATCGTTGTCTGCGCCAGCCCATTGTCTGTGTAATATGACGTGACACGACAAGCGCGCAACATCTGATGAAACGTTGGGGCAGAGGCAGTGGCAGGAAGTGGTGGGGCAGCAGGGAAAGTGTTTTTTTTTTATATTTCAGTGTTGTTGCGTGTCGCGAGAAGCAACAGCAGCCACTGCTCTGGTTTGTCATTGTTGCCACTGCGCTATTGTTGTCAAATTTTAGTATTTGTAACATGTTTTGCTCAAAATCACCGAATAAATTAATCTAATTGCATTTGTTTTTTTTAGGGCTGAGCTTGATGTAAATGTAAATGACCCTTCGCATAATCGAATTGTGCTTTAAAATTGTCAAGCGTTGCGCAAGGATTACTCAAGAAATGCTGAGCTAAACAAATCTACTGGTGTCATGTGCTCAACGAGCCACAAGAGTGATAAATGAGGGAAATGTGGAGAGAAGTGGATTTGGGGGTTGACTTCGAAAGTGCACAATAAATATCGATTTACATGATGTGTCCACTAAATGGGCCAAGCGCAACTGGTATATAATTCAATTTTTATGTATCCTCAGGCATTACACAAATTGAAATTGAAATTTACAGTTGAGACGCTAAAACATCTTCCCATCAAATTGTAAGCAGAAAAAATACGACTAACTCTTGTCTGTGCATGATTATTATTTATCTGCCGCAATAACTCTCGCCCCTCAGCGGAAACGGAAGGGGCACTCACCTAGTCTACATCCATGAGTAGTAAATGTATGCATATACATAAAAGCATGTATAAACAGGCATACTTACAGGCTTACATACATGTGTACAACGGCAGGCGAGGGTTGTCTGTATTCTTTGCATTCTGTGTCTGATTTTAAATGATTTTTAAATGTGCATGTAATATCTTGGAAAAACAAGTTCTTTAAATAAGAAATCATCTTTTGAGCAATCTACGGCAGTTATATGATATAGTTAACCGATCTCAATGATTTTTTATCTATTTTTGAGGAACATAATTAACTGATAAGTGTCTTTAGAATAACTTTTTCAAAGTTCAACACACAAGAACTCGTCTTCGACTTATCATCAATCACTAAAAATGGTTAAATAGTCTTAAATACTTGTCGATAAGCCCGCCAGTATTTGTTATAGCCAAGACAATATTTGACTGTTTGTGTTGCGGCATTTCTTGGCCGACAAACAAAAATTGTTTGGCAAGGGCTGTGCGGTGGGCGGTGGCAAGTGGGGCAAAACGGGGCAAGCCGCCCCCGGAGGAGCAGGTGCTCGAGCTGGTTGCTCGTTGCTGGTTGCTCGTTGGTGGCACATTTTACGGTCACTCGCCGCACATATTGGGCACAATTTTGTGGGCAATTTTCAAATGCACCGAGAACATTTTCTATAAATATATGCATATCTATATTCATGTTTATGTTTGCTTATTGAAATGTAACCCCAGACCGATCCCCGCAAAAGGACGGAAAATGTTATAAATTCAGAGGCAAGTGTCTTAGCCAGCCAGGTAAAAGGGTTATGTGGCTATAAACTCAAGATTTTATGGCTAAGACCGTATGGGAAAACTCCTCTCTCTCTCTCCCTGTCTCTCTCTCTCTCTGTAGAGTGAAGTTCATTTCGTTGATGTTTCCTAGCATATTGAATATTAAATATCCGAGTGAAAATATGACTTCATTATAAGCCTATTAGTTGAGACTAAGTTGACTCATTAAGCGCAAAAGGCGCCACTAATAAATACCAAATTCCAGTTGCCAGTTAATGAAAAAAAACACAAAAATCAATGTTGAGCTGAAGCCAGTGCCATCTCCAACTCCATTTCCATTTCCACTTCCATTTCCCCCCGCATTTAAACGCATAAGCTAACAATAACCAAAAGCCTTGGCAGCTGGCAGGCAACAACAAGCAACAGCAACAGCAACAGAAATCAACTCAACTCAAGCCAAGCCAAGTCAGAAGTCAGACGCACATTGCCGACACGCAATGCCAAAATAAGCAAGGGTGCTAAAGGATTTCAAATGGGCCAACCGACTGCTGCCGGCATAAAATCGTTAAATTTATTGTATGTCCTGCGTCTGCCACATGCCCCCCTCCCTCCCAAAACGAGGCACAAGTCAAGAGTGAAATATGTAACGGCTAAGCGGAACATATCTAAACATGCTGCAACTTGACTTTCGATTATTTAACGAACATCGAGCATTTTGCAACAGCAGCTAAAAGCGTAGTTTCATTTACATATAGAAACGATTAAAGACTCGAAAATTATCTATTTATATATTATCAAAAAAGACACCACCAAATAATATATAATATTTATTTATTTACTTAATGTTAGCAAACAAAATTTAAAATTTAAAAATACATTTGAATTTTCATGAATATTCAAACAAAAATTCAAATAAAATATATATTTAAAATTTCTTCATAGAAAAAAATCTAAAATGAGCAGAGTATGGATTAGTTGAGAAGCCATAAATGCCAGTGATACATTATTATTATTATTATTATTAGTGGGGGGCTGGCTACATGCAGTGCGACCTAGTTTCTTGTACGAATTCAAGAATCTATATTCGGGTTGAGGGCTTTTATGCCATCGATGTTTCCCTTGGATACTACAGCTACTGCTGGCTAAGGCGACACAAGCCGCTTTAATGTGCTTTAAGGATTTAAGGATTGATGCCACTGATTCTAACTAGTCTAGATGTTCTTTAAAGAGACAAGTCTATGCTTTTGTGTACTATTTTATATGTTTGCCAGTCAACTGCATACTCATTGAGCCACCCTCTCGTTAATCTGTCTCACGTCGACAAATGCGTTGCACCTTCGCTTTGGCAATCGATTACGCAAAAACAATAAAACTCATTTCGTGTTTCACAGGGATGCCTTTATTGGAATATGTTTGTTTTGTGTGTGTGTGTGTGCAACAATCATATTGTGTGTGCCGCATCGACATTGACAACGACATCGGCAGCGTCAGCAAACAGTAAATGGCTCGATTATGTTTGGCCAAATGATTTGTACGAAATGCATGCAAAACTGGTTTTCATTTCATATATATATTTTTTGGCGATCGCTTGTCAAATTAGCAGTGAAATGGGCACGCAAAAGTTTTGGCAACTGTTTGCTCAACTCATTATCAGTTTTAATGGTTAATGGCCTTAAAGCTTCGAAATTATGACAACAGCATGAGTTCTGTATACTTCTTTCAACACGCTTTGAAGAGAGTTTGCCACAAAATTGCTTGTGACATTAATTTTGTAAATGTTTTCTTGTTGCTTGCTTGCACAAAACCCTCATCAATCGCTGGGGAATCGAGAACTTTACGAATCTACACCTACACACATGCATTATTGAAGCAACAAATGGGCAGCACGCCCCCTTTTCCCCGCCCTCTTCCACTGTTGAATAGTGTGCCATAATATTTGAAATTCAATTGAACATTTCTGTCACGTAATCGACACTTTTCTATTTGCAAAACGAAACAAGAAAGGCAAATTTACCCTCATCATCATCGTCGTTTGGATTCGGGGTTTTAGCCGGGTATTATGAAAATATCAAAGGTATACACATATATATATATATATATCTAAACAGTGTTGGCCAACAGTATGCCCTTAGCGACATAAGCAAAATGCGTTGGCCAAAAACAAAAAGGTGTCCCATAAAATATGTTTATAGGATGGCCATGTCGAGCTTGAGCCGTTGGTCTTATCTTGTCTTGGGAGCAGGCTCGAAGCTGGCTTGAGCTGGGGAATTGTTTACAGCGGAAGCTGGTTCAGCGCTTAGTCTTCGACTAGTATTTGTTCGATTTAACGTTGATTCAGTTCTATTTATAACATGAAGATATGAACACATCTACATTCAAAATAGTTACTGTTTTGCGTGCCTGCCACACATATTTTCTATCAGACTTGATTTAGGTGTGCCTCTTGCTGGCTGGTTGTTTGTTGATGGTTTAATAAATTGTTTGCATTGGTTTTGCTCGTCGCGATTTAAAGACAGATGTATTTTAAGTGCGATAAGTGCTTGCTAAATGCATTTGTTGCATTCGCTGTTGACGGGTGCAATTAGCGTAACCACAAAGTGTGAAGAATGTGGCATGCCAAATTTAACAACAGCTCAACTATGAAAATGCGATTATACAGTGGCTTGGAGCAATTAGCTTATTCAATTCCCACTTATTACAACAAGAACCAAATTAGAAGCAATCAAATCGATCTTGGCAAAGCTGAAGCAATATTTTCATGTTTGTTGACATTTTCTTTCTTTTCTTAAATTCTGATATCGAGGATATAGTAGGAAATTGACATAAATACATCTCTTCCACAATTTTAAAGCTGGAATAAATAACCAGTAATCGCACTTAATTATCGATTAAAACCTCGATTAATTATTTATCGATTGGCAACATCATATTCGCTTCATAATCCTGATAAGGCAATTTGATAAAATCGCATAGCTTCTACAATTTTGTAGATAGACTCTCCAAACTAGGAAATCGATTTGTCAAATTTTAAATGTATATTTTCCAATAATTCTCTTCAAAGATCGACAAATAAATTTCTTTGACATGTCCACCCCACCCTTTAAGGGGCAAATTAATGTTTATTCAATGGTTGAGGCACGTTTGTGCCACTGCCTCCCCATCCCCAGCAGAATATACAGCAAAGCAATATAAATAAATAATCTGTTTTCCTATAAAAATTATGTTCAAGACAAATTCAGTTTAATGTAGTTTTAATCGTTGATATTCATTTCAAAATAAAGCAAACAAAACTAAAAAAATGTTGTACAAATTACTTCATTTCGAGTTTCTAATGAGATGCCAATGAATTGCTGGAGCTATTGCGAGGTATTTTCAATATTAGAAGGTGCATTGCACTGCACTGCACAGACTGAGTTTATTTTTAAAGTGTTTTTTCGAGGAGTTTTTGTGGATTGCTATTTTTAAAATACCCGCATCTTGATGATGAACTTGTGTTTATGCGTATCGAATTGTTGTCGGGCTGTTTTCCTATTGTTGACAACGACTGTTTTTCATGTTTTTTATGGGGAAAATCTAGTTTTGTGTTTGTGCCTCCTTCTTCGAGCGCCACAAGCAACAAGAAAAACACGTGTATTATCGATTGCCTTAAGAAAAACCCTGACAAAAGCAACGCGATTCGAGGTTGCATACCCTGTTCTACTCAAGTGGAAGCCTCATGAACCCAGACAAATTAAAAGCTAGTCGCGTCAATTTATGATGTACACTTGTCTGACGAGTTGAGTCCTGATGAGTTCCAAGAAAAAGATACTGGCTCCTCTATGATATTTTTCTTACGAATGCATGAATGAAGCAAACTATTAGTTTTTCAAATCTTGCTCCTGCTCCTGGAATTCTTTACAATAAATATATAATTTCTTGCATTTGAAGAGCAAGCAGCGACTTTATATAAATCGTTTGTTTTTCAATTTTCATTGGTAACAGGATATCTTTCAAGTCGTGCAACATGCACTCGATTTTTTGTTTTTTGTTTTTTTTTGCGGTTGCAGCAGCAACTTCAATTGCTTGCCCGACACTGTGGCTGTGACTGGGAAGCGGCAGTGACATGTGCACTTGGACAACTCAAGCAAAGAAACACAAATACAACAACAACAACAATAAAAACAATACTGGGAGCGGAAAACAACAATGAGCCCGAGCAGGTGTAAAAGTACAAGTCGATTTGCTCAGTATTAGTTTTCACTGTACCAGTTTCGGATTACGATCCGAAAAAGAGAGGGAGAGAAAATGAAATGGATTTTGGATTGCAATACGTCTATTTAAATACATACCGGACTGACTGCCGCCGGCAATTTGTCGCATTTCCTTGGTGAACTCCTTGTTGCCAAACTGACAGGATAGATCGTGCACGGTGCGTGGTTCACCCTTGTCCAGCAGTCGTTCCAGGAAGAACAGCAGCGTCATGTTGCGTGCCATTTCATATTCCATGGATTCCATTTTGCAAGCTCTTTAATCCTGTCTTCTGTGGATATTCTCCGTTACCGTTAACTGCAATGAGCATTAAGCAATAAGCATTCGAAGGTTAAACTTAGCAGCCAGCTCTATGTTAATTTCAATACTTATGCAATGAACATAACATACACACACACACTAGCACACACACAAATACATATATAGGTATGTTTAGTCTGTCTTTATTTATTTAATACACTTCCACTATTCCACTTAGCCAGCTTGGGCTTTTATGTTATTGCATTCTAGTTGCTTTTTTTGTCTTTTTTTTTTTTGTACGACCTTTTTCTTACATTTTTTCTATGTCTCTATTCCATTTGCTGCGTCGACTTGCACTCAGCGCTCAAAGTCATAAAACTCAACCTGCACGTCGGTTTTTGGCCTTAAATTATTAAGAAGCCGCTACGTAAATGTTGTTGCTGTGTGGTTGCAACGTGTTTGTGGCTCTGTGGCTATTATCCATGCGCATATCCTTGCGTCTTGCATGAAAGTTGAAAAGCAACTGACGAACAACGATAACAGCACCCTGTTGTTGCCAACGCTTATGTTAACTAACAGTGGTTCCCAAATACAAAATGGGAGGCGAGGTATTGAAAAACATGTTCAAAGTTACATATTTAATCAAATTAAAACTGCTTGGATTTTTAGAATTGTAAAAACACCGACCTAAACTATTTTTTCATATTTTTGTTGTCTATTTATGTATTAATAATACTAAAATAATTTAATAAAAACCATTTCAGGTCCTGAACTCAGCTTAACAGCCGTATGCTGTCCGTTTGCAGCTGTGTGTAAAGAGAAAAGTAAACAGAGAGCAACAGCTGTTATTTGAGGTAGAAGAAGAGCAGGACAAAAAGTCACGGCGAATTCGCTGTTTTGCCTGGCGATGTGTGCAAGAAAAAACAGGTGATTGACACACAGAGAAAAGGTGGACGGAGAAGCAAGCAACGGAAACAACAAATATACAAAAAAAAGCCTGCAGCAGTTTGTTTATTGAAATTCATCGTGATAACCAAACCGAAAACCCGTTGACGACGGCCACATACACTAAACCTAATACAAAATGTATTGAGAACGGGAACAACAACAACAGCGAACATTCCAAAGCAGGCGGCATTTATTGGCCAGTTCATTATATGCATGTGTATATGTGCGAACAGCTATGAGTGTGAGCAGCGGCGGCTTTTATGCATGTATTGCTAGGCAAACAAGACAAGAACGATACAAATTTCTTATTAGACTCCGCTGTTGGCATTCGTGCTATTTTCGCTTGAGGTAAAAAAGAGATAGCAGCATAGATAGAAACAAGTGCAAAACTGATGATGACGAAAAAGTAAAAACAATAATAATAAAAGAGCACACAGGGCACACACAGTGAGAAATGACGATAATGAAAAGAAAATAGCAAACCAAATATTCAACAATCGCAGAGAAAACGCGCACACACACACATACATATATATATAAGCAAATGTGTGCGATGCAAAAAGTAAAAGCAAAAACAACAAAAAAAGTCACTGCAAGAAATGAGCATTTTTAATGCATATATAAATATGTATATGAATAATTACATATGTATGCGTGTTGGGTTTTTATAGGCACATGTAAAGCGTAATTACCTGCTTATGTGAACTTTGTATATCTATATTTAAAATACACTTGTTTTTTATATTTGTATATTATTGCTCTGCTTCTTCTTTTACTTGTTGTTGTTGCTGTAAAGGCACTCACACGTACACAGGCTGTCTCTCTCTTCTCTCTCGCTCTATCTCTCCTTTATCACATATACAGAAACACGATACGAATCCTCGCGGTAGGGATTTTTGGCAGTTTTAACAGTTAGATCAGCATTTATCACACTCAATCGTATATCGTTTTATTGCCATTCACTGGGAGAGATTTTGAGTTTTAATTAAATTTCGTGTTTGCGTCGCTTAGCATTTTTCGGCGTAATTATCTGATTGGACTTGAAGCCCACAACTTGTTGTTGTTGCTTACGTATCCACTTGTGTGCGTGTGGTAAGAATAGTGTCTGTGTGTGAGTGCGCGCGTCGATGTGTGTGTGTGTGTGTGTGTAAGGCACTTTATTGGAGTAGTGTTAAAAGCTAGTTGGAGACCACTTGTTGCACAGATTTTGTATCACTCGCAACAGGTGTGCACAACTGTAACACGAATTTTAACAAATTTGTTGTGTATTTCAAGCATGGAAATAAAACAAATGTTTGCGTGTGTGTTAAAAACGGCACAATTTGGTGTACGGAGGAGGTTTTCTTTTGGACCGATGATGACAACGCGAACGCGACTTCAGGTGTGCCTTCGATGCCGATATCGATATCGATTACTTTCATTTTTTTGTGTGAATGGTAATAACAGCTGTGAGTGGGCTCTGTTAAATGTGTCGTGTGACCAGACGCGGAACATAATGTACGTTAACAGTGCCAATTTGAGTAAATAGTTGGATACAATAAAAACAAAGTGAATTCGAAAAGCGCGCTTTTTCCTGCAGCAAATGTAAGAAGCAAATGCAACACATTGGTAAACTTATTAAGACACCTCAAATATATATATGCGTGCATAATTTAAATCATGCGCCACGTCTATAAAATCCATGCGAATGCAACACGCGTCGGCAAAGTTGCCATCGTTAATGATTATTAGTTAACAAGTGGGCAGCGCTGGTCAACTTGGTCAACCTGGCTGTGACGCTAATTGACCATTGCATATGCAAATGCGAGCTGAGTTGCCGGACAAGCGGAAGGAGGAAAGGTGTTGCTGGTTGCAACAGTGACAATATTTCTGACACCAGTTAACATATATATATATAAGTGGGTCGGGTATTTGGCGCCGCATCTCTCTCCTCTCCTCCTCCTCCTCCTCTCCTGCTCTGCCATAATTGAACGCATCCGTTACTCATTTTGCCTGCTGCCTTGTCTCAACTTGTTGCTGCTAATTACAGCTGATCGCTGAGCAACAGATTTAACAGAGGGGGTGGGGTTTGATGATCACGCATTTAATGTAAACATTTTTAACTGCTGAAGTTTATTCAATTAAAGCGCAGTGCTTTGATTGCAGCCTGGTTGTAATTGCGTGAAGGAATTTTCATCTGGCTAAGCTGAATGGGCAATTTTGATGCAACAACTGCTTATTTGTGGTTGCAATTTGCTTTAAGGATTAGTTAAGGCTGGCAGTCAATTTGTTGCACTCTCCATCAGCTCATCATTCTTGCTTTTTTTTAACATTCTCAACTGGCCTGTATTTATATAATATTTGTTCCCCATCGCAGTAGAAAAGCAGCGGGAAATTTGCCATAAAAACATACTGAACAACGAATCCATTGATTTGAGCCCTTGTTTGAGTTTCAGTTTATGATCCAAACGCTAGCGACATACAAAGATTGTAGGAAAAATATCCACGAGGGCAGTTAGAAGAGATGCCAATGAATAAATTAACAGCAGACAACAGGTAAGCTTTAACATAGCAGATTGCATTAGAAACTTTGCATTTTCAGAAATAATATTTTCTAAAAATAAATAGAAACGATTTTTCAAGTTGTGTTTGAAGTATTTCCATTTCCATAAATTCTACAATTCAGAGCGCGATTTTTCAGAGATTTTTCCTATTATTATACAATTAAAGAAATAAATAAATGCTATCATTAAGAAATATACATTTTAGAAATCTTTTCTGCCATTAAGAAATATCAAAGTACTTTTGTAATTTACGGATATTTTATCGAAAACAAAAACAATATTATAGTTTTCATGCCGATTTGCATTTTCGGGGGATTGGCTAAATTAAAGATTGTTTTTTTTCAGTATTTTTTTTAGTTCCGGCATATATTTTATGCTTACAATATGAATACAAATTGTGCGGCTAAATATAAATGTAGAAAAGATTTATTTAAACAGGGTAATAAATGAAAATCGTTTTGGCAAAAATGGCAAAAATTGAAAAATTGTGAACTGTAAAATGTAAAATGTTGTTGCCAAGTTTGTTAGTTTTTACGCTTTTACGTGCAGTCTGGCTGAAAGTACTGACATTAATTGGCCTAGAAATCTAAGGCGAGGCGTTGCTTAAAATGTTTTCAATTGGCACGTTGGTTAACAATCTGCTCTTAGCTGGTTAATAGACGCTTAAAAACGTGTCAAGATTTATACGTCCTCGCAGCACCGACTTGGGTGTGGAAGATGTTTGCTGAAGGGAGCCCGGACTCCTATATGCGGCGACTTGTTATCTTTTAAAGCGCTGCTTAGATTTATAGATAACCCTTAAGCCACTGACCAAGTTCCATAAATATTGTGCATATCTAAAACTTGACTTGAGCTCATTAATAAACGTTTAGTGGCCACGTAAATTGCACTGCCCACTAATTGATGGCCCAGGCCACAGGCTACAGGCTCTTCTGATGCAAATAAATAACAGCACTGCACACGTATATACACTCAGAAAAATAGTCGAACTGAAATTTAGAAGTGTTAAATGTTGTTAACTCAAATTATTATTCAGAAAGTATATTTCTAGAAGAACAGTTTTAGTCTGTCTAAAAATCAATTGTTTTCTTTACCTGATAGAAGTGTTCTAAATTTTACAAATAATTCTGGAATATAAATAATTATTACCGCGAATTTCTTTTAAGGACGATCTTCATTTTGTTTGATTTGTTTCTCTGAGTGTAGTTGCATGTCTGTCAAAGGCCTTGTGTGTCTGTTGTGTGTGTGTGTGGTTGCAACCAAATGTAACAAGCACGTACTTGCAGTGCCACAAGGTGCAAGACAAAAGACTACCAAGAGACTCCCATTAAAGAAAAGGAGGAAAAAGGGAAACCCACGCAAGTTTGGCCCACGTTTCGCCATAACGACCTATGATTCCTTTCATTCCCTTCGCCTCAACTCACGCTGTGCACGTGAACATTTTCACGCTTTTCGCTCTGGACATGGACACGTAAAAAATGTGGGCGTGTCTGGCAGCGGCTCTTCTACATAAATATACAAAGCTACACAGACAGCTCAGTGTGAAAAAATGGACTGATCAAATATGATATACCCGAACAACAATAATCTCAATAAGTGGTTTTTTTCTATTGATTGTTTATTGCTTGGTAAACTGTTTTTATCATTCAAATATGTTTATTCATATTATTTCAATATGATAAACTTTATTCTTATTTTTATGATATAATTCAAAAATTTCAAATTGACATTTTTCTAAATAATTTACTACAAATATGCAAAAATATATTTAAATTTGGAGTAAGAAATATATAAAACTGTAGCCAGCAAAAGACATATTCAAATCATAAAAAGAGCTCACAAAAAAAAAACATATTTATAAAAGTTTATTAAATGAAATTAATAATATATAGAATTACAAGATAAGTTTCCACAATTTTCTTATGCTATATTTAATATTATGTTAATTTTAAAAAGATATATATTTCCATAATGCTAGTGCATTTTCTGAATTCCAGAATTTGCGTAATAAAAAAAATGAAACATGGCATAAAAGAAAGAAACTGACAACTTGAGAATGCTTATTGGCATATCTATTTATGGATATATACCCAGTGTGTGTTTGGTGTTCCCCCATTCGACCCTAAATGCAATTTTACACGCTTTTCGCCATTAAGCAGGAGCAGAGCCTGAACTGCGATCCAAACTACCTTTCATGCTTCAAAATGAATGTTGCGCCTGAATTGTTGGCCAATTTTACGGAATAATGCGCTTACACCCCAAACAAGAATTGCAATTGCACCCTCGGGCATTTGTCATACCCATCAAAAGAGTGGTAAAATACAAGCAGATATACAGATAGATAGTTGGATAGATAGATAGATAGATGGATAGATAAGAGTCATAAACTTGAAGCCAGCCATTGACAGACGACACGAATCGCGCTGAATGACTGAGCAGATGCAGCAAATGCAATTGAAAAGCGCCTCTCAAAATGGGGAAAATTTCTGTTTGTTTGTTTGTTGGTTGGTTGGTTGTTTTTGGGGGAAAACAGATACGAAATGGTTGCGATAAAAGCTATATAAAAATTGTGTTAATTGCCAAACAGGCATTTCAAATGCATTCATCTAATTGTCGAATGTCGACAATCGAGTGTTGAGTGTCGAGTGTATTGAATGACGATGGAGTGTTTCTTTCGTAAAGAATTAACAACGCCAATGTTTCATGGACACATTTTACAACCGCATCAATCTCACTGCTTTTGGTTAAGTGCTGATAGCTGATTGACCACATATCTATACATATATGTATATATCCCCAACAAATTGAGTGACTGAGTGCTGAGTGAGTGATGGGGCTGCTGGGATGTTCCGCCTGCTGCCACTTCTAGTGTCCCATCTTCTTGATCAGCCAGCAAGTTGGGCTCGTGTCGAGTGTCGAGCAATGGCAATAAACTCGATTAATATGCAAATTGCATGCAAATGGCCAACTGGAGTGCGACCGGACAAGGAGCAAGATTGTGGCAGTGATTATTTTTTAAAAACCGGGCCCAGCATCAAGCAAATTGGCCAACTGTTCGAGGCCAGCACTCGCTTTTAGGCTGGCCATGAGTCAAGTCCAGTCAAGTGATAATCTGGCTCTATTTGGTAATTACAATCGACAATTTCAATCGTCAGCTAACGGCAAGTGCAGAACGTATCTTTGTCTGTGTTATGATTATGGCCAGCAGCGAGCCAGTTAGTCAGGCCAAAACGACAGCTTTCAGTTTCCGTTACCAACTGGTGGTCGCCAATTCACTTTGTTCATTTAAATATCAATATTTCACCGGTTATTAGATATAATCTGATCTGCTTCAACATTCATATGGGCTGTCAAAACACCGCAACAAAATTAAGTCTTCTCGCAATAATTTTTCTGGCTATATTGAAACCAGTTGGCTTTCATATTTCCATTCTGAATCTGCTGCACTTGCTGGTGGTATTGGCCTTCCATGGTTTGCCCGTAATGATTTTAATTGAAAAAATAAGCACTTGCTTTAAGTTATAATCAGAAATGATTTAAGCAATTAATATCCATGGGGAAGAAAAGACTTTAAATACTCACCGGTTTCTAGACACCCTTAACCCGACTAAAATTCTTAAAATCGTTATCGAGCTCAGTGCATAAGTGGCCCCAAATATTAATAATAATAATAACACGTTATGCAAGTACACACAATGTTTATAAGTCTGTTTAAGCCCGCCTAAAATGTTATTTATAACACGTAGTTTATAGTAGTTGGACTAAATCATAATGGAAAACCAAAAACGCATTGCATAAAACAGTTCATCAGAAACGCATTATTATTAACTACTTGCATAAGCTGCTAGAACTGCTATAGTCGAGTGAATGATATTGGTTTGTTCAGTTTATCAATTATAAATAGATATATACTATAAACCAAATCAAAGCATATCCCATTAAAATGTTTATAGATGATTCAAAGTCAGAGCATTCGTTGATAATAAATGAAACACACACAATTCTAGTCAGATACACACTTTAAAATTGTATTAAGTAAAAGTAAACAAAAGCGCACAAGCAACACACACAAGCAACACACACAGGCACACACACATACACACACACATACAATTTATGAGCAATGTTCAATGATAGTAAAAGTTAGTTGTTAACACTAAAATATGAATATAGTTTTGTTGCACATGTAAAGACGATGCCTCAATTGAAACAACTTCAATTTAAAACGAAGACCGAAGGCGGTTTGGTTACCAAGGTGTCCAAGTCTGCAACAGAGATAGAGATAAATAAATGAGTTCATATTATAAATATAATATATATAAATATATATTTGTGTTAGCTTACAACGACAAGGGCATAGGTGAGTCCAATGGCCGAACCGGCCACAACATCCGACCAGTGATGCTTGTAGTCGGAGATGCGGGTGAGCGCCGTATACCAGGCGAACATGAGCAGCAGAAACTGCAACAAGTGGCGCAGCATGCGGTGGCGCGACCAGTGCATGCGACGCTGCAAGTAAATCTAAGGAAAAAAAATGGTAATTACTCAGTTTGTTTAGACAGCCTTAAAATAGCAGTTGAGCACGCACCACCAAATAGACCATGGAATAGCAGGCGAAACTGGCATGACCACTGGGAAACGACAATTGCACATCCTTCAGCCGCTTGGCACTCATATTGAGTGCTGTGCATGTGAAATTCTCAATGTAGCGATTCGCATTGATCGCATCACTGCAACTGGTGCCGTCGGGCAACACAGGTTGACATAGCTGCAGGCATGAGACAGACTTTGGTTAAAAATAATAATTGTGACGATCGACGATCTTTCGACTTACATCAAAGAAATGTGGCCTTAGACGTCCAATGGCATATTTGGCAATGTCCGTGGTTAGCTGCTGCAGGCCCAGGCCAAAAACAAAGGCGCCAATTTTGCGATAGCATTCGAGCAGCCAATGTGGCAGCTCCATGTGGCACATATAGTAGCCGCTGCCCTCCCGCTGGCAGTGATAGTTGGCCTGATACTTGTGCTTATCCTGCGCCCGGTAGAATTCAACCAGCAAAATCTGTGCAAATACGAAACAAAACGACAAAATTAGACAAGCAGCTCTCTTGATTATTGTAGTCATCTATAATTACCATAGAGACGGGCAACGCTGCACACATCAGATACAGCATCCAGCTGCGTATGGTGGACTCTTTGTAGGGATGCTTTAGCGAGAGATCACTGCAGAAAAAGCCGCGCTTGTAGGGCTCCAACCACAGCGAGAAACCCAGCATGGTCAAACCAACTGTAAGAATATCATTTATAATTTGGTTATTGCCAAGTTTTTTCTTATTTTGTAGAAATAATTTCAAAATATTGGAAACATTTTTAAAAAGTAGAAACCATAATTTTTCGAAATTGAATTGAATGAAATAGGCTTTTAGAGGCCGAGCTATTGATTTTTTGCTTGGAATTAGATATATATTTTGGGGCCATGTTTTCTATGAGTATCTACAACTATCTATAGATAGTTGTGCATTTTATAATTGAGCGAAATATCTATCATGATCATCATAGTATACATCTGTGTCAGATTCACTGCCTCATCGCAACAAGGTCCGCTGTTGATGATGATGCCCAAATGAGACCTGGATAAACAAGCCGAGCCACAGCCAGTTTCAGTTTCAGTTCCAGTTCCAATTCAAAATCAAGCTGATAAATGATGTTGTTGTTTCTATTGTTGTTGTTGATTGTTGATTGTTTTCACAATGCTGCTGCTACTCGCACAATAATAAATTCACCCCACAAACATTTGCGTAAATTAAGTTAAATATATAAATCAGACAACACTCGATGGGCGAAGTTATTTCGTATTTGGCCGCTGATTGAGGCCACAAATGGTGGTCAGTGGTCATTCTGTTGGTGTGTTGCAAGCATTTCTGTATCACTTTGGGCATCCATCCTCTGTTGGGCAGCTGCTAATCAGACCCCCCATAAGCACCAGCAAAAATGCTTATTCATTATGGAAAATAAAGATGCCAACGCAGTTGGAAATATTTTTTTCACAATTCCATGTGATATTATTATTCAATTAATGCACAAAAAGCGCGATTCGCTCACGGTTAAATTAACCACGGTGATATGAAGAAGTGGCGCCAACCAGCTGCCCGATAATAGTAGATAGTAGATAGTTGCGACTCTAGAAACTCGCATAAGACACATATTTAGGCCACAATGTGCAACAAGAAGACAACAACAACTTGAGTCATTAAATAAAATACTTTAGTTCTGTGTAAATTCATGGAATATTTTACAAACTTGGCAAGTCAGAGTTCAATTAATGGATCGAATATTCTTAATTCCAGGATGGCATTTTGTAAAATTTTGAAAAAATGTGTTAAATTTCAAGGATTATATTTTTATGTTTGGTTTACTTAACTTTGTTTTTATTATTATCATACGTCTTCGACGATTCCACCAAATACCAAACATTTTGAATAATATATATTATTATAAAAGACATTTCTGCAAAATAGTCTAAATTTTACAGACTTTCTAATTTCCCGGGCGATCTTTTTACAGAAAGTAGTTGCTGTATTATCTATTATTTATTTAATGTGTATATAAAAAGGAGTTCAACACTCACCGCAGCTGAGCAGGCTCAGGTCGATCAGGATGCGTCCAAAGATGTGAGCTGTACCGCGATTGCGTTGCGGGGCAACACTCGCTTGTGTGGCAACCACTCCCCCAACAAACGGTGGCAGCTGTAAATCAACTTTGACATTGTTGCCAATGTTGTTGTTATTGTTGTGATGATGTTGCTGCTGCTGCTGCTGTTGATGATGGTGCTGCTGCTGTTGTTGTTGCTGGTGTTGTTGCGTTGCGGCAATGATGCTCGCTGCTGTTGGCGATGAAGGCTCCTCGCCGCTGCTGCTTTGACTTTCGAAGCGTTGCAACGGCGTCGTATCGCAGACACTTGCAGGACGCAAGCTGCTCATTTTTGCGGCAATTGCGTGCGAGGGTGTGTGTGTGGGTGTGGGTGTGTGGGCTGCTCCTATTGCACCTTGCGAGTGTCGTGTGTGGGCATTTTTTTTTTGTTTATTTTATTTTATGTTTTTTTTTTTTTGGTTATCAGCAGAAGCCCAAATATTTGAAGTGCACGTTGGTAAATAGTAAATAAGGCAAAGTGGCGAGTTTCTGGGCAGACGCTAATGGAATCGGAAACGAAACTGGTCTATTTGCTTTGGCTTCGATGGGTAACGAAAATCATTTACAAAGTTGTCTTTTCTTTTTTTTTTTGGTGAGTGATAAGCGAGCTGCAATCGATAAATTAAAGTAAACAACAAACTGGAAATTGCGCAAGTGAGTAGTCGAAATTGTTGACATTTACTGCTGGCGATGCATAAATTAATTGCTTGAATTTGTCTTAAATATTTGCAATTGCATTGCTTTCATTTGCATTTCTACTTTTACGCAGAGATTGCTTAGCTTAGCCATAATTATTGTTTATTTCGTTTTATTATTCCATTTATTTTTACACACATTCATACACACACATGTACTTATATTTTTATATATATGTGAATTTTTCACTTTCGATCCGCTACTTTTTACGCGTTCTTTCGCATGCGCAGCGTTCTGAATGCACACAAATAAAATTGAATTTCCGCCTAAATACCGAAAGCGACCGCAATGCTCAACAGAACACGAAGAACTGAGCGCAGCAACCACGAAGTACCAATGAACGCCTGCACTGCTGAGAGTCCAAGAGAGCCGAAAGCACGCGCGCTCTCTCATTCTCTTCTTCGTGAAATCTCCTTTAATGCACATTGGAGCGCTATTATTAAAAACTCTAATATGAATCACACTGATAAGCTGAATATTTAATTTTATTCATTCCCAGAAGATATTATTGATGTTTTTCAAATGAATCTTTTGCAATTTGACAATTTAATTTTCCTCTCGAATTATAAACAACTATACGAGGCTGGTGACTGACCCCGTTATTGCCTTAATTCACATTAGTTCCGATAACATTTCTTATCTAAGCTTAAAATATGAATTACCTGAACACGAAGCGAGTCCCGTTATATTCTCCTCACACGAAGTAGCATACGGTGAGAGTGCGCATAATTCGGCTTTGCTCTCTCTCTCTCTGCGTGTGCCAAACACACAACAATCATAAAAGGCTTGTCTGTCTTTGTCTTCGTATTTAGTACAATTCGCTCAGCGGACGTGTTCGGTTGCCTACAAGTTTCGATGAGCGGAGTGCGTTACGCTGCGCTGCGTCAAATGCTTTGAATTTTTCGTAATTGTTTATGCACAAAAGAAATAAATAGTTTTTAGTGACGCTAATAAGCAAAAACCAGCAAAGTGGCTGAGAAAATTTGGCATCTGGTTCTCGCAACGGAAAAAACATTGAAAACCTATTAATTTTGCCACAAGCGCATTAATTCTATTGATTTGTGTTTAAAGGTAAAATATTCATACGTAATATGGATTATTTATATACAATCATTGCTATATGTGTGTGTTAGTAGATAAAAAAAAATCGTTCGTTTTTGTGGAAAGTAAAATATATAAAAAAGAATGAACAATGAAAGCAAAAAAAAAGTCCGATAGCGAAACATGTGTGAAAAGCTAAAATGGATGTCAATGTAAACAAACAACAGAAATTGGTAAACATAGCTTTGTTATATATATTGTGTAATTGCAGGGATTCTTAAACGCACTGCTAAACAAATGAAAGTGAGATAGAGATAGATATAACAACAGTTGCCTGCTCCCACAAGGAGGTGTGAGTGCTTCAGTTGTTATATTTGCCATATCGTAAAATGGCCATAAAGTAAAATCGATATTTGCAACGCAGAATGTTTACATTGAATCGTTGTCAGTGTTTACGTGTGTGTATGTGTGTCTGTGTGCCAGGTTCAAGGTCGTTGTTAATTTGGCAGGATGTGCGAAGGAAACCCATAAATATCGATAATTTTTTATTTTTCTTTTTATTATTGATTTTATTATTTTTGCGAATGGAATAATTTGCTAATCGGTATTTTTTCAATTTGCCCAGTCAGTCCTTATCACGGAACGTTAATTCATGACATTTCACGGTGATTTTGCTTTGATAAATTTAATCAGCCATTCAATGCGTCACGTAACCGTAAACCAGATTTGTAATTGGAAAAATCGAAAGTAATAACAAATTTTTACGTCGTATATAGAATAACAAGTTGTGTTATCTGTAAATATCAACAGTTTAGTGAAGTTTACATTAGTAACTAGGTGAAAGAACTTTGCTAACATTTGCTTCTCACTCTCACTTGCAGAAAACAACCAGAAACGTCGTCTTAAATTTCAATGTCAGACGCGTGTGAATGCCGTAACAAGCATGAATTTAATACTCCTCATCATTTACATATTAAGTAAACAAGCTTTTTACACACACACACACAGACCAATATACATACACATTCATACATACGTAGGTATAACGACCGCACATGGACGACGACGTCAGCGTCGTTGGTGTCATTTTGCCTTCCGCCAGAAGCAGCGACGTCTACGTCGTCAATAAGTCTGCAAGTAGTTCTGGGCACTGCCTTTTGATCAGCCCCGTTTTACAGTTGCAGTGTAGCCGTGAAATATTCAATGATACAGTCAAAATGGGAAATTGCCGTAGCCTTTTCCATTAACGTGGATATTCAGTTATAATATTTAAAATTCATTATTTACATTATTTCATTTGCTGTTATTTATAAGCAATTACATTTTATGTTCACTTCAACAGGCAGATTGTTTGACCTTATTTCACAGCATGCGTCACTTTAGCATGACATTTGAATGCTATGGAGTGAAGAGAGAGTGAGATGGGGGAGAAGGATTGTTGAGAGCAAGATAAACGCATATTGCTATCATTCTGTATTCTGTTACGGCAAAATGTGAATAACATTTGCCTAATGCACTTTAACGTTTGATTAAGTGTTTCCAGATAGCTGTTAACCTGTTCGCGCTTTCTTATTTTGTTTATTAAACAATTAAAAATAAGTGCTGAAATTGCACTTTTGGTCATTTAGATAAAAATCTTTAAAGTGTTTCGTATTTAATTAAGAAGCTGCTTTGATCATTAAAATATATACTAAATACTCCCCTTGCTGGAAGACAAATTATTCATTGCCATCAAAGCAGACAAGCCAACAAACTATAAACTTCGTTATGATATCTAAAAATAGATTCTGCTTGCTGTGACGAACAAGTAGCTGCAGTAAACGATTGGGAACTGACAACCGACTGCAATTCCAACCGAATTTAGCTTGTTTCTTTGTCCGCTGAAATTCCAAACAATGGCGACTGTAGTTGCTGCTTTACAGGTTGCAAGCTGCTTATTACAACGCTCCATTAATGGGCAAGCCTTAACAGAGTTGCACAAATTACAGTCGTTCTGTTCAATCAAACTATTTGCAGAGCCCATTAACATTAACTCGATCCCAACTGAGAATCTCTAACCACTAGTTTGCTGCAAGCTTGTTGACCTGCGAGTAGCAATTGACTCACGACTCACGACTCACGATGAATCCTGTACACATTTCTTTCTAATTGGAAATATAAAATGCAAAGATACAAACTAGTTGAAGCGCAACCGGTTCACGGTTCCGCAGCTGAGCACAATGTCTGTTCTTTAGTTCGATTTCGCAGGCGTTGCAATTGTGTTATCGAATAATTTTTTAGTTTATTATATAATAAAATTAATGCTTGCAATAAAATACTGGCAAATTAAATGAATGAAACAGAATAGAAATTGTTAATTATTTTTGAGAATATTGCTTCTTTTTTTTTTTTAATTTTACTGCTATTTGATTTCATAGGAGTTCTTAGTAAACTTGGAAAGAGCCTTCCACAGGAAACGTTGTGAGTAGTTTGTCTTTATAATTTTGGAACCACAGATCTACTTCCAGTTTTGAAACTCTTGTTTCCAAATATCAATCAAGTAAAAAGTAAAGTGAAATACAGAGAAATACATTTAAGGGTAATTTATATGGTATCTCATAGTTTTTGAGGACATTGCTCATACTCGAATGCACTGATTGGCTCATAATATCATTACGAAGCATAACAATGAATGAATCACAGCATGCATACTTTCGTCACGGCTATCCTTTTTTTTCTTTTGTCTTTTTTTAATGAAACCGTTTGCCTTACTCATACATGTGTAATCCCACAATTCTTTTATAAATTATTATCTTTTCTACCCTCCTTTTGCAGAAATGACGTATTTCAAACTTTAACGTTTTTACCTGAAGAACAAAAGAGGAGCAATCTGTGCTGTGCTCTGCTGCCTTCAACGCTTCTGTCAAAGCTGAAGCACAAGTTCACTGTCAAGTGAAGAGAGAGAGAGAGAGAGAGAGAGCGTAAAGCTTTTGTAAGCTTCTTCCGTCGTTTTAACTCACCGAAAAGCACAAAAACTAATTGGAAATGAGTAACGAATCGTCAGCGAGCGAGACAACACCGCTCCGTCGGCCGGAAAGTCCATTGAGTGCAGATTCAAGCGCAAACGTGGCCAGCGGCAACAACAATAACAACCACAACAACAACAAAAACGCTGCTCCACCTGCACAAATAACATTGACAATTCCCAGCAGCAGTAACGACAACAACTCGACGAGCAGCATTGAAGAACGCTTGCAAAGCAACATACAACAACAAACACAACAAAACATAACAAATATGGACACAAACAAGCGAATTTTATGTCGAGTGGGACTCGATATTTTGATTTTGCTTTGCGGTGAGTGTTGCCACAACCTAAAATTACGTACATTTGAGAGCGTAGGCACACTGTTATGTGTGAATTGCATATGTGTGAATTTGCCGCAATATTTGTTGTCGCATTGTTTTTTTTGTGTATTTCGTTTTTATGTAATTTTCGGCATCTGTATGTGTGCACTGGCCTTGCTCAGCAGAGCTTTTTCTCATTGATACGCACACACACGTCTATAAATACACTCTGTTGCTCTCTTTTATTGGTCATTTTAAACAGCTGAGCGATCCACATTGAATTGTTTGAGCTAGCAATCAGAACTCCAAACAAATTGGGCGAGAATTTGATTAGCATTGCTGTTAATCTTAATTACATTTCTAATTTAACAGTGATTATGTAAAATGTGTCAGCAGTAGCAGTGCTGCTAATTTTAATTGCTTTCAAAATGTAATATTTGTCACCAGGCATTTCCGCATTTGTGTCTTTTGTTTGCATTATATTATTATTTACCCAAGCATAGATGCAAAAATGTGTCACCCAAAAGGGGTGCGGGAATTCAGGTTAGTTCGAATAAAAGCTTAATACCTAATAGCTTTTTTACTTTTGAGAAAGTTTTTTTGTTTGTTTATATTATTGTCGCCAATTGACAGCTACAGAAAATGGGCACTACACCTTATTTTTGTTTAAGGTAAACGCGAACGTTGTCGCCATTTTTACCAGTTTTGACCTCAAGCTTAATTTACAGCTTTGTGTTTATCTGTTTTGACTTGTTATATGTATTTAATTGCAATACAATATTTACGTACGTGAGCAAATATTTAAATACACTCATTCTGGTTATTTGGGTAAAAACAAACTTGATAAAAAAAATATATATATAAAAAAACCAACAGAATTTCGCTTGTATGTATACATTATATAAAGAATTGTGTAATTATGTGTGTGCATCAAGCTGCGTTGACTCATTCCACTTGTGGTTTAAGCCGTTAATCGCGATTAAGCACCAAAAGGTGCACGTCATAAGAGAAACCAAAGAAACATATTAAAAAATAAAATCACCTGCCACCAATCATGAATGAATCAGTTTGCGGCAACTTATCTATTTTCCAATTAAATTAAAACCTGTCAACTAAAAGCTGGCAACATTTATCAATCTGTCAGCAATAAGCAGTGCCGAAATTGCCAATAAAACGTGAAGGGAATTTACACGCAATGCTCAAAGTAGCTATCTAATCACACAAACTTTATATTTCAAATATTTCTCCCCTCTAATTGTGTCCATAAATAAGAAGCCTTGACATTAAAATAAAAATAAGTAAAAAAAAAGAAGAAAAAAAACTTTCAACCCCAGCTGCACACTTAATCAAATATGTAAAAACACAAATAGTTCTTTCCAAATTGATTCCAATTAGTTGTAACGTTATAAAAATATATATATATACGTTGAATTCGTAGACTCATTCCAAAGCAGATTCCAATGCCTTTTAAGAGCAACTATGCAGCACCTTTTAAGATTGTCTGCGCTGATCTGATTCTGATCTGATGGACTTTTTTCTGAGTGTCTGTCGTCGACTAATTTGGGCGTAAATTAGTTTTGACGCAAGTCGCTGATAAAGTGATGTGTCCAAACGCAGGCGATGCCTTTTCGAGTATTTAAATAACGCATTTTGGGTGTGTTAAACTTCTTGACTTGAGACTTGACTGAAAATAAACTAGTATTGTCGCCGCTTGACGTTAATTGAATGCGAACGAGCTGTGCCACAATTGAAAAACGACTTATTTCAACTTTTCGGTGGGCTTCTGTGGAGTCATTAAACTCATAAAAGAGAGAGAGAGAGAGAGGGAAAGAAAAACTGCACGCACTCCAATAATTTATAGTGCGTGAGTCTGAGTAGTGTGGGTGGAGTGGAAAACAACAAAAAAACGAAAAACGAAAAACCAAGTAGAAAGAAAAATATTTATGCTACGCATTTCGTTTGTTGCCATGGTCATGGAGGCGATCACTTTTCCAATTCATGCTTTGTTTATTTTCTACAAAAAAGAGAAGCAAGCAGACAACAACAAAACAACAACAACAAAACAACAGAAACAATAATATCAAACACGTTGAACAGATAGCAACAGTTTCGATGACTGCGGCGTTTTGCCCTGATTTTATGCAGAGTCTGTTTTCATTCTCATTTTTAGCCATAACTATTACAAAGACTCAATTCCCGTATGTATATATAGATGATGTCGATATGTAAATCGATAAACAATGCAATGTATATTCAAATCTTATCTTAATATTAACTCAATGTGTAAGTGGATTATGCATATAATGTGTTTAATATGTGTTATACATTTAAGATTTGTATATATTCATTGTGTGTATACAAAAATATTGTATATAGAAAATTAATATATTCATATCTAGGGTATCTTTCATCTGTATTATTCTTGCTTAGTTTGCTATTCATTTTTAATGTCCATGAGTGTACTTCATACACCAATAATAGCAAATTTATAAGGTATTAACTCTTTTGACTGCTGACTAAGGTAACTCTTATCAGCAAATATGCTGATAATTTCCATCAAAGATATTCAATGATTAAACCGAACAACTGATTGTATCATTCTCGGTTAATTTCTTATACTTTTTATTTCTGCGAGTGTATTTCGAACATTTTTAATAGCAAGAATCAGCAAAGATAGACTGTTGTTAGCCTTCTTAACTATTGTTTAGGGCAGCTCTAGTCTGTATTATTCTTCTTTGTTTTTTTATTTTTTTCTCAAACCCTAATGTGCTCTACTTCGCTAGGCGAAACCAGTCTGAAATTGGCTTTTTGTTGCTATTGTTTATGGTCGCCAATCTTCAGCTCTGTTGACGACCTGCCATGCCACGACTTATGGGCTGTGGCACACAAAGGCGTTGCATGTTGGGATCTACCTGGGTGACACCGACACCTTTGCCAGCTCTCCCTACTTGTCTGGAATTTCCTGGTAATTGTTGCACATGTGCAATTAATGTGTCGCCTCCCAGACAGGAGGAGAGTGAGAGAGAGTCTGTGCACTGATTTTGAGTTGTGAAGCGTAAAATGCTTAGATCCCTGAGCCTTGTCTTCAGTTGATGGCAGTTGATAAATGAGAAAATACTCTGTCTCGCTGATCCATCAATTTGTGGACTGTCAGTCAGCCTTGGTCGAAAGTCTTAACTGGAGTCTGGAGTCTGCAGTCTGCTGTCTGCTGTCAATTGGCCAGAGGTTGGCCAGAGTGCAAATCTTTTGGCATTAATTGTCTTTAATTAAACTTCCGTCTTGTTTAATTAGCGCCGCTAGAATTCAACTGGCAGACAGAGAGACAGCAGTGGCCATCTCTGCTGCAAATGAGATGAGAAGATTTTGAATGCCAGCATTAAGAAATAGTTGCATTTATTGTTGCACGATAAGCGAGTGAGAGGTGGTAATGCTTCTAACGTGCCGCACAATGTTGTTTGTGTGGCCCACAAAACGCTTTTGTAAATGTTGCCGCAACTTGTTTGGCGCCCAGCTCAAAGAAGAGTGCGTCGCACTTAAGTACACAACAGCATCAGACAGATATAGATACACAGATACAGATACAGTATGCAGTTGCACATATAAATATATGCACAGCGAAAGAGAGAGAGAGAGAGAGATAAGTAAAGTATGTAATATGTGGCATAGACCGGTGGCAGCAGTGCGGCGGCTCCCCTTTTGTCTTAAGTTGAGCAGGGGCAAAGTGTGCTCCAGAACGTCATTTACCTCTTTGTGTTTGTTTATCAAACAAATTGTGTACAATTTTTTGTTTTGTCGGCATACTGTGATTTAAGCATTATTGAAATGGACTTGACACCAAATGGGACGCAAAGCACTTTCAAAAATAATAATATTAAAATGCGACTGCTGCTTTTTTTTCTCAATTCTCTGTTCGTTTATGGTAATCATTTAGTTGAACTTGCTGTGACACGATTTGGCGTTTGCCACTAAACGAAGCACTTCCGTCACAGGCTGTGCATGCCCCATCTACCTTCCCCCTCCCTCTACTAGTTGCTACTTGCATTATTATTACCCATTCCATATGTAGCATTTTTAATCGAGTTATGCTTGGTTAGATTTTCCCTCATTTAATATTTGTTGCAGACATTTACGATCAGATTATAACTGCCACATACTCTCGTTTTTATGCGGCAAAGTCGTAAAATCCATAGAGGAGCTACCGTTCTGTGGCAGGATTAGCCGCCCGCATACAAAGGCCACTTGGTGCTCGTAATATGACTCTAATCCGGCAACAATATATGATGCCCATCGAATAGCTTTCCCAGCGGAGATCGTTAAAAATCTAGACAATTGTCGCTACAGTTTTTTTTTTTATATATATTCTTTTTGTTGTTAGAGATTGAACCTGTTTTTGGTGCAGCTGTCCTGTCTGCTTACTTTCCCCTCATCTTAGGTCTGTCCACCTTTGTCGCGCCCTGATCTCTGATTGCCTTGCTCAACATGAGTTCCTTTCTATTGTGAAATGAATCTGCAGCAGCGACAGCAGCATCATCAACTTGCCTGCCTCAAGTGATGCAACATTGCGCACAATCGTTGTCACTGACGACTTGGGTTGTTCCATTTATATTTATATATGTAGATTTTAGCGTAGTGACGTCTTTACTTATGAATCACTTAAGTCTGTAGTCATTATACTTACAGCATATACTCTCGGAAGCAACACAAATGTTCCCAGCGGAAATGCAAAGATGCAAAAAATGAGAAATAATCTTTACAAATTTCTTAAAATTAAACAAACTAAAATGACAATCACTCTGAAAACTAGCAAGTTTTTATAGTTATAGAAATTATTTCTAGATTCTAAATGTATAAATAACAAATAATAAATATAAAATCATAACCAAGAAATAATTTCTTAAAGCTTAATGGCTCTTTGCTATTATTCTGAAATATTTTCAAGTAAATCTAAAATGTTTTTCATATTAATAATAATACTAATTAAGTAACAATAAAGCTGATATAAAAATGTTGTGTTAACAGACATAAAAATCAATCCTTTGAAGTTAGACATATTTTATAATTTTTTTTAAATAATTCTATTATCCACTTAACTAAAGTAAAAACCCTATATTTTAGAAATATATTTTCTGAATAATAAGCCTAGTTACCCTTGGTGACTTCCTAAATTTTAGTTCAGTTTCTTTTTCTGAGTGTAGCAACTTCCGATTCGGTTAATAGACTCACAGATTTTGTGTGCACTCAGTTTTAAGTTGAATGTGGTATGTGGTATGTTTAGTGGCAATACACATCTACTCAGTTATATCTGACTCACTTTTGAAACCGCCCTCGCATTTCATGCTTACAGATGCGTCAAGGCCTCTCTGGCTTTCTAATTTTAGATTTAGGCCCGTCGACCTGTTCGGCAATTAGGGAAACTATAACCATAACTGTAACTGGTAATTGTAACTCTAATTGGTGCAAGTGCTGCGTTGCATTAATGCACTTTTAATTGAATACTTGTTCTGCTCTGTGTGTATTTAATAAGGGTGTATTATAATTAGCACGGCACTCATTGTGAAAACAAACATATTTCAAGTGTCAACTGACACGATCCACTGCAGCGACTCTGTGATGGATGTGTTGCACGCTGCTGCGCTCAACCTTTGATCAATCAATCAATCAGTCAACCAATCAATCAATCAGCGTGTGAGTGTGCATACTGACCATTTGTCTGGCTGCGTCATTTGTATGCCACGAAAGTTATTATTAATGGTATGTTGTACTGCATTTTTAATTTAAAACAAATGCGTGAGTATCTTGTTGAAAGGCTGAAGATATTTTACTCCCCCTCCCCTCCAACACTAGAGACTCCCCCTAGCCCCGTTCTCTGCGCTGTTTGCAGCTGTTGTGCCCAAAAATAGTCGTTGGCATTTTTAACGAGTGTCGTCGTCGTCGTCTGGTTGTCTCCCCATACATGTATGCCCCAAGAAGTCGAGTAGTAATCTTATCAATAGCTTAGACATATCGTAAGTCAACCGTGTCAGTCATACAAAAATATATTTGTAGTGAGAGCGGGAGTGAGACGATCGATAATGCCTCTTAATACTCGACACAAGTCCCAATGACCTACTAAATAAAATATTGATAAATCATTGACGTTTATGCTTTGTTATTTGATCGATCTAAAATTGTTTACTTTTTCTATTTTCTATTTTATGTTTTTTTCTTCTTTTTTTTTACTTATTTTCAGTTGGCTTTCCCATACTATTATTCTATCTGCTTGGTGATCCCTACAAACGTGGCTTCTTCTGTGACGATGAATCGCTGATGCATCCATTCAAGGAGTCCACAGTGAGGAACTGGATGCTCTACTTCATTGGGATGGGTTTACCACTGGGCACTGTAAGTTGAAAAGCATTTTTAGGCAAACAATGGAATTTAATCGAAATGAATTGAATGAAATGAAAATGAAAATATGAAAATATAAATGAATTTAATTGCCGATTGTTCGCTGCGGGCTGGAGGAGCACTTGGCACTGCTCCAAAGTGGCTCTGGCCACCCATGTGAAATGTGTCAAGCATGTGTCAGTTGTTGCTGTTGTTGTTGTTGTTGCAGTTGCTGTTGCTGTTGCACAATCATTTCAAGTTCACAATTGCCAACAGCTCTTTAATGTGCTCCACTTTGAGGCAGTTGCAACACACCAGCAGCAGCAGCAGCAGCAGCAGTAGTGGGAGAGATATGGCATCTGGCCACATGCAGCACATTTAACTGGAGCAGCATGTGTCTGGACTACAAAACTATAGCCGTAATTCATAGAAAGCCCTAATAAAACTGTATTTACAAATATACCATGAAAATGGGCCCATGTAAATATTTGCATACGCTTCATTGCCTATTTACAACAACTTAATTGAGGGTAAACAATTTTCAAGGAGGTGCTAAAAGGAAGAGAATCCACCATTGATAAAATTCTTTCGAATTCCCTTGGCTCTTTCGCAGATACTGATCGTTGAAGTGCTGCTCTCGCGAGAGGCCAGTGCGAGTGGAACTGGCACGCCTCGCAGGTATATCTTTATGAATTATGAGATACCCGACTGGATGATCGAGTGTTATAAGAAAATTGGCATTTTTGGATTTGGCGCCGCCGTCACTCAACTAACCACGGATATAGCCAAGTATTCGATTGGTCGCCTCCGTCCACATTTCTTTGCGGTAAGTTTGACAATCGATCAACAATTAAACGAGTGGAGTTGCCAATTAATTTTAATGCGCAACATGTGCAACATGATAAACATGACAGCTCGCTGTGTGTGTACGTGTGTGTCTTGCAACAGCAAAAAGCCTATAAATACATAAGTGGTGCCTTCAATGCGACTTTCGCAATGGTTGCTTGCCACTCCGAATGACAATTTGGAGTTATATTTACACATGTTTATTTAAAGCATTTTGAGCTGCGAGTTGAGAACGGCGGGGGTTTCGAATAGAACAGCCCAGCCAAGTTTGATAAGATTGCTTGGATTTCAAAATAATAAATAAATAAAAAGTTAAAAAAATAATAATAATTAAAGTTGCTTTCAAGCAATTTTGTATTATACATTTAAAAATTGATATTAAATTGACAACGAAAAAAGTAATAATAATAAAGTTAATATTAAATATAGCTGTATTAAAATAGGGCAAACTTATGTAGCTTAGGTCCTTGACTCTCCCTCTCGGATATCCAGAGAAGGAGATAGCTAAGTCAGATATGTTGAGCAAGTCTCCGAATTAAGATACATTTAGCGGAGTTAAGCAGAATTAGTTGGTCTACTGGGAATAGAAAACATAAGTTAACTATTGACAACACATGTTGTATAACTTATATATTTGCAACTACAACTTTTGTGGGGGAAAATGAGACATAATTGAGATTGAGGGGAACTTGCTGAGTCCCCATCTGTCAGCCAGCACAGTGACGCCCTATTATTTAGTGAAGTGCAGCAACAGCGCTGCAAAATTGAGCATAAAATGCGTAGCAGCTGTTTTTTTTTAAAATATGCCGCACATGTTGCAAATAGCAAAGGAGGGAGCGACTCCACTGACTGAGACTGACACTAAGCAGCTTAAGTTTAGCGTGTTTTCGCTCAAGTTTCAATAAGTCAATTGTCATTACACAGGTGTGCCAGCCAGTCATGCCCGATGGCTCGACATGTGAGCTAAATGCCGGCAAGTACATAACGGAGTTCGAGTGTCGAGGTGTTGGCTCAACGGCTCGCATGTTGAAAGAGATGCGCCTCTCGTTTCCCAGCGGACACTCCAGCTTCACCTTCTACACCATGGTCTATGTGGCGGTAAGTTTTCTTTAATTGTTGCCGCCTCTGTTTGTTTCTTGCTCATTCTTATTCATTTCTTAACTTGCAGCTCTATTTGCAAGCGCGCATGAAATGGCGTGGCTCGAAGCTGTTGCGTCACTTTCTCCAGTTTATGTTCATCATGATTGCCTGGTATACGGCGCTGAGTCGTGTCTCGGACTACAAGCATCATTGGTCGGATGTGCTGGCCGGTTCGACCATTGGTGCCGTCTCTGCTCTAATCGTGGTAAGTTATACCAAAGTAGCACCTATTCCCCCTCCCCGCATGCCATTTTGTTGTTGTTGTTGGATTTACTTGTCATACTTACACTGAATTTACACACACATATCACTGATCATCTTTTTTAGTGCAACTGTTTGTCCAAAGCTTGGTTCAACTTGCAAACAGCTTGTTGGCCCAGCACAGAAGGCAAGAAGGCACAGTGACTTCTCGGCGCCCAGAAGCAGTAACTGGCAGTGATAGAGAATTATTCCACTTAATTGTTGCTGGATCATTGTAAAAACAAGAGAATTGTGCAATTAAAGTAACATGAACTGATATCCACAACATTGGCGTTTCCTTTAAGTCGTCAGATGTGCCGCCTTTGCTTAGATAAAAAAGCCAGCAAAACCATGCTTTGGTCTTCAGTTGTATTTCTTAGTAATTTTGGTATCAAAAAGAGAAAAACTGGCAATTAAACTGGTCTTAGTTTATTTATACTGCTTGTGTGTATTTCTACATACAAACAAAAATGAAGTAAATGTTTTAAGTTTAGTCCTTTCGCTGCTGTTGTTCAGTAAATCATATAATACCATACCATACTTTTAGGTGCTTACTTAAATGTTCTTTAGTTTAAATCTAATGCATTCTATATTTATTTAAAACCCAACTTAAATTCTTTATTTTCAGGCCAACTACGTATCGGACTTGTTCACCAAAAGTCCGAGCACAAAGCCGTACATGCCCCGAAGTTCGCAGGATATTAGCCGAACGCATTCATCGGTTGTGGTTACAACAAATTAGCCAAGTATTGCCCATTTTAGTATTCGTTTAGGACACAAATTCCATAATTTTTAAGCAAAACAGGAAAGTGCAAATTTGTATCTGTTGCGCATTGTCAAAAGAAAGCAAAGCTTTCGCTTGATTTTAGTTACAAATATGCCATTTACATTTTAAATTATTTTATTTAGACGCTTTTTATTTTATGTGTGTGTGTGTAATTTTCCAATGATTTTATGGATTTTGCACACGGACAACTTAAGGTATTTTGAGATAGTATGATATGACTATAATCACTAAAGTGACCTTAAGCTTTTATAAAATTTTACTTGCTATTTTGGAGATTCGATTTGAATCGATTAGTATTATGCTAACTTGAGTTAGTTCTCTTAGTTCTCGATTAAGAAGCTACACGATAAGCAATGTAAATGAAGTAAGAAAAAATTATGTATTTAATAAAGCATTTTACTTAAAATAAGCAAAAACCGATTTTTTTTCGAAAATGTTTGGATTATGGGACAACAACTAATTCCTATCGTTGTTAAATTTTTCTTGTCATCGATAGTTAATGACAATTTATACAAAATACTAACATCGGTATTTAAATATATCGATATTCTAGTAAATGCATCACATTTCCACGTATCGATAGATTTTAACATTCCGAGTGATATCAGCACGCCTAAACAAAAACCGGCTTGTTTTTTCGCAGAAAAAGGTAAATATTTCCTTCAGTTAATGCGCTTAGAGCCTTTGGCGACCAACACTACATACCAAATGTAACCCATTTCACTTTATGCTGGACTTTTATCGATTTATGTTGAAAGCACTGGCATTTAACACATGACGTGTCACCAGTTCTAATACAAATTCTGCTGATCGCTGATTTTTTCTGATTTTATGTGTACAGTATCAAAATGATTACCGACGTGCAATTGGCAATATTTTCTAATGTTTTGGGCGTATTCCTGTTCCTGCTTGTTGTTGCCTATCACTACATCAACGCCAACACGGGCAAGTAAGTATAATCCCCGAGGGCTCCAAATATGAATGGCAAAAACAATTTCAATTTATTTTCAATTTCACAGGTCGATCATCAAATCCAAATGATCCTTAAGGTTTCCACAAATCAATTAATACGACTAATATTGTAGAGCATTCGACATTCGAGTAATAATAATAAAAATGGTAACTTAAAGCTTAATCCATATCGTTAAGTGCATCTTTCATTGCCTGCACATCCAGCAGAGCTTTGCCAGTTCCACGTTCCTTACGTGTGTTGAAAGTCCTCTGTGTGGGATGACCAAAATTGAAGGCCTTAATGTAAGGTAATTTGGACTCAGTGGCCAACGGCACATTATTGTCCACATCCACATCCATGTCACTGGAATTCTTGCATTTGTGTACTTTGCTGGCCTTTGCTTGATCGAAGCGATAGTTGGGCGGAAACTTGTGCACTTTAATGCAATGATCCTTACGCTCCTGGGGATCATTAAACTTCACGACGCACTCTTCGATGTAGCAGGAATAGCGGGGTTTGTCGCCACGCTCCACACTCGCCGCAAAATACAAATCATGCTGTTCGGTGATGTGCAGATCCAGCAGATGTGCAGTCGGCAAATGGCGACGACATTGGATGCAGCTGTAATCCTGCGCCTGTGTCGATTTGATGTTCAATTTATTCTCTTTGGAAGTGGAACTTTTTGAGTCTGTAGTAGCTTCCACTATATCGTCATAGTCGACGAGCACACCAAGTTTCTTAAATGGCGGCAGTATTGGCGAAGTTGTACGCAGATCTGTGGGTTTAATATAACCAACGCTCATCCCGGCTAAAATGTTATTTAATTGCTCTTTTGTGAGCGGCAAGCCGGGCAACGTTTCCACATTCATTTTGCACTAGCTTTTAAAACAGCTGATATTTTCTATCGATTTTCATACAGGCCGATACAATTCTGGGAATATTAAAACCTAAGAAATTACGAAGGAAGGGGGGGGAGGGGGTATTTTAAAGCATTAATTAAGTATTAATATCATTTAAAAATGTATATGATAATCTACCTTCTGTCATTTGCGTGCCAATATATCGATAGATCGATAAGAGTGCTTGTTAGCCGATAACTGCTTGTATTCGTTAACAAAATATATATTATCTGAAAACAATAGCAGCTATACTCTGTAAGAGTTAGTATTAAAAACCAAATTAGTATCTCCCCAAGAGAAAAGTATTACAAAAAATATTAAATAATGGCAACTGAAAGCGAAGCTGCAGTTGCTGTGGACTGTTTTGATATAGAAAAAGTAGCAGCACTTTTTGAAAGGAGCCTCCAAGAGGACGACGATGTACGCATGGAAGACTATCTAGAAGCATATGAGGAAATCATGAAGTGAGTTAGCTAAGATGAGCTGAATACCCCCACACAATACTAATAAGACTCTTCTGCTTAGATTCTTCATGCTGATGGGAAGCGTGTTCACCTTCGTCAGCAGCGATGTGCGCAGCAAATTGGACATTCTCTACGAGCTAAGGAAACAAGACACGGATGAGGCTAAACACTTTGACAGCATTAAGACAATGCTGCTGTATGAGAAGGAAGCCAGCCTGCTGCATCAGAAGGGCTACGTGTCTGGGAGTCGCACATTGTTGCGACTGCATCGTGGTCTGGGTACTTATCTTGTTGCAATGATAAGAATTGTTATCTTTTAACATCCCATTTTACAGAGTTCGTGTACGAGTTTCTGAATCGTCTTCAAGAAATCGCCGATGATGAAAAGTCACACCATGTGTGTAAGTCAGCATACAACGACACGCTGGCCAAGTATCACTCATTCCTCATACGCAAAGGTGCTCAAATGGCCATGTATGCGATGCCTACACGTGGCGATCTCCTCAAGCGCGTCTGTCGCAACGTGGATGTGTCCAGGGCCGTTGCGAAGCTGCCGGAGATGTTGCAACACATGCGCATTGTCTATGATCGAACGGAACAGCTTTATGCACAAGAAGAGCTGCACAATCTGCCTTAGATTCCTTTAGGATTCAACATAAATTACGCTTGTGTCGTCGTCTTGTGGATGTTTTTCAACTATTTATTCGATGTCTGCATTCCAATTTTTGTTTGCAGTGGCTGTGCACGTGTTTGTCTCATTAAAGCTTAGCAATGACTGAAGAATTATGTTTCTCAAATATATGTTTCACTCCATATCCGTCGTTTACTCAAACATAGTTTTAGGCATGCTATCTGCGATGAAAGCCAATTACAATCTAAATCGCTCTGATTAGATTGGACAGCCCCGAACAGCTGTCTTGGGTGCATTGTTCCGAATCCAAACATTGCTATCAGGCTTTAATTTTGGAGACTAAAACCCGCAATTGGCCAAAACCCAGAATATGTATGCATCACTCTTAAGCACCAATGGCCGCTACTTAATGGCCGACAACTTCCGGCTTTATTACGCTATTGATTACGTATTTGTTTATCCCCTATCAGTTAACAATTTATAAACGGTTTCATTGGCCAAATTACCGACACTTAAATCAGTCAATTTGTGTTGTGCCAAGTGCAAAATAAAAAAACGACGACTACGATGGGCCTATCTGGGAACGTAAGCAAACACAAATCAAAATAACTTAAAAGGGGTGAACTTGGCTATCTGCGACTCATTTAGAAATAGTCCGTCGAGCCGTTTACGCCGTAAAAAAGATTCCGTGAATGGCGCTATGAATACACAGTCGAATATTAAACGTGAAACGAATCCGTTTCTGGAGGCAAATTTGATATCAAAGTGGTTTTTTGTGTGAGTTTAACAATAACAGCAGCAGATCCTCTGATCTCTATATTAATAAAATATAAGTTATGTGCGAAATTAAATAAAATACGAAGTTTTTGCCCATATTCGAGTCGACTTTGATTGATAAACTAAGCCCTTTTGAGCCGTGTATCTTCTGTCTGCCTCGATTACATGGTCAACGAGATACTGCCACTATTTATTGGCTTGTTCCTAATCAGTTATTTTGCCAAGCTTCGGCATAATGATTGAATAATAATTTAACTGTGCATCGTCACGTTGCTCCCTATCATGATGTGTTAATCTAGAGCTCTGTCGATATTACTGAATTTGATCTATCTTAATTTAGATGGATGCGACATGTATTTCGCAAAGGGCGCCGCGAAGAACTCAGTGACGATGAGCTATACGCAAATCTGTCCTGCTTCGATAGTGAAAAACTGACGGATGGCTTGCAGCGGCCTTGGATACGTGAATCCCAACGGAAGCGGCCAAGTTTGCTGCATCTGATCTTCACATTCTATGGCTGGCAATTCGTGCCCGTTTGCCTGATCTACTCAATCCTAGAAATTGCTATACAGTGAGTAAAACTAACATTGACTCCTTGAAGACAGTTTAATTTCTCCGCTGAATATGTTTGACTGATTTATATTATTTTTGTTATGCAGCGCCTTTCAGCCACTATTCCTGGGCGGACTGATCTCGTACTTTGCCGAGGGACAGACTAGCATCACCAAGGAGTCCGCTTATCTGTATGCGATGGGCATTGTGCTGTGCTCGCTGGTCACCTCGCTGGTGTTTCATCCATTTATGTTTTATGTGTTTGCCGTGGGCACCCGCATACGGCTGGCCTGCGCTGGACTCATATACCGAAAGTGTCTGCGTGCGGCGATCAATGGCAGAGAAGGTCTCGGTGCTTTGGCCATATCAGTGATGTCCATCGATTTGCCACAGTTCGATTTGACGTTCTATTTCTTTCACGATCTGTGGAAGGGTCCCGTGGAGGCGATCATCTTTGGTTACATTATGTACATGCGCATTGGTTGGACAGCAATCATTGGAATTGCGTTCATAATCCTGCTGATTCCGTTGCAGGCCTGGGCTGCCAAGGCGGCAGCTCACTATCGCACGAGGTCCGCGGAACAGCGAGATCGCCGAGTCAAGCTGATGAACGAGATTATTGGCGCCATACAGGTGATCAAAATGTATGCGTGGGAGCAGTCCTTCGCCAAGCTAATTGCCCATGTACGCGGACTGGAGGTGAAGTCGATTCGCGGCTCCATGTGCATCTATGCGGCGCTGCAGTGCACCGACATGATATCGAAGGTGTCCCTCTTTCTCAGCCTCATCGCTTACGTGTACACGGGAGATGTGGTCACCGCCGAGAAGGTGTTCATACTCTCGTCCTACTACAGCCTGCTCAACGATTCATTGCTTCACTTTTGGCCACTGGCTGTGACAACCTGGGCCCAGACTGTGGTCAGCGCCAGGCGTGTTACCGATTTTCTCCAGCTGACTGAGTCCCCCACGGTCAAAGGTTGCTCAAGCTGTGGCGATAATCCCGCTCTGCAACTGGACTTGGGCAAACCGGCCAAGCCTATATTTGCTGGCCGGCTGCATTGCACGGAGAGTTCTTTGAAATCACTGCGCTTTCAGAATGTCAGCGCCAGCTGGAACAAGCCAAGCATTCTGCAGCAGCGACGAGCGCATATTGAAGGCATCAGTTTTGATCTGCAACAGGCACAAATCGTGGGCATTGTGGGCAACGTGGGCTCCGGAAAGAGTACCCTCCTCAACGTCATCTTGGGCGAAGTGGAGCTAATGCAGGGTCGTGTCGAACTGCACGGCAAGTTGAGCTATGCTCCGCAAGAGCCCTGGGTCTTTCAGGGCAGCATACGGGACAACATACTGTTTGTGGAGCCCTACGATGAGCAGCGCTATCGTGCTGTGGTCCATGCCTGCCAGCTGGACTGTGATCTGGCGCTGTTGCCACATGGCGACGCAACTGTGGTGGGTGAGCGTGGCATCAGCTTGAGCGGTGGCCAGAAGGCAAGGATTAGTCTGGCTCGTGCCGTCTACCGCCAGGCGGATATCTATCTATTCGATGACCCTCTGGCAGCAGTGGATTCCCGGGTGGGTAAACTGCTGATGGACAAGTGCTTTCATCGGTTTTTGGCTGACAAACTGCGGATATTGGTGACGCATCACGTGCAGCTGCTGCAACAGGTGGACCACTTGCTATTGCTCGACTCAGGTCGCTTAACCCACCAGGGCAGCTATGCTGAGCTACGGGATGTCATCGAGAAGCATGCAGCGCCTGACTTAGATGCCATTGAGACGGATAAGCAACAGGTGAAGCGTGTGCTCAGTCAGGTGGACAGAAACTCCAAGCTGTCTCAGGACATGTCTGATGCTGCGGATGAGCAGCAACAACAGCAAAATGCCAATGCGGAATTGCAGCAACAAGGCGCCGTTGGCTATGATATCTACCGGGACTACTTCCAGGCACTGGGTGCACCCATCTTGGTGTGCATAGTGCTCGCTCTCTTTGTGCTGGCACGCGTTTGCCAAGCCCTCATGGACATCTTCATATCGCGCTGGGCCACCTGGGAGGAGAATCGAGATTATGCCAATGCCGAGCAATTCGAGGAGACGCGCACCCGTATGGTCATCTGGTATTCGGTGCTGCTGCTGTGCACCCTGGCATTGTACTTGCTGCGCACCTTTGGCTTCTTTCTGCTGTGCCTGCGCATCTCGTTGCGACTGCACAATCTGCTCTTCCATGGGATCATACGTGCCCGCATGCACTTCTTCAATGCGAATCCCTCGGGTCGTGTCCTCAATCGATTCTCCAGCGACATTGAGAATGTGGATGTGGCCCTGCCGCAGGCCATGATGGACTCCCTTCAGGTAACTTGTAATCTTCCATATATCTAAAATTATGGGAACTATATGATATATGCAGTAGTCGAATCTTGATAATCTTTTGCATATATTTTAATTGTTGTAGTTAGCTATGATGACTTAGTAAATTGGGTATTGCATCATTTCATTCTGTTATCTATATTAATTCTAAAGGTAAACTAGTCTTATATAGCTCTTTTTTATTATAGTTTTTTGTGAATGTGGTGGCCGTGTTGGTTATAGTTGCCATAGCCAACTATTGGCTGCTCATTCCCGCTGCGATTATGGTGGTTCTCATGTATCTGTGCCGTGCTTTCTACATCGCAGCTAGTCGCAGTCTGAAGCGCATTGAAAGTCTGAGTAAGTCAGCAGCAGCAACTAAACAATCAAAAGATTTAACATTCTTTACTTATTTTATTTTCCTTTATAACAGCTCGCAGTCCAGTTTACTCGCATGCCAATCAAACTTTCGAAGGATTGACCACAATTCGGGCGCTGGATGCGATGCCACAGCTGGAGCAGACTTTCCATGGACACCAGAATACCAACTCCTCTGCTCTGTTCCTCTATACGAGTGCGAATCGTGCATTCGCCTTTTGGACGGATCTGATCTGTGTGGTTTACATACTGGCCGTAACATTCAGTTTTCTGGTGATCAACCAAAGCTTTTACAGCGGAGATGTGGGTCTGGCCATCACTCAATCGATGACCTTGGTCATCATGTGTCAGTGGGGCATGCGGCAAACTGCAGAGCTCGAGAACAAGATGACCAGTGTGGAGCGCATTTTGGAGTACGCAAAGACGCCTTCGGAGCCACCGCTGGAGACGGCGAAAAATGTGAATCTACCCGCCGAATGGCCACAGGCGGGTCATCTGCGTTTCTGTGAGCTGCGCATGCGTTACACACCTGAGGATAATGACATTTTGAAGGGCCTTAACTTTGAGACACGATCCATGGAGAAGATTGGAATTGTGGGACGCACAGGCGCCGGCAAATCCTCAATTATTCAGGCACTGTTTAGGCTGGCAGTCAACGAGGGCCTCATCGAGATCGATGGCCAAAATATTGCGCAGTTGGGTCTGCATGATCTACGCAGTCGCATCTCAATCATACCACAGGAATCGGTGCTCTTTGCTGGCACTTTGCGTTTCAATCTCGATCCGTTTGACGAGAAAAGCGACGAGGCTCTGTGGGACGTGTTGCACGATGTCAAGTTGAAGGCATATGTTCATAGTCTGGAGGGTGGCCTCTACTGCCACATGCAGGAGGGCGGCTCGAATTTCAGCATGGGCCAACGGCAATTGGTTTGCCTGGCACGTGCCATCCTGCGCAGCAATCGAATACTCATCTTGGACGAGGCAACGGCCAACGTGGATGCCGAGTAAGTGGAACAACTGCCCAAGCAGCCTAAGCAATCACTTCTAATTTACATTCGATTACAGCACCGACAAACTGATTCAGGAGACAATCCAGACCAAGTTCGCCCAGTGCACGGTGCTAACAATTGCACATCGCCTGCACACAGTGATGGACAACGACAGCGTTCTAGTTATTGATGCTGGCAAAATAATCGAATTTGGACCGCCGCACGAGCTGCTCCAGCTCAAAGATGGTGCCCTGCTCAAGCTGGTTAACCAGAATGACTTGGTTACCATAAAACATCTCAAGAAAATTGCCGCAGATGCGTACATGCGTAAAAACAAATAAACCCAACCTAATCTTAAAATGTTCATTAATGCTGTAGTCTTCGCTGTGATCTGTAAAAATGATTTTTTGTTTATATATTTAAGTGATTTTTTATACATATACCATATACCATATTGAAAAGAATCGCACAAAAAATAAATAAACTTGCGCCAGTTCTTAAAACATAGTTCTTTCAAATTGATTTTGAATCTGTTCGAATAAAAACAAAAAAAATGTTGCAAACCTTTAAACATGCGTTTTTTTTTATATGATATTTTCAGCTTTATTTTTTATTGCCAATCGTATTTTGCCAGTCTGATTTGCTTATCTAAATTTCTTACTGCAGTTCAGAGTTTTTATGTTGTTCAACTTAAGTTAGAGCGATTAGCTGGATCTCTAAGCTTATTTAGTATGTTTATTCAACAAACTTGTGCTACGCAGTTACTTCTGTTGTTAATCTTAATTTAGAATTGTATTATTATTTAGTAAATTTCTGGTGGTCTTTTAAAAGTCAAGATTAAGTTAAATAAAAACACAGACAAGCGCCATCTATTGTAAAGCTGCTTGCCATAAAACGATACCATAACAATCGATAGAATAACGCTCACGCACACAAGCTGGCTGCTACAGGGTCTCAATTTGAAAAACATTTATTTATTGAAATCGACTTTTTTATATATCTGCAAAAAAGAACCTTTTTTTTTGTTGTCTTGCTGCTGACCAGCATAAAGCCGCCGGCAGCATTTAACAACGTTGCGCGACAATGACCGCAAAATTTGACCGCCTGCTGAGCGGTGGGCGTTGCCAAACAATTGAGTTGTGGCACAAACTACGTCATCACTTTTTTACTGGCACATTTCATGATGACAGAGGGGAATGTTGGATGGGGGACGGGGGCGGAGGGCGGGGGGTTGGGCGAGCCGTGGTTGTGCTCGATGGGTGGTTTGTAATTATGGACATGCGCCACCCATTCCGTCACATTTCAGTACATTAAGCGCTTGGCAAGCAGCGCTGAAAGCGTTCAACTTGTTATAGCAGCAGCAATAACAAAAAACTGAGCGAGAGTTGTTGGCACTTATGCTAGTAAGTATGTGTGTGTGTATGTGTGTGTAAGTGTGTGTGTGGCCGGAAGCCGGTGGGCGGAACTAGAGCGCGTCCAGACAGACACAGGCAGAGGGCCAACTGTGTGTGGGTCGGTGGGCGTTTCTAAGAAGACGGTTTCCAAATTGCTAGCCAGGAGATGACAATGATGTGCTTTTTGTGTTGCAAGCATCTTCTTTTTTTTTTTATTATTTCCACATTTTTTTCTTATGCATTTATTTTTATTTATTTTTTTGCCAACTCACCAAATAAAGTGAGTATGTATGTGAGTGCTTTCTAACGGCTCCCAGGCTCCCTTGCCTCGCGCAGTTCCGTATGCTGTGCGGCGTAAATTGTCCGGTGGTTTTTTGGCCGCCACATTCATTCACATGCTGATTGCTTTTGCAGGCACTGCTCAGCGGGTAGCCGAATGTCGGCCGGAATATCAATTACTTAACAGCAAACACTCATCATCTTATCTGAGCAGTTTTATCAATTATCTGACATCTGCACGTGTCCTTGCTGCTTGTTGGCAGTGTACCACAATCTTTGCAGGTTTTTCGGGGCACGTAGATTCGCTGGCTGGCCTCGTAACTCATCCTAAACGATCTCTCGCAGCGACCACACACAGTGCTCAGAGATTTCGATTTGCTTTTGGAATACGTGCACACGTCCAAATTTGCCTTATTATCCGGTCATGATCATGTGACCCAAGCTGCTGTGGTTGGCCGCTCTGCAACGGAAGTGATTTCGGATTACAGCCGGGTGACAAATGTCGCTATGCGAATTAATCAAATCAAGAAACAGAACCACAAATGTGGTTGGCTGAGTGGATCAGTCTTTGAGGTAGCTGATCGTTTAAATAGGGCACACTATTCTTGGCACTGCAATTATGGATTATTATTATTCAGCTTGAAGCTGTTTAATATTTGAATAATTTAGAATTTATAAAATATTTATATTTAATTAGCTTGCACGAAATATATATGTGACAAATGTTGACAAATGGCTTCCCTTACTGACCGACAAACGAAATGCATAAAAAAATACAGCCGCCAGATGTGAAGTGTTTTCAACGTTATCAAATTTTAATAGCTCTGTGCTACACTCAGGAAAAAATCGAACTAATATGACAATTGCACTGAATACTAGAAAGTTTTTTCTGGTTTGCAGAAATAGTTTCTAAATATTCGAAATGAAATTTGTTACTATTTGAAATGCTTAAGAAATATTTTCGATGATTGAGAAATGAGCAAATTTATTACAATTTCAATTTCAAATTTCAAATTTTCTATAATTAAGAAATATAGAAATTTGTTTTATAAATTTAAAAAAAAATGCACCTAAGACTTAAGAAAATATTCTTGTGTTTAAAAAGATACAATCTTTGGTAGTATTAGAAATATAAGTGCTGAATAATAAGTTATAAGCCTCAGCAAATTTTGTAAGTTTCAGTGCCATTTTTTTCTCTATGTGCATCGGATGAACATAATTGAATTATATATACTGGGCACATGCAGTCGGCACTTTGTTTGTTTTTAGCTATTACAACAACAATACAAAATGTTTGCACATAGCAATAATTATATTCAAATTTTTGTTGTGGTGTGCAACTGCCAACTGCCAACTGCCGTTGGTCAGTCCAAGGGGCATGCAGTGTGAGTGGGGGCGTGGACATGGGCGGGGGCTTGCAACGGCGGCAGGCAAACAATAACGAACATGCATTGTAAATAATGTATTAAGACATTAAATCGTTCATTGAGGCAATTTACATTCATTATTATTACGGGCTCATCGTACGTGCCCATAAGCCCTGGGAATTGGAATATACAGAGATCGAGACGAGGACGTAAACGGAGACGGAGACGAGGACGTAGCCGGAGACAAGAGACAAGAGACAACGGCATTCCCAATCTCATATTTGTTGGGAAATTAATAAAATCATAAAATTGTAATTAATTAATGCACAAGACAGCAGTGACAAAAAGAATAAAGAAACAAATGTATTACCGCCGGTAGCCGCCAGACTGTGGCTCTGTGGCACTGCTGGTCTGTCTCCTGTCTACCGCTGCGTTGCTGGTTGTGTCTGGACTTGGATTGTCGTCTGATTAGGGATTCAGGTGCGTGAGTGCATTTTTCGGTTTTCAACAGAATTTCAACGGCGACCGTGACAGACAACAGCCAACAGCCAACGAGCCTTGGGTGCTCCGATCGCTTGGGGGACAACTGTCGTTTGACAGATCGCATGCCACAATACAATAGCAAACCTAAGTGGTGGGTGGGGTGCGTTGGGGTGTGCGCAGAGGGGGACGACGATTGGGGCAGCAATGCAATGCATTGCGATTGTCAGGGCGGCCCCTTCATTTGCAAGCCATTTTACACTGGGCACTCGTCGTCGGTTGATTGCAGTCTCTGCCCACTGCCCACTGGTCAATCTGCCTCCATCCGCCCCCCAACCCATTCCTACCTCACTTTGCATGCCACGTCACAGTGATTTCAGTGACAAGTGCAGCGGGTAATGAGTCGGTCTCCAACTCTTTGATATGTCATCGGCTACTAAGCAGCAACAATCTTGCAAATAACATGTGTCGTGGACAAGACGGGGCTGATCATGTATATATATATATATATATATATATACCTATCTATATGTCTGCTGTGCATCAAGTAAATAACTAAAAGGACCACTGGCAAATGGAGGGCGTGGCAACGCCTCATGACAAATTATGACAGCGAGCATTTCGCATTTGATTTATGACCCGCTGCATTCAACTATGACCCCCTTTCTTTCCAAGTTGGGTGGACCATGCTAACAGATTTCCTGTTGTCGAGTTTTGCAAAATGCACAATCAAATTTACATTTTTTACTACGTACATAAATTGCCAGAGTCGACTAATAAGATATCTTGCTCATTTTGAGTAAACAAATACTCGAATAACTCTCAAAACTATTCCTTGACTTGTAATATAAAATTATTTCGATATTTTACAACTTTAGAATTAAATATTATTTTTCTTTATTATGTACAATACTTTATCACATATACAACATCAATATTATAAGATAGACAATAGATCTATAAGTGAAAAACATATTTTGATTGTTTTTTTTTTATTATTGTGGAGCTAGTTGATTGCCAGTCTTCACTAAGACAACTCTCAACTGCCTGTCCATTGTTGTCCAGTTCATAGCTGAACCTGTATATTTATTGGAAGATGAAGGTCACTCCAAGGTCTCTGTGGATAAGCGAGTTAGATACCAAATAAATAGAAGTTAGTTTGGGTATCTTATCCTATATTATACTTATAAATTAATTTACTATTTAGTTTAACAAAAAAATCAATCGAAATCTATTGAGACATATTTTTTTATTGCACTTGCCAATTTTGTTATGTTTTGTTGTGACTTGGGATTAATTACCAATTTATACAAATATCTAAGTATCCAAGACGTGCCTGGGTTATCGTTGAAGTCTTGCATTGAGGGTATCTTCCAGTCGAGCTCTCTTGACTCGAGCAGGCTTTTTTTGTTTTGTTAATTTTGAATGATTTTTAAGTGATTTTTAACGTGCTGCATTATGCTCAACGCGGCATATTTAAATCCGAGCGTAATTAATGGCAATATAATTTACAACAAAAGATTTGCAGTTGATCCTGCCGAGAAATGCCACTGGGCCACCACAACTAGTATGCCAGACTGCTGCCAGGCTATTCTCTCAATGGTTTCGGCTGCTTCGAACTGCAGATGAGCTGCAATTTGTTTGCAACTGTGAGGCAAGATCAAATTCGATTGTTGCAACCTGTCTGTGCTACTTAATGATCGATATAGAATCCTGTGAGTAATTTTGATTCTTTGTATGTCCTTTTGTATATTTGGTTTGTAGCTCACTCGGCAGTCATCGCAACCCAATAAACCACCGCTCGCAGCATCAAGCATCAACATCGGCAACATCCCGTGGCACTTTGTGTACGCTTGCCGCAAAAGAGAGCTGTGGAAAAGAGCAGCGGCAGCAGTATATTCACAGCCGGCAGCAAATTGCCTGCAAAGTGTTACAATAATAAAAACTCATGCTTGGAGGCGTGTCCCAACATAAAACGGCTAACGAAACGAGCCAAAGAGGATACAAACAAGGGTGCAAGGGTAACCGAGCTGCCCCTTTTTGCCTTGTGGCAGGCAACTTTGTCCAAGGGGTGGTTGCCTTTTCTGCCTGCTCACCCAACACACACACACACACACACAATTAGAGATTCTTTTTTAACTCGGCAAACAAAAGTCAATTGTCGTAGCCAATAAGTCGCTAATGCAATTAACAACTCGCACACACAGTCACACAGGATATGAGGACTGAGAGTGCTGAGGCCCCTTTCGTTTCATTACATTACTAATAACTTGGCATGTGTGTGCGCCCTGCTCACGTCCCAGTGCCTGTGCCTGTGCCTGTGCCTCGTCCTGGCGGGTAGGCGTGACTCGTGAGACACCTGGAGTGATTGTTTGATGTGTGGCCAGGAGGAGTCGCTGTCAGCTCTCTCTCTCTCTCTCTCTCTCACAGGCAGTCGAGTATTTTGTGACAATTTGGTGCGTTAAATTACAAATCATTAGACACACCGAACCGAACCGAGAATGGGCTCGACGAGTTCCAGTTTCAGTTTCAGTTTCAGTTTGAGTCTCTGTATCGAATCGCCCAAATTGGCAGTTTAATTGTTCCAATTGACACCAAATCTTGTTTCGGACCCTCGAGTGTTGCCCAAATAAATGGGCAATGCTAGCTGATTTTGTCAGCTTTGGAGGCGTGCACAGTTAGCCAGGAATTTATTGTGGTGGTTAGCTGTAAATGATGACCAGCAGTTAGGCCAACAGTTAAGCAGCTAAGCGGTTCTTGAGCAGCATTAAACAAATATCTCTGCGTCACATTAATTCAATTGTTTTTATTTATTATTTACAATACAAAGCCTTGTCTATACACTCGGGCCAATTTTACTGGGGAGGGGGACATTCTTATGTACAAAAATAACTCGGCAAAAATAATGTTAACATAAATGTGTTTTTTTGTTTTTTGTTTTTGTTGCTGCATCTGCTGCCTCAATAAATACTGCGCGCCAGGGCCAATGAGGCGGCAGGACTGGGTGCTAATGCGCCAATCGGTGGCATGCCTACTCCCACTCCCACGCCCATGCTCATGCCCACACCAACACCAACACCAGCCACTGATGAGGCAGCAGCAGCAGCACCTGCATTGAACTTCTCAAAACCGCTAATCGCTTCCGTTGGCAGCTTCTTGCGCAAATCCGGTTTGGGTCCGCTGAGGCACATTTTCTCCAGCTGCTGGTGCTGGGAGCGCACAGCAAACCGATTCACATGCACGGGTATCGGCACCACAATTTTTGTGCCATTGGCACTGCCATTCCGGCCCAGACCGTGCGATGTGAGTCCGGCCTTGACGCGTTTCCATTTGGCGCGACGATTTTGAAACCAGATTTTCACCTAAAGCAAATCGAGTATGAAATTAGTTGCTCGTCTGCTTTCGGGGGTGACTCCTGGGACTCTTGGGACTCTGGACTCTGGACTCTCACCTGCACTTCACTCAATTTCAGACTTGTGGCTATTTGACTGCGCTCCGTGAGGCTGAGATACTTTTTGGCATGGAACTCGCGCTCCAGCTCCAGCAGCTGCTCCGATGTGAAAGCTGTGCGACGCCGTCGCGATTTCGAGCTGCTGCTGCTGCCACCGCCTTGGGACTCCTTGCCGCCGGCTTCGTGACGCGAGTGGCCGCCATCGTCATCACTGCAATCCTCACTATCCGAGTTTGTATACGCTATAAGAGAGCAAGCAAATCAAATCATAAATATATTATTTATAATGTAGCATTTCTCATAAACAGTTTGGCAAATGACCAACTGGCAACGGTTTGAAATAGAGAATTGAGCGGAAAGTAAGTTCCACTAAGCTTAAATTTCCGCAGAAACTCCTTAGCTAATTTTGCGATCCCAAATTGGAGGCATAAAGCGTAAAACGGTTGCAAGGAATTATTATTTTTTCTTTTCATTCTTCTGCTTTAAATACATTTTTTTTGGAAATGTGTTTCACTTTTTCACGAAATCCACAATCTATTTTTGTCTACAAATAAATGAACAAATTTTTTAATACTTTACAGATCTGAAAAATGAAATCCCTAAATAGAGAAGTCAAAAAACTAAAAGACAGGATTTCTTTTGTCTTTATTTGATGGGCCTTAAACTCATTTTAGACTCTATTCTGACAGATAAATCATTCTTAAATTTGTATATTACTTTTCTTTTCACATCTGCTTGTGCTTTTTTTTTTGCAGAGTCCGATTAAAAAGTAAAAAGCCACAGACTTCTAATCTCTAATCTATAAATTAGATAACCCTATCAATTCTTCCTACAAAAAGCCATATGATATATCAGATCTCAATCGTTTTATGTCCAAATCAAGGGAGAATCTGGTATTCTTCAAAGATTGTTAATGGTAGCTCTATAATTGTGTCAGATTAAAGTAAATTTTGAGTGATGACTGTGACCAGAAAAATTTGCTTTCCGTAGCAATAATATCCCATCCAAATTGTGTGGCCCTGGCTCTGTGGGAGACAAGGATTTAGGACTTAAGCACATTTTGTGACTGTAGGCTAAATCAAAAACTTTGTTCGCATAAATATGGTAACAAAAGAATATACCAAATAAATAATATACCAATATGAAAGCCCATACCTCTAAAAATACGTGTTTTGTAATTTTGAGGGCATGGAAAAAGAGAACGATGTGCAATCGATTCTAGACGAGAAAATAAAATCCAAATTTTGTTCATCAATTCAGTAAATCCTTTTTAAGAGCCACATAATCGATTTGGGAAAACGGGAGATGATATTGATCAAATTAAAGAAACTTCGTCTGTAATACAACTACAACAACTTTAATAATTGTAGCTTTCTTATCATCTGAGATGGACAAACTAACAGACAGAAATGAGTAAGAAATTGAATTGAAATTGATCTCATTATGTGTATATAAAGCATATAGATAATAAAAATACAACTCAGATTGAGCGCTGATTAAATTAACCATAATTAAGAGACTCAACATCCTGTCGAAGTATTTAGAAGCCCATTAACAGCACTTAACAACTGCTGGATCTGAGCTCAGCTTGGGTTTTCTGGCGTAAATGGTGTGTGTCATAACTTGTGGCAAACATATTTATTTATAACTGGAGACATGTGTGTCCAAATGACGGCCACACTTGACTTGGCCGACAAACGCCCCATTCCCAATCCAACAACAGCAACAGCAACAACAACAAGGAGCCCAAGACAACACTTGAAACATAATATGCGTATTTTGTGGTCATGAAGATGAGGGTGAGGCTGAAGCTGAGGCTGAGGGTAACGATGAGCAACTTGGTTAGCACATTCATCCCCCTCGGGCTGCCTGATTATTTTGTGTAACGCTTAAGCGCTTTTTTAACACTTACACGCATCAGATATGCCCATTGCCTGCTCTGTCACTGATTTATTTGCGGGGGTAGATCGCTTTAAGTGTTGTATATATTTATATATATATTTACACCCCCAAAACATAACTCGATTTGCAGTTATGAATACGTTAAATTCGTTTTGCCAAATTGATTTAAAATGCTTCGGACAGACCCAGAGCACAAGTCATGGATGTCATTTGGAGATGACGAGGACTCATTAAAATGCGGTTGGCTAAAAGTTTTCCTCTTTTCGTTTTTAGGTTTTTCCATTTCAATGGCTAAATCGCTACGTTTGTCAAAATGTCAGTTTCATTCTTGATGTTATTATTGTTACTCCATCTCTGTCTCTCTCTCTCTCTCTCTCTCTCTCTCTTTCTCTGTCGCTGTCTCTGCCTGCTGCTCGCTGCTAAGCAAGAGTTGAAAACTTTGCTGCTTTGATTGACATCAAACATTGGGTCTTAATGCGTTTTATGCTAATGTTGCCTATGATTTGACTGAGTCATTTTAATTACCATGACAAAAACAATTTCAATCCGTAGACCACAAACAACCAGGACACGTCGGGGGAATAGGATTGGAAATGAGAATTCGTCTAGAGAAACTTAATTTTTGCGAATCTTGCTTGAGCTAAGAATGAAAAGCTTTTTTGTTTTTGGCGATGATTACCTCCATTGCGACTTTTATCCAGATCGGCGTTGTAGTTCTGAGGCGACATGGTTAGGCTAATGTCGCTGCACGAGTCCCCGCTGCACTCGTAATCCTCATCCATGCCCACATCAACGGCTGGCTCCGTGCTGGGGCTGCTGTGTGACTTTGAGGGCGAGTAGGCGGGATGTGGCGATGGCTCTTGGCAGCCAGTGGCAGCCAGTGCCTGATGCGGATGTGAATGTTGACTCTCGTCCTGTGCCCGGGCTGCGGCCATATGCTGGAGCCGCGCATGCACGCTCAGATTGTGTACATAATCCTGATTCATGAGCTCCGCCAAACGTCGATAGCTCAGATCCGTGGGCGCTGTGACAGCAGCATTGAAGGGCAGGAATCGATTGTCCAACGGATGCGGCATCGGCAGACGACCCAAATCGACGTCGTTGCTTTGATTTGGTTTGGTCGAACTAAGGCTGAGATTGTCCAAGGCATGCGTCGGCTGGGGCGGCAGTGGTGGTGCCAATTGTGGCTGCGGTTCCTTGCCGGCAAACGGCGAACCCAAATAACAACCGCCGGCAATTAAATGGCTGAGCCGCTCATGATTCTGGGCAAAGTACCCGTGCAGCCAGGGATTGTAAAGCGGAAACTGGGTCAGGCCCAGCGCTGAACTGGCCACAATAGCGCGTGCATTTATCTGCCGATTACTATCCCGATCACGTTCCCGATCCCGATCCCGATCCTGTTCCGGTTCCAGGTCCTGTTCCTGCTTGCGTTCGACATTGCCTGCCGATGGTAAAACGGCAGGTGTTTGATTGGCAATCAGACTCTCGATGGAGAAGGGTTTCGGAAACGGTTTGCTGACCAATTTCGTGCTGCTCTCCACCGGCGGCACCAGCAGCGCCGCATGCTCGTTTTGCATCATCAACAACCTAATTCGCTTCGGACACGTGACGCGCGCAACGCTTGACGCAGTGAACCGTTCAAAGAACTGCGCGCAAATGAAAGCCAAAGCAGCCAAAGCAGTCAAAGCAGCCAAAGCAACACACACAGCGCACACACACGCACACACACACACACACATACATACACACACGCGACGACGCCTTGCGCCCAACTGCTGTCAAACAAAAGCAACCACCGCTGACACACCGGAAGAGCGAGAGGGAAAGCAAGAGAGAGGCCGATATAGAGAGAGAGGGAGAGAGAGAGAGAGAGCGAAGTAGCTCCGCCTTGCTAATGGCCAATATGGCGCGCTATGCTAGCGCGTTGGGCGTCTGTGATTGGCTGCCTGCTAATTGCTGGCAAACCGGTTGAGCTTCTCTGTTTGCTGTTTTGCTGTTTTGTGTGTGTTGGGGTTGTTCCTGCGGCTAAACAAGCTGCCTAATTGCTTTCTGCTCGAGTCATCATGCCCTAATCGGACTCTGTCTCCGATCCAGACTAACCTAAACCATTGTGGAGACATTAAGCGACTGAGTGAGTGAGTGAGAGGTGCTTAGAAGTGTGTGCTGGGGGAGGTGGGTGTTGGGTTGACGATTTGTTTGGTCTCGTGTGGCATATTAGTGAGCAATTTAAATTCAGACGTGAGTGCAAGTAGGTGTTGCACTTGCCAGCACACACACACACATCAGTTGTGCCTCTGCTGCAAATGGTGTTTCTTAGAATATTGCAATGATTTAAGTTAATTGAGCAGGAAAGTTATAAAACCCAAAAATCTTAATAACTTTAGAGCTCAAGAATTAATATTAACAAAAACAGGATGAGATATTTCCATATATATTCATAAACAACATTTACAAAACCCTTTATTATTGATTTTACTTCTGAAAACTGTAGCAGAACTGTAGTAGAAAATGAGTTGTGAATAGTTGAGACTAGTTCACTAGAAGTTCACTTCTAGTAATAATTAAAATAGAAAGTGGAAATTGTAATATAATGTTAATAATAATTTATTTAAAATAACTTATTTCTTGGAACAATCATAATTTTTAGTAAAATAGTCAAATCTTTAAAATATACACTTTCTAATTTACAAGCTATTGTGCTCAGAAAGCATATTTTATTAACAGCTCATTTTATGCATTCCACACTCTATTAAAAAAAAAGGTTTACTAACTCCAAAACGCATTTTCCTGCAAATTAAACTACAAATTTGACTTGTTCCTTTCACATGGACATCTCATTTTCGTGACATATAAAATTTAAAATGAATATAAGAAGCCATTGAAAAAATCATCATAATTGTAAAGCTTCAAAGTTAGCTACACTCTGTGAAAAGAGAAAAAATCGATAAACGTAAGTTTATCCGTCTTTTTCATCCGGAAATTCCTGTCATTTTGTGATTTTCTTGATCATGAAATACTAATTTAGCCCTCTCCGCAATTATTATGCCAGACACACTTCACACACTTGCCAATTGGCATTTGTTGCTTAAATTGGGCAGTCAAAAAAAATTTGGATTTTTGTTGGCAATTAAAAATAAATTTCGGTCACGTTTGAGTGTTTAAAATATTTTACGAACACTTTAAATTGCAATGCGAGTAGATTATAGTTTATTTTGTTTGGCGTTAGGCATAAATTAAAATATAATTATGCGCCTTGTCGGCGATTATAGTTATAATGATGAAAGCTTGTAATTTTTTGGCACTCTGTCAATTATGCCTGGCAGCGAGCTGTACAAAGAAATGTCGCCTATCTATATATAATATATACATATATATACATATTATGTGTGTATGTATATATATAAGTCTCCCTGGCGGGAAACGGACAAATTAACGAAATCCAACGAAGCGTTTCATGCGCTCAAATAAATCAGGGCGCTGTTGACACCCGGGTTGTGGCCCAACCAAGACATCTTGCTATAGTGTATACCCAGATACAGATACAGATACAGTTCGAGAAACACAACAGAAGAGAACGGCGCGCCTAAATCGAAATTATTTACTGACAAATTGTTGTGAATGCTTTGCATAGTTTGAGACTCGTTTGCAGTGCTTAAAAATGCGCACAAAATAAAATAAAATAAAAACAATTACAAGTGCAGTGAGAGGAGACTGCAGACGGGTCCATCAATATATATACATATATATCTATACATATATATGATGACAACCAAATAGTTTCTTATATTGTGATGGCTACCAGCCCCTAAATTATATCGTTCGTTTAATACAAATTTAATAATCATTACGTTTCTGGGTTCGGAAATGCGAAGTCGAACATGTGTTCGCTTGCTTTGACCGCAAACCCAACGAAAGCTGTCCAATGTTTACCCAACAATTGACACGCCCAGTTAACAATTTGCGGGCAGGTCCGTGCATGGCCACGGCAACGGCTGTCCGTTCGTCCGTAATTGTGTCATTTTAACCCTTTACAACTGGTTCACATGACAATTGTTGTTGTTTGTTGGTCTATTGTCAAAGCAGTAATTATGCATAGCACATCGATTGGTTATACAGTTTAATTGCAAATTGGAAAGTAATTATAGTTGTCAGATACATAGTTCGGGCATTATTTATTTAGTAATTAATAGGCTCTCCATGGGTTTGCCCAGTTATACAATAACTATTTGATTATTGGCGTTTTGGAATTTAGGGCTATTTGATATTTAAAAAGAGCGCCCACGTACCATGGCAGCGAGCTTACAACAGCTTGCAAGACCAGGGTCGCTAATGTTATCGATTGCTCTGCTATTATAAAAGGGTATCATATGTCTGGCTATCTCCATATTCTATCAGGTGGCAACCCTTCTTTTTCACTAAAAACGTTTTGCGATTCTTTCTCACGGCGGCTTTTCGTAGGTAAATAATTACAAAATTAACAAAGCATCACGAACTAAAAGTATGAACTATCAATCTCAAAAGTGAAACCATGTTCCCAACTATAATATTTTGTGCATATTGCAAGCGTACTTGCAATAATTACGGAAACATATATCTCGAAAAATCGATTGAAAATTGGCTTCTCTTCAATAGAATAATGTGCTTCAAATTAATAATGTGAATGTGTTTTTCTTTTATAGGTAATTATGCCAGAGCTAACTGAAATTAAGAACGAGGCACCCTCGACCTCCGCGGAGGCGAAACTGTCGGAGGACGTCGATGTGCGTGTCGAGGACGATGGCAGCGAGAGCGATTCGGATATGATACCCGGATTGGAGGAGGCAGAGACTGGCACCACTCAGTTGGGCGGCGGCGCCACCGGTCTGCCCATCGATGTGGTCTCGAAGGCGAAGCAGTCGCGCGGTGAGAAGAAGGCGCGCAAAATCATGCTCAAGCTGGGCCTGAAGCAGATTCAGGGTGTCAATCGTGTCACCATTCGCAAGTCGAAGAACATTCTGTTCGTCATCAACAATCCGGACGTGTACAAGAATCCCCACAGCGACACATACATTGTCTTCGGTGAAGCCAAGATCGAGGACCTGTCGCAGCAGGCTCAAGTTGCCGCCGCCGAGAAGTTCAAGGCTCCGGAGGCTGCTGGCGCTGCTGATAGTGTGGGTGCTACTACATCGGTGGCTCCCATTGCAGAGGAGGATGAGGAGGAGGTCGACGACACGGGCGTAGATGAGAAGGACATTGAGCTGGTCATAACGCAGGCGAATACGACGCGTGTGAAGGCCATCAAGGCGCTGAAGAACAACAACAACGATATCGTTAACGCCATCATGGAGCTGACCATGCTCTAAGGCGATGCGCAGGGAACGTCGTTGCTTTCGTTGAACACCCGCCTTTCGATAAACTACAAATTAAAAACCGATCCCAAGCCCCCTTCAAGCATTATGTGCATGCGTCTCCCAGCTTGCTCAACAACTGTCGGGACAACAATTTAACAGAACAACTTTAAAGTGACAAGAATAAAGTGACATGCTTTTCAAAATTAACGTACAACTTTTTATTATTGTTGTTAACATTATTATGTACTTTTATCATTAATTTTAATAGATTCATTTCATTCATTCTCTGTAGTTTCGAGTTGTTTTCCCAAACCTTTGGTTAGTTGGGTAGTAGAATTATGACTTTGGCTAGCTACAATTTAAGATAGATATTTTTTAGCAAAGGGTTTAAGTACATTGTTTTTGGACACAGCTTGGGTTCACTTTTAAAGACTAGAAAGAGACTGGCTGCTACTCGGTGGACGCCACTACGGATTTGAGAACACGAGCTTGGCTGCGTGACTGCAAGCGTATATCAGCCGGCGTCTGCATCCAGGGTTCGCCATCCGCCTGCATGGGAACCGTTGCATTCACGCGCAGCTGCAACACATCAGATTTAGATTAAAAATGTGCAACTATATTTATTATATATATATGTATATAGTGGCTGTAGTTACCCTTATCTGTTTGGCTTGACCAATGCGCACCGGTTTGCTAATGTTGCACTGCAACTGGGCAATGTGAAAGGATGAGACGATGCCAAACACCTCCATAATGCCATCAGAGATGGAGTTTATAATGCGTTTCTCGCCATTCGAGTTGCTAATTTCGCACAGCTTGCAACCGGCGCCCCAAGAGTCAATATTGAGAAATACCAGCGATTGCAGTTCCGGCAGTTCAACTAACTTATTATCTAAATATAGTTCCAGCTTCTGCTCGATGCGTTCGCAATCCGGCTGCATGACCTGCTGTGTGCCAAATGTGAAGTACAGCAACTGCATGGGAGTAAATTAATATATGAATATATATAAATGAATATATAATAACAATAGACGAACCTTGTTGAATATGCGACTGCTAAGCAAATAGAAGCGAGATTCGCGCGTCTTGTGGAAGTTGTAGGTGATGTAGGCATCGACGCCAACGCTGAAATAGTTGTACACGTGTATTGTCTTTATGGGATGTCTTTGTATGGGCAGCCGGAAGTGGAGCTTCTCGATTTGCAGATCATATCGATCGAGATTCACGGAACGAGCCCTCTTAACACTGCGCAATATCTGCAGCGGATCGAGGACAGATGGCGGCTCGGCTCCCCAGCCGAGCACACGCGACAAATCGTTGCCAGTTCCCAGTGGCATAATGGCCACGGCAGGCTGTGGCTTTATATTGAGTGTGTAGATGGTGTTGAGCACCCAACCAATTGTGCCATCTCCACCAGCCACCAGGATGCGACAAGGACGAGGACTCGTCTTAGCCACCCACTGCAAGGCATCCTGTGGACCGCGGGTGCCCAGTTCCATAACTTGCATGGGATGCAAATAGCCACGCAGCAGCGACAACACATTCGAGGCCGTGCTGCTGCCCGATTTCGTATTGGCAATCACAATCAACGGTTCCCAGTTCTCAATGTTTGGCGGCTTGATGCCGGCAAGGTGCAAGCGAACAGATTCACGCGTCCTGGCTGCCACAATGCTGTAGGGTGGATATATCATGTCACTGAACTCGCCAAAATCACACACAGCCTTGGTGTCCACACTCTTGTAGCAGTTGTCGTGATAGCAGCGCTGACACCAGGCACACCGCCAGCCAAACAGACCCGGTTCCGAGCTGCTGCTGTGATGATCCACTTCTGTCTCTTGGCCACACGCGGCACAGCTGTAGCTCATCGGTAAATTGCCGCGCACCCACAAGTGTTGCACTGTATCCACGTTGCGCAACCATTTGTCCTTGCAGTGATACTGGGAATCCGCCTGGCGCTGACACGATGGCTCCGAGTGCGTGCAAATGCCGCAACAGTCGCAGAAGAGGCCCGCCGATGGCGTCAACAATATCTCACACACATTACAGAAGCAGGCCTAATGAGCGTGGAGAATGGGTAGAGAGAAATTACGTTTTTCTGTGTGGAGGCGCCCCTTACCTGTTCAAGAATTTTTATTGATTTCCAGCTGTGACGTGTTTTGCCCGATATGCAAATGACAACATCTTCGGCCAGAAGACTGCGACAAAAGACGAAGAGCACGCTAAGCGCTACTAGGGAGCCAATCAGTGCCTCCCAGCTCAGCTCAATGCTGGCAATATCCATTACACGAATTTCTTATTACATCAATTGCTCGCACATATTTACATTTTTCATGTTTTGTTTGATGTTTTTTTTTTATTAGTTGGCCCACCTAATTATAGCCGGTGCTGTAAAATGCACACAAACAGCTGGTCAAATTCTGTTACAGATGGACTGTGGGAAGCGATAGTTTGTCGATTGTTGTGAGGTCCAAATAAGCAATACAATATGGGATTGCAAACAAAAAATTATAATTACTAAGTTTTGTGTGTATTAAACTTGTCAGATTAATATGTGATATTTTTATTATTTCAATAGAGATTAATTATTTAGTTAGCATATCATATTTTATGTGAGATGTGACCATATTCTAGGTATTAGTCTCACTTCTTATCGATATCTATCGAATCACCGGCACTGGCTGTTTATTGAGCAGTGCTGCAAAACAACGACAAGGTGGCCGCACGTGGACGCACACATTTTTTAAAAAACATCTTTTCGCTTGCGAACGTGTGCTGAAATCGCGAAAATATGGGACGCAAAGCGGAGTACAGTGAAAAACAAAAAAAGGGTCCCGGCCGCAAGGCTCGCAAACAGGGGCCACCAAAGTTTCCAAAGAAATCATTTGGTATTATAATGAAGCCTATGCCGTTGATCAAATATTGAAATGTTTAATTCTAGCGCCGCTCGACGATGAGGACAAGAAGCTATCGCACCGTCAAAAGCAACGCGTGGCCAAGCGAGATCAAAAGAAGATAGTGCAGAAGGCAAAATTGAAGGAGAAGCGTGCTCAACAGCCCCGCAGGCGAAAGCCGTATAACAGCGACAGCGAGCCGGAAGAAGAAGAGCAGCAGGTGGAGCAACCAGCGGAGTCATCGGACGAGGAGGTGCCACAACTTGTGCCAGTCCAAAAAAAACAAAAGTCGAATGGCTATTCAGATGATAATAATGATTGGCTAACACTAAAATCGGGAAAGCAGCAGAAAAAGAGTGTGAAAAGCAAAGAAATAGAGCTGGAAGAAGAGGATGATGAAGTGTCTGAAAACGAAATAGAAGCTAATTCAGATGAGGAAGCTGAAGAAGGCGATGAAGATGTGAACGAGAGTCTAGAGGAAGAGGAGGAAGAATTTATGGATGATGATAACGACGCTCAAATTGGTAAATTGGACGATCTGTTTGACGATGATGAGCTCATCTCCGAACCAGATCAAGATCAAGCAATTGACAGTGAAAATGGTCAGGAATCTGACGAAGATGATGTTGATGACGATGATGACGATGACGATGATGACGATGACGATGATGATGACGATGATGGTGAGAACAAGTTGCCCATTGAGCGCGCCAACAAAAAACTTAAGAAACGTCAGGAAAAAGATGCCATATTGTCACGTGAGGAGATGCAAATGTCCGTTGATCAGTCTGAAGTGTTCCATTTGCCCGAATCGGGCGAAGATGCTGACAAAGAATTGTCCTTGCAAGATGTGCAGCAGCGCATCAAGGATATTACACAAGTGCTCTCTGACTTCGGCAAGTTCCGAGAGGAGGGTCGCTCACGTAGCGAGTATGTGGATCAGCTGCGTCAAGATCTGTGCTTGTACTACAGCTACAACGAGTTTCTCATGTCCAAGCTGATGGACATATTCAAATTGAGCGATCTGTTGGAGTATTTGGAGGCCTCAGAGGTGGGTTATCAAAATTGTATGTAGACTAACAACTTACAAATGTATTCCATTCTTCAGATAGCGCGTCCGCTGACCATACGCACAAATTCGTTGAAGACACGTCGTCGTGATCTAGCTGGCGCCTTAATTAATCGCGGCGTCAATCTCGATCCGCTGGGCAAGTGGACAAACGTGGGCCTGGTCATTTTCAATTCGACGGTGCCGCTGGGCGCCACACCCGAGTATTTGGCTGGACATTATATGATACAGGGCGCCTCCTCGATGCTGCCCGTGATTGCATTGGCTCCGCAGGAGAAAGAACGTGTGCTGGACATGTGCTCGGCGCCGGGCGGCAAAGGATCGCACATAGCGGCCGTCATGAAGAATACGGGCGTCTTGTTCGCCAACGATGCGAATCGAGATCGCATCAAGGCTGTTGTAGCTAATTTCCATCGATTGGGCATTGTGAATGCGGTTGTCAGCTGCGAGGATGCCACCAAATTTCGCAATATTATGACGGGCTTCGATCGAGTGCTTCTCGATGCACCGTGCACCGGCACCGGTGTCGTCTCCAAGGATCCGAGTGTTAAAACAACCAAATCGGAAATAGATGTGCAGCGTTGCTATAATTTGCAGCGCAAGCTTTTGCTCACTGCCATTGATTGTGTGGATGCGAAATCCTCAACGGGTGGCTATATCGTCTATTCCACGTGCTCCGTCCTGCCCGAGGAGAACGAGTGGGTAATTGATTATGCGCTCAAGAAGCGTAATGTTAAACTGGTGCCGCTGGGCATTGATTTTGGTGAGCCAGGATTTACCAAGTTCCGTCAGCATCGTTACCATCCCAGCTTGAATTTGAGCAAGCGCTTCTATCCCCACACGAACAACATGGATGGCTTCTACGTGGCCAAGTTGAAAAAGTTCTCCAACACAATACCCATCACCAAGGAACAGCAGGAAGCAGATGAGAAGCAGCTGGACGAAGCAATTGCAGCAGATCAACCAGAGGCGAAGACGACAACAGACAAAGACGCGGGCGGGGAGGAGGCAATCGCAACTGATGCTGCCACACGCAAAGCGAAAGGAAAACGAGCTGGCAAACCCACGCTAACAGATGTGGAACAAGATCTGAAAAAGAAGAAGCTTGAGCAAAGCAAAACAAAATATGTGGCCAATGTTTTCGAGAAGCCCATCAAAGTGCCTAAAAAGCCCAAGGTGGAGCAAATTGTTCCTCCTACCCAGGAACCAAAAGAAAACGGCAAGAAGAAAGAGAAGGTCCAAAAAAATGGTCACCAAGCAAGCAGTAGCAATTTGAAGCCGGAGCCCAAACCAGCAGCTAAACTAACTAAGAAACTGTCGGAAGCGAAGCGAGTGGATTTAGATGAAGTACCTCTGCTGGAGGGCAAACCCATAAAAGGGCAAAAACAACTTAAAACCAAGTCCAAGCAACTGGGACAGCTGAAAAAATCCAAGAAGCCGACAGATAAAAAGCAAAGATTCAAGAAATGAGCATAAATCCAATTAGTATATAGAATTTTATTGAAATATTTTGTTTGGTTAGTCAAGAAGCTGGAAATATTTAAGCTACCCGAAGAGTCTATCTCTGCGTGAATAACCGAAACTGATTATTTGTTTTTATAATAGGAACTTAAGGTTTGGATTATAAATATATTTATAATCAACATTATAATGATATGGCGTTTTATTAATTAAGGGCTGGAGATGGAAAAGAAATTTGTGTTTTATTTAAAATACTACAACAAGTTTGAAGACTAATTACAGATTACAAAGCTGTACAGATTTACAGTTTATGATGACTATAAAAATGTGCAGAAATTTCCGGGACCGTATCGTTATTAAAGACCTCAGCTACGAGTTCCAGATCTTCAGTCTGCTTCGTTAAGCTCTTAATTCGCCAGCAGCTCTATTTTTATTGCCTCCACTGTATGTCACACATCATATGTTTGTAGTTACTTAGTCATGTTTGTGCTCTGATTGTTTCAAATACAATCATTAAAAGCGAGCTAATATTAAAGCTTAGACTCAAAGCTCTTGTTGATAAGTAATTAAATGGTTTGCATGTTAAATTTCACGCCCAGTTTGTGAATGAAGCAGCGATGTCAAGTTTGCAATTGGCTTTGCTGTGCATTGTTTTGGCACCTTTGGCACAATGCCAAGTAGATATTAATGTGGCTATGATGGGACAGATCTATTCAAATCTAGATCGCAGCAGCTCACCATGTGCAAACTTATGGGCTCACTCATGCGGCAATTGGTCAGGCAACTACATGGACAACTTTGAGCGGGCCGAGGCGAGCTATGCGAAGGCAATGGCCTTAGTGCTGAGTGGAACTCACGACAAGGAGGGGGAGAATGCAACACATCTGTTGCAACAAATACGTGATTATTTTGCTTCGTGTGTTATCAGCGATCAGGAGTTGCAATTGCCACACGAACTCATCTCTGGCCACTTGGAATGGACAAATGCAGCTGGCAGACTGCGTAAATACGGTGTTAATGGCGTCTTCCTGGATGAGTCAGTCGATGTTGCCTACAACGATTCGAGACGTTATGTAATACAACTAAAGATGCCAGCCCAAAATGACCATTTGGTAAATATAATTGAATAGCTACATTCAGAATAAGAAAGCGCTACTCGCCTTCTTATTCTTAAAGCTAATTTCTAAAATTGAAGGGTGTTCGACTTTGTTTTTCTTTATTTCAGGTGGGTTTTTCTAAAATGTTGAATAAATATGTCTAGCTTCCACAGAGTGTTTCTTTTATAGATGTGTACGTAGAAGAAATCTTATATTAGCTTACATTATTATTATTTTAAGATTTCACATAATTAGACAATTTTTGTATATTTATTATTGATTACAATGTAACTTCCCTTTCCAAGCCCATGGCAACACTTTCCCCCGAGCTGCAGCAGCTGGACAGAGAGCTACGAGAATTGTGCCGCAAATACCGCAGAGAGGAGCCAACACTCCAATCTTGGACACTGGGCGAGCTAAAGCAGCAAATACCGCAAATCGATTGGAAAAACTATTTCGAGGCGCTGCTCGAAGTGGAGCCGAAAGATGACCAACTTCGTGTGGAGGTCAGTGATGTTGGGTACCTGCGAGAGTTAGGCACATTGCTGCAGAATAGGAGCACAACCAGTCTGCAATTATATCTAACAATACGCCTGACCAGTTTTGCACGGAAAGCTAATCCCAACACAGGGCTTTGGTCAAGAGTTCATAGCTGTATTCAACATATGCGCGCCGTGCTGCCGCTGGGCATGAACTACATCTACGATCGATATGTTTACAGGACACGGTCGGAGGATACGCGACAGCTCATGGAAATCTTCACCAGTTTGCGTAGAACATTTAACAAGTACTTGGATTACAATCACATGGAGTTAAGTCCACAGGAATTGGACTATGTGCGTGCCAAACTGGCCGGAGTTCACCTCAAGCTGGGCAATTTGCCGGATGCGACAACCTCGGGGGACTTCTACGATAGCCATTATGCCAGTGCAAACTTTTCTCGTTCGGATTTCCAGCATAATTTTTGGCAGGCACTGCGTCTTCGTACACGGCTACAACACGCCCCATTGCTGCAACATGGAGCCGTCTTGCAACCCGAACTTTACTATCTTAACGATGATGTGTTAAGTGCTCGCAATGCGCCCTATTTTGAACATGAAAGGAACACTCTAACCGTGCCCCTGATCTTTATGCAGTGGCCCTTCTACGATTATCGCCTGCACTCCGTATTTCAATATAGCCTAATGGGTTTTATATTGGGACATGAGCTAATGCACGGCTTCGAGCAGGACGGCATTCTCTTTGATGCCACCGGCAATGAGTCGGAGCTGGGTTTGCAACTGCGTCAGCAGCCAAGATTTCAGGCAGCCCTAAAATGTGTCCAGAAGACGCCAACGGCATCGCTGAAGGAGCGATTGGCGGATGTGAATGGTCTTCAGCTGGCATATGATGCATTCTTTGGCATTGGTCACGACTCCCAACGATTCGAATATCGACCGTATGACTTTGAGAGGGAGTTGCTGGCACCGCAACTCTTTCATCTAAACTTTGCCCAGTTCTTTTGTGGTCGATTGCCATTGGCCATTGACCATGACATGGACGATGTGCGTGTGAATGTGGCTGAGAGTAACTTAAAGCAATTTTCCACTGATTTCAATTGTCAACAACAGGCACCATTCACCGGCTGTGAAATGTGGCGCCCAAGCACATAGTGGAATGTACAAAACATTGTTACACTCTTCAAAAAATCAACCTCCTTTTGGCGCCAGTGTTTGATCAGCCTATTATTAAGAAATTTCCAAAAAGTGTATGGTTGTGGCTTCCTAAAAACTATGGTTTGTTTCACAGTGAATCTTTATAAAACGTAGCCAAAAAATATGCATAATTTCCAGAGTGTTGTTTTCTATGCCGTAAATTGAATGCGATTTCTTTTTACTTGTATATATTATTAAAAAATATTAGTATTTTTAGACTTCACATATACACAAGCATCTTATACACCATTGTTTATAAAATTCATATATCTAACTTGAAAGATTTTACGAGTTCTAAAATAATAAATAGAAAAAATCGACGTATTTTTGAAATTCTCTATTTACGGTTTTCCCTATTTTTAGTACGATTTAATAAAATTGAGGCCAACTTTTTTCAAAGTGTATATAGAAAACAAACATATAGTTTTGATGAAATTCAAATGGACATTCAGTTGTAATTTCAATTTTCCCCGAATAATTATACCATAAAATGTGCTTTTCGCACAGGGTGTCTATTTGTATTCATCGTCATAAATAGTCGACAAAAGGTATATAACGACCCATTCCGTTTGATTGCCTCCACTGCAGTTATCAGGAAAAGGCATTGTCAACGACTTTGCCACACGCACACAATGCCAATTGAATGCAAATGCAAATACAAACACAGGTCAGCAGCGCATTACAATTGGCAAGCAAACACCAATTACGAGATACTCTGTCAACAATTCGAACAAGTGACAAGAGCAGCTTCGCAGCTGCACTCATGCATAACCCGAGCAGGTTATAGACAGTTAGACACAGAGAGAGAGAGAGAGAGATGGATATTGTGAGGCAAGCGTTTATTAATTTCAACCAAAGTAGTAATTATACAAACCGACAGAGCAAATGAACATTGTAAAATCAAACCAAATATACTCATTTAGCATGCTTGTGAGGGCGTATAACGGAACGCCGGTCTCAGCTAAGCGAAAGCTTCTTTGCTCTTTGGCTCTCTGTCGCACTAACTAACACACTGACACTAACTCAGGTTGGCATCACAGCCACATGTTGCTGCGAGCGTCTGTCTGCTCCAACGTAACGTGTCCTGTGTTCTTTGTGGGCGTCGTCTGTGTCAGTGTGCTTGTGTGTGTGTGTGAACTCTGCTGTCGTACCGAAATCAAGACAACGCTTTGCAAAAGCTCGCAGCCGCAGTTCATTGCTGCCATTTGCCGTTATTAGACGTGAATTCTTCCGTACGAAATCGTTCATTATCTTCGCGTGTATCACGTCGTTGTTTACCGCAGCCTCCCCAAAAAAACGTTAAAAAATATATATTTTCGGGAAACGCAAAAAAAAACTAATTAATCTCATATAATTAATGCTGTTGAATTAATTAGTTAGATTAGAAATAATTTCTAATTCCACCACTATCTGCAATACAAAGTGTATGTTTGCGTGTGATCAAAAGTTAAATGTGTTCAGAGCCAACGCGTGCGTGAGTTTTGAGTGTATATATATTTGTAGATGTGTATATGTATGTGTCAGTTAAGTAATAAAAATGATAAAGGCGATAAACATTTAAGGCTGACATGTGAGCAAGTGAGTAGATGGGTGAGACGGTAATTTAAACATTTGTTCCACCCCTGACACGGTTATGACTTCTGACTGTGCTGCGACTGAATTCACACTTGAATTTTTTTATTTTATTTTTCTTCTTTATTTTTTTTTTGGAAAAGAGAAGAAGAGGCCTAATTTTTTGAATACGCTCTGTGCCTAACACATTTGCCGAATAAACAGTCCATTAAAACGATCTTTTCTTAGCCGTGTGGACTGAAGACACCAAATCAGATTGTTGATCACTTAGCATCTAGCATCCATTGGCACACAATGAGATCTTTAAATTGACGAATAAACGTCTGATTAAATTTACGAGGTTAACCAATTTGACGTTTGTGCTTGGCAAAACAAATTTACATTTTTTTTATTTGTTTTTTTATTTTTTTGGAAATGTTTTTTTTTTTTGGGAAAGAATAAAAAGCCATTAGCTACAGTTGATCAGCTCCTTCAATTTGCAAACTGCACGCGTACTTTAGTTAGTTAATATATATATATATATAGAGAGAAATGTATATATGAATAAGTATATAGACCCACCCACAATGTCGGTTGTAATTGTTTTCTTTTATTGTTGGCCAAAGATAAACATTGTTACATTTTGCAATGCTTTTGTTCGCTTCCAGAAGTTAAAATAAACATTGAATAAAAAATATAAAGAGTCAAATACACAGAAGCAACAACTGACTGAATATAAAAAAAGAAAATGCAGCCATAACGAAAGCAAACTTTGAAAAGGTCAGCTCAAGTTGCCGACTGTAAGTTACCCTGTTAGAAGGGGATGCAGCATGTACTTACTTTTTTTTTATGTAAATAAGTTAAGCAAATACAAAACACATTTAGAACATATTTTTTTTACCATCCTCATAAAAGCTATTTTTGTTTTCATCACTCTGCTGATTTTAACGCGTGCAAGTCGAGTTCTTCACACATTTCAAGCGAATAAATTGAATTAATAAATACAAAAATACTGGAGTGTTTTCGACGACCCATAATGCGATTGATCATTTGTTATCTATTTTAAGCTTGATGATCGAAATATTAGAAAGTAATAAACATTAAAATAAGATTTTTGCTCGAAGTTTTTCCATTAAATCAACGCAAATCGGCTAAGCATTACGATCTCTCTAAAGAATGCTAAGTGGTGCCATTATTATTTTTTTTGGTTTTTTTTTTTGCATTTAAAATATAAAAATATTTATATTGATAAGCATTTCAAGAGCAGTACTTATATAAACACATTTTAAAAATCAGCATACCACAAAATGTCTAAATGTTTTTCCAAAAGTTATTACTCATTTTATATGTTGAGTTATCGTGTGAAAAAGAGGTGCATTTAAAATGGAACCCCTCGACCCACTAGAGTTTAAATTGTTAAGTAAATAATAATTTTTAATTATACTTAAGTGTCAAGCCAAATAGTTCAAGATAGACAATTGAATTTTTCGAGTGCAACTGGAAATAGTTGCAATGAATGAATGAAATGAATACACTCGTTCTGAACAGCAATCAGTGCAAAAGCTTTGCCATAGCAGCAGTTCTCTCTGTCTCCCTCTCTCTCTCTCTCTCTCTCTGTCTTGCTGTAAGTGCAGTATATTCATACCACGCCCATTTTTACCTAATTGCTTTCGAAGTACTTCATAATTGCCTTAAGCAACGTCATTGATTTTAAGTGGTATGGAGTAGAAGTCGTCTTACAGCATACAGCAATAACTATAACGACGGAGATGAAACAAATATTAAGGGTAACCTTTAATCTTATGAATAATGCTTGTGAAATTACATATTGTTCTGGTCTTGTGCCTGTCTTCTTTGGCGTTACCAGGCAGCAGGCCATATAATATGTACATACCTGCTGCTCCTTTTGATATTTATATAATAATTGCAAATTAAATTTGGAGGCGCCCACTTTTTGCTTAACATAAAAAGACTAAACCCCAATAACAAGTCCTTGCCAAAACTTCAAGCCAGTTTGAAGTTCATAACATATTTATGTATACACACATATATATATACATACATATATATATATATATATATATATACATATATACATTTGAAATTGAGTTGCTTGGCAAACGGCTGCTATTGTTGGCAATTGCACATACGCCATGTGTGCCACACAGCACAAATTATTGTGCCACAAGATGTGGAAACACACACATGAATATGACCACTAAATGCGTCTGTTTACCCACTCATAATGGTTAAAAAAGATATATTGGTTTGCGCAAAAGTATGTAACACGCAGCAGGAAGCAACTCCCCAGTTATATTCTTGAACAGCAGCAAATAGCCGAGTCGATATAGACATGTTTGTCTACACACTTCAAATTTTGAAGTTCTCGTAATTTAATTTTCTCGACAACTGAAACCGTTTCGCGACAATCGATATATGTCATAGATATCTTTACAGCTGCATTGAGGGTATCTCATAGTCGAGCTGATTCGACTACCGCATTCTGACTTGTTTTGTTTGCGTTTTCAGTGTTGATTTCTGGTGGCCAATTGGCAATGGCCAATTCATTGAGGCAGCAAAAACAGACAGTCACCTAATCGGTCAGAATGTCGAACGAAAGCAGGCTATTTATTTGCTTTCCGGCATTCATAAATATCGATCAGTGCGCCTGACTGCATCTGCCATTTGCTCTGCTCGATTTCCAATTGGATTCGCTTCGCATTTAATTGTGTGTGCTGGCGCTTTGGTTTCTACATGGCTGGTGGCAGCATATGGCAAATATGGCATATATATGGTATGGTATTAAGTGTCGCCAACCGTCTCAAAAATACATATAATTGTTAAGTCTGATGATAACAGCGAGTTGACCATATTGGCCATATGCGTCCAAAGTCAATAATGATTCACTGAATATTATTTTGTTTTGACGCTTAATAAATCATTAACAGTTCGCAGTTGGCCAACACACATAAATAAAACTCATCAGGAGCAGTCTCTTTTCTGTTGACGTATTTACATTGAAAGCAGCTGAGATGCAGACTTGGCTGACTTGGCGAGTTGTCTGTTTATTTGCCTTTCGCTTTGGCTGTTAATTGTGCGCATTAGCAGCCGAAATCAGATGCCTCTTTAATGGAATGGTAGCCAGCTATAAAATGAAACAAAAATAAGGAAAAAATCATAATCTCTAACCCATCCGTGTAAATATTGCGCTTGTTTGCCCCGAGCATCATCATAAATAAATCGCAGCTCGACAAATATTTGAGTACGGCATGCGCCACTTAGTGGCACTTGGCCAAAAGGTTGCCGCCCCCCCACTATTGGATAGAACTCTGCACTAATACCTATACATATATATATATATATAGTATATATAAAATCACTTAAATAATTTTCTTTGATATTTTCGTCCTTGGGGCAAGATCAAAGACAATAGGCATTGGCAACTAAGCCTCATTTGTTGTTCGGTACTCGTATATTTTTTATTTAAAATTTCGGAACATTTTCTTGACCCATTTTATGTATTTTGGATTCATGTTGAGTACTAAGGTTATTATCACATTTAAGCTTCCAACTTGTGTTTGTGTGTCTGTGTGTGTTTGTGTTTGTATTTGTGTGTGGGTTCGTGTGCTCTGCTTTTATTTATTCATTAATAAATAACTTGGCAGTCTTTGTTTTAATCACGACCCTAGCACAACGACCAACGACCAACTCGTATTTGCCTCAGTCATTCTTGTTGTTGATGCTGCTTCACCCCGCTCTTGTCCTCACTTTTAAGTCAATGTCAGCGGCAGTGTACACAATACACACACACACACACACATATATATATATATATATGTTCACATATACACATACACACACACATATATACATATAGGCATACCACATGCCACAGCAACATGCATATCTAATTACCCACCTCAGGCAACTCTTATCAAAGTCAGCAAACGAGGACAACAGTTAAAATACACAAAAATATTTCATGTATTTTCAGCATTGAAACAAAAAAGCTAAAATAAATAATATTTTTATGTATTTATTTAATGTGGAGTGAAGCAGTACACAATTTTTAAGATGTCTTTAAAGCATATACATTGAAAATTAAAATTAAAGACTCGGTTAAAATATACAAATATGAAAAGTTCAAATAAACAATATTTTTTAAATCCTGAACACATTGAGAAAGTATGTAACAGGCATAACTTTAAAGCCTTACAGGTTAATATTTTAATATTTATATTTCTATATTCCTACAAAAAAAGGTTAAGTTAAGATTTTGGCACTGTGTGTGAAATTTGCATGAGTCAGTTTAATGCAAATAATTTTGTTCAAGATAAGAAACGAACAGAATAATTTGCAATGTATACGAACAGAAAAAGATTTTAATCTATAATAATGTTACTTATAATTTGCAGCACACTTTGCAGATAATATTATTGGAGGAAAGATTAGTTCAAATGTGTTAATAAGAGGGTAAAAAGTGCCGACTCGGAGATCAACAACAGGTTCACACTACCAACTAGCTGAGTCTGAGTAGAAATGCTCAACGGCATTTTTAAATGCTGGTCAGGTACGCTAAAGGTCTCCAGCTGTCATATATGTATGTATATATAACCGATAGGTATACAATTAAAGTAGATATTTCCTTTTTGAATTGAAGTGTGTGGCAGTCACAGTAGCCCCGCCCCAAAATGTATGGGAAGGGGCCATAAAGATTGTTGTTTATTTATCTGCATACATACTGGGCACAGTGCCACGTGATTTAAGCATGTATTATTTGTACAGATTTTATACAGATATATGTATACATATGTATATCTGTTTATACAATTCAAATAATACAACTCAGCGGGCATATCTGTGTATATCTTATACTCAGGCACAGAAATGTATATTATATGGAGGCCTTTATTTTGGAGCTTTTTTGAATAGTGCGTGTATAAGTTCATTACTTGAATTTTATCAGATAAAAAGACAGAGATATCACCAAGAGCTTCGTTCTTCTTTCACTTTCCTTTCCAGCTCCGTCAACATTTATTTGCGCAATTTTGTGTCTGAAGTGAACCGTTTAATTACGCAGCGCGAAAGCGAAAAGCGAAAGTGTGTCGTGGGTTAAGCAGCAGCCTGTTGTCCCCTGTCCACACTGACAACTACACACACACACACACACACACTCACACACACAGACACAGAGACAGAGATATACACATGACGTCCTGCTGACATGCATACCGTTAGATACAAAATATTTAGCGATATCGCAAGAGTCATAAAAACCACGTCGTATACTTGACACCAGCAGCTTGCAGTCGAATACAATAATTAATTAGCAAGAAGGCGTCGGAACAGCTACCCCATTCCTCATTCCACACCAGCCAGCAGACCATCCCTTCCAGCCGCCACATCGGCAATGGCCGAGGACGAATTGCAAGCGCTCGTGGAGAGCCTGGATGCAGCCTCGGCTGAGCACATTGAGAATGCAATTGCCAACTTCTCGCTGGACATGTTACAGCGTGCCAGCGCCCTAATTGGCGCACAGCAGGCGCAAAGCTCACAAAGTGCTCCACTGCCCAGCATCAATCGCACACTGGAAGACCAGTGCAGGCAACAGGCTGAGCTGGAGGAACACCAATTCCCCCCAGCCACACAGCTATTGACCACTATGGCAGCAGCAGCAGCAGCAGCAGCAAAACATCCGTTGGCAAAATGGTGAGTAAGAAAAGTTAAACTGTTTCCGTTATTAATTTATTTCACCACTTAAAATCTTAACACTTCACTTTTTAATCGATTGGCATATCAATAGACATCAATCTGATAGCACAAATACCATTTTAAATCAAAAAAATACCGCATTTTGATGATTTTTTTTTGGAATTGAATTGAGTTGAATTGATAAACAAATGCCGAGTCATATATATAGTACAGATAGGCAATATCAAATTGTGATTATTTATAACAAGCAATCTTAAAACTTTAACGGTCAATGCGAATTTGTTTATAAATTCAAATAATTGTGCAAACACATGCACTTTACTAAGTATTCGCCCATAAATATACAAATTTGTTTAGGTGCACACTTGAAGAAATTTGTTTATTTCCACATTAATCTTTAGAAAATAAATTAAAATTTTACAAAACTACAAAAAATTAAAAGAGTGGAAAAGGTATTAAAAATGTTATATCCGGAAGCCAATAAAAATGTTTAATATATTTGCGCAAAACTATGTAACAGGCTGTAGGAAGCATCTCCGATATACATTCTTGATCAGCATCAATAGCCGAGTCGATATAACCATGTTTGCCTGTCTATCTGTATGAACACGCAGCTCTCTGAGATTGTAAGAGCTGGAATATAAGTTCTTGTATCTCACGTGCCGCTCAAACTTATTTCGATTTATCGATCATTCTCCTTCTTCTGCTAATATCGATAATTATCGATACACGGCAGCAACAAAAACGACCACTTTTAAAAAGCACAGCCTTCGAATATCGGATAACGCCCAAGAAACACCCAAGCTATAGTCCAAAAAGTATTCTCCTACTGATCTGTCCTTTTCTATATACAGAAATATTTAACAGCTGATTTCCGCTAGGCATCCCGTAGTCGGGCAAACTCTTCTACAGCATTCTTACTTAGTTAATTTAGTTTTTAATTGACTTGTACGTGTTAAGAGCACTTCCCACACTGTAATACAATTCGCAGGCCCTTCATTGTCCCACCTCCTTCGATTCGGTGCTCTGTTGGCCCCGCACCAATGCCAGCAGCTGGGCCATTTTGCCGTGCTTCGAGGAGTTCAAGGGTGTTCACTACGACACGACAGGTGAGCATGGAATTAGAATACAAAAATACTAAAAAAAAAAACACTCTAATAAATTCTTATTTATATATTTATGAAAGAGAATGCAACACGCTACTGTCACGAGAACGGCACATGGAACCATTACTCCAACTACAGCAGCTGCCATCAGCATTCCGGTTCGGTGCCCGTTGTTCCCGACTTCTCGCCCACCGTGGATTTGCCGGCCATAATCTATGCCTGTGGTTATTTCATCAGTTTTGCATCCCTCGTGGTGGCACTTATCATATTCCTCAGCTTTAAGTGAGTTGCACGTTCAGCTATAATATATTCTATTGATTTGCTTTATATATTTATCTTTTGCTGCTGCAGAGATTTGCGCTGCCTGCGAAACACAATCCATGCGAATCTATTTCTAACGTACATCACCACAGCTCTACTGTGGATTTTAACACTATTTTTGCAAGTGGTTGGTATTCTTTGCATTATAATTATGGCTTAGTCTTATTTGCTGTTTCATTTGCCACACAGATAACCACAGAATCTAGTCAGGCTGGCTGCATAACGCTGGTCATTATGTTTCAATACTTTTATCTGACTAACTTCTTTTGGATCTTCGTTGAGGGTAAGTTTTTAACACTCTTTTTGCATGGTAAATTGCGAATTATTGCTGAATTTTAAAATCAATTTTAAATTCATACTAACTATATAACATTTTTTTTTCTGATTAAGATTATTTTTGTGTTTTTCAAATGTTGGATTGCAAAATATTACTTTTTAAGCTTTTAATTTAATATATCATTTTATTTTTAATTTAGTTTTATCTATTTTTTAAGTATTTTATTATTTTTATGTCGACTTGAAAAGTATGTCAGAATTTTGCAGCTATGCTTCAATAGATATAAGAATATGTTCCTGATGTTTTTTTTTGTATAATAATTTTAATAAAATTGAAGGTGTAGAGTTGGACTGCTGGTATGCAATTTGCAATATGCCTCTGATTTATCTTATTTATAAACATATATTCGCATATATAAGCACCCACATCTGCACTCAACCGTTGCAAGCGATGGTGGTTGTGATTCACATTCTCAGAAGTTATTTATATCCGATTGCAAATATATACTTAATTTTTTATTACAAAATAAATATAGATTGTTGCGCTAATTATTTGCAGGCCTGTATCTTTACACCTTGGTGGTGCAAACATTCTCCAGCGAGAACATTAGCTTCCTTATCTATGCACTGATTGGCTGGGGCTGTCCGGCTTTCTGTATTCTGGTTTGGTCCATTGCCAAAGTGTTTGCCTCGCATCTGGAGAACGAGCATTTCAATGGGGTAAAATAGTGCGTCATCGGTTTGGCTCTGTTCGATTATAACTTATTCATTGTTAATTGCTGCAGCTGGAAATTGAATGCGCGTGGATGCGTGAATCTCACATTGACTGGTTCTTTAAGGGGCCAGCCTCGATGGCGATATTAATTAATTTGGTGTTTCTCATTCGCATTATGTGGGTGAGTTCGATTAACTCATTTGACGTTACATATCTATACTATATTATATAATTCACTCTATTGCCAGGTACTCATAACCAAATTGCGTTCGGCTCATACGCTGGAGACGCGACAGTATTATAAGGCCTCCAAGGCACTGTTGGTGCTAATACCGCTCTTTGGTATTACATATCTGTTGGTCTTAACGGGGCCGGAACAGGGTATCAGTCGTAATCTCTTTGAGGCAATACGCGCCTTTCTAATCAGCACACAGGTGAAAATTGAGTCATTTATATCAATTATTATATGATTTATTATGATTATTATATTATAGGGTTTTTTTGTGGCTCTATTCTATTGCTTCCTCAACTCGGAGGTGCGCCAGACTCTAAGGCATCGCTTCACCAGATGGCGGGAGAGTCGAAATATTCACCGCAGCAGTTCCATTAAGAATCGCAGGTGCGTTCACAATGGCTATATAAAAAAAAACACACACACATGTACAAATATACATACATACATATGAACACTCGAACATTATGTCTAAGCTTTTGATGTTGTCCTCATTTGTCACATGGTTCAAGTACTTTGCTTTTCTTCATATTTTCTTCTCGTTTTTTTTTTTTGTTTGTATCTTTTGCTGTAACTCGCTGTTGTCATTTAACTGAATTAATTTCCATTTCAGACATCGCACATCCAAAGACTACTCGCAACGTTCGCGTACTGAAAGTCTACGGTGCGTATACGCAATGCTTCTCTATCACTTCCGCACGTTTCCTCTTAACTAACTTTACTAAGTACTGCATGAAAAAAAAACCAAAAAAAAAAATACTCTTTGATATTCTAATTTTTCGCTTTGCTTTTTATAAGCTCCGTCCGTCCGTCTGTGGGAACGCAACTTTTTGTCGACAGCTGAAGCTGGGGTACAACTTAGAATATGTCAGACAAATTAGCCCATATCAGAAAAATGTAGCTCGATACGAACGTATTTTTCAAGATAGTAGCGAAAATGATTTTCTCGATATATATAAATTGATAAAAATTAGTGGCTGGTAAATCGATATTATTGATAAATGTAAATCTATAAAAACCATATAAATCTCAGCATTATTCAAGACAGAGTCAACAAATTTAGATGTAATCTATATTGGTTGGGAAATATCTATTATCGATTAATTAAAATCGATAGAAATATAAATATATATAGCTGATCCTTGGATCATGGAGAGTAAATTACAGTTTACTGCTGAATAACCAACTATATAAGTTCCACTAACGATCAATCAAACGAAGTTTCATATTTCTGTTATCAGAGTATTCCGCCGTCGGTTATGTCCGGCTGCAAGGCTCTCTCTTATTATGTTCCGATTTATTGTTTAACTTTGTATATATATTATTTTTAATTTTGTTTCATTATTATAGACTGACTTCGACGAGTCCCGTACCCATCGGACATTTTGAATGATCAACGACATATTTATACCAAACACTTGAGATTTCCTTTATATATGTATATGTATATACACAAATTCGATTTGTATATAAGTATTGCGTAGTGCACACACAAGTTTAAGTATTACTTTTTATAAATAACGACATAAGTTTATTTAAGTTGAAGTTTCTTAAATATATCTCGACCTTCTGCAGGACCGAGGAGTGCATCATCTCTCTGCGTCCATCGCTGCATACACGTGTTGGCTCACTGAAACGCTATCACAGCATTGATCTTACCGATTTCGTTTAGATTGAGCATACATATTCATTTAATTAAGGATTTCCATATAACTACAAAATGCAAAACATATTCATAGCCATACCCATCATTAAATATAAGAGAAACTACAAGCAGCTCTACAAAACAAGTTTTCAAATAAACAAAATTAAAACGGATGAATTTGAAGATTCATTCAATTGCTGTAATTACCAAAAATGTTAACATATATTTCTAATTGACTTTTCTGCCTTATCTCCACTCTTGTCAGAGCCATAAATCAGCTAAGCCAATTTACACTAAAAATTGAACTCTGCTTTAAATAAATTCAGACATATTATATGGTTATATATACTAACCAAGTGTTTTCCATTATTAATTAAGCACGAATAGCCAGTCAAATGTAAATACGACTCGTAATTGGATACTTACATTTATTTGTACATGTTGTAATACATAACAATTTTCAGGGTCAAACAATTTTTATCGTTTACGTACATTTAATAAGCACATACCTATAAAATAAAATTGTTTTTATCGCTTGAGAATATATAATAAATATATGCTACATAAATAAATACAAACTACAATATTGCACACTCACAAACAAAAACCTAACGACTTTTTAATGTATGAATCATGTATATATTATAGTAATTGCTTATTAATCTTTCGGCTGCTAATATTTCAGACATCGAGTAGTTCTCTGATGACTAAGTGAATAAAGTGATGTAAGCATTTATTGTGGTTTGGATTCTATATGTTATACAAGTTGTAAGACAGGCGAAATGTGCTTTAGCCACTTATGATCAGAAACGATTTAAGCAAGTAATATCCATGGGGAAGAAGACAATTAGAATACTCACCGGTCTCTAAACAGGACTGTAGACTACGAGGACACCTAGCTAAACTAAAGAAAAAACTGAAATAAAGAAAAATAATTATTCAAATTTTTGCCTTGATGATTTGAAATTTGCATGACAAAATGTATTAGCACATATAAAAAAAAAATCAGTTTGAATTGCTTAGACTCGACTTGAAGTTTATTTGTTTGTTGAAAGTGACTTGAAGTTACAGCAAAATGTTTAAAACTAACATTTTTTTTTTGACAGAGCAAAATCTCTTTCTCTTAAGTACAACATAAATGTTAAACATAATTTATTTGGGTAAACTAAGATTAGGAATGTGCACAGTGTTGCATTATTAACAGGCATCCATAATATGATGCATACTTGGTGTCAAATACAGGTAAACTGTTAATCAGTTGCACTGTGAACACAGCTCTACAATAATTATTATAAAAATTAGCTATAAATTTGCTAGTTTTTCTTTTGTCAATGCGTGCAAAAATGTATGTTACGATTACGATTACGATTACTATTACATATGCGTGTATATTAAATCTATGCTTTTCTTGTATTTTGTTTTTTATTTGTTCTCGTTTATTTTTGTTTTTCTTTTGCTTTCTATTTATTTATTTTTTTTCCATAAGGTCACATTGTTTGTATCACTGATAATGTAATGTAAAATAATCCTAATGCAAAACGAAACATAAATCAATTTACTGTCCCACAATGTATATATATATTTATGTATACTAAAGAATATCATGTATTTTGTTTTTCAAGAATAGAGCTTTTATAATATCAAAAGTGTATCCTGTCAAATAAGTCACTCTAAACTACATATACATGTATGCCTTATAAAGTATATACCTGTTGTGTGCATGTCAGTGAGTGTATGAAGTCTACTAATTTCGTATATTAACTAATGCCTATCACTGTCTAACTAAACATTTTGTCAATTGCCAAAACTATAGTCATATTTATATTTAGGTATGTAAGTGTGTATGTTGGTGTCTGTGTGTGCGTGTGTGTCTCTTGAGAAAATTATACGAAAATGAACTATTCGAAATAAAATACGAAATTCGTGATTACGCAGAAACCACTTGGTCGCAAAATGTCCTTAAAAATGTCATCTCGTTAGCTTATTTCGCATACGTTTAGTGGACGCTTAACGCTTAATATGTATTGTAATATAATCATAAAAAATAACAATTACACTATTAACTAATTAACGCACAGGTTGGGCGCCAGCTGCGCCTCCTCCACTTACATATAATATCAAATGCACTCGCCCGGATTCTGTGCACAGTACTTGGGAAACAGCGCCTCGGCCTTAATGCCCAGCTCGACGAGTCGATTTCGGAACAGAGAGATTCGACGAAACACTTCTGGCGGTAAAATATCAAAGTCATGATCATCATTGGGATCGGACCACAGACGTTCGGCTAGTGCAGCTGCTCGCGGCCACAATCGATTGTCCAATTGACTCTCGTCCACCTGTTCCGTCCATAAGCACACCTCACCGCCGAGCACCTGTTGAAACAATTGTTTTACTATGAATCTATAAATATGGCAGAATCGCGTTTCCAACTTTAAATGGGGTATTAATCTAGAGGTCAAACCATAATCAAAAATCTCAGACTTTTGACCAAGTTATATCTCTGGGAAATTTTGATCAGCTACAAATATCTTTTTGATGGTACAATTTAACATTGTACATATTGGTTAGCTAGTTATTCGTTAGTTGATATTGCTGACCTGCTTTCGTCGCTTCTTATCGAGTCGCATGCGTTCCCAGGGCCGATGCTTGTACACGTTCTGCCAAGTGCGATAGGGCGAACATGCGGCTTCGCCAGTTGCACGCCAGCTGCCAAAGCCGCAATCCAAATACCAGGCATCCACATGGGAGAATATGATGTTGTAGCCATTGTCCAGCAGGTCATAGTTCTCCTGCCAGGTGCTGCCGCCCCAGACCTGCACCACAAATTGACTATTGGGAAGACATTTGGTGTTTGTTAGCGCACTGGACCAAACAACCACATGTTTGGGCGCCACATTGCCATTGGCCAGTTTCAGTCTGCGTAACAAAATCAATTATAATTGGGTTTATCCAGAGTTGGTATACGATAGACTTACCTAGCATTAGATTGTAGCATAAAATCGCACCACAGACCGCGAAGATCCGTGTCATTGAAGTACTGGGCCCAGCAATCTAGGTTCACCTCATCGCCGCCCAAGTGAAACATGTCCGTGGGCCCGGTTAGCTTGAGAAACTCTTCGTAAAGGCGCTGCAGTATGAGGTAGGTGTGATTATTCTTTGGGTTTAATTGGCCGCACGGCGGTTCGCCACAGTAAAAACTCCAGGGCTGCTGATTGATGCACAGCGATAGTTCGCCAAGGCCGCGTTTCGGTCCCCAGTCCCAGCCATTGCCGGCATGCGCAGGCGCATCGATCTCCAGCAGTACTTGCACCCCAAACATTTTGGCAAACTCGTTCACTTCGCGCACATCCTGCTCACTGTACGTCTCACTCTCCGAGTAGGCACCATGCTCGGCCAGCTCCGGATAGTGCTGTGAGACATACGGGAAACTTTGCGCATCCGTTATGTGCCAGTGAAAACGATTCAGTTTGGCCATGCCCATGGCAGTAATTGTGCGCTTAATCGCTTCCACGGTGAAGAAATGCCGCGACGTATCTAACATGAGGCCACGATAGCGAAACTTGGGCACATCATTGATCAGGGAGCTGGCATAGGTGCGCAACAATCTCTCCTCGTCATCATACCAAATCAGCTGCTGCAACGTTGACAGGCCATGGCGAGCGCCAAAGAATGTGTGCGCCGTGATGTGCACAACAATGCGACGATTCTCAACTGGGTAAGGATCGAGAGAGAAAGAGAGTCAATATAAGCAGCAATTGATGTCTCTGTTTTTAAGCACTTACATGTCGAGCTTAGCTGATAGCTTTCATCGTTGTCCAGCTTAAAGTCAAGCTCGCCCGATTTATGCACCGAAATTTTCACTTGTAGACTCTCCAAGTCGCCAGCACGATGTGAGCTAAATGTGGCCCCAAAAAGGGAGGCAACTGGTGGCGTTTCTGCCACATCCGGATCGGTATTATGCTGTCTCAATCGTGACGCTGACTCACTGCCACCAGATGCAGCTGATGCTGCCATTGGCATCTCAGATGTATGAACCGCATAGTTCAAGCGCTGTATTTGCCGCAACTGCTTCAGAAACCAATCGAAGGATAACTTCAACTGTTTGCACACCTCGCGATGCGGTGAATCCAAATGCAGCTGCACATCCTCCACGGAGAAGCGCAGCGTGTGAGCACTGATCAGTGATTTGGTGGTGGGATGGGGCCAAATGTTAATATCACCACAAGTCATCGAACAGCTAATGAAAGAGACACGCTTCGCGTCCTGCCCGTTTTTGTGGTAGCCAACTCGCACGCATCTGTCATTCTCGCATTTGTAGGTCCACGATTTCTCCAATGGTCTGCAAACGTTGCATATAAATTGAGTGATTCGATATTTGTTGAATTGTCATAATTACATGGGTATAAATTGGTGATCCTTTTGGGCATGTGGTCGCAGCTGTGATTCGGTGTACGCCTGTGTCTTGATCACGTTTTGATTCCAGTACAGCACGGTGAGTATAAAAACAGCTCCGGTAAGCAGCACCAACAAGGCGCGGCGCAGCGAGACGGCCAGCGACATCTTAAAGAGGTAACGTAAGCTGTAAAATACACATAATATATATATATATTAAATAGCGATTCAACAGTTGACACGCCTCAATGTTGTTTGTCTGATGAATTCAGAGTGTGATAAAAGTTACCCAATCGAAATGCAAGCACAACAATCAAAATTGGGCTCAACAAACAAATTGTCATCAGCCCAGAAGGGGGAAAACCCTTAACAACAACAAGTCAAAAGCAGCGAACTTTAATTAATGTTAGCCACATGGTTGATGAAACTAAAGCGAATTGGATTTAACAATCGATAAAATCAAAGAAAACCTCATCGCGCGCTGATAGCCATAGGCCACAGGACACAGGACATTGGGCTGTAGTTATTATTGTGTTGGATTTTATGACACATAAAGCGTATAGGAAAATTGTTTGTCTTTCATATACATAGCATCCGACACGCAACGGTTTTGTGGAAAGTGGAGTTAGCTTTAAGTTGCCTTTTGTTTACTGTTCTGTGCGGCGCATAATCAGTAATATAGGTCGGTTATAAAAACCAAACCAGAACCAAAGCACTTACGACGAGCGGCCTTAGGAAAGGACTTTTGTTGTGTGAAATTCGAGAGTTATAGTTACCAGGGATAATCCTGGCCAAGTTGTTGGAATACGTAAATCGGTCGCATGACTTAATATATTGCTTTACTCATGTCAAACGGTATTTAAACTAGTTAAATTTCATAATCGCCTGCTTTATAGTAAACACACAAAGATCTGTCATAGGCATAGTTAGATATAATTCTAATCTAGTAATCTTGTATTAGCACTATTATTATTTATATATCAACAGGCTTGGGAGACGAATACTTAACATTCTAAGAAAGACAGAACCTGGAATTTGAGCTGAAGCATCCTCTGACGACTGACGCAATCGAAGTAGCTAAGTGAATGAACTGCAGACTCAAACTGGTCATGTTTGCAACCTGTGCTTATTTTAAATGATATTAAAGGTAATTAAATTACCTTTCCAAAAGGCACAAGCCTGTTTGTGTACTCATTCCCTAGACATAAATAAAAGTTCCAGAAAAATGCTTGCTACACGAATTAATAGTTGGTTGGGTTGTACATATATATAAATATATATATATACGACCTTGCTAGGGAACCAATTTTCAATTTACGGCTGTGGGATAAATAAACACGTACCCAGCAAATTAGTACATTGTTCTCTGAAAATGAGTTTCAGGCTAAGTAGTTAAATAGCAACAAAGTTGTATACTCATCGATGATACATCGATTGCTTATTCTTTATTACTTAAAACAGAAGAAGTCATGCTTATTTCTTAAAATAATAAACTTGTTAGAAGAAGACTCACACGCATTTGTTTTTCAATCAATAAAGCAATTAAGCTCCAATTAATTAAACTCCCTTTGTCATATCAATTATTAGTCATTAATCATTAAGTTGAAGCCTTCAAGAATTAAGTAGTTCACTTAAATCAAACAAAACAAAATTATACTTAAAAATCAGAGAATCAGAGAGAGAGAGGAATTGATTCCATCGACTCCATTCAACTGTAAACACAATACAATCTTGTACACACCCAGATACCCATTAACAAGCCCACACACCCATTCGTCGGGAACAGTTCGCTGCCTGGTGACTGGTGACTAACGCTTGCAATTGACTGATATGGATATAGCATATATATATATATATATATTTAGTCATGTATGCTTATTGACATTAACTGGAGTCTGTTTTATTCCATAATAAATAAACACAGCCTGTGGTGCAAGCATTGCGTGCGTCTAAATTAAATATCAGTTGAACCAACTGCCCAAAAATATTTGAAACATGCACCTGCGCAGCATGTACAATAATATGGATAGTTGTTCTTAATGTGGCGGATGCCTACACACGTGCCACATACACATACATCGACATAGTCGACAATTTGTGGCGACCTGTCAATACCAAATGGTAAATACCGTTGACCGCTGCTAACAAAAACGTGTTATTACCAAGCGTGCGGAGTGTGGAGTGTGGCCAATTCATAAGCAGGCAGTATACCTTTTCGGTGACTGTTAGCTACGTCATTACTCTTGATGGGTCTCTGTGCATAATAAATCAAGAGGCGTACATGGTTAATGCATTCAAAATAAAAAAAAAGGTTTGCTAGCTTTGTGGGTTTGCGCTCAGTGGCTGGCTCATTAGTTGTCGCACTGACAACTAATTGTGGCACAGCTCCAAACACAACAACGCACAGTGGGGCATATTCTACAACAACAAAAAACATTTGTTGAAACTATAAAAATTGGCATATTAATTCATTTGAGTATAAGCCTTTAATAGCTCTAAACTCTACTCTAACTCATAAGTATATTATTGTAACATTTATTTAATTATAATACAAAAAATAAGACTGATGTGCTTAACAAAAAAGCTATTGAAAAAATCAACGCTGCAAATTAGACATTTACTTTTTCTAAATTTGAGCAAAAAGAAACCTGCTGATTTTTAGAAATAGAAAATCTTCTGTCTTAGAAATATACTTTGTGAATAATGAATAATTTTTGGGCAAGAGCTTCACTGTTCAACATAGCATACATTTGAGGGCTGGCCGCGAATCATGTTTTGGGGCAATGCTTACCTGCAGCGCGTGCGCAATGAATTGCTTATTGAGCAAAAGCGTAGAAAACTATCCATCATCACATACTAAGGTGGGGCTGAAGGAGATGGGGGCGGTCTCATCTGTGCCAGCGAATCGCAGACAAACACAGCAACTCTAATGGAGAAACAGCTACAGCTACAGCTACAGTCTCAGTCTCAGCCTTAGCCTGTTATCACTAGCACTATCACTTATTATATTTTTTTCTAAACTTAAACGCTGCACAAGGCTATCATTAAATCACACATTTGGCATTTGGCAATCAGTGATTGAAGCGAACGAACTGAATTTGTGTAAACTTGGCCGCCAATGATGTCGTCCTAATGGACGTGCTTCTGCTCGCTCGCCGGGGCGCACACGACTCTCGAGGTGTAAGTAAACTACTACTATGTGCGCGACTCTCACGGATTTTTTAGCATTTCAAGATTTTCTTGGCTAGAGCGCACACAAGCCGCCCAAAAAATGGCGTGCAAGTATTTACATATGTTCTTGAACCACCTGCCAGCCTGCCAGCCAGCCAGCCAACCACGCAGACAACCAGCCAGCTGCTGGACGCCGTTACAGTCTACCGTCAGAATATTGAGCACACATATGCGATGTATACACAATAAATGAAGTATACGGATTAGTTTTAGCTTACGCAAATGAATGCTATTGATTATTGTTACTAAAGCAATAAATATGCATACAAAATAAGAGTTATTATGGTTTTGTAAGTGTGCTCATTGCATATTGTGCATACGCTCCGTGCACCGTGGCATGCTCAATATGCTGGACATCGACTGTTGCTTAGCGTCGCATTATTATTTATGGTCGCATGCCGTGAAAAACGACAGTTGGCGACAAGTGTTGTTCAAATGGCATGCACGGTTGCCACAACAACAACAATCGTCGTACACACAACAAAGGCAGTTGGCGCTCAATTTGATGTGAAACGTGCAGGAACCGCTCACACACAGACACACATACGTACACATACACAGAAAGAAATCGCGAGGATACATTGAGAACTTGGTGCATCGACGTCATACTCAAAACAGAATGTTTTGTTTTTATAATCGAGCATTTAATTATTAACATTAAGTAAAAATGACTAAATAGCAAGAAAAACTTCTCAAATTACTTATATTTAATGTATTTGTCAGATAAAGTGTCTTTTAGTGCCTAATGAAAATGGGGTGGCTCAAAATAGCATATGAGATAGTATTATTCTAAATATAACTGGAAAAAATCACCTTGGTTGTGAGTACTGACCGCGAAAAAATTCGTCTCTCTCGGTTCCCAAATTGGGGACACAAGATTTGTTCTTGACAGATGCTAAGTTAACAATTCTGGGATTAGGAAAACAGTACTTGAATTCAGAAACTTAACGTATTGAGTACGCTTTTCTTTCTGTGTATGTGGACGGAGAGGAACACACAAAGTCAGACGAAAAGGAAGCTCAATACAAATGGCTGTGCTTGGCCTTTGCTAGGGCAGTTGAAAAGGGAAAGCAGCCAGCGAAAAGTAACAGCAAAATGGCGCCACAAAATGTAGCAGGCGCGCAGTGGCAGCAACAGCAACAGTCAGTCAAATAAGATAATACGAAGTAGTAGGTGCTGTTGCACGAACGAACGGCAACCGAAGCCGATGACGAGCTGCGACCATCGGTTGCCTAACAACTTCGTCGTGCCGCACAACAAAAGGATAAGCCAAGTCAGGCTGGCAGTCAGCAAGTCAAGCCGGGACTCAGTTGCAACAGCGCAACGCATTTGCCAAGACGCACAGCACAGCACGGCGAAAGCGAGGCAACACAACGCGACGCGCCGCGCCGCGACTCGAGTTGCCTGCCACAGCGAAAATAGAAATAGTAACACTTGTACAAATTGCTGGTAGCAAGCTTACCTTGGCCATCGATCGCGCCCTCCGTGTGTTCACAGTTCGCGTGTCAAGCCAACGTACATTAGAGCTACACCCGTACGCCCATACACCCGGACACCCGTAGACACGTACACCCAGACAGGACAGCAGGGCTAAGTAGGCTGGGCCGTTGTCCTTGGTTTAGTCTAGGGCTTGCAGCGCCAGGCAACGCTATGTCTTGCGTACTGCTTGCGTCAGTCTGAGGACTGTTTGTGTTTCTGTGGTGCTTGTGCTTGTGTTTGGTTTGATTTTTTGTTACGGTCTAATTGTTATGCAACCGTCATAAGTATAAGGCGGCATGTCCTTACAACGTTATGCAATAATCGCGGCGGTCAGTCAGCAACAGCAACACAAACAGCAGCAACAGCAACAGCAGTTGCAGCATCCCTTGCCACACAATGCAACAGTCATGTCAACATCAACATCAACGACAGCAACAGCAACGACAGCACCGTCAGCAACAACAATGGATCTAAAATCTTTAACCGTTAGTGAGGACGAGTTGCTGCAATCCCAGGAGCTTGCCAGCAGCTCCTCGATTACAACATATTACAATGGCGGCATGGGTCTCTACAATCAGCAGCGCGGCATTGGAGGCGGCATCTCTCTGCTAAATGGCGTCGCTGGCTCTGCCGGCAGCGGTCACAGTAGTTCAGCCGGAGGCAGTGGCTCACAGACCTATGCGCATGTTGTCAATGGAAGCGTGAATCTGCTGCTTGGCGGGTGAGTGACGCTGATGAAGCACGCCTCAGCTTCTTTATTAATTTATGAGAAATGCAGGCTATTAAAGTTTGCTTAGGCAACTGCAGCTGACAGACTGACGAGCAGCAGACGCTATTTTAATAAGTAAAAGACAGCTGCTGCCAGAGCAAATAAGAAATGCAAGGATTTCAATATATAATATATATATATATATAATATAATTATTGATTTGCACTCTCGAATTAACCTAACTTTACACAGCAACAACTCCAACTAATTTCAATAGTCATATGGCTTGTCTGAAAACTGTCGGGTGCAGTTTTAATGCACACTCAAATTTGAAGAATGTATTTTAAAGATTCGTCTCGAAATGTGTAATGATTTGAGGGGGTAAATCTATGATCGAACTATATCATAAAGTTTGAGCAGATATTTCAATCTTCTATCTGATTAGGAACAAAAATTGGTAGCCAACTAATTTCTTGTCAGAAAAACATTTTTTTATTCGAAGATATCCCTTCCAAATTCAAGTTTAATGAGTTCTGAAAAATATGTATATAATTAAGTAATGTAAATGAATCAGCTCATACTAGCAGATCTATGGGAACGAGTCTCATGCAGACCGTGAAAATGTGATACTGTCAGAGAAAGTGGCCAAAGTACGAATAATTAGTGCTAACATCAAAAATGCAAGCAAGTCTGCAGCGGATGTTTATTAAAAAGTATTTTTCTTCATTTTACATTGGCTTGACAAAGTAATGATGTCTCCTAATTGGTGCCATTACGTTATTCTCTCTGCTCTTTGGGTAAAAAAGTGTAATTTGTCGCTTTCTTAAATTAATTTCACTGCAATAGGAGCTCAGATCAGTAGGTACTAAAATTAAGTGGGTGAAAGCAAACAAAAAAAAAAGTGCTTGTAAAAACAAACACTGAAATTGACAAGCGAAACTTTTATGTGCGCAAGCAGCGTGTACTTCGAAAACTGTAACTTATTTTCAACATTTTATTTTTAAATCGATTGTCTACAACTAGTCAATAAAAACTTAACAATACCCAGAATAGCAGTCGAAGGATTAATACCCTTGACAGATATCTGGTAGCAAAATGTTAATTTCATTAAAAAAAATTAAATGTTGGAAAACATGATAAAGTGGGATGATTTTTATAGACTTTTACAGACAGATAATTAAATATCATTGCCTGGAAATTATTGTTTCATTTTCAAACAGATCCAGAAAATATATGATTATTTCTGATGGTTTCGAGAATATCACCTTCAATGCATTACACATTTTGTGGCAGCAGCTGTTATACCCTATGCAAAGGGTATACAATATGCTGCAATTGCCACTGATAGTTTTAGCTACTCCGCCCACACTTCTTTGGCAGCGTTTTGGGCTTTTAATGAACTGTTGACATGCGAGAAATTGCGTGAGGCACAGCGGAAAATGGGGAAAGCAATCGGGGAAATTGGGGTGTAAGCAGAGAGAGAGAAAGGCACTGTGAACTAAGGCAGAGGACAAAGGACAAGTGCCGCATTATGTTGCATTTAAAGTGGATTAAGTGACATCATTGATTTGTGTGACGTGTTACAGTTTTGAGGCACAGACAAACGGGGTTACTGTGTTGCTGTATTATCTAGGTTGCGAACAGAACAACTCAACATGTGGATAATTTGGAAAATTGCATGTTATTACAGCTTAAAAGCAAATGAACAAGGAACAATACATCTGTGGCGCAGGACAGTTTTTAAGTCTACCAGAAATTGCAGGCTACATTAAAACTTTACGAAAATATATATATATAAAATAATAAAGAACTCATTTCACTTGCTTACACAAAATATAATATTGAATGAGCAATCAAAAGAAAAATAATCATTAATTCACAATCGCATCAATACCATCACAAACGCAACATAAATAACATATTGTGGCAATATTGTCAATGTGCCTCCCGCACAAACACAAAGGCTTGCTGCGTTGCCCCAAATGCCACATACACACATTGGTAGGCAGATACACAATTGATATCGATAATTGTTAGGCCAAATTAATAAGGGCCACATTGAAGTTGCAGTTCGTAATCAATTTCATTGATAACAAACATAAGCATACAGTATGCATATTACTCACAAGAAAAGGCGGTTTTCTTAGATAGCGGTTCCGTAGTTATGTATATACGAGTATATACAAATATTACTATGCACTTGTACACTTTAAACAACTATTAGCTGCCATATAACGCAAAAGAAAGAAAAATCGTTCATATATATTTCACAAACAGTTTCTACAACATATCATAAAAGTTCTGACTACTTTCTTAGACTTTATTTTCCGCCAGTATCCGTTCCGATATCTTTGCTACTGTGGCAATAATCTTCATTTCAATTAACAGCTGCACATGTTTTCAATTTGACGGCTGGCCGTTAACTGAATACTCCATATATATATGTGTGTATATATGGATATATCATTATCTATGGCAATTTTGATAACACCACTTTTGAATCAACTACTGATATGGTGGATTATTGATGATTTTACAACTAAAAGCACGCCTATTATGTAAGTTTGGTCTGTATATATTAATAATAAAATAAATGGTTTTCCTATGCAAGCTGCGTGATATAATGTTCCGATTCGGTTGGCCGCTTACAGCAAAATGTCAGAAATATGCCACTTTCAATAAAGATAAAGCTTAATTTTTAAACTTGTGGTCTGCTTTTAGACCACATTAAATAAATAACAAATAATAAAAACAAATCTAACTGTATAAAATTATCTTCAATTTAAAAATTTTTATTATAATATTTTAGTCAGTTCCGATGATGTCACTAATTCTTGGCATTATCCAATTAGATGGGAAATTACTATTTATTTGTTTTTCTGAATTATGTATGATACTAAATCAGATCAATGTTGTAAGGCAGATATACTGAATTGAATTTTTGTGAAGCCAAACCTAATTATTGATTTCTGTTGTTATTGTTGTTAAATAGGTCGATGTTATGCCTGGTAACGACAATACTTTGTGTGGTCTGCTATTGTTGCCATCGCAATATTAAAAAGCGTACTGAGGCCGCATACAGGCAGCAACAGCATCATTGGCTGGAGAACGATCCCAATATGGAAATTTACAGCGTTGAACAGGTGAGATGATATAAATATATATATAATTATATAGAATTATTGTATATATATATATATAAGAAGGTATTTATAACATACTAGAAATTGTTGAGCACTATCAATTCTCGATGTATGAACTTATGCCGTCGCTACTCTTTATGATACTGATTTAATATTTAAATTTTTCCATTTTTTTTCAAGTTAAAATAGCAATAGATAAGATAAGATATTGGTTTGGTATGTAGTGCTCACTAGAGTCTATCACCAAAAAAGTATATTATATATAAAAGTTTATAGCATATATATAGTATTGTCTGTAGACAGTCAAGCACTCATTCGAAATCTCCCAGCTAACAATGGGTGTGGCATCCCAGCCGGATAGACATTGTACAAAGTAAACATATATTCCATAATCTGTGTCAGAGTATCAATGTAGGGTGTAACCTGTAATTAAACTTAAAACTATGTAGTATTAATGGGTAATAATGAGGCCAATCGATTGACCATTTCAGCAATTGACACGCACTGCACTTATGAACTGTATAACTTTGAGTCACAGTATTAAAATCGCACTCAGACAAAAAAAAATTGCTCGAAATTTAGAAAATTACCCTTTAATAGGAAATATATTTCCAACAAGGTAATTAAAAGTAGAAAAGAAGAGAAGATAAATTAAAAGCCAAGTAATGAAAAGTTTTCAAATCGAATATATAAATCTAAATTTGTTATATATGTGAAATCAAAGAATATGAGTATTTAGTTATAACATAAATAACCATAGAGCTAGTGTATGAATTCTGGCTACAACTGTAAAAGCCTTGAAATACATTTTCTGAATTTTAGAAAAACTTACACTTGAATTAGAAAAAGAAAATTTCTGGTTTATTATTGTCTTAAAAAAATGCGAACTGACCTTTTTATAAATTTCAAAGCGATTTCCATTTCTGAGTGTGTACACTTAAGCCCTGAGTCGTTAATGAATATTTATGCAAACCATTTGACAGGTGTGAAATAAAACTGACCAAGGGCCACGCACAAAAGGCCACAATTGTTGTTGGCCGCAGTAGTAGTGCAAGCGACCCTTAGCAATTGGATATTAGACTAGATTCCACTTTGCTGTTGGCTTTAATAAGTTGTTTGTTGTCCCGCTCCTTCGGGGGTCACCCCGCTTACATTTACCCAGTCGCTTATTGTTGTTTGTTGGCCCTGTGGGAAAAGGCAGCGTCGCCGACGACAGCGGAGTAAATCAACGTTAACTTGGTCCAGTCCGTGTCACCCAAAGTTGTCAACGGTGGTACAGAAATAAGTACTGCTCTCTATTAGATTCTCAATTTATGATGTGTGTGCAATTTAAACTTTTTATTTGGTCTAGTGTTAATTTCGCCTAATGGAGTAGACATTGTCTGTGGTTGCTTCGGACTTTTCAGCAGTTTGCTTTTTGCTGCGCGTACAGGTAGGTCCGTTGGCCTGTTGTTATACTGTGTGGGATCGCGCTCAATTTGAGCCTAAAGGTAGCCAGAGGCATGCATATACCTTCCTCATGTGCTGCTCTTATAAATATGCTAAGATAAATATGGATTAGGATAAGTTAATTAAGTTTTTCCTTATACAACATTATCAATCATTTAAAACACGACTGTTATTTTATGATTATGAACACGTTTTCTGTTGCAGTGCTATGAGACGTCGGGTCTGTTTCTGGGCGATTCAACGGACGGTTTGACCACTCTGCCCACGCTTCATCATGAGCCACCGCCTTCGTATGATGCCGTTGTCTTGCACGAGCAGCAGCTGTTGCAGCAGCAACAGCAACATCTGGAGGAGCAGCAACTGCAGCTGCAACAGCAGCAACTACTGCTGCAACGTGTGTCACCGCCGCCCGGTTATCGCTCCACGCTGGACATTGGCAGCGCCGATGGACTGGCGGCCAGCAGCAGCTGCAGCAGCAGTGCCGCTGTCAATGCCGGCGAAGTCTTGGCCAACAAGCAATTGCAACGCACATTGAATGCCCAATCATGTTGCTCGTTGCAGCGTGCCGAAGTGGAGAACATGTGGAATGCAGCCGCAGCAGCGGTGGCGGCACGGAACGGCAATTGCCTTGAGCTGGACACATACCTGACGACGACGTCGTCAACGTCATCGCCACCGCCACCATTGCCGCCAGCGTTGCAGGCGCGCAAGCAGGCACAGAGCGCCCTGCGGCTAAACACATTCGGCAGACGCTATTTGCAGTATAGTCAACAGCATCAGCAGCATCAGCAGCAGCAACAGCAGCAACATAGCCACTACAACAGTGGCTGTCCACTGTGTGGCAAGTTCCGCTATGCGCCCGAAGAGGAGGCGTTAACGGCATCCCTGGAGAGCGGTCTAGAACACTTCGATGCCAATGACAATGTGGCAAGTGTTGAAGAACAGTTGCAGCAACAGCAGCTACAACAGCAGCAACAAGAAAATCAGCAGCCACAGCAACAGCAACATCAACTGCTGCAGCAGCAACAAGAGCAGGAACAGCTGCAGCAGCAACAGCAACATCAGCTACAGCAACAACCAAAGCAGCAACAACAGCAGCAGCAACAGCAACAACAGCCGCTAGCTGCCACAGATAGTTGCAATCAAATTGACAGTCGAATTGATGATGATGCAGATACGGCAAATGGCAATACGCCGGACAATACAATTGCAGCCACATCAGCAACTGATGCTGATGTTGGCACAGACGAAAATGACAATGCCACAGCAGCTGCAACAGCAGCAACAACAGAAGTTGCCACCGTACTGGATATGAGCAACATCAATGAGAACGGCATCATCAGTCTGGATATGAGCAAAATCATTGACGTATCGGGTCTGCCCACATACGAGGGCGCCCTCAAGCTCGAATCCAGTGGCTATGTGTGAAACTAAGAAAAAATGGGAATTTCAATTTCAAAATGTCCCAAATCACGAATGTGCTTTATTTTCTAAGTGATTAAGGCGTTGAGCAAACAGTTTGGAATGTGTTGTTGTTAATGCTTAAATCATGTGACCAGTGTGATTTTTTTTCTTACAACTGGCGACAACAACTGTTTGCAAACTGATTGCTCTTAACTCCCAATAAGTGCAAGCTTAAACACGGTTTGCGCGATTTTTAATCTAAAACAAAACCCATTAATGATTAGTTGTAAGCATGCATATCCCAGAGATCGTTTGCTGCAAGCAATCTGTAAACAAAAAAATATCAATAAAATCAAAATGTACTCGAACATTATATTTAGCCCACTGAGCCACTAACCCGTGAACAATTCAACAATCATTGACAGGGAGAACCTTCACCGTAATACGAGAACGTTAGCTTTTACGCTCATCATCACAGCTAAGCTGATTGATTTTGCATTAAACATAACGAATGAGTGGACCAAGAGTGACCACCACCAACAGACGACTGGTTGTTAACCGTGAAAGGAAAATACATGGATAGGGTATTTAGGTAAGTACAGTTGCGAACAAAATAATAGCACCACTCTCACAAGAAACTTTTTCAAACGTGTCTTTTGTCAATTTCATTATTAAAACTAAATACTTAGAAGAATTGCAAAGTTAATGGATTGTTTGATTATTCAGTAAGAAAAACTATCAAAGTGGCGCTATTATTATTTTCGCAACTGTATATTCAATGGGCGAGAGAACGTTCTGTTGCTGTCTCGCTCGTTCGTTTAGCCAAAGAAGACCAACGAACACCGTTAAACCTGGCTTGGTCAATGCCACAGACAGAAGTACCGTACTCAAAAATGTATGTGTGCTTGTTGTGAACTCATTATCTGTCATATTTTGCAAGAAAAAGAAAGAATAAGCATATAATGCAACCTTGAATTGTCGGCACAAACGGCGGGCAGTTTTAATATGAACGACTGTAATGATTGTACTGGAATGAATGACTGTAATGATTGTACTGGAATTCACTCTCGCCCGAGCATCGCAATTTTTAATTAACTCAAATAAGGTTGCGGATTTTGTCTTGTGCTAAAAATAGGGTTACCCCAGACAGGCTCACATATCTGTCTGTCTGTTTGTGGGTTAACATTATAAATTTCCTGTCACGAGTGTATGACCAAAGATTCTAATTTTATCAAAAATGATAACTGCAACCACTATTAATTAACTAACAATTTACCGACGACGCAAAACAACCATTTCGAACAAATGCTGCTCGCATCAAGCACAAAATCAGTTTATCGTTTAACACACATGCTTGGAAAACATATTAATTTTTATTATTTACAGAAAAAATAGAACAAATAAAAATTCACAGAATATTTAGTTGAGAACTCGCGTGGCTTATATTTGCAACTGAAAATGGATGCATTGCGTTGATGGCGGCACAACAAGTGAGGCAGCCACCGCATACGAAATTAGAGAGAAAGTGTAAGAGAGAGAGCGACAAGCTAAAAAAAAAAATAGCGCATAGATGAGAGCGCATATGGAAAATGACGAACCAAGTGACGGCATGAGATGTTGACGGCGACTGGAAGAAGTGGGTGGAGGGGATGGGGCTAAGGGGGAAGTCGCATCGATAATTATTTGACCCTTTCTGTTTGCCGCTTATATGTTACATTTATTAACAAGTCTTTACTTTCAGCTAACACAAATCCTTATCTAACATTTAATTAATGTGTGCTTAAAGTGTCTCCCGAAATAAGACTGAGAGTGACGACAACGGCACGTGCTTAAAAATAGACAACGTTGCCCCAACAAGGGGGAGAAAAACAAAGCACAAAATGATGTGACCAATTGAGAGAAAAATAAGATTGTTGTCGGATGAAAGCGACTGCAAAATACCCACAAATTTGTAGATACCCTTCACATGTCAAAAATGTGGAAGAGAAAAAACTATAATTTACGATTAAAAATATTTAATATTCGCACAGCACTGACACAATTATAATCAAAAAAAATATAAAAATAAATTGTGTATATAAATAAAGAGCGGATGTATTGTTTTTTTTTTTTACATTTTGGGTCTGCCCAAATCAGCTGATAAGTCAAAAACGACAAAATAAAAATGGCTCGACAGATTTCACATTAAAAAAATTAAAACAAAAGCGTTTTGAAACACTAAGATGAGATAACAATAACGGTTAACCACAGCAGTAACAGCAGCTGCAGTAGTTGTTAATACAAAAACGACAACAGCTGAGTGAATGTGAATGCACACATGCACACACACACACATAATTATATTTGTACATACGCAAAATATAACTGCAGCTTTTGGTGACGCAAGTAGTGCCAAAAGAAAAAGAAAAAAGCCAAAACTGAAAGTAAGACAAAAAAGCGAGCTCTGATGGCAGACACAAGCAACATAAATACCTACTTACATATGTATATGTGCATGCATGTGTGTGTGTGTTCGTGTGTGTAGAGGTACACAATCAAGTTAAGCATTTAAGATACTTACCCACACTGCAAATTGAAAGGCTCTTGGCATGTCCTGATTTTGCACTATGACAGCAATTCCGATGCAGATGCCGACGCCGTTGCTTCTCAGCTAACCCGCAATCGCTTAAAGCGTAAGCTTGGTTTTTGTGGCTGGCAGCGCGACAGGTTAAGTGTGCGGCGGATTGATGGCGACAAGCAGCAGCAGCCGCAATTTGAAAAACGTTTCCTTGTTCGATGGACTTGTGCGTTTATTCGAGTTGAGCCACTACATCATATGTGTACGTTGTTGCACATTTACATTTTCATTGATTCTTATTGTTATTTACACAAATTCCGCATTTGTCTGCTGCGCGTAACTCATCACTAACAGCGACCACTAACATACACAGCTGTGGTCACCCAAAAAACTATTACCTGTGTGTGCAGTGTAACGTGAGTGAGAAACAAACCAAACATATCGATTACACAACACGGTTATTATCGATATAACAGTTGTAACTATCGTTTAAATTAGCCGTTTTAATTTTGAAGCATAATTGACTTTTAATTTTAGGCTAATATATACTGGCAAAATATTATTTTTTCTGTTGAACAAAATTCCGCAAACTCTGTGCTTAGTAAATTATTTCAAGAACAAAGTTGAAATAAAGAAATCCGTTTCAAATCGGCCAATTTGACATTATGAGCTATATATATTATGAAATGCTTACACGCTTTAATAAGATTAATAAGTTTAACAAGAACAGGTATACAGAATACCTGCATTTAAATCACATATTATATACTATAAATATGTACAATAAATCCTTGTCTTAGAGTTAAGCTTAGTCGTTCAAATAGTTGACCATGAAGGCAAGTTCTCCATCCTGACCTGTATCGTTTTGACGCACAGCCATTGCCGTTTCCACAAGATAATAAATACATTTATATTTATCACGTTCCTCCCGACTTAAGGCTGCAAACAAAATATCGTTAAACAGGTCAAGCAATAAGAAGTGTTGCTCACCTGGACGTGGAGGCGTTTGCACTTGTAACTGGGTATTATCATTTTCGACGAGATTAGCATTCTCCTCCTGCTGGGGTGCAAATGAAACATCCGTTGTACTGCTGCTGCTGGTGACAATAGTGGCCGCCTCGGCGCCAAAGATTTGATTGTCTATAATTGCAGATATTTTATATTTATATTCCAGGGTATTTGGTGTACATACCCTCATTTTTAGACAACTGCTGCGTAGGCAATAATTGCTCAGAACTGGAGTTGGTGGCGGCATTTGGATTAGTTTTTGTGGTTGTCACTTCCTCGGTGCTGAAAACGGTCCTGCATAGCATTAAGAAAGTACAAAGGCAAAAAGCAAGGCGAGCCAAGTTGTTCATTTGTTGTGTTTGTATTTGTCATGAAATTGACACGTTAAAAATAGCAAAAATTGAATTTAGATTTAGAAATTGAAACAACAATTTAAAAAAAAAGGAAGTTAACATTAAACTTTGGCTACAACAAACTTCTCATTTAATGTAATCTTTTGCTTATTGTCCGGCTTATTATAAAACTAATACTTACTTAATGACACTCTGCCAGTCATCGGAGTTCTCGAAGCGTCCTTCTTCCTCGCTAGCCTGCGTGCAGGACTCGTAATCACCGCCACTCTCCTCGCCCTCCGATCTGTGAGATGGGGAACAATCAGCGAAACCCAAAATTAATGCTTAGTCTAAACTTAAGCAATCTTAATAAAACTAGATTAAATATGAAGCTACCTAAGTGCAGGCTTAAAACGATTGCAATCATCCTGATAAGAAAACACTTGCGTTGACAGATTCGATTGAGACTGCTCCTCCTGCAACTGTTCCTGATTCTGCTGCTCGTTTTCATGTTGTTCGTGCCTAATAATCTTATGTGGTCCACTTTGCGTTGCTTTGAACTCTTTGTGGCGCTTGCAGGCACGCTTTCTCATCGTCTTCTCCTGTTTCACTTTGTCAACTGGCAACTGGCTATCCAAATTTGATATCTTAAAATTGGTGTTGCCTCGGTATTTGCCACTGCCACTGCCACTGCTACTGTTGCAGTTGCTGCTGATGTTGCTAATGCTGCTACTGATACTGTTGTTGCCTTCACTTGTGGCTGTTGCCTTGCGCGACTGAAAGATGTGAATCTTATCGAGAATGCTCGCCTGCAACGAGGCATGCAACCGCTGAAAACCCAACGGATTTTTTGATATTGCTTGCTGCCAACTTCAGACAGAGTTGTTTTTAGGCCTCGAGGAACAATTATATATGTAAATACAGTGATCATTACCTATAAATGACGCTGTCATCGAACTCCGGCTCCATTTTGACCATTTGACCATTGGGGGTACGCACATATTGATCAAAGTTGCTCAGCACATTCGCAATTCCATCGTGCATCTCGGCAGCGCTGTGCACCTCCTCCGTGGCACCAACAACCTGCTCAACATATGAATGGGTATTTTAATGGCCATTTAAATCAAACACAAAAGACTTACCACTTCCGAGGCAGGACTGCTTGTGATGGGATTCTCAGTGCCGTTTATATTCAAGCCGAGGGAGCTCGATGAGTTTGGACTGATCTTTTTGCCCCTTCGCGAAATGGTGAAATGCAATGGATCGTTGCCCTCGCGACGTATCATCTCCGGCAGAATGCGTCGGCGAGCATTGATGAACCAGTTGCACACTTGCAACACGGTCAGATTCGCCTCCTGCGACAGGGAAAACTTCTCGGCATCGCTGGGATAGGCATTGTAACGATGTTCGTAGAGCCAACGCTTCAGGATCTTCACAGAATGCTTGGGCAGATTGCCGCGTCGCTTGCGCAACGAACCATTGTCATCCATGTGCGTCTCCACCACCATATCGTGGAAGTTTTGTATCTCCTGTGCGGCCTGCTCCGAGTCTTGATCCTCTTCGACCATCTCATCGGCTGATAAAGTGCCCAGCACAGCCATTGTCTCTTGCTGATCCTGTTCAATGCTCGACTCGGAATTGTAGCGCTCACGAACCGAAACACCTACAAGCAGTTGTTTTTAGTTTATATTTTAGATTTCGAGGAGCCAAAACTAACCTTCATTTTTTAGTAGATTTACTTGTACATTGGCCTCGTGCATCATGTCCTGAATATTCTGGCGCACTTGGCGATCCAGCACCATATCAACTTCATGGTGCTCAGGCGATATCATGATCTCAACAACAACGACAAAAGGATAATCACAAAGTGACTTGCGCAGTTTGCAACTACACCAAAAAAAAATAATATTCAGGAAAAAAAAACAACAAAAAATAAGATATATATGTACTATATATTTTCTAGTTTCCGTTTATGTGTGTTCACAGCACCGGCTTTGGAATTAAACTAACTTTAACTAGACATTTGCGTCGCTGCCACAAATTTGACATGGCCTCCTATTTAATCCATTCGTATTTTGAAAATGCTCGCCTTTGAAATTTGTTGGCGTTATCGATAACACTGCAGCATTGTCGTCTGCTTATCGACAGGTCGTCGAGTATAAGACGCTTTCGAAGACGTGACAGTATAACATGTCAAATTGACATTGCCAACCACAATTTTTGACAAATCACTTTATTCGCGCGCTTAATTCGCTCACCGTTAATGCTATTCCTGTCTAATTGAATTGTTTATTATTGAATAGTTTATTTAGCTGGCGTCTAACATCCGTACGACAACTGTGCTGACATGCATCATGTTAACTGCGCACAATTTTACATGTTTCACTTTGTTTTTGTTGTTGTTGTTAATATTAGGCGGTGTTCTATTGCCTTTGCTTGCGTGTGATGTTCATAAAATGTATATAAATAAATGAGACACTGTTTTTATTTAACGACCAATGCAAATAGCAATCGTTTATTTTGCTGAAGTTTTATTTATGTATTTATTTCGCAAAATAATATGTACACACTGTTGCCAGACGCAGACAACTTCAAGCGAGTCGCAAATTTGCGTGCAGCCAACTTCAAGTCAGACGAGCAAAAAATGTAAACAAAGAATTATGGTAAACAATGAATAATTGCGATGATGAAATGGCTTACGTCCTGGACGAGGAGCTGCTGACAAGCATGAAAAGCACTGGTAACACTAGCAATAAGAATGACGAGGAGAATCTGGATGTGGAGCTCAAACCGCCTGTTGAAGCTTACGCGGATCCGCTGCAGGAAACGGCTTTGATATCCTCGAACTTTTCGTGGCTGTTCAAAGACGAAGATATTCTGCTTAATGATGCACAGCTGGCCGAGCTGCTCATGCTGAAGCCGGGTAAAGTTCGTGGTAAACGCGGGCGACCCACAAGCAGCAGCAGTAGCAGCAACGTCAGCATCTCCTGGGACACGGAAACCGATGTGCAGCAGCCCAGGGGACAAGATGAACTTTTGCTGCCTCGGCAACAGGCCAGCGGCAAAGGACCTGCCAACTCAGTGTCTAATGCCGTGGAGTCCTGGATGCTACTGTTCGACGATGAGATGATGCGCATGCTCCTCCGCCAGGCCAACGAACGAATTCGCCAGCGTCGTGCGAGAAATTCAGCTGAACGACAAATCGATCTCACAGAGATGCGCTCCTGGCTGGGTCTGAGCTACTTATGTGGCGTGTTCCGAAATGCGCAGCACAATGGACCGCTGGGTAGGCAAAGTGTCAACAATTATAACTGACACCACTTCTCACTTTGCTCACATTTCTCACAATTTTCATAGAGGAACTTTGGACGCTGGAATTGGGAAATGCGATCTTTCGTGCAACGATGTCGCTCGCCCGCTTCGAGTTTATTGCCGAGAGCTTGCACAGCCAAGCAGGCAGCAGCTGGAACGATGCTCAGCATCTGTGGCAGAAATTGCTCATCAATTGTCGCTCGTATTACGGACCCAGTGGCTGGCTCTGCGTCGACGAGCAGCCCGCCTTAGAGAATGGAAATTTGGCATTGTGCTGCGATGCGAAGACGCTTTATATGACCAATGCGCTGCTCAAGCGGGACGAGCAGGCGCCCGGCAAGGAGCTGATGCAGCTCATCTGCGATTACAAGACAACAGGTAGGAATTTGACGCTCGGCACGCGTTACGCTTGTCTCAGGCACTGCGAGCAGCTTCTGCAGCGTAATTTGAGCAGCATCTGCCTGCTGCCCAGCACAGCGCCGGATTATCCCAAGAACTGGACGGGCGAAGCACTGCGCAGCGGCTCGAAGCGATTGACGCGTCAAGCGGGCGGCGCGCTGCTCAGCTGCGGCCTGGACAGCCATGTGAATGTGTCGCAAGCACAGTTGCACACAGGGAAAATCTGCGAGCGTTTCTTTGAGCTCTCCCAGCGATACAGCTGCGCCTTGTCTCAGTCAGACTGCAGGCGGAATGAATTCCTGCAACAGCTGCATCTGATGCTCAATGTGGCGGCTGTCAATGCTTGGATCTTGTTACGCTTGTCGCCAAAAGGCGATACCAAAATGGAGCAACGCGATTTCCAGCGTCAGCTGGGCTTGTTTCTGACACAGCAGCGTTTGCAGCGCCGGCTGCAGCGTAGATCGGCAACGGCCACAACGCTCGTGATGCGTCTCCAGATCTGTGAGATCTTGGGTCAGTCCAGTCAGCGGCTGCTAAGCGAAGCCTCCGCGGATGCTCTGCACTCGAATGGCGTTGGTGTCGTGAGTTTGACCCGTGCCACACTCCCCGAGGGCGTCACTTTGGTCAGTCGCTATGGGGAGAAGCATCGCCGTTGCAAGCCCTGTGCGCGCAATAAGCGCGAGACGAAGGCGCGTTCACGCTGCCAGCAGTGCCAGGCGCACCGTTGTGGCAATCATCTCATTTCACGCTGCTACGAGTGCATGGGCCTTGCCACAGCACAGTTGCCAGATGGCAACATTAAAGATACTTGAGATACTTGCTGCAAGCAAATTAGGTACTAAATTAATAAGAATACAAAATAAATGAAAATACAAAATGCATTATAATAACAATAAAAGATAAACAACAAAATAATAGTCTATTGTGTTATTATTGTTGCTTTTGCCATTTGCATGCTTTAAGTTAATTAACATTTATTAAAGTGGTAAACATATTTGGTGCATATTGCTGTAACGTATATGCAACAACAACAGCAATGTTGTTGGATGCATTGTGGGCAACGAAACTGCCTCTAGAATTTGTACTGGAACGATTTTGTCTTGTATTTGGCATTGGTGGCCGGATTATTACGATTATTGCCGGCTGCTGAGCTGGCCTCAAATGGATCGCTTTGATCGAGAAACAGGCTGAGAAACTGTTCGTTTTGCAATTCATTCAGTGGCATTTCCAGTTCGCTGCAGGACTTGACAATCTCAGCGCAGGCGCGCAGATCCTTGCGCATGTCTGTGAAATATAAAAAATTAAACAAATTAATAAATAGTTCAACAAATAAGTTGAGCAGTTAATCATACATTGATAGTTGAAGAGCAAACTCAGGCAATTGGCGCAGGCGCTGCGCTGATTATGTTGCAAGAACACCTCAATCAGGCGATGCACTGCGTCCACATTGTGTCGACTCAGGAATGAGGAGCAGAGTGCACTGGCCCTGCAACAAATATGAGGCAATGTAAGTAAAAGTAAAAGGCTAATAAATTCAAGTAATAGTTAAAGCAGCACCTGCGATCCACCAGTTGCTGCAGATCCTTGTAGTGCTCGAAGAGTTCGCCAGCGGATTTCTGATCGCAAAACCAATCGCTGGCAAAGCACTGTTTCCACACGCAGGCCACCACAAAGATGTCGTTGTTCTCGCGATGAATGGCACGCGCCACCTCCAGCAGTGAGACGAGAACAGCTTCGCTCTTTTGGGCCAATGTCTCCTCGACAATGGTGCGAAAGGCGACACGAATCATGCGTCTGCCCTCCTCGGTGTGCAGGCTGCCGCTGTAGCCTCGATGCAGTGTCATCAGCGCCACATCCGAGTTGCCATTGTGCCACAGGGCAATCGCCTTGAACGGCGCCAGATCCGAGTACATGCTGGCAAACGGATGCTTCAGCTGCCGGCACGTCTCCGCCAGCGATTCTAGTTGCTGCAGCCGACCCAATGAGCTCAAATACTTTAGGCATGAGATCAGCACCTCGTTGCAGGGCAACTGCTGCCAGCGCACACACTGCCGGATCAGGTAGAGAAAGTCCACCTTATTCTTGATCTCCAGCGTGGCTAACAGCAGATTGTCCAGCTGCGGTTGCGACAGCGAACGTATGTCCAGGCCCAGCTGGGGAGAGCGCAGTGTTTTCAGGTCACTCATCATCCCCTTGGACATGAGACCCACATTCTGGTTAAAGCCGCCGCCGTAGTTGGCCTCTTCCGCAGTGGGTTTCATTAGATTCTCGCGCAGTTCCTCCCATTTTTGGGTCTTGCGGGTGACCAGTTCGTTAGTGAAGCAATCGATGGCATCCAGCTGAGTGGAGGTTTTGCGCTGCTGTCGCTGCGACGTCGATGCTCCCGGCCAGAGAAATGCGCTGAGGTAGTTTTGGAAGCGTTGTAGGCCCTTCGGTGAACCAGGTGCCACAGTTGTAGTGCCGCTGCTGGTCAGGCGTGTTAACAAGGCCATCTTTGCAATGGAACACCAGTGCCTCTATGGGAGACCAGGCACACCACACACACAACACCTCCGCGATTGTATAATTGTATTTTCAGTATTTGTTTTTTCTCTCTTTTTCTTATTTTCACACGCAGCAATACTTTTACAATTATCGATATAGTATCGAATCTGGCTTTTGCGGCAGTCAAATGGTTTACACGACATCATTATAAATCGTGATATGCTACTTCAGACATAACAACAAATACAATATGTGCTTCAAGGATTTAGTTTCTTTAGCAAAATATATTAAACTGCTCAAAATTCGGGTGTAAAAATATTGCAGATAATATGCGTTATATTCTTAATTTTCTGCACATTATAATTGATAATTATATTTTGTTTTTTAATTAAATTTAATTTGTATTAATATTAAGCCACTTAGCAGACCAATCGATAGGATATATATCTGCCAGCTGTCTCCGAGGAGCGTATAATCTTCACAACCTGGCCCCGCTTGAGGCCAAAGTAGCGGGCAACGGGATCTCCGGCCTGGATGCGCATCAACATGTTCTCCTTGAGTTTGTATCTGCTGAGCAGCTCCTGTTTGTCTTCGGCCGTCATTACTACATGCTCCGGCACCAGCTCGTGTTCCGTTATGTTTATCAGCAGCTCGGACTCCAGGAATTGTTCCAATATATATTTAGGTGCCATGTCGACCAGGGATTGTTTGGCCGAGGGCGTCATTCCACCTTGTACCACAACGATGGCCCTGTGGATGTTCTCCTCCTGCATGCGGGTGCAATATGTCTTAATGGTCTTGATGCCGATCTTCGGCTCCTCGGGGAAAAAGACAAACATCTGATCGGTGGGGTCGTCATTATGGGCCACGAGAACAATTAAATCGGAACGCGCTGGACGCTTGTCGCTGGGTTTGTCGCCAAACATTTCTTTGAACTGCTCCAGCGTCTGGTCCAATTCATCCTGCGTCACCAGGTAACCGCGATCATGGCTCAGCTGCATGATCGTCTTTCGTATGCGCCACAGCTTGTAAGTTTCCGCCTCGTCATCCATTTTGTTCGCAGTTTTGTATTAATTTTCGGTAGTCAAATGCAGCACGCGGATTTGTTGTCTGATAATTTCGCACGGCTCAAATGTGGTGGTTCGTCGATTGCACACAGCCCAGATGCGATATTTCGATATGATAAATAGCGATGACAAGTTTGAGGTAGTGTTGCCTAACAAAGCATAGAACAACCGATAGTCGCTCACACTGCCCAACCTTTTTAAAATACATATATTAAAAATGAATTGACAGTATGTATAGTTTAATTACACATGAAGTCTGTTACATAATTAATGTGTAACCCGTCGAAACAGTCCCTGTACAAAAATGTATCTGCTCTTCAAACTTCATCAGTTGCGATATATCGATATGCAAAATAGCGATATAAGCTTTAAGGTAGTGTTGTTTAACGTTTGAGGCGTGAACCTTAACCACAACATAGCCGCTAGCCGCTCACACTGCCCGCCTTTTTAATATATATATGTATTAAAAATGCATTAAGAGTTCGTATAGTTTAATTACACTTGCAGTTTGTGAAATTATTAATGTGTAACTCTCTCATACAGTTGCTGCTACCAAAATGCAAACTCTGATATTCAGGCTTGCCGCCATAGCGGTGCCAATTTTGTCGATCTTCTTTGTGGCCGCATTGCTCAGCCACAAGCTTTATATAAATTTGCGCTCGCGTTACAACATCAAAGTGAATTGTTGGTTCTGCAACGACAACACACACGTACCTTTCCCGGAGCGCAACAGCTGGACGTGTCCGCTCTGCGAGCAATATAATGGCTTCAATGCCGACGGCGACTACAATCGTGAAATTCTGGCGCAACGTGATTGCAGCGGACGCCAATCGAATCCCAATCTCTCCAAGCGCACCGAAGCCAGCTGCGCGACTGAACTTGCCGGTATGAACAACGGCCTGTGCGATCAGTGCAATGAGGCGCAACGCTTGAAAATCGAGAAGCTGGCACAGTTTGAGCCCAAAAGTGAGTCACGCTTTGAGCAGGAGTTGAAGCTTTATCAATCCGAGCTGGAGCAAAGGTATCGTCTGTGCAGCAGTTGCGAGCGTCACGTAAACCAGGTGCTGCACGAGAAAAAGAAAATGGTACTGGGCTCTAAGCTGCTCAATTTCATAATGAAAGGCGCCGCACTGCTGAAGCAGCCGTATTTCGAGAAACTTGCACGCGTCCAGCAACAGCGCCGGATTGCTCGCTATCAGCTGTGGATGACGCTGCTCACCTGGCTGAATGTGGTGTGCCTGCTAAGCAGCCTGCCGGTGGCAACACGCGATCAGTTCAACAGTCTGCTGGGCATATCACTGGCGCATCCGCTGTACTTCATCTACTCGCATGCGCTGACTTTGCTGCGTGTGCTGATCGATTTCATTGGCAATCTGTTGACGGAACCCGTGTACATGGCCAAGTTGTCGCTGTACGTCAGCACCTTTGGCAAACTGGTGCTCTACTCGCTGGGCATTGGCCAACATGCCACATTTAGCAGCTGCTACATCAGTCTATATCCGTATGCAATGTGGGCGCTCAGCTTTATATGCAACATCAGCGATGGCTTTCGATTTACACGCTTCACCCTGCTGCTCGTCCTGTGGAGCGTGCATGCGAAGCACTCACTGCTGCTCTTCGATGCCATTGATAGCGTTACCTTCCTACTGCTGGCCAGTGTGCTCACCTTGTTCCTCTTGCTGAGCAATAGGAAACGTTCAAATTGGTTGGACTACGGGGGAGCACACAACGAGTCCGCTGCCGATAGCTTCCATCGGCTGTGCGCCGACGAATGCATCAGCGATGACGAGACGATTAGCATGCTCAGCCAGCAGCTGAGCTACAATGCCAGCAATAATAGCAGCACCTTATCGACCATGATACCAAGCACAAATGATGCCCGGCGCAATAACAATAATCTGAATCAGCTCAATAACCTCATCAGCAACTCGCAACTGCCACCATCTGTGCTGTCGCTGGACTCACTGCGTCTGTCCTCGCAGCGTTCACCCGTTAGCCGCATGGGGCCATTGCCAGCGCCATCACTCGCACACACCTGCCGCTCACAGTCGCCCCTTTATGCAGCGAGCAGCAATTATGCCATGCACATGGATCCGCTGCAGCTCGGCCAACCCCAAGGCTGGCAGCAGCGTAACTGTGCACCACAAACCAACTTTCGCCTTGATCAGCGTCCGATGACACGGTCAACGAGCAGTTTGCTGTTCCCATCGCGACTGCAGATGCAGCAGCAACAACAACAGCAACAGCTCAATCGCGAGATTTGTGCCTGGGTGGATGCCACCAGTGGCAGTCAACATGGCGATCTGCTGCGGGAGCCAACCACTGCCAATTTGATGGGCTGCTACAATCGCGATTTGTCGCCCAACTCCTCGCTCTCATCCGGGTTTGAGTCACAGCCGGGCAACAATCAGTTTTGGGGTCCACCAGCAGCAGCAACGCTACAACAGCAGCAGCAGCAGCAGTTGTCCAATGGCACCATTAATGACTCCATTTGGCCAGAGACGACGACACAGCGGCAGCTGCGTGTGCCGGCACCGCTTCACTCGCCGTACTCCACCCACAGCGAAATGCATTTTGGTCGGACCACGGCCGGGCCACAGTCTCAGAGCGATTTACGTCCGGGTGACTTGCTGCGCAAGTGGATGAATCGCAATGGCATCGATACGCAAAAGCGTTAGTCCAATTATTTAAAATCCTGTTACTAATTATTACTGCCTTAGTTGACTGCCAACGCGCTGACTATCAAGAGGCTGGCAGACGAAGCGTGGATTACAGCCTTAAGAGTCATCCTCATGGATTATAAATTACGGAATTACAATTAACTCTAGTGGGTAATATAATTTTGGGTACTAAGAGCTGGTTTTTGTATTCGTAATAAGATATCTTTTAAAATATGAAATTTGTATATATATAATAAATAATAATTACACTTTTATATATATAATGATAATAAAGATATTCTGCGAGCAGGGCGTTCCTGATCGAAACCGAATGTTGTTCAGCTTTAAGCATATAAGATAAAAGATTTTGTAGCATTTCTTTTAAAACTATATTAAATTATTATGTTAAATAAAATGCTTCATGTGTCACACTTGTCTGCCATGGATATTTCCGGGAGAAGAAAACCGTGATTAAAGATCATCACTAGATAACATTTTATGTGGCAGCACATTGGCCAATCCAAGTGAGGAATGCGGATTACTTATTTCAGTTAATCCCATTCATCTGAGCCACGACAACCTAATCAAACCTAACCCAGTTAATATGTCGCGTAATGTTCGCCTTCCTGCGAGATCTCATTTTACTCACCGTTCACGTATCCTGACCGCACAATGAACACATTGTATTGTACTCTATTTATTTCTTTTTTTAATATTTTACGTGCAACATTCAATTACCACCCAGACAAGAATACAATACACGCAAATATTATACCAATAACCGATTTTCTTGGATGCATAAATGGGTTCGCTTCATCGGCTGCCTTTTATAAATGCTCATAATTTTTATTCATATATTTATTATATATATATATATTTGCTCTATACATATTCCAAAGACATGTTTCGAAAGTTTATTTAAGAAAATTCAATTATCTTAACAATACATTGAAAATCAGATACATATTAAAAAACAGAAATATTCATTAAAATAACTTATCGACAGAGGATTTTTGGCCATTTAAATATATTTAAATAATATACAGGGTATATATTAGTAATGATTGCGTTGCTGATGAGAGGTTTAACTGAATTATCATCCTTTGACTTTTGTCGTTGGGGTTCCTGAGCTCACGTCCACGTTGACGCTGAGGTCGTCGCCACTGTCGCCAGTGTCACCGCGAATGACTGACAGTTTATCTAATAGAAAATTTGCCTGACGATGCGTTTTCCATAATATATAGTTTTTACCCAAAACAAATTGTGTGGAAAATATGAGAATGAGTGCGCAAAAAATGTGGGATTTAACTAGAATGCTTGTGCTAATATCGCATATAGCACAGAATGAAAATGGACTTTTATTTTATTTTTAATGCATTTAAGCCACAAACGCAAAGCAATAATAAACAGTCTATATGCACACATATATATATATATATATATATATATATATATTATATATATATACATACGTGTGGTTCATACACAAAAAGGTTTTCTAATAAAATCTAAAATCTAATAAAAATCCACTTTGTGCAAGTATGAAAAATGACGATGATTTTCATTATAAATGCAAAAATATTGTGGGCAACGAGTAGAAAGAAATAAGCGGTCTGTGGCCATGGACGTCATTATAGTCTTTATCGTCATCTTTTCATCAGCTTCAGCGATGGACAGCGCAAGTAAATCTGATCAAAATCATTGATGCGCAAAGCATGCGGAAGTTGCTGCAGCGAAACGTGGCGCGGGCTGCAACTTGCAACAGCACAAAGTTTAAGCTAAGCTGTTGATAACAGTGATGCTGCGAGGCAAGGCAGCAGGAGTTAAGATAACCGCAGTGATAATGGCTGAAGCCACAGACAGGTAAACGCTACCCGTTTACCCATGGATAGAGAAGCACGTAGCTCAACTGCGTGAGCTGCATTGAGAACTTTAATTTGCATACCCTATAACGCGCAATCAGCGGGTATAAGCGACCATTTTGTAAACTGATAAATCCAAGAATTTTATTTATTTTAGCAGTGCAAGATACGTCAGAATTTGATCAGTGTATTTGGCAGTCCATCAGTCTCGCATAAAGACAAAGTTTTCTATTCGTTTTTACACATTAAAAGTGGGCTTAAAAGGGTATATTGGTTTTGTGCAAAAGTCTGTAACAGCCAGAAGAAAGCATCTATATTCTTTACAAAGTTTATATATTCTTGATCAGCATAAGCAGATGACTGGATATAGAAAACTATTCTATCCGTCTGTATAATCGCACGGATCTCCGAAAAAAAAAAAAAAAAAAAATAAAAATTAAAAAAAAAAATTAAAATACTCGGGATCCGTTTTTCAGTTTATCGATAAATGCCTCCGATTCGCTAATATCGATACAGTTAGATAGCAACGAAAGCCACAATTTATTGCTTTTGTACATTGATATATTATTGCTCAACTGTAATAATCTCATCAAGATCGGATAAGAAACACCCAAGTTATAGGAGTAGTTCCACATTCCATGCTTGCATTTGCAGGGTATAGTGCAGTCGAGGACTCGGCTACAGCATTTCTTCTCTTCTTGTTTTGGCTTAGGCAAGTGATGAGCACAGAATAATTCTGGAAGATGAAGCGTTTGTTGGCAACTGGCAAGGAATGCATAATTATTTTGCATGATGCGGTAGTCGTCTGTGAATGTCTGTGTGTTTGTGTGTGTGTGTGTGTGTGTGTGTCCATTGACATTGAGCTGGGCAAATTAAGGCAAGTGTTGCAGTATCGTCGCTTTCAAAATCAACATAATCCAAGCGTTGCAGTGCTTCAGCTGCGTCGTCAGCCGACTCCTGTTCAGATTTGGAACTGGCACGCAATTATTTGTATAGGAATTTAAATTGAATGTCAGTCTGTGTTTGCCTCCCATAAGAAAGAACAGAAAGAACAGAGCAGCTTCTGCACATGTACTCCTCTATGTGTGTCTGTATGAATGTATTCATATATGTATGTATATATGTCTAAGAGGTTATCCTGTTCGCCTGCTGTAAAATTCCAAATTTGTTTTATTTGATTTCTGTGCTTTCGCTCGTTTTCTTGCTCTGCTGCTCGCTGCTTGCTACTTGCTGCATATTTTCCTTTTTATGCAAAATACATATAAATGTATGTATGTGTGTGTGTGTGTGCTATAAATGCCACGCCTTCCCAGCAGCGCCTCACCAGCTGCCTCTGGGGCGCCTTTATTTGAATATCGTGTCACATGTCGCACGCAGTTAGTTGCCACACCCATCGCCGTTGCCGCCGCCTGTCCCGTCCAATGTTGCCTCCATTGTTATTGTAATTGTTGTAAATGTCGCCAGCGACAATATCACATTTGCATATTTTTGTGCAAACACACGTCGACCCCGACCCTTGCCCTCTCCCTCCCCCCACACACATACACATATATACACAAGTATGTACATAACTGGTGCATGCCACCTACCTCCCCGCTCTTTGCTAGTGGGTATGTGTACTTTTTTACTTAATTTTATTTGTATTGGATTTGCGCTGATGTCTCCTTGAAGCCCACTTCTCTTAGCTGGCTCTGCTGCGTTTTGGAATTTTGCAATTTTCACAATAAATTTTAATTCAATTTACTGTTAAGTTCACACAACTAAACGGACGCGGAAGTGCACATTCTGGCATGACAATCGTCCTCCGGCAGCGCGAGCTCGACAGATGCATCCTGCAGCTGGAATTGCAATTTGCTGGAGCTGGAGAGTTGCTTATCTAGATGTGAGCTACAGTGGGAGCTGCCCTTTGAGCATTTTTTAATTCACAAAGTATTATTATTATACAAGTTTGCAATTCACAATTAACCTGGACTTTTATTTTACTATAAGTCTTTCTATTTCATTATCACAAAAATATTTTATATTTTTGTTTTGTTTAACATTCTTATCTAGTCTATATACTTATAAGGAATAAATGCTAGCTTAATAATTTTACAAGAAAAGAACTGGAAAAATGGAAATAATAAATGGAGTTTAATTTTACACACATTATTCAATTATAAATTGGTATTAATATTAACAACACTTTAAATTTTATAAAACTGTAAAGAAAAGTAACTATAAATATATAATATATTATAATACAATATAAAAATAAGAAATATTTTATACTGTCAGTATTGAAAAATATATTTGAACAAATTGATAATGATGCTAAAGTTGTTCAATGTTAAAGCTACCTTCACAAAAAGAAAAAAAGAAAACATTTTTACTTGTCATACTCTGCTGTAATGAATGTTTGTGTTTTTCTTAAAGTTTTCCCAAAATATTATCAACATCTTAAATTATAATTTCTGAGTTGATAATAATAATAACAATAACCACTGTGCCATATCTTTGTAAATTGTTGTGCGGCTGCTGCCACTGGCGCTGTGCGACTGTGAAACTGTCTCAGGGCTCACTGAGTTGGCGGTGGTGCAACTGATGCGGCCAAGCCGTTAGCTCCAATGCCACCAACACCCCAAAGTAGGCAATAATTTGTGCATATTATGGTAATGGTCGCCGCGCATGTGAAGCCATTTTGATTGTGTGTCCCGCTCGGCGATAACCCTTTTGATTAGCTTAAAGTGAATTGAATGTATGAGTGAGAAGGGGGTTGTGGGGCCAACTACGACTATATACACTTATTTGAATTTGTTGTCAAAATTGGTTTAGATTTCAGTTAGCTCGCAGCAAGAAAACTGAAATGGCGAATTTAGCGCAGGAAACGCATCAAAATCTGCCGACTCTTGTGTGAGTTTGTTGCACGAATGCATGCCTCAAACTTGTATTCAATTTGTTGCTTTTATTTAATTTCATTTATTTTTCTGGTCAGCCAATCTGTGTCATCGTTTTACTATTACAATCCATACGAGAAGCGCACAGTTGAGGTGCCCCTGAAGTAAGTATTCTGTTTGTGATTCTCGGTCTCAGCTCCATATCCGGTTTTTGCAGCAACTTTGATGCATTCATCTCACTGCTGAAGTGTGTGATTGGCACTGGAATTTTGGCAATGCCACTGGCCATTCGATATTCGGGAATTGTGTCCGGTATGCTGCTCTCCGTGCTGCTGATGATTGTGCTGACGTACTGCATCCATTTGCTGGTGTGTATGTGCCGGCGCTGCCTTGGCGCGGCCTAATTTGAATTATTTGCATTTAGCTTTCCTGCACAGATCTCTGGCATGACCGAGTGCTGTCGACGCATCCATGTGCCCCAAGTATCCATGCCACAGGCTGTCCAAATTGCCTACGAATTGGGCCCCAATTGTGTGCACTGTTTTGCACGTGCCGCTGGCATTTTGACGAGCTGTGTGTTGGTCATGGGTCAGTTTGGTCTCTGCTGCGTTTACATTGTGTTTGTGGCCAAGAATTTCAAGGAGATTGGCGACTTCTACTACAAGGACTACAACGAGCGTTACTATATCCTCGGTGTCTGTTTGCTGCAACTGCCATTTTTTCTCATACGCAGACTGAAGTATCTGGTGCCGCTCAATCTAATCTCGAACATTCTGCTCTATGCGGGCTTCTTGTGCATTATGTATTACCTGTTTCGGGGTCTGCCCAAATTCAGTGAGCGCGCCATGTTTAAGCCACATTCCGATTTAGCCATGTTCTTTGGCATTGCCTCTTTCTCGCTAACTGCTGTTGGATCGGTGCGTAAAATTTTTGCTTGAATTTCGATTGTTTTTTTTGTTGTTTTTTTTATTATCTCTCCTTTGGCTCAAACATGCATTCAGATGCTCGTCGTCGAGTCGAATATGGCCCATCCGCAAAGCTATCTGGGCCTGTGTGGCGTTCTAAATATGGCCGTGTTTTTCATACTGTTTTCCAACGTGTTTTTCGGCATAATGGGATATTGGCGCTATGGGGAGCAAGTGGAAGCCAGCATTACACTGAACATTCCACAAAATGAGATGTGAGTAAATAATATTTAAGCAGTGTGTTTAAAAATTGAAATTTTCAAGTTAGAAGTATATAAATCTGTGCGTAAACAGCTGCGGTTACAAAATTGGCAACTGTATAACAACTGGGCAGTGATAAAGATTTTTTTTAAAGCTGATTCATGCAACTTTTGAGTATTTAAATTACTAATTACACTTTTATCATTACATGCCCGATAATTAGTTAGAAAGTGTCTTCATTAAGGAATTTAGACTATTACAAAAATAGCATTGTAACTGAAAAAATCGAGTTGGGTAAAATATTAAGTTGTTTACCCTACTTTGTCATTAGCAGCTTAACATTGTCAATTTGCTTCATAATTCAATAATCATATAATTGGGGATTATTGCTCACCTCCGAATTTACTTATTAATCTAGTTAAGCTTCTTAAGATTTTCGTATAAAAGCTTTTTGAAATAGTAATCCGTTGTCACTAAAATGTTTAAAACATAATTATACTCATAGCTAGTGTCTTGATATGGAATTCAGTATTAAAAGTTTGAAGTAATCATTTATGTAATTTTTCCCCTTTCATGATTATTTCAAATAAACAAATATTTCATTTTGGTTCATTTCATGCTTAATTATCTCAAATTATTATTATTAATCGCTAATAGGCTTGCCATTTTGTATATTAAGTTTATTGATGTGACAGGGCATTGAGCTGATTATTAATAATTATTTATTGATTGAGCTCTTGCTATAATTTTAATTATTTTGTTTTTGTGCAAGACTAATGAGTGAAATATTGAATGATATTTAATTATACTTTTGTCGAATATATATATCACTAAGTTTGAACTTTCTCTTACTCATAATCTAACCAGGGTCTCACAATTCATCAAGATGACCATCGCGAGTGGCATCTTCCTGAGCTATCCACTGAACGGTTATGTTGTCATAACTGTCATTTTCAGTGACTACGATTTGGAAGTCACCAATAAAAGAAGTCGGATTTTTGTGGAGATTGCCATACGTCTTTGTTTTCTTTTGCTCACGGGTATGTTCTGATAAGTTCGCATTAACTAAGAAGTAATTCGCATAATCTTTATATATATAATATATATATATTTTATTTTAGGCATTGTGGCTGCTGTGGTGCCCAATTTAGCCGCCTTGACGGAACTGGAAGGTGCCTTTTCCTTAAGCAATTTGAATCTTATCTGTCCGGCGTTGATTGATATGTTTATCAACTATGAGGCTGGCTATGGTCGTTTACGCTGGAAACTGATACGTGACATTGTGCTTATCATAATTGGTATTATCTTTGGCATTGTGGGCTGCGCAGTTGCCGTACAACAGTTGGTCGAAGACTTTGGCGGGACAGTTGAACACATCCAGTCACATTCGTAACGCTGCACTTAACAGCTAAACATTTGGCAGGATATTCAGCTTGTTTCTGTGTGTTCTTCACATTTGTGCTTGATTGGCTGACTGTCTGCTTGGCTTTGTTGGATTTTAATTAATTGCCAGCCACGTGTTGGCCAGATGTTCTTTATCCCAGCTAAGTTGTCCAGCTAAGCTGCTGCTATTTTGTACTCGTATTTGTGTCTGTATGCCGACCACAGCGCACATTGGCTGAGAGGGTATAATAAAGTTGTGCAACTTTAAGTAATATAAATTACAAGAACATTACTTAGTCGATAAACATAACTATATTAAATGTTCTTTGTTATCTTTTTTATACAGACTGTTTCTGGCAGCGTATGAATTATTTATTATATTAGAGTCAAATTGTCATCATCTCAATATTTATATATTTTTTTAGAATAGCTAATTAAACATAAACATTTTTCAAGCGAGAAACTTTGGCAGCTTTATGATATCGACGATGAATATATATATATATATACTTTATGGTATGACAGATGTCTTCTTCAATGTGTTACAAGCTGCACGACTAAATATAAATACCCTCTACAAGGCTATCAATAAACAAGAAGAGAGAGGATTAGATAGATTGCCACCTTGTCGGATGGGAGGCCTCTGCAATGTTGCATCATCGATTGTTGGTGGCATTAATTAGCTAGTGCCGCGGTGCATGTAAGCTGATCAAGTGCGCAAATCAGTTCAAATGAAACGGGCTGTAATCAAATGCAGTCAGTCAGTCAGTCAGTGAAACCAGCCCAAGCCAACGAAGCAAGCACAGCAATTGTGCTGAGTCCGTTGCGATTCTAAAATTGAATTCTTTGCCTCAGCGGAGCCCAAATACGAGCAAACCTTGCTGGCAAATGTTGTTGCTAGTTGTTGTGGCCCCAGCACAATAAACTAAAAGACAAATATAAATACAAATACAAATACGAATGTGCTGAGACTGCCTGCAGTTCTGTTCTATTATATATATATATAAATAGGCACAGGAATAGCAACTGCCGACGCCGACTGTTGACTGCGGCAGTGTAAATACAACGACGAGCCAAATACAATAAAAAAATAAAAATAAAATAAATAAATAAAAAAAGAAGAATAAGAATAAAACAAAAAGAATGCAAGTAGGATAGGCATGATGCGAAAATAGCAAAGCAGCTCCTCAAGGAACTGCACGACCACTGCATCAAACACACAAAACACAATTTCCATTCTTCAAATAGTAATACGAGCAAAAAAAAAAAAACAACAAAAAAAAACACACTCAGAAAAGAAAATACGGAAAAAAATAAATCTTGCAACTGCTTGCGACAGCAACCGGGCTGGTGGAAGGCTCACAAAGGCCGAGGCTGTTGTCCCCGGGCATGATTTTTGCAGACATGTTGCTTAAAACTTAATTTACAATCGTTTGCAGTGGGCCTCAGCGCCAAACCAGCGCCCCACAAAATGAGATCAAGCCTAGACGTGGAGCCTCGGGACCCAGGAGCACGTCAGCTTCGACTGCGACATGCAAATTTGCTGGCGGCAGTCCGTTACAAATATTTTGGGTATATACTAATTTTCAAGAAACTGATCAAAAAAAAAAAAACTTAAAATAAGAAGAAGAAAAAAGTGGCATGCAGCAGCAGTTTCTTTCATGCAGTTGCAAGTTCAGCAACATGTTAGTGTCATTATCAAACAATTGTGCGCTGCAAAGTCACCTAAAGCAGCACTCCAGCACTCAAGACAGGCAGGAACAACTACGTCTACGTCATGTCTCCGGATTTCAGCGCAAACAATGCATGCCACAACTGGAGTTGTCAAACTGCGTAGTTGCCACTCCTCAGTGTCTCCACGTGTCCTGTTGCAGTCGCCTGCCAAAACGTTTGACAAATTGAAAAATTCCAATTTAAACACAATTATTTGAGACAAAAAAGAAGAAGATAGATTTAATATTGGCTTTAAGTTTTTATTTAAATAACTAAATAATAATAGTATTAAATCTACTGAATTAGCTCAGTTCGGAAGTAAAAGTAATTTAAATGAATATTAACTCTGAAATAGGGAATTTTGTAGGAATTATATAAAAATGCTCAAGTGTAGAAATTGAGTATTTCAAATGACAAATGATACACTAAATGCAAGTAATAATAAAATCAACATTTTTTAACAAAGGACACACGTAAAACACATAAGAATGTTGAATATCGCGTTAGGTCGACTACGAGATACCCTGCCAATAGTAATTAGATCAAACAGATTGTACAGTTGGTCAATATTATGTCAATATATATTATATATTAAGTAGAAGCCTCTGCTTTTAAAATGGTGACGTTTATTACTGTCGGAAATCGATAAGTATCGATAGCAAGCAATAGCCAAGCAGGGGGCAGTTATCGATAGATTGAGATCAACTTGACATATTCAAGATTTGAAGTCTCCAACTCTTATAGTCTCTGAGATCTGCAAGTTCAAATAGATGGATAGACTAAATCAACTCGGATATTGATGCTGATCAAGAATATATATACATTTTATGGTATCGGAGAAGCTTTCTTCTGCTTGTTACATACTTTTGCAAGCCCATTTTTGGGCATTTGGGATTTGGTTTGTATGCTGCTTAATTCGATTGGTTTTTCTTTAATTGTGTCAAATTTCTTCAAATTTGGCACATTTAATAAAAATGTACAATTTAAGCAAGTACAAAAATTGTAGAAAATAGAAGAGTGCTTGTCTTTAATGTTAAACTGAGTGAAGTGAACCGAGACACTTCTCTCGAATCCCTTCAATGCTACTCTCCACCCTTTCATTCCGAAGTATTTATACCCCATATGTGGTTGCCACATGCTTTTGTTAAATGACTTGGGAACGTTTCATTATTGCCTTCCGACATTTATGTACTCCGTCGACGTTTGATGGCAGGAATGTCATACTCGTATATATATGGTAGGGCGACACATTCTTTGGTTGAGCAAATGTCTTTGGTTTGGCTCGTTCTTGATTTCAGTTACCGGCAAAGTGAAAGCGCCTAAATGCGGCTGCGGATGTGCTTTGCATATTGAAAGGCTTTTAAATTATACACCAAGTTCCAACAATGGCAAAGAAGGGGGGGGAACTAAATTAAATTGAAAACTCCGCAGCAAATTGTCACAGCGAGAACGTATCTTAGAGTTATCTCAAGTATTTACTTATTTACTTCTCATTCAACGAAATTTACTTGGGCATTTTCCAAGCCGTACCAACCAACTGCCCCAAGTCACATACTAGTTGGATTATTTTTGTTTCTTTTCTTTTTTCTTTGTTGTTGTGGTTGGTTTGGCTTTATTTTTATTTTCTTTTTTTTGGGACTGGACATGTGTCCTTTGAAATGTGCAGGACACTGACAAGGAATAATGCTGGTATGTGAGCTGAAGTCGCTGCATTTGCTTACAGTCATTCATCTTGACGAGTTTGTCTCTGACATTTGTTTTGCGGCATGCGAATTGTATGCAACAAAAACAATAAAAAATAAAAAATAAATGTGCTTTTCAATGCAGAAATTCTCAATTTTTAGCCTTGATGCATTGTATATTACACAATCAAGAAAAATAAATAAATAAATAAAATAATAAATAAGCAAATCAAATAAATAAAGTTTCAATACTCCACTGCTGTTAATTTATGTTTAATTTATATTAATATTATAATATTGACTGGATTTTGTACAAAAATATTGGAAATGAGAAGTGAGACTTTTTACTCCCTCAAAGACGATCATAGCTTAAAGTGAAGTGAGGTGGAACTATTTTATTTTAATTCAAGAAAAAACAGTATTTATATAGTCGTAGATGTAAATGTAGATATGCTAGTTATTCCCATCAATTTTTGCACAGTGTAGATTTTTCTATCACAACGCTTTGGCATTAGAAATAATGCAAATACGAAGGAGAAGAGTGGGCAGAGTTGGCTCAGAATGCCGGAAAACTGGTCAACAATGTGCCGGTGCATAAGTTGCTACATATTATGCAACAAATATGTGCAGAGTGTAATGGATACGATGCATGAGCATGTTGCATGTTGGGAGCAGGGCCAGGGTCGAGACCAGGGCATATATGCCTTATGGTAAAGCTTATGCAGATCGCTGTGGCTAAGAACATTGAACGATTTCTACAAGTTCGGAGCTGTATTGAATGCCGGAGCTTAAGGATTAGAGTTACAGACTTGCAACAGCAGCAACAGCAACATTGATTGCAGTGCCACATAGTTCGACTTGGGTTGCATGCTTGTTGACTTATTTGCATTCCCAGCGGCCAGTTGCAAGGCACACACAACAAGCAGCATGTGTATCTTAAAGATACATTTCAACAAAAACTGTACACAATTAGCAAACTACAGCAACAGCAGCAGCCAGCTGTGGCAGGAACAAAAAGGAAATTAACTGGCCATGCAACTAATTAAGTGTGTGAATTCCAATCAACTCAAGGCAAGCTGCAACTCTTTGCTTTCTCTCTCTCTCTCTTTGTCTCTCTCTCTCTCTCTTTCTAACTAGCTATGCCTAACTCTGTCAAGGGCTGTTTTGCTGCCTCGTCTAATGAACAAACTAATTGCAACGGCAACTGCAAAAGTAATCAAAGTGGCAGTCAGCAGCAAACCAAGTCTCGACTTCTTGAGTCTCCAGCAAAACGGCAATAATAACAAAACTTTGTTGAAGAATTTTGAGAATGTTGCACAAATATGCGCAAAATGTAAGAAAATATGCTTGGACGGGGCCGTCTCACATATCCAATTGCCACACAGAATGCAACAGAGAGAGAGAGAGAGAGAGAGACAGATTGAGAGAGAGTGAATTAAAGAGAGACGGAGATAGCCTGAGAAAAACTGAGCTCAAGTGTTGTTTGGCAGTGGCTTATATCAATAATTGCCAAAAGCAAATTGGAAAAGTTATGCGCCTGCAGTTAATGCGACCAGCGGAAATAGTCGCAGCGGAAGCACACACACACACACACACACACATATGCATTTGGAAATGTACATATGCAATATTAAAGGGTATTTACCGGCTTTGCACGGGCCAAATGATTGTGCGAAAGTCGCTCGACTTTTTTGTGCAAATTAAATTTTTGCTCAAACAATTTCGACCTCATTTGGTAGATGATAGATGATAGCGGAAACTTTGAATTTAGCAACAAAAAAAATTAATATATATGTAAAAAATAAATAAATTAATAAGCAAAAATAATAAGAAAACGCAAAATAAATTTTCGCTCAGACAATGTTGACCTCATTTTGTAGATG